GTCAGTAGAACTGGGCTTAGAAGCAAATTATCCCTACTTGTATTTATCAGTTAAAATAGGGACCTAATTGTAAATAGTCTTTAATTTAATATTAAAGAAGGAAACGAAGCAATACAATTCAAATATTTATTTAGTATAAATTATACTTATAATTAATAATAACATAATCTCCTAAAATATAACCTAAGGGTCCTTATTGTATAATTCGGTAAATTTTTCTTTATTTAAATAATCGGAAATAAGGAAATTCGATAAGGGCAAGAGAGATTAGAAGGGGACGTAGGGGATAGAATTGCGAATAAATAACTCCGCGAATTCTTTTATCTTCTACTTTAAATCGAAGGTAATATCCTTCCGAATAAAGCGGACGTTGAAATTTTTAGGGTCCTCTACGATCTAAATAATATACTCGGTAAATAAGTCAAAGGATATCTCCTGGTCTTCGCTATTAATATTCTTAATTATAGTATCGGTTAAAACTTCGTTGGGTAATTTAAATTAATAATATATATAGTATAGGGACTTCTTACAAAGGAGGGTAAATTTACTACGGAAGCGTTCTTTATTAAAATAGAAGGCATTATACTATTCTTCGTTAAAACGGATTATAACGTGCACATTTTCTTTAATAATAAAATTAATAAACTTACGTTTAAAGGTAATCTTATTATTGATAACAACCTTCTTTTTATTTTTAGGCTTCGGTTTAATAACTATATCCTCCTCTTACTTAGGGTCGGGATAGGAGAGCTAAAAATAATATAAATGTATAATATAAGAAAGTCGAAGGCAAAATTAAGATTTTATTTATAATAGAAGATTTTAAGTAAGGAGGAAAAAAGAGGAAGAGAATTAAATATATACGTACAAACCCGAATAAATACTTTAATTATATAAGCGATAGCGGGACCCATATACGGGTCGCTAATAGCCAATCCCTTCACTTGTATCCCCTTTACCTACAGGATAAATACTATACGTGCTAGGATCCACCCTACACTTAGTCTTAGTATAGCCAATTGAATGAAGTGTATCCCCTAGTCTATATCATGCCCAGAAACCTCCATGTACCTCATTCCGACAGCCACCTCGTGTACGGCACCCAGGCCCAGTACGCCAGCGCCGTCATATATATTTCCTTTCCTCCTTCCTTTTTAAGTATTTTACTATATTAATTAGCGGGGCTCTTCGTTATAAAATAATATACGGCGGTTATTATACTAATTACGGTCAATATGGGTAGCGGGCTATTAAGCGGGCTAATTATATAATCGACCGACTTTGAATTTGCTAGTTTTATAAACCTCCGGGTTTAATACCTTATGTATCGGTACTCTACGTAAATAATCCTTTAAATTAGAGTTAGGTATAAAAATTAATTATTAGCGATTAAGTAAGGGAATCGGGTTTTAAATACTATAATTACGTTATTAAACCTCGTCTAACCTATTGCTCCTATTTAAAATTAATTATTAATATTTATCGACGTCGCTAATAATTAACCCCTTTTATAGCATTCGTTATAATAATTCCAATATTAGGTATTTATAGGGTAATTTATACTACGTTGTGAATTGTTTCGTATAATAAGTATATAGTATTTACCTTGGGTCTTTAATCTAATCGTTATATACATAATAATATTATTACTATATTAATTTGAAGGGGAAAGATAAAATTCGTAATAGTAGCTTAGTAAAGAATTTAACCCTCTTATATTTATATAAGAAGGTTTAGCATACCTTTTTCGATTCGATTATAAACTAATCCTTTTAAATAGTATAAATAGAATAGATTTAATTATATAATTAATTAAAAGAGACGAAAAGATTCTTAAAGAAGCGTTTGATAATTCTATAAGTAAATTCTATACGGTTGGTTATTGTAATACTATAGTTTCTAAGCTTCGAAATAACGTAATTATTAAATTCGTTAATTTATAATATATAATTGTTGAAGGGATCGATCGACGAGTTAATGCGTTACGAAGAATCGACTAATTGAGTTGACTAGAGCATTCAAAATAGAGTAGAATGGTATGTGGTTTATGTAGAAAGGTTGTATATTGGTAGAGATATCGTTAAGTGATGTCTAACTATCTAGAATCCCTTTTCTTTCGAAGGAACCTTCCTTCTTATAGATTTTCTGAGCCCTCTGTTTAACCTGTGAACAATCCGACTGTACTGTTGAATTTCTTGTCTTCCGAGGAATCCAGAAATAGTTCCTTCGGTCTCGTACGTCAAAAATAGACTAAGAAATCTATTTCCGAAGTCGAAAGGTTTTCGAGGTTGAAAGAACAAAGGGTTCCTTTGTCAACAAAGGTCCTTGTCTACCCTGGTCATTTTCGTACCGTATATGCCACAATTCTATTCTGGGCCGCCCAGTGCGGTCTAAGCCACCCGTACAGGCCACCCATGCATCCTCTACGAGGGTTAGGGTTTTATAAGGTAGAATTTCAACCACGAATATTTAATCGAATAAAATTGAATAAATTCAGCCAAAAATATAGGGCATATATTTATAGTATATATTACCCATATATATATTCCTATACTGGCATAGTATAGTATAGACCCGTAAATCTGTTATAATCATATAATTATTATATAATATATATATTAAGTCCAACGATAATACTTCTTTAAGTAAAGGATAAATATTATAATAAAAGTTAATAAGCGAAAAAGGTATATAATATATTACAAAAACGGGGGAAATAGAAGAAAATATTAAATATATACGAATTTACTATAGAAATCTATTAATTAATAATTACTATGCCCTTTTATAGTAACTTTCGTTATTAGCGTATATAACCCGCTTTTAAGCATTTTAAAAACCCTTATATATATCTTTATAGAATTGTTAGTAAGAATTATACTCTAATATAATACGCGGGCGAATTAGTAGTATAATACGCGGGCAGTCTATTCTAACGGCGTTTCCTTCAATAATTCTTATACGAACTTCCTCCTCCTACTCTTCTATTAAATAGTTTATAATAGCGGTATTATTTTCCTTATCCGAATCGTTTTTACTAAAGTTTTCGTCGACGTTACTGGCAACCTTCTCGTCTTCCTACTCAAGGCCTTTATATAATAGAAGATTAAAGCTATTACTATTTAAATCCCTGTACGTTGACGGGAGATTTAATTAAGTAAGGTTGGGAATTAATTTATTATTATTACGCGGATTTAGCGGACCCGGCTAAATTTATTTCCTTTTAATATAATAATTTACGCTTTTTATAATATACTATATATAGAGTTAGTATTATACGCCGGGGTATATTATAATAGCCGCCTTTTTAAATCCTTTATAAAAGTCGGTAATAAAGATAGCGGGGCTTAGTATATCCCCTTAGAGGTTTTTAAGGTAGTTAAAATACTATTCGAAATATTTTTATATTTCGCTATTCGATAAATTAAACATAAAGTTGAAATTATGACTTAGGGTATTAATATTAATTATATTTAAGAGGGGGAGGTTAAAATAATTAATTTATATTTATAAAGAAAAAAAAAGGGAATTAACTTAGACTCTTATAGATTTATAAGGGTAATAATAAAAAGGGTATAAAAAGTATTAAACTTTAATAATTATAATTATTTATTTTATATATATTATTAATTAATATAATATATAGAAAATTCGTCTATATTTCTATATATTACTTGAAGGTCTAAAATACGCGACGTACGTATTATTAATTAGGAATCCTTTCTTTATTATAATTAACGAAATAACAGACGCTATATTCGTCTTTATACCGTTCTAATATATCGATAAATATTTTAATAGAAGTAAAGGGACTATACTTCTTCTTATAAAATTATTTCTAAAGGTTTAAAACCTCTTATACCATAAAAATAAACTTTCAATTACGTAAATTAGCAATTAGATTATCACTATTAATTTGTCGGATATTAGCTTCGCTATCGCTATCGAAGTTATTAAGGGTGCTACTAAAGTAGTAAAATATCTATCGTAATAATATTTTAGCAATATTAAATAACCTTTCGATTACGGTGAGAATAGACTTTTCGTAGCCAATACGTACTTAACGACAACAATTAAAGTTGGCGGGCAAATTTTTAACGTTATAATAATAATTATATTTTATATTTATTTCTTTACCGAACTACTTCCTCCCTTCCTTTTTACATAATATAACCTTTATTTAGTATAGGCAATTAATTACCTACGAACTAATATTATAAATACTTTAACCCGTTAATTTATATACGCCGCTACGGTTATAGCGGAAATTATATTGTATAGGCGTTGTACAGTCCTTCTTTTTATTAATAATAAACTCCATTTATATAATAATCAAGCCGCGCTAGTAATAATATACGAAAAGAGTTTCGAATACTTCGCTTTTCTTATTAAATAACTTAATAATAAATAGTAGCTTTAGTACTAGAGACCGCTATTTGACGGCGCGCTCGGTAGGGGATTATAGTAATTACATTTTTAATTTCTCGTATCGACGGCGGCGGATTAATAGCGATTGAAATTCGACGAGGGGAATTATACTTTATTCGGGAATAATTATTCGAATTGGATTTAAAGGTATTTTACTAGCGATTTTAGTTAAATCCCGTTAACGCTAGTTATTTTAGTTGGTTAGGTTAGAAGTCTAACTTACTTAAGCGAATACACGATATACAGTGGGCGGGCGGGCGAAGTATATTAATAAATACTACGAGGTTGAAGATATTATACCAAATAATAATAAAGATAATAAATAATCACTATAAACAGTTACTTAATATTAAAGTACAGTTTTGTAATAGCTTTATTCAATTATATAAGACTACTTATCATTAATAGAGGGCGCGCGACGACGGCGGCGGTTAGGCAGTAATATACTGGTACGGCGCGCTTCTGGCGGCTGGGCTGGGCGGCTGGGCTTAATTAGTATAAAAAAGTAGGTTGCACTCTACGAAGACCAAATCTGTACTCTATAACTACCGTTTTCGTTAAACGATGCGAAATCAGTTTTGAGGCAACAGACGAATTCGAATTTGCCAAAGCTGCATACCCACTTTGACCCAGAGATAACAGGTAATGACTGCGTTCAAAGGAATATCTCCTATTCCATTCAAACCCGCGCTTGAAGAATTCCAACTTCTCTCCATCACTTGTTGAGATCTTACCCGCATGTATCCCAGGATCCCTGCCATGATGACACAAGTAATGACCGTTTCCAGCTCAAAGAGACCGATCCTGTTGAAGAAATAAGAAAATCCGTCGCTGATCCAACTTTGAAAGTCCCAGTGTTTCTGGCATGGCCAGTTATGTGCATTGTGCATGCTGAGAACAGAACAAGGTGGGAAAAACGAAGTGTTTAAGAAGGTCGGTTTTCAGGTCACGGAAGACGAAACAGTGAAGCGAGTCCAAAGGCAACAGGATTAACCGGGTGGTTGGTGACCATGAAGGTAATGACTTGATGTTGAAAGAAGTTGTTCCAGGAAGAAAGAAGAGGAAGAATTCACGAGTCGTGAAATACGTCCTCTCTACCGCACTAACTTCGTCGCCCACCCAGCCAAACTGCCAGACGATGTCGATGAGCGTGGTCGGGCAACTTCACTTGCGCAGAGACCAGAGATACAGAACCGTAAAGACATGAATCGTGTGCATTGTGGAGCTCCAAAAAAAAATCAAGCTTTATACCGCAGTTAACTTCCTATGTCAGAACTTCCTAATGATCGAATTGTCGTCACCGCCGAAGGGTGTAAGAAAGAAAAAGTAGTCTGTTGAGATGGATGCGTTTGAAATGGGGGATATAACGCCACCAGCAAACTCAAACCACCAACCAACTACGACAGCAGATTAACAGTTGTACATCTTCCGTAGTATAGTGGTCAGTATGTGAGCTTGTCAAGCTTGAACATCAGTTCGATTCGCTCGAGACCCGGGTTCAATTCCCGGCGGGAGAGACCATCAATTTCTTTTTGACTTTTTTTCTACTCGTTCCTTTTCACAAACTTGATTGACCCTTTGCTTTTGTGCTTTTGTTTTTTATCTGGCGTGGATTCGATTTGTTTTTCCCTTTCTGCAGGAATCATGTTCAACTCAAATGCACTCTCTAAATTCTAGGTAGTGCAAACATGGATTCAAGTTCGCCGAAACTGAAACCATCTTCGAACTATTTAACGGTGACGAGATCCGCCGAAGATGCTCTTTTCGCCCTTTGTCTTTTTTGCAGTCAATCTGTTGGCGTTGGGAAACTTAAGCACAGGGTGATTGAATACGGCCTCTCATTCACCAACACTTCTTACTCCCAAAACCTCCTCCACTCCTCCTGCGCCATCCGTGCCTGATCCTCCACCTGACCTGCCTGCACCTTCAACATAGCCGCCTGGTTGTTGAGCTGCGTCGTTTGGCTCAAGTCGGCCTATAGTTCCATCCCTTCAGCACATGGCACAAGACACCGAGAAACGGAAGCCGAAAAAGAGCTTACCTGACCACTAGGCACCAAAATATGATTCGCATCAATCCTCTTACCAGCACCTATTCCAGCCAGCATAATGTTGTTGCTAGCCGCACTCAAGGAGACCCGCATGGCATTGATAGCCAGGTGTTCTTGTGTTTGAGCCTGTATGCGCAGGGAAGCAGCTTGCTGTTGGAGCTGGGCCGTCTTCATCTGGAGTTCTCGCTCTTTGGCTTTTCGCTCGGTTACCTGTTCAAGACGTCTTGTCAGCTAACTGCGGTCAGGGATAAGAGAAGTGACGGAAGAAGACTCACTTTGGCCCTCAAATGCTCCAAACCCATTTGCTCTCCCATACTCACTGCCTCCTTCCAAACCCTCCTCATCCGTTCAGAGTACAGCTGACAAGTGAACCCAGGACCGCCCACCACCGCAGGGGCTTGATCCAATCTCCTTGCTAGCTCGACACCCTGACGGACTTCAGGCTCAATCACCTCCTTGTAACACTGCTCACACACCGTAAAGTCGAACAATCCTTGCATGGTATGGCACCGAAGCGTCGTGGACGGATAGTTCCTAGGGTAGAGGCCATTAGGTGGAGGAGGAGCGCCCCCCAACGCACCCGGCACTTCTTGAGAAGTGCCAACACCCGGCCCCCTTGGAGGCGGCAAGTTGGCCCTCAACTAGTCAACCAACGCAGTCATGTCCGGTCTTCTCATGAACCCCGAGGTCACCGCACACCTTGCAATCTGCTGCAGTATCGCCATTGTTCTCGGATCGTCGTAGTGCTCAGAGGGCACTAGTGCACAAGTCATCCTGCCTCCTCCTTGGCCGGGAGGCGGCTGAATGGGCATGAACCCGCCAGCGACTGCAGGACAGCAAGTCATCACGTTGACAGCACAGCTGCCGCAGATGTTCCACCCAGGAAGCAACTGCGCTCTGGTCTGCGGTTCAAACAGAGTGTACCACGTCCGTCTTTGTTGGTCTCGTGCAGTATCAACCACAACAAGCTGCTCCGCTTCAGATCTGAGTTCAGCATTGGGGCATGCTGTTTGCCCTCCTTGTCCATTCGGGCCTGGTGTGGGACTGGCCAGAGCAGCGACTCTCGCCAGAAAATCGACCCCCAACCGACCGTCATTGTTCATCGTCAAGAGCACCATGCCGGCCACCTTGACCCAGAACCGGGACATGTCGCATCGTATCGGTACCGCGGGGTTGGGAGGAGGTCCCTTGGTCACGAAAGATCGAACATAGGGAGTGGGACGGACGACCGAGTTGTAGCAAGACGGACAGATGTTGAAATTGGCGTAGCGAGGATCAGGAAGGCCGATCCAGTCTTGGAACCCGGCCTGGGCTTGCTGGCGAGGACAAGGGACGTTGGTTTGGGGAATGGAGGACGCTGAGGAGGTAGTAAATGGAGAGGGGAGAAAGGGTTGCCTCCTCCTCCACCTCCGCCGCCGCCGCCGTAACCTCCAAACCCACCATATCCGCCGAAGCCGTAGCCATTTACACCGTTGTCACCAGCTGCACCTTGAAGGCCAGACTGGAGCTCTTGGGCGAGGGAGTTGAGGAGTTTGCGGAAGGGTATTTCGCTGCTTTCGATGTCAAGGCTTAGAATTTCATCGGGTTAAAGAGGTGAGTGCTATCGGGAGGAAGAGAACATTAGCGACTGCTTACCACTTAAACCTCTCGTCCTCTTCTTTCCTGATGTTCAGCTCCCCTCCCTCCTCCCGAGGTTTGACATCCCCGGTTCCCGGTCCAAATTCTCTAAGCGAGGTGCCAGAGCCTTGTCATCTCGAGCATGTTGTTAGTGTGTCAAGCTAAGCTTTTGGTTAAGCTTTTGGGCCAGAACCTTATAGATCCTCCTGTAGTTAGCGTGGTATGGTCGCAGCGGAGTGTTGACGATGCATCTTTGGTGCTGGTGGCGCTCCTTCATGGTGTTCAGCTACCCCTTATCCAGAATTTTGGTTGGTTCAGCTGGTGGTGGTGGTGTGAGATGCCTTTCCTTGTTGGGAATGCTGAGCGATGGTGGCTGGGCTAAGATAGAACCGTCAGAATGGTTTTGCGATAATGAAGGATGATGAACTGAGAGAAGATGAAGTGGTTTGCGCTCTGTTGGGAACTGTGATCTTATCAGTTGATTCTTCACGAACGAAGTGGTTGGCCGATGTAGATGGCGATGGCAATGATGACGGTGACTATGGGTGTTCTGGATCAAGTTCGGAAATTTTCGCACAAAAGCACAAAAATGGAACAACTCCGGCTCTGGATTGATTGAGAGAGACTGCTAAGTGCCCGTTCCTCCTTCAATCCAGATATTCATCATCTCTCTCAGCAGCCCCTTCCATTTCGGATGTTGTTGTAGGTATCACCAACCTTTGCCCCTAACCCTAAAGGAAGAAAAGCACACAGAAAAGCACACAGCCATGCGACTTGCACGGATTTGCTGGGCCATGCAACGACGTTATTTCGAGATGTTTGAAACGAGTCAAAGTGTAGGAATCAACACTGTATATCGTGGAGAATCTTCACTGGACTCCCCATCTTCACAACCGAGAAACATCTCGAAGTCATTCGCATGACTCCCGTTTCCTTGCCTCGAGTCCGGCCCAGGGTTAGGGCATGGGCCTCATGACGTCATCCAAGGTCTCCCGGGACAGCGGGACTCCACATTCGGAAGGCATCAGATCATCGGCCGCACTTCACGGCATGAACGGCAGCGACACGGCAAGATTCATGATGCTCCGAAGAGGGAGGTGATAAATTGGGAATGCATGAGGTGCCCAGATGTTGAAATCAGGATTGGGATGAAGGTTGAATCAGATATCCAGAGATGCGAGATTCCCGGTTCACAAGAGCCTCATACTCCCCGGCCCCAGCTGTAAGTTCCCATGTCGAAATGGGTGATAATGTCGTCAAGGGCGTCTGTGATATTTCCAAGGCGGAGATAGCAAATCTGGAAGAAGATTGATGGAGGAAGGGGAAGACACCGAACCCATCGCCTATCCGAGGCCTAAGCAAAGACCGTTGGACCTCGCTCGCACGGATTATTCGGATCGTGCACTGACTGGTTATAAGCCTGATGATTGATTTGTGGATGCCAGAAAGAGGCGAAAATCGCAAAGGAGCAGAAAGACTTTGCATGTGGTTGAAGGACTGTGAAAATGGTGGGAACGGAAGGCGATCTCGTGGAACGGATAGAACGGGGGAAGGAGCAAAGAAGGGGTGGGCTGTGATGGGTCATCCCCCGCATTTTGTCATTTTGGGGGGGCTCGTGGGGGCTCTGACCCCTGAAACCGGTGTCAAGTGGACAGGGCCTGGGAGGGCATGTGAATGTGTTCCTTCCCGGTCTGTCTTATCATTTTGACTCTGAAGGCTTGGACTTTTGCTTCGAGTCGCAATTGCGATATTTCTCTAAGCCGAGTTGTTAAGAGGCGACTTGTCATCTTTCATCAAATTCAACGTTAGTAACCAGACGATGCTGACGGTGACCACCATGATGGCCGTGCATCCAAAACCGGTCAAAGATGGGAATTCCAGAAGCCACCCTTCTTGGCTGCTGATGAAATCGATGAACACAGGCACTGACAAAGGACTGACTGGACGGGATGGAAAATACCCGACGGGACCTTGAACGAATCTCGGGGCCGCTTCTCTCCAATTCGCGGTCCTTCCTGATGATCACAGGTTGTTGGAGGGCAGGATGGAAGGCACAAGGCGCACACGTTACACTCGAATGCAAAGGTCATCCTCATGTCCATCGTTACCTCTTTGAGTTTGTCAGCTTACACGCTACACTATATCCCAGTCAGTCAAGAGATTTGCACACATCTCAGCCCTATCAAAACTTGTGTCTTGTGGCGGAATGTGTTGGCCTCTTGTCGACCTCGGCTGGCTCTGAGTGTCGTGGCACTCCGTCCGGGAGTTGAACTTGCACAGTTGCAAAGCCTTATGGCCAACTCACTTGTGAAATCGCCGCCGACAACGGAGATCTGTTGGGTCGAAACAAGGAAAAGATCACATCTCGATATAAATGCACTGGCTTTGTGTACGGTGATGCTGATAGTGGTGGTCATGGTGTTGTCACCAGGTGGCCCCGCCAAGCCCTACCGATTACTCGCTTGTGCGGCTCCCGAGGAACCTGAGACGACACGAAGCAGGAAGGGGAAGGTCAAGATGGCGACGATTCAGATGCCTGACCGGGTGTTTCTGTCGAGTTTCCTGTTATTTGCAAGTTTATCGTTTAGAGTCGGACATTGGTTTGCAATCTGGAAGGTCGAAAGGCAAACGAGTGGATAAGGCATGATAGCCACCAAGTACCATGAGGTCTAGAAAGCCACACATAACTCCACTTCCCGGGATCCAACTTTGGTTCTGGTCCTCGTTCTTGTGCAAATCGCAGTGTACTATAACCGTCAGCAGTAGTCAGCCAAACTCGACCCTTCGTGTCACCTCAGAAGACATATTCGCCTTTTCCACAAGTTGCGGTCAGCATTATCACGACTTTTGTCTGCGAGGAAAAGGCAGCAAAAAGGGGATCACAGGCCAAGAAACGCTGATCAGTCGCATCGTCATCAACACTGACCAACCACTGCAACCGGAGATCCCTCCCCGGGCCGATACACAAAGTCTGCCGTCCGGCTACGAGACCCTGAAAAGTTGAACCCTGATTTTCATTCAGTTGCGATTCAACCCGCGTTGCAAAAAGCAAAACAGCAGGCCTGACAGGGTTGCCTCTGCACACAAGTTCAAAACAGGGAAGCTCGGATCTTTGCCCGAAAGTTGGAGAGCGAACGAGAGCGAACGAGAGCGAACGATATTCCAGGCGCGGGGGCCCGGTGCGATTGCGAATCCGGGGCGCAAAAGTGGACATCCCCAGGATCCCCCACTGCGCCGACAGACAAGCCGCGACCCGGCCGCGACTTCCACTTTTGGGCGTCGTGGCGCTAGAAACCCACTAAAACCAGGGGTGCCGAACAGCCGAACACATCGCTGGCGGGGTCAATCAGGTACCGAATTTGGGAGGGAGGCCGCTGTGCAAGGAAGGGCCAACTTCCAAGAGCAGCGCTTTCCACCAAAAACGTCATCGAAGTTGTACCTTGGCCTTTTTCTCTTCGCTGGGCTTCTTGCCTGCTCTTTCCTGTTCCTTTTTTCGCCTGGAGAACACAGGATTGGAAACGGAACCGACGGGGATATAAAGTACAGAGGTACTCCATTTGACGGGAATCTTGTCCCATCACATTTCCACTCGGCTACAATACTCAGTATCGATACTTAACTACGGCACCTGCCTCGACTGTCTCAGATTACTTTTGGACTTGTATATAACATTGCGCCCATCCGATCTGTCCCACGACTCAGGCCCTGGCCGATGTGGAAAAGAAAAACAAGAATCGACAACGAAGAATATTCGATTTAAAACCAGCCACGACACCCGACCGGGCTCTCCTTGTCATCTGCTCTCGACATAGCAGCAGGTACCCCGCGCGACTCACCAGGCACTCGTCTTGACCGCGAGAGCTGACCGAACGGTTACGATATCCCGCACTACATCCGGCCACTGCCCCGCGTTTTGCACAGCTGCAATCCCCGCTGAGGTACAAGTCAGACATCACTCAGCACTCAGCTCGTCAGCCACCCGTCCCATATCCAGCAGGCCGCCAACAGCTATATCTTGCCCGTCAGCCTGCCCATTTCGCCCGATCGCCCGCTTGTTTGCTTGTTCTCGCCTTGCTTCATCTTTTTTTCGCTTCAGATCTTTGGAGGAATCTCCGGTATATCGCGATTGTCGATTTGCACTTGAGACATTGGTCCAGAATACGGAGTTGAGGCGACTGGACCTAAAAGGGATACGGATATACACCAACACGGTCCCGACCCCGAAAGATTGATGTCCGGTTCGTGTGTCACCTCCACGGCAAGCCAACAACCGAGACCCACATACCTGAAAAGGCAACCCGTTGTCTTTGATATATTAACTTCGACATCTCCCTTTTTCGTATTGGGTTTATCTCTCACCACCCATACCCAACAACTTAGACCTACAACAACTACAACAAGTCATATATGATCTCGAAACCAGACTCTTCCTCACCTTCAACCACAAACCCAATACCAACAACAACCTCAAGTCACAGCGAGCACTTGCTTACCGAATGCTCAAGCAGGGGACGAGTTAGCATCACAACAACCACCACAACCATTGAACAAACACCACGATCTACCTACTATACACAACACACATCACACACCATGTCTTCACCACAGGGCTCACCGGCGGGCCGGGTCAACCAGTCTTACATGCTTGTTCCTAACCTCCACGTCCCAGACCCAACGGTCGACGAGGTAGAGCTTGGAAGCAGCAACGCATGGACGGTAGCCACCGTTATCGAGGACGACGATCTCATGTTTGGTGGCAAACCTTTGAGCGCATGGTACGAGGAGGATCGCAGACGACTGAGCTCTAGTATCGAGGACGAAGAGGAGATTCGAGGCCGACAGCGCGACCGCGTAAGGTTCGACGACCATCATCAACATCAACACCAACACACCCATCATCAACCGCAACACTATCACCACAATCAACATCATACCGTCCATCACACACATGTCGCTCATACCCATCATACCACCAAGAAGACGGGCGAAATTAAGCATTAAACAACGCAGTACTCTCGTTGTTTCCTGGCGATAACACCTCGGCTCTGCCATAATAGTGGATGTCACACAGCGCATGCTTGCGCAACACATCTTGTGCGACACAGGATCGGCGCACATCACAGACTATCCAATGGTACCGAGCCTCAACAAGAATCGCCCAAGACACTGTCGGTTACACTGCATCGCCGACCTCGGCTCCCCTACGCTCGCCTTGACCTAATTCGACACCGAAGCAAGCACCTTTATACAGATCCTCGACTCGTCGCCGTTTCCCTTATCTCCGGACTCAGAATGTACGGACAATAGGTACCTTGGCTATATGGTCACGAAGGGCGATGGGCCGCATAACAATCGATACCCATAATCCTCCGGTCCTGGCGATCGGACCCTACCCGCGCTCATCGACCCTGTTACAGGGCGCACAAGATGGAGTACCCTGTTTAGGTACATGGCACAGTCGTTTCCCTTGATGAGCATTCAAACGGTGCATTGCGGGCTTTTTTTCTTTGGGCGGGTAATAGTCTATGCCCTCTCGGCTCTTCTCTCTCTCTCTCACTCTTGTTTGTCCACATGATACCACGGGTTTAAAGGAGCACTTTGCATACTTGGAACGGGTTACAGGAGTTTATATGGGGCGTTGCTTTTGTTATTTACAGGATGAGCGTTGCAAGCCGGTGCCGGGTGGGTTTCCTTGGGACGATGGATGGACGGTTTACGGTCGTTCACTGGGATTGGGACTGACACTGGCGGCATGTCCGGTCGAGGTGTACTATGGTATCACTGCTTGTAGAGGGAGGTAGCATTGCCTGGAGCAATTGAACTTGGGATCACAGCGCTACATTCGTGCTACAGATTGATTTGCCTCGTCGCTTGGACTTGCTCATCGTTTACTTGCACGTGAATACTTCGCTCGTACATCGCACCGACGTTCACAGACCTTCATAGCTCAATACATCGCATTCACTCCCTTCCTATCGCCCCCTTCTGGAACCTCCCATCTTCAAAGGTAGGTCAAATCGAAGTGTTGGACCCTTCCTCTTCCCTTGCGCCAACACCCCTGAACACCCTGACGGGTCATTGCGTCGGGAACAAAGACTCTAGCCGCCGGACCTGGAGATGGCACCCTGCATCCGGTAGTTGACCGGGATCAAGCTCAACCCAGGGCCTAGAAATGCAAACATTCCACCGACACCCAGTCAATCTTTGTGTTGGACCCTAAAATAGCTACATGAGCAAGGTTCCCCGCGCCAAAGCATCTAGACCCCTTTGCCCGGTCTTGTCAGTGGATCTTGTGCTGATAGACCATGACTTACCTAGCACGATCAACAGAGGAAGCTCAGACGAATCAGAAGGTTCGAATGGGTCATCGAAACCCTGATGAAAGGAATGGCGAGGAAATTGAGGACGGAAGCGGGTTGAAGGGGGGGACTGAAGTTGGGTGGGTTTACCATGGAGTCGTCGTGCTCGGCACCGTGGGCTTTGTAGAATATGGTTGTGAGATGGATGGCAGACAGGTAGAGGAGTGGATTCCACCCTGTATGTGCCGTGTCGTGTCGTGTCGTGGCGTCGTGAGTTAGGTTGGGATCGAAGCAGAGCAGTTCCCAGCTCCAAGATAGGATGGACAGCTTGATCGCGTGCACACCATTCCATTTCATAAGCCACCCGCCACATGCCACATGGCAAAGGAAGGAAGTTGTGAAGAAGTGTAGTGTAGGTGTGAATCGAGATGGAACTTACCGTGCCGTCCATCGCCGCATCGCTTAACTACGTTCTTCTCTGATGAAAGCAGAAGATTGAAGCGAGTTGCCTCGATCAGATTGAAGGCTTGAAGTTGCTTGATTGAGCTCGTGGGGGTCGTTGCTCGCCACCTCCACTGCTCCACAAGCAGAACTAAAAACCCACGTGGAAGGTCTTGAGATGGAACTTACCGTCCCGTCCCACATTTGCAGGCCGTCCCAGCGGCTCGGGGTTCTTCAAGTTGTTTAGGTCGCCGACGAGGCTTTGCGCCATCGTGCGTGGATCGTGTGGAATGGAGCCTGGGCAGTTTTGGGTTGTTCATTTTCTTTGTTCTAAAGCTCATGAACAACGCCAAGAGGAGCCAAGGGGAGCCACTCGGAGGGGGCATTGTCGGACTCGGGCCCGAGGAATTGGATGCGGAATGGGATGGGATGGCTAGAATCCGAGGGTGTTTGGGATGTTCTGAAACGAGGCCACGTGGAGGACGAACGGAGGGAAGTCCGGGGAAGGAGGGTGGAGGAGTGTGGGGAAAGGAAGGGGGAGGTCGTGTACCTGCAGAAGAGCTGGAGGTGGTGACCAATAAATGTGTGTCTCGGGTCGATGTTGTATCTTGCGACATAAACTCGGTTTTTCATTGACCGGTCTAGATCACCAAGTGAGAACAATTGTAGAAGACATGTCGACAACAGTTGCAAACGTCGAGTGTTAAGATGGACGCATCAAATAACGAAAAGGCCTGGGGTTAGGGTTATTGCACATCAGCGTTCGGGACTCGAGCACGAGCAACCACGATGTGGTGAACAGTGATTGACCGGAGGCCGGCGTGGTACGGTGCTACTGTACATTTGTTAATCTCTCCTAACTCGCCAAAAACACCTTCAATACACTTTCCTCAAATAGGTGAGTCAATGCCAGCTAAAACTTCTGTCGGGAAGAAAACGAAGTCATCACCAATCCTTGGCGCCAAGAGGATCTGCTGCTGAGGTGGTGGAGCGACTGATGTCTCAAAATAAGGTTCCGTTCGGGCGGTTTTTATGCTTACAGGGACCACGCAGCTGCCACGCAGTGGGCCGTTAGTGGATCGCCCCCCCCTGGACCTCTAACCAACCAATTCGTGTCAATTCTGGGCCATGCAGAAACTTTTTCCTTCTTCCATTTCATTCGTCTCTTCGGTCGTATTCCGGATGACAATTTGACAACGGACCGCAAAATAAGGTGATGATGACGGGTCGAGGTCGGTCTCCAAGTTTTATATCTGCCATTGATATGGGATTCCCACTTCTAGTACAATCTTTTTGTGCGACATTGTTCGAGGCGCTGAGGTGTTAGACGCGCGATTGGGAGGTTTCGGCAGCTACCGAATACCGAGACTCGAACGGTGCATTTCAGCGACGACATCACCCGTTCTGTCGGGTGCGAGAGAGACATGGCCTCATCGGGCCTATGCCGAGATACTGGAACCAGGTATCATTGACTAACGGACAAGGAGCTGGAAATGCGGTGAGTTGATATTTCTGGCCCGAGTCCAAGGCGCATATCGTCGATGAGGTGACAGGTCGAGACCCAAGGGCCTTATCAGGGACGAAATCTGACAAGTGACACGCGATGCTAAGACAAGCCATCCATCGTTGGGCCTTGATGAGGCTTCTGCACGGGATGATTGTTCGAATCACTACTGCAACGCAACCGATTGTTCGTGTACAGCTATGGTTGCACTTTCCCCTGAGTGAAGGTGCATCGCCACTTCAACCGCCATCGGCCGTTTGTTTGGTTGCCCGGACACAATATCTCCATACCCGGCGCCGACACGTTGTTCATGAACAGCTCTGATTGCTCATGAACAGAGTCGTACTTCACCCTGAACAGTGGCCCTAAGTGGGTACCAACACCTGCAAGATGTTTACAACGACTGGATATCGACCGTCGCCATCGTCCATGTTGAACGGTCGCTTGGATCGCATAGCCGACATATCAGGGCGTCGAGCCGACCTGTTCCTGTCCCTCCAACTCTTCCCAAAACCACATCCAGCACAGGACTGAGCTTACACATCGAGGTCATCAGCCCAACCGCTTAAGACTTGCTTCCTTTGTTTTCATCATCAATATCCAACAATATCATCATCAAGCATCATCACCAACATTGCTATCGCCCATCATGGCAACCGACGTCCAGGATTACCAGCCCGCGCCGACGCACGAGTCAGCAAGAGGCACAGGTCACCAATCGGTCCCCTCCAACTCAACCGTCACGACTGTGAACGACAACTCTACGGTGCCCCTCAAGCTTGAGGCCACCGACACAACAACACCACCCAATGGCGTCGACACCGACACAGACGATGCCAATCTCCCGGAGCCTAGACATCTCCTCGAGAGGATTCCGACTGTTCTCCAGCCTAGTATCCCGTGGAGGAAGAGGCTGATGCACTTTACCTTTGCTTGGTACACCGTCACGTAAGTTCATCCTCTTCACCTTGATGAGTAATCATCTCACATGTAAACAACATGAACAACACCCACTAACATCACCAACAGACTTTCAACCAGCGGTGTCTCTTTGGTCCTAGCCATCACCCCCCACCGCTTCCGCGGTCTCTCCACCATCGGCCTCGTCATCTTTCTCCTGGACCTTCTCTTCTTCTTGGTGATCACCGCCTCCATCACCCTCCGCTTCGTCCTCTACAAGTCGACCTTCCGCCGCGCCTTCACCCGGCCCAACGAAGCCCTCTTCGTCCCGACCTTCTTCCTCTCCATCGCCGCCATCCTCTGCAACGTAGCCGAGTACGCCCGCATCTTCATCTTTGACGGCGACATTTCCTACCAATTCCCCGGCCTCGGCAGCAACAGCACCCCCTCAGCAGAACCGGACGACTCCCACGCCGCCTCCGCCTCCCTCCCCACCTTCGCCACCTTCCTCTGCATCGCCTTCTGGTTCTTCTCCGCCCTCACCTTCCTGGTGTCCGTAATCCAATACCACTTGCTCTTCACCGTCAAAGCCGAGCGTCGCCTCTCGCTCACAACCATCACCCCCGCCTGGGTGCTGCCCATCTTCCCCGTCATGCTGATAGGAACGCTTGCCGGCTCATTCTCCAAAACGCAGCCACCCGAATCGGCGATAGCCATGATTTGCGCCGGACTGGCTGCCCAAGGACTGGGACTGTTGGTCAGCTTCTTCTTCTTCAGTTCTTACTTGAGCAGACTGATGGCGTTCGGATTACCCGCGCAGAGACCGGGTATGTTCATCGCCGTGGGACCGCCGAGCTTTACGGGGGCGGCGGTCATTTCTATGGCGTCCGATATTCCCCGCGTCTTCTCGCAACTTCAGGAGTCCCGGGTCGCCATCTTGACGGGAGTGGGCGACATGGCTACCCTGGCGGCGGGAGTCAAGTTGGGTGCTATCTGGCTAGGTGTTTTCCTCTGGGGCCTTGGGTTCTGGTTTTTCGTGTCGGCTGTGGCGGGCTGCGTGGCGGGCATGCAGGATAAGAGGTTTCATTTGAGTTGGTGGAGCATGGTATTTCCGAATGTCGGGTTTACCATCGTCACTATCAAGATTGGGACGGGCTTGGGAAGTGAGGGGGTGTTGTGGATGGCAAGCGGGATGACGGTGGCACTGGTTCTAGCGTGGGCGTTTATAGGGTATCGCTGTGTTAGGGCGGTGGTGAAGAGGGAGATTGTGTGGCCGGGGCATGATGAGGATTCTTAGGCATCTCGAGGAGAAGAGTCCTTTTCTGTTCAGGTCGTGTAAGAAGAGGTGGAGACTAAGAGCTGGAATCTTGGGTTTTACGACTTACGAATTATGATACGGTTCATTATTCACGACATGGTTGGGATTTGGGTCCTGGGACCGGCATAGCACGGAGTTCAAGGGTTGTTCTGCTTCATCAAAGACTTGGGTTTAGAGGACTCGGGGTTAGACTCGGCATGAAAAGACGGACAGACAAAAGGCTCAGGTTTGGAGACTCGGGACTTGGTATCTGGGACTTCTATAGGGTTGAATCGAACAAACGATATTTGATAGGACAACAGGGTTTCAAGTGTACGATACATGTATGCAATGCACATGCACATGTATCATAAAAAAAAGAAAAATTAAAAGGAAAATGAAACAGGAAATATAAAATGACATATCGCGAGCATATGAGACGCAAAAAAAGCGAAAAAAGAAGTTTTTCAATGGTCATTCGTGCGACGTGGGCCTGATTTGAACAGACGCTCCCGAAGGAACAAGATTTCTAGTCTTGCGCATTAGACCACTCTGCCACCACGCCTAGTGATTTTGTTGAAAGTTGGGCTTGGACCTTGTGCTTATGTAGGGGGCCCCACCTCGGCTTACAATTTCGGTATGGACATTTAACCCTCGTCTTGTTCCTTTTACTATCCTTTATTACTCTTCTTCTTTCCCTTTTCTTTGTAGGGATTTCAGTAAGGCTTTTGGTCACTGATTCGACATTGAACACCCCTCGATCCTTTGTATTCGAGGTAGTTATGTAATTGTCCGAGGAGTTCTCGGTCTCGAAGTCCCTTTGTCGATCATCGTCCGTTGGGACAGTTCACGGCGTTCATCGTTCCTGACCGCGGTGGAGATAGAAGATGCTAAAAAAGCCTGAGAATGCAGGAAAGTTTCGTGGTTACAGGGGTGTTTTAGTGGCCAATTGGAAATTGGAGGGTTGTGGTTCCTCCTCCCGTTGTTCTTCAAATTTCTTCCTTCAACACCAAACTTCTATCTCCTGTCAATCCATGCTTGCCGTTTTTCCAACCTCCATTTCTCTCTCCAACACCTTCTTCACGACTCCAAAGGATTGAATAGCACAATGGATCACTTTCTTCACCCATCGCAAGGTCAGACGTACGCGCGTCTTGGCATCACGGAATTCATGAACTCTCGAAGCACTAGAAGCACCAAGGCTCCAGTCGATACCCCTGAAGTCCAACTAGCGTAGAGCTGTTCACAAGCTTCACAGGGACTACCTATTTGAAGCAAATCTTCACCTCGACATGACCAGAGTCGTGATCTTCAACCTTCCTCTATGGAATACTGCCTACCAAAGGACCACAACCACCACCCTTCGGTCACCAGATAAGATGGGATTTACGTACAACAGACTCGGTGATACCCACCAGCCGCTAGAGAAGCTTTCCGGGGCGGCACGGAGCGGGCAAGGCGGGTTCAATACCGCGGCCGCGGCTGCAACACCTGCACTTGATCTTTGGGAATGGGAAGTATGAGTGTTTGGGGAAGCATATTGCGTTTTTGGAGTTGAATAAGGTTTTCGTTGAGGTGAGTTTTGACAGCCCAGGGTAGGGGTAGGGGGTTATTGGCTGGGTTGGGTGACGATCTTGACAGTTGCTGAGACGCTAAGACATGGCGCCGATCGATGCCTCGAAGCCGTTGAAGGTTCACGACTTTGCTTTCTGGCTAGTGGAGGACTTTTGGTTGAAGGTTAGGCGTTGTGTTCCATGTTGGCGAGGAGATTACCACTTTGGTTCCTGTCCCAATAGACCGGTCCGGGATGTGGCGGAAAGTGGAGGGGCTGTTCGCGGCTTCAGGGGTTCGTTTGCCGGTATCCGGCCCAGCTCACGTTTGTTTTGGTTGATTTCAGGGGTGCCGTCAATTGCGGGGGAAGAGGGTTCGGAGGGGGTCAGTCCGCGTGTTTAGCGCCCCCTTAGGCTTTTTAAAGCGAATTCCATTCCATGTTTGGGATAGTCACCCTGAGAATGAGCCTTGGAAGTTGAAGCACCCCAACCCAGATTAGGGAGCTCCTTCGGAAGGGAGACATTGCCGTATGAACCCTTCTCCTTCACATTCGGCGGCAACATCAGTCACATAAAAAAAAAAAAAAAAACCAGCGTCGCATTCCACATGAAGGCTTCCAGGTTTGTTTCTGGACAGATATGGAGGCCTGAGAGAAAAAAAAAAAGGATTCACCAATCCCCACCCTTCCTAACCCCGGATCCTTTACCATTTTGTTACCGACATCAGCTGTATAAGCACAACATCATCAACACCACAACATCAACCCCATGGCCTCAACAGTAGGAGCAGCCGCTTCTCCTTTCATCAAAGCGGCTGTTCACCATGCTGTTAACGCCGTGGTCATCCATCTGGAGGGAAGGGCAGATAACGATACCAACACCAATGGCACCGCGAAGGTGATCCCAGAAGAAGATTATCACAGGTCTAGGGTCGCGCAAGTCAACTTTAGCTGCTGGTTCCTGACTGTCCTCGCGGCCTTGTTTTTGGGGTTGCGCATCTACTGCAAGAAGTATCGAGGACGTGGACTGTGGTGGGATGATCATGTTCTGATTATATCATGGGTATGTTGTCCTTCATCCTCATCAGCCAACCCCTTTCTACCCCCTTTCCCTTCCCTTCCCCTTCCCATTTAAAACAAAACCCCCCCGAAAAAGAGAAGAAAACACTAACAACCCCCAGATCTCCCTAACAACCTCCTCCGCCTTGATAACCTACTCCACAACCCTCGGCTTCGCCCTCCCCACTTCCCTCTTCAACCCCGACAACTCTATCCCAGTCCTAAACCACTACCTCCTCATAACCAACTTCGCAGGCACCTTCTCCATCCTCGCCGCTTTGTGGTCCAAAACCTCCTTCGCCATCACCGTCCTCCGCATCTCCCAAGACAGCTGGATCCGCTTCCTAATCTGGTTCATCATGATCTCCGTCAATTTAAGTCTAGGAGTAGCCGTGGCATTAACATGGGGCCAATGCGATCCGATCCCGAAAATCTGGCAGCCGTTTATAGCTGGCAAGTGCATGGACAAAGCTATTCAGATCCACTATAACATGTTCACGGCTGTCTATTCGGGCGCGATGGATATCGTCCTCGCTGTGTTGCCGTGGAAAATCATCTGGATTCTTGGTACCATGAACAAAAAAGAAAAATTCGGCGTCTTGGTCGCCATGTCCATGGGCGTCTTCGCTGGTGTGACCAGCATTATTAAGGCTACCGAACTCCCCGCCATCCGCGACTCGGACTTCACCTTTGCGAGCACGAACCTGGTCATTTTGGGCATCGCCGAGTCGGCGATTACCATCATGGCTGCGAGCATTCCGATTTTGAGGGCCTTGTTGAGGGAACATAGAGGTGGACCACGCCCGCCACCTCCTGCCGAATTCTACAATTTGGATAGTCTCGAGAATCAACAGAGCGATCAGATGTATGCCGGCACCAAACGGACGCAGGGGACGGGGAGGAGTAGTACGACTGTCACTACTAACCGGACGGGACGGAGTAAAAGGAGGGGCTCATTGTTTGGGAGTTTGAGTTTGACGAGGGGGAGCAGAAGCAGCAGCAATGGAAGAAACATGAAAGACGAGGAGGCTGGAAATGGACATGGACATGGACCTGTTGTGCATGTGCATCATGTTCATGCTGCTGAAACTGGCGGGCATGGTAATGGGAGGCCGGCGGTGATGATGAGGAGATTGAGTATCAGGTTGAGCAGTGCTTTCAGCGTTGGTTTTGGGACTGCGGGAGGGTTCGGAGGGGAAAGTGACACGGTGGTGCATCAACCAAGTGTCAGTGGTGAAAGCCATGGCGGTGTTGGTACGGTGGTGCATGTGGTTATGGACCCGCCACCGCCGGGAAAGATTGTGAAGGAGAGGGAGGTGACCATTGCATATGATCAGAGGTCACCAACCCCTCCGGATACGCAAAAAAGAATGTCGGAATGGCCTTCGTACCCAACCAAGGGCCAGGGGAGCGATGCCGACTTGGCAAATGTTCATGCTATGAGACCATGGGGTGATGATGATGATGATGGGACCAAGGAGTCAATGGGAAGGAGGTGATGTCAGCAAAAAGGTGGTTCGTTGTCAGCTTGGTGTTTGGGGTGTTCAACAGCGCTGTCTTTCCGTCATGTCACAGGATACCCGGTGTGATTTTACCATCTTGATTTTCAGTTATTGTTTACCATTACGATATCAATCAGAGATGTCCAAACGCTACTCCTTCAAATGATGTCGATGATATCAGTCCCTGTCGTCCTTATATACGTGTGGCCCAGTCTATGAACGACTCGCTTCCGTGTGCCTGCCTACAGGTATATCCGGTTATCCAAACAAATCTCAACGCACATACATCTAGTCTCCTATCCAAAATTCAAAAACTGACAAAAAAAAGTTTCAGACACCCGAGTCCACCTTATTATGACGAACCACCTTCCCCAGATCCGCCTTCCACTCATCACATCCACCGCGCAACTTATCCAACTTGTCATCATCCAGCATATTCTGCACCATCCCATTCCCGTCATCGATAACCATCTGCAACGCCAACCCCGCGCTGGCATGCCACGCAATGTGACAATGAACCAGCCACACACCGGGGTTATCCGGCTTGAACGCCACCGCCACGTACCCGCCCGCGGGCGCCATGATGGTATCGCGTCGCGGCGGGTTATCATAGTTCCACGTGTCTCGGGACGTGGCCGGGTCAAACGGTTGCTCGCTCTGGGCTAGCAGAACCACGTCCGATCCATGCCAGTGCATCGGGTGTGCCAGGCGCGGGATGATGTCCGGGTTTAAGGTGGTTTGGTTAGTCGAAGGCAATAGGGACCCGTCGATGACCATGTGGATGAAGTCAGAAGAGTTGGAAGAGTAAGGGAGCCGGACGACGTTGTCGTTCTTGCCTTGCCCGACGCTGGTGAGGTTGAGGAGCGAGGGGGTGCTGAAGTTGGCGAACATGGGATTGTGGAAGTTGATATCTCCTGATTCTTCAACTGCGGGGTCTAGACGGAGTAACCAATGGGTGTAGTTACCATACTTGACTTCAGATTTGGTCTGGTGAGCAGCGTAGAAGGTTGAAAGGGCAAGGTTGTTCAGCGGGGTCTTGGAGATGGACCAGGGAACGATGGGGCGGAGGGAGTCTTGCTCGGATATGCGGGCACACGAGTAATCTGCAATATTGTTTTCGGTTGATTCGGGAAGGGATAAGTACGTGGCGTTGGGGATGTCATAATGCAAGATGCCGGTCCGCGTGTCGAGGGGATCCGGACTCGTGCTGTCGGTGCTGTCGAAGTCTCCGTTACGAAACGTGTTGCAGCCATCCGCGGGCGTGGTGCGAATCCAGTAATTACCTGCAGCCGAAGGGTTTTCAAGGCCATGGATGATGATATCGTAACGTTGGCCTGTAGAATAGTTGTTTGTTAGTCTTTGATAGGGAGAGGAAAAAAAAAAAGGGGGACAACAAACCAATAGCGACAAGAAGCGAGTCAACAACCTTTGGCTTGACAGGCACTAGATCATTGGCAATAACCTCCATCGAGTGTCCGTCCACAGAAAAGATAAACGAGGTCCCTGTCGCCCCATTGATTAGTCGCAAACGGACCCTCTGCCCTGGAAGGATTTCAGTGATGGGGTACAACGATCGAATGTCTTGGCCATCGTAAGCAGACACCGCTGTTTTGTTTCTGCCAACACCATCCAACAAGATGTTGTCTGCCTTGGCTCCACGGACCTTCGGATCCTTCTCGTTTTCGAACTCTTCCATCGCCCACTTGTGCACCCAGTCCGTCATGAAGTGTGGCAATGGGTAGGAAACGTCGTAGGGGGCACTGGCTGGGCCATGGACTACGAGGGGCCCAAGGACGCCATCGGCGTACTGATGGAATTTGTTAGCTTCAACATGGGTTCTGGGAGTTGTCTGATCGGCAGGCTTACCTGCAAGGGGTAATGGCTATGATACCAGGTTGTCCCATACTGCAGCATAGTAAAGTTGTATGTCCACGTGGAACCCCTGGCAATAGGACACTGCGTCAGGGCCACGCCGTCCTGGTCGTTGTTGTAGTACTGACGAAGACCGTGCCAGTGAATGACGCTGCCTTCGTCGTCGAGGCTGTTGGTGACATGGACGATGACCGTGTCGCCCCAGCAGGCTTCGATCAAGGGCCCGGGATATGTGCCGTTGAAGAGACGGGCCTCTCGAGGCTTACCATCGGGGGCAATGGTGTGTTTGGCAATGTCGAGGTGATACTGAGTTGACTGTCAGACACAGGCCTACGTGTTGGTACCTCCGGAGAATAGGACTCAACGTACGTGTCTCTGAATTCCAATAGGAGCGTAGTTGTCATCTGTTTAGGTACAGGACCAAACGTCGCCGGGTCAGCATAAGCCGAGACAGAGTTTAGCATAGATGATAGAATGTGAAAGCGGCGCACTTACAGTCCGTTGTGACGGTGTATCCCTTTCGTTGAGTTGACTCGTTCGTTTGAGCTTGTCTTAACCAGCACCATCTACTATCTACCCCGCCGTTGCAACCTTCCCAGTCCTGCGAGTTTAACTCGGGATAATGACAGTAGAAGCCCTCGGTGGCACCTTCGGGATGAAAGTTGACATGGTTGCTTGTCTCGTCCCGTTTGAGGTCGTGCTCTGTGTACCGACGAGGCAAGCGGAGGTCTCGGTAGCTAGAGCTGTACGACTGACCGAAGTCAATAGCCAATATACGCTGGCAGAGGACAAGAACACAGAAAAGAGATCGGAATAGGTTCAGGCGGCAGGCCATGCTTAGTGGGTTTTGTGTATCGTAACGTGTTGACTGAAGTGCAGATATAGCTCAGATGGTAGGGAGATGGCGATGCGTGAGATCCAAGTTTCGGAACCAACGCTACGGATGATCGACCAGCATGGAGGTAAACAACAGAAGGCCGACAGAACAAGACGAACCCAAATAATGCAGAGATACAAAAACGATGACTTGCTGAGTAGAGACAGGGTGGTTAGAGATGCAGAGAAGACGGGAACTAAGAAGAGAGTTCTTCTCAAAACGGCTGATCACCAACACCTGCTTTATAGTTCAAGTCGTCCGCAGAGACGCTTACAAACGCATCGTCATTTTGTACAGGAAAGTTGCAAGAACGACGGCGAAACCTGATTGTCGTGGGGCTTCAGTATCAGTTCAACCCGATTCGGTGCCGCGGGTGCATAGTATTGGGGAGGACTCCTGCAGGAAGGGAGAAGAAGGTAAACCGAAACAAGACTCGGAGTCAGCGGCATCGGATTCCATGTCTTTCCCTTCGTATAGGTATATTCACCGGAATCCATGGAACCCCGACATGAACTTGCACCCTTTTCCTTGTTTTTTCTCTTCAAGACTCGGAGTCAGCGGCATCGGATTCCATGTCTTTCCCTTCGTATAGGTATATTCACCGGAATCCATGGAACCCCGACATGAACTTGCACCCTTTTCCTTGTTTTTTCTCTTCCGTCTCCGGCGATGTTGCTCCATCTCCATCTGCAATGCACTTTCCTCCAACATCACAAGCTCAGAACCAAACAATCACATGTTCAGACGGCCGTATCCAACAACCCGAGCCCCTCTTTATCCCACCAAGCAGCAGTCATACCTGCATGGGTTGCCCTCATGCCTTGCCTGCATATGTGCCTCTTCAGCACCAATCCTGAATATCCACTCTCAACCTCAACCCTCGTCACTTGTCCGCATCAGCCCTCGGCGCCTTAATCCATCGTGACAAAGAAAGGCGAAGTGTGTTCATGATCGGGTTGAATTGGATGCTTTCCAGGAAGACGAGGTTGAGGTCGGCCACGGCACCCAACCCACACATCGATCCTCTCCCCCCTCCCTCTCAACGACTAGTAGGCACAAACCATGACCGGCAGCCTCAACATACTTGACACCACAACAATATCCCCATCACCACTCCTCAACCCCATAATCTCCCCTTTACTTCCCAACTCCCGCATCCGCATCCGCCTCCGCCTCCCTCGCCGCCGCCAACACATCCCCCGCCGCCTTAACACTAATCATCATAGTCGGCACACTCGGGAAAAACCCCGGCACATTCGGAAACGCACTCGCATCCACGACCCTCAACCCTTCCGTCCCTCTGACCCTAAACTTGGAATCCAATACGGCCATCTCATCCCCCTCGGCACCAATCTGACAGCTCGAAGTCGCATGATGCGAGTAAGCCTGCGTCTTGAAAAACTCGGCCTGTTGCGCCTCCGAACAGGTGCTGTTGGATTCTGAGGAAGGGCAAGGATGGAGCTCGTTAAAAGGCAGGACCTCCTCCCCAGCCGCTTGCCAACTCTCTCGCAAAATGTTGGCGGCGGAGACGAGTTCAGAGAGATCTTCATCCCCGCCGTGTTCGAAGAAGCGGAAGTTTATCTCGGGCTTGTCTTGCGGGTCGGCTGACGTCAACCTAACGCTCCCGTCTTGAGAACGAGGCTTAACATGCACCATGGCACAACTAAACTGCTCAGCACCATAATAAGTCGGATAACCAGGCCAGAACCCCTCAAAGCTGAAGGCGCCGCACCAAGCGTAGATATTCCTCTTGGCCGTGGGCGCGTTGGGGGTGCGGAAGAGGATGGTGATCAGACCGGATTCGATGGGGACTTTGCCTAATCCGAGGACCGAACCTTCGTAGTTATCGGTAAGACCTTCGCCTACGCCGGGGGAGTCGACAACTACGGAAATGTTGAATTTTTGGAGCTCGGTGGCGGGACCGATGCCGGAGAGTTTCAAAAGTTGGGGCGTGTTGAAGACGCCGCCGGAGAGAATGACTTCGCGGTTGGCAAAGTATCGGTGGACCTTGGGAGCGGTGGTGCCGGGGATGTGTTTGGGGTCGGCGCGGTAGAGGGAGGAACCTTCCATTACTTCGATGCCGATTGCACGGGGTTTGGAACCCGTGGTGGTGTTGAACAAAACTTTGGTGGCGAGCGTGTTGAGTTTCACGGTTAAGGGATACTTGGCGGGGTCGGCGAGGGTGGCGCGGATGTAGTTGTTGGGACTGGCGCGCTTGCCGTTCTTGTCCGAGTGGGTGGCCATGTTGAAGAAGGAGGACATGGTGTCGCGGTTGGGAAAGTCGCCGAGGAGGTCGGTGTTGGCGAGGTCGGCTACTTGGGACGGGTCTTGGCCGGTCAGTTGGGCGAGACGCTTCATGATTTTGACGGCTGGGTTGCTGTCGTTTTTGGCCCAGGAGGGGTCGGTGTTGGAGATTGCCAGCCAGCCTAGTACCGTCGTCCTTTGTCAGTTCCTTTCCTTTGCAGTGTCAGACAGTCGCAACATACCATCATGACCATGCGTAGCATCATCAACACCCGCATACTCATTCCTCTCAATCCTCTTCAAATACTCCCTCATCTTCCCCGCCTCCCAACTCGCATCCCCCGTCAAATTCACAATCCGATTCCAATCATCATCCTCCGGCAGACTCGCCACTCCCGCATTATGCATCGCACACCCGCCCAACACCGCAGCACGCGGGTACTGAATCCCCAGCAACTTGGCGCCCTCGGGCGGGTCCAACCCGACGTAAAAGGTCCCGTCACCCGTGTCCCAGGTGGTGTGTTTGAACTTGAGGTCGCGCGCCGCATCGTCCGAGTGCTTGACCCAGAAGTCCCAGCGCGTGGTCTCGTCGTTGGCGGCCTCGTTGAAGTTCTGGATGTCCGCGTAGGTCGGGTTGTCCCATTGGTCGGTGCCGGCTTCGATTAGCAGGGTTGAGTAGCCGGCGCGGGCGAGCTCAGCCGAAAGGGGACCGCCACCGGGACCGGAGCCTACGACGATGTAGTCGTAGGTGGTGGTGGGGTCGGCGGCTGCTGCTAGAGCAGGGGCGAGGAGGAGGGAGAGGAAGGAGAAGCGCATGATGACAGGAAGAAAAGGGGCAGTTGATGGAAGGAAAGAGAGGAGTGTGCGAGACACTCAATGGTGAAAGGTTGGGAGGTGAAGATATATGCTTGATTGGATCTAGATGAATGCTACCTCGTTAACTGCAATACAGGACCCCAGGCAGCGGGTAAATCTCGTGGTCTGGTTCCGTTATAGTGAGAGGGGCTAGAGCCTGGTATATGTTTCCGAGATATTGCAACCACCGTCCATTCGCCTCCTCGGGTGTCCATCGTGTATGGCTAAAGTGTTGTGCTTTGACCGATGACAGACCCCTGAATCTCCCCCTACTACACGCAAATTCTTGAGGGTTTTTGTCGTGCACCGACCAATGGGCCGATTGACGATTGAGGAATCCATTTTGCGCTCGCCGAAAGAATATGATGGCGGTGGTCTCCTCGTAAGAAGTAATAATAAACCTTGGCGAACGTAGAAATGGCCTTAGATTGCGTCGTTTGAGAATGTTCGAATGAGGGGAAGTGGCAGTCAATGCGAGCCAAGCCCGGAATGTGACGCCGCACGGCACGGGAAGAGAGGTTGGACGAGCTCGGAACGGTATGTGGCTAGGCCGCAATAAGTCCGGGGGGCGAGATATGCGGTTGGTTCCTGGTCAAAACGGTCTGCAGTTGTTCCGTCTGCCGCGAGTGTAAGTAAAGTGTAAAGCCGGATGTCGTGTAACCTGGGGTAGGCCTCGGCGTTACTCGACCGTTGAAGCGAAGCGCTTGACGTGCCCTGGAGGGACGGTAGCATCAAGGGCACCACAGCCATGATGTCCCCTCCCCCATCGGTCTTCTTCCTTGTTATGGAGGGTGGCTGGAGTGAGCCAAGCCGATGATGGCACCAAGACCTCGGCCTTGGGACTTTCAGAGTCGAGTCTTTCCAACGCAAAGTTACTCTCCCTTCTCCAGCTCAGGCAAATAAACACCCTCAATCCGCCTCCTCAACACCCTCTCCGCCCCAGCAGCCTCCACCCTCCCCTCCGGCCCGCCTCTCATCATCTTCCCCACCAGATACATCAGTTTCCCTTGGGGATACGCCTTCATCTTCCCCTGCTTCCACCGCAAAAACTCTCCCAGCACCTTCTCCTCGCCCTGGATTATTTCGTCAGCCAGCTTCGCGTATTCCTCCTCTGGCAGCTCCTTGAACCATAAGCTGTGGGTGTCGATGTAGCTGGTGATTCCATCCTGGGGAATCTCACCGCGGTAAACGGCCCAGAGGAGGTCCTTGGCGACTTTGGCGGTGATGGTGCGGGAGTGGAGGTGGTGGAGGATGGCGGCGAGAGAGGAGGAGGGGACGAGGGGGGATTCGCCGAGGGGTGTCATGGCTAGGCCCTGGAGGAGATCTGGGTCTGAAGAGGAGGAGGAAGAGGAAGAAGCGGAGTCGGTGAGCTTGCCGAGTTCGTGGAGACACCAGTTTGCTGCCAGTGTTGCATGTTCCCCGCCTTCTGGGATGGCTTGCCCGTCAGCGGCGAGTCGTTCCTCAAAGGAGTCGAGGACATTGTAAAAGTATTGGATCCTGGCTCCGCCATCAAGCAGCATCAAGGCCAGCGCATCCTTCGCGCTGAGGTTATACCTCTCCATCAACTGATCCGCCTCCTGATCCGGCAAAACACCCATCGTCTCCCTCAACCTCTGCACCAACTCCTCCCCAATAACCACCGGCCCCAAATCCGGATCAGGCATATACCTATAATCCACCTCCCCTTCCTTCCCTCTCAACCGTCTCGTCTCCGTGCTGCCCAGACTCCACCCCCTCGTCTCCCCCTTCACTTCACCCCCGTCCTCCAGTAGCTTAATCTGCCTATCCCTCTCGGCAATGATCGCGTCCTCGACCGCCTTGAAACTACTCAAATTCTTGATCTCCGTCCTCTGTCCCAGTCCGCCCTCACCCGTCCTCCTAACAGAAACATTAACATCAGCCCTCAACCCGCCCTCCTCCAGCCCGCTCACGCACGCATCCACGCTCCCCAAAACCATCTGCACCTTCCTCACCAACGCCGCCGCCGTGGCCGGATGATGTATTTCGGGGAGGGTAATAATCTCAATCAGCGGAACCCCCACCCGATTAAAATCCAACCACTGCACTTGGATTTCCCCCGGCTGCGCCGTCGTCTTGGCCGTGTCCTGCTCCATCTGCACCTGTTTGATGCCCACTTTGATCTCGTCCCCATCCTCGGCGGCGATCCCGTCCCTCTGATACAAAGTGATGTACCCATCCCTGGCAAACGGCTCGTAAAACTGCGTGATCTGGTACCCCGCCGGCTGGTCCCAGTGGAAATAATGTTTCCTGTCGAACCTGGAAACGGGCTGGACGGCGCAGTTGAGAGCCAAAGCGGCGCGGACGGCGGGGATCAGAGTCGCCGACTGAAAGAGCGGTTGGGAGCCGGGCAGGGCGAGGTCGAAGGGGGCGACGTGGGTGTTGGGCGGCGTGGAGTTGGAGAGGGAGGTGACGACGGTTGCGGGGGAGAAGAGCTTGTGGGCCGTGTTGAGTTGGGCGTGGATCTCGATGCCGACGGTGAGCTCCCAGCCGGGGACGGTTTGGTTGTCGCTGCTCTTTTTCTTTTTGTGGCCGGACTTTTTGAGGGCTTTGGCTTGTTCTTTGAGTTGTTTTCGGAAGGGGGCGGCGGCGGGAGGGGGGGTGGTCGCGGTGGTCGCGGTGTTCGTTTCGGTGGTCAGGTAGCGGGCGTGTTGACGAGGCTGAAGCTGTCGCGATGGGAGAGCGTTGAGAGCTGCGCGCGCATTCTTGCCGGGAAGTACGCGGGCTCGAAGGCAGCCGGGAGAGGCGATGTGACCGGTCAGTAGGTATCTACTGAGCTCGACGGTGGGGATTCGAGGCATGGCGGGCGATATCGGCGTTGCGCCCTCGTGTTGTGACCAAAGGCTGGAGAAGAGGAATTGGGATGATAAATCGGGAATTTGGGAATTTGGCCGGACGATTGACGGCGCTCCCCTCAGGTGGTCATAGCTCCCGAACCGTTATCGTTATCGGCGTTCTCTTATCACTTACACGGGGGAATTGTCGGCTACAACCCTAACCCCATTTGCTCTCTTAGCAAAGGGGTCAGGGGACATAATGATTGAACACTCAACCATTGTGATGAGGATTGATGTGTTATTGTATTACCAGTTGTTTAAACAAGAACAAATGTTTGCGATGCTTCGAACTCCAGCTGGTGCTAACAAGATGCATCTAGAACGGTCTGACAAACGCTCTCCTCACGGACTCCCATTTGACTAAAGCCACTCCTCCATGACTCCGTGCACCAGACTCTTACCTTGTCACAAGTGTCCAAGACCAAAACTTCTTCCAACACTCCTCCTCCCACCCCATCAACAGTTCAACACTCCTCGTTTACTCGTCCTCCACCCCCTCCGGCCACTCACACTCCCACACCTCCTCACTATCCAATGTATCCATAACCTCAGCCAGCCCATCCACCCCGTCGCCCAGCTCCCTCACCACCTCCCCCCTCACCACCGCCCCCCTCACCACCGCCTCCCCCGGCCACGCACAAACCTTTCTCTGCCTCTTAACCCCACTAGCAGCATTCAACCCAGCCTTCCAACTCGTCGCAACCAACTGCTCCACCTCCCTTCCCTCCTCCACCCACTTCCTCAGCGCCACCAGCGCATCATGCTCCTCACTCCCCTCGAACCCAGGCACCGACCATAATCCCGAACCCATAACACCCGCTTGGAACGCCCCGCCAATGTTCCATGGCGCGTCCACACCCGCTGGACTCGCCCAGCAGTGCTGCAGCCCCGGGATCAAAAAGAGCTTGAAGAACTCGGTCGTGTTGCGCAGGTTCTCCATGGACCCGCCAAAAGAGCGGATGGTGCGGTTATAGTACAGTTGTGAGCCCTTGGTGGGGACGAGGCCGTCGGCTAAGCCGTGGTAGAGAATCACCTTGCCGCCGCGGGATTTGAAGGCGGAAATGTCGTATTTGTCTGCGGTTGCGCGGCCGGGGTCAATGCGCTCGGCGAGGTCGACGACCGAGTCGGAGTAGGAGGCGGTGTAGTTCCAGGTGGCGTTGTCGAACAGGAAGTTGCGCTGGTAGCCGACGCCGAAGGGGGAGGGGGTGCCGTTGGTGTTGCCGATTATGGTGAACCATTGGGCTTCGGAGCCGAGGGTGAGGCCGGGGTATATGAGCTCTCCTGTGGCTTCGTGGTAGTGAGAAGAGTAGACCTTTTCGAGGGTGTCGATTTGGGGTTGGGTCAGGCAGGATGCGGTTCCGTTGATGGGCGCGGTGTAGTTGGATGGGCAGAGGAGGAGGGAGGGGTTGAAGGTGCAGAGGTCGGGGCGGCTGATGATGCCGTCTTCGACGCCGTCGGCTAGGTCGCATTGGTGGACTACTTCGTCGGCGACGACTTGGAGTAGAGGCGTCGGGATGTAGTAGTCGGTTGTGTTGGGGAGGTTGTACAGCCCCAGTTGGGTGATGTAATTGTTTAGATGGGAAGTCCACCAGGCTGGAGCACCGACAAGCACGCCGTCGAAGGAGTCAGGGAATTCTTGGATCTCGCGGAGACCCTGGCGGCCGCCGGTGGAACAGCCACTGTAGTAGGAGTATGTGATGTCGCCGCCGCCATAGTAGGCGGCTGTGAGCTTCTTTCCGAGGACAACGGTTCCATGAAGGGCACGCCATCCCCAGTCGGCTTTCTTTTCAGGCTGTTTGAGGGCCCAAGATGTATCGGTTGCAGACCCGTTGTGGCCTAGGTCAGACGAGACGGTTGCCATGCCGTAATGTGTACCGGTGGCCCTGGAAGGAGACGGTTATCAGCTGCTGGTTCCTCCACGGAAAGCACAAATGTGGTATGACGGTTTCATAGTTGATTGCCATTATTGACAGGCAGTACTCGTAAGCCCTTCAGCAGAAGGGGAAGAGCCATGACAAAAAAAAAAAAAAAAAAAAAAAAAAAAAAAAAAAAACATCAGCACATACATGTCGAGCCAATTGATCCCCCCCGCAAACCCTCCATTCCCAACAGCAAGAAACCTTCCACTCCACTCCGTCGGTAGGAACAACCCGAACCGGTAGCTACTCGACGGCGAGCTTATCACGCTGATCGTTACGGCACATAGTGCAGGAAGGTCCGTTGGGTTAGTCGGATACGGAATATTTGCCTTTCCTTCGCCATGGCTGCCGCCCTCTAGAACAGCCGTGACGTTCTCGAGGCTTGCTTCGGGCGGCAGGATGCTGGTGAAGAAGGCCTTGTTGCAATTAGGTGGCGTTGGTATTGGTTCTGCCGGTGCTGTTGGAACTGGGGCCGCCGAGCTGGAGGTTGGTGGCGGGATATCACGTTCCCACCATCCTGATCTGCCGGGTACGGCAAGACCTTGGATGGCGATAGCGAGGGCAACGACGACTCCGGCAATAGAGGCTATTATACGTGTCATTATGCAAAGAAGTAAAGAGATCAATAACGGTCTTTTGTTGGGGAGATCATCAAGGAGAATCAGTAAGAGGATAATAAGGGGGGAAAAGTTTGTTCAGTCCCGTGTATAGAAGTTATTGACGATATTGACTGATGAAGTAGACCGGGTAGAGGACATGGGTACCCGTTCCGAATGTGGTAGACCGAACTTGGTACAGTAACGTCTACATGCAGTACGGCTCCTCGGGGTCCAAACAATGACATCGTGAAGACGGGTGGCCACTTGGTGTTCCCTCTATGAAGGAACTGTATGACTTACCAGCTGCAAAGACACCCACCGAGGGTATCCCAAATCTCGAAGTGGTATCGCGAGATTCGGTTGGCCGTGGACAGGCGTCCTGGGGTTCGTCTAGAGAGGTGAACCTTTCTCCCATGACTTGAAGTGGTCAATATACAGCGTAATCCGTGGCGGCTTCTTTTATGGTTTGTCATCAAGCTGGACGGTCGGGGTGGATGCCGACCTGCCCAAAGCGATGGGACTCCGGGAATCAGCAAGCTGACTAGCAGCGTGGCCATGTGGCGGGGAAGCAGCTCGAGGACAAGCTAATGAAGCAGAAATGGCAGATGCCGTCACTGGGCTGGTCATGCGGTTTTGACGATGAACCCCAACTACCAGCCTGACCCATTCTAGGTCCTTCAACTCCGCCTTCAACGTTGGGCTCGGTTGAAGAGGTTGAAAGGGAGCTAGCTCTGGCGACCTTGGGTTGGGTTGGAATGAAGCTGGATCCTTGAGCTGTGGAAGCTTGATACTACTCTTCCTGGAAAGGGAAGGTAACACAGCTTAACTCCTACGGCTCAACCAATATCTTGGGTCGTGCTAGACAGTTTTCCTGGTTGACGAGTGACGAGTGACGAGTGACGAGTGACGAGTGACGAGTGACGAGTGACCAGTGACGAGGAAGGTGAGGAAAACAAAGGTTACAGCTTCGAGCGGGGAACATTGGGGCTGTTTACTGCTACCAAGCAAGCAGTTACCGTATAGTCTCGCGCAACTCGTATTCCAGGACAGGCATAATCGTGCGGATTCTGTAGGTTTAAAGGATTGCCAGTTGCGTTTGGCTGCAAGTACGTGGCTGTAGAAGCAAATGGCAGAGCTATAACCCTGCGTTGCCGGACTGTCCTGGAATACGAGTTGTTCGAGATTATACGGTAGAGGTAGTTGGAGAAAGCTTACCGGCAGGTAGGAATTGGGGTACAGCTCGAGTCCGAGGTAAATTCGCTGCCACTGGTGCATGATCCCTCTCTGTCACCATACGTGCCCATTGTTGATCTGGTCCAGACTGGCGGTAACCTGAAGGGTGCCCCCCGCTTTCTACCGCGTGGTATCCCCATTCTTGCTTCATGTTCCGTTACTGAGGAAACCTGGAGTCTTTGTTAGTTTGGTGTTTGGGCCCCTTGGACCCCAAACCAGAACCCCATTCCTCCGAACCCCGACCGATCTCATGGAGGTTACTGTCTGCTTCTTGGACCTATCTCGCCGGGACTGCCATGTCTGAAAAGGATATCGCCCCTGTCCACGAGCTGTACGCTTGGGCGGATGAGTGAAGAGAACTCCACTTCCACGCTTAAATTGCTCTGGGGAAAATGAACCTTTGTATGCCGCTATGACTTGCTCCCAAAACTCGATTGTCATGTGCTGGTGGCATCTCAATTAACTGGTGACCATGACAATTGCTATCCAAAAAAAAAAACCGGATTACGACGTTCGAATGCTTACCTTGTCCATCAGCTGCGGGTGAATACGTAAAAAAAAAGCTTCCCTCTCAAAGTCTGAATAACCGGACCTCCTGTCCATTACTTTCGCGAAGCAGCCTTCGGTTCTTGTACCCATACCAGACACGGAGCCCAGCCGCTCCAGCCGCAACCATGAGAAGCATCCCCGCGTTGGTCCAGTGACCAGTGGGATATCCTCGAGCTGCCTCCTCTTTCTTGTAAATCCAAACACCGGGGATTTGGCCGATGCCACCCCCGACACTCACATTTATTGCAATAGCAAGGCCTACGGAAGCCGTACTGTAGACATTGGATGAGAGCCATCCCAGCATTGGGGGAACACAGGCAAACGAACCCGCCGATGCAAGGATGAGGCAACCGTATCTGTGTTGGTAGGCATCTACTGGTAGCGTGACCAACGCTATAAAGCCTACGGCACCAATGAGCGCAAATACGGCGCAGTGAATACCGCGGGCGTTGAAGCGGTCCGCCGACCACGAAACAACAATCTGTGTCACTGTAGGTATTTCTGTCAGTGGAGTGTCCCGTGGTACCCAGATATGCATGGACTAACCATAAGCTACCGCATAAGGTGGAACGCTCATCAACTGAGCCCGGAGATCTTTGTATCCCAGTCCGGCAGTGATGGATGGGGTGAACAACGACAGCGAGCTGAAGGGAACCGAGACTCCAAAATAGATGAGGTAGTGACCGTAGAGTCGCCAGTCGGAAAGCGTAGTTTTGGCGTCCTGCCACGTCATACTGCGATGATGTCTCTTGCTCCCTTCTACCTTGAGACGAGCTAGCGCAATTTCGCGTTCTCTTCCTTTGAGGTGTTCCTCTGGGTAGTCCGGTAGGAAAAAGAGGACAAAGAGTGACGAGAGGCAAGAGGGTGCGCCTTCGATGATGAAGAGCCAGCGCCAGGCAGATAGTCCGCTTGCGCCATTCATGTGGCCGATGCCGTATGCAATTGCGCCTCCGAAGGCACCGGCGAGCGTGGCGCTGGCGAGGATGGAGGCGACCCTGACACTCCGCTCGTCGGACTTGTACCAGAAGGTAAGGTAGTAGACCAACCTATCAACCGAGATGGTTAGCGCTTTGAGGTGGTTAAAGAGCCAAGTAGGAGTACCAACCCCGGGAAAAGACCGGCTTCAGAAGCACCAAGGATGAACCTCACGGCGGCCAGAGCGTGAAAGCTTTGAACACCACCGAGGCCCATAGTTATGGCACCCCATGAGAACATAAGGAATGCGATCCATCGCGAAGGTCGCAGCTTCTTGAGCAGAATGTTGGATGGGACCTCGAAAGTGGCGTATGCCACCAGGAAGACCATCAAGGCGATGTTGAACTGGTATTGGGTGGAATGGGTCTCGGTCTGCATATCATTGTGTGTCGACGAGTTGAGAATGCGGGCGTTGCCGATATTGGAACGGTCGAGATAGCAGAGGAAGTAGATGGCGGCGCAAAGGGGGAGAATGGTCAAGTCTTGTTTACGCAATAATGCTCGTTCCTCGGCTTGAGAATACTCGAATTCCGGGGTGAACTGGTAGAACTTGGCTCAGCATGTTGGAAGATAAGACAGCGTGCGATGGACCTGCTGACCTCGTTGTTCCTGCTAACTTGGACCCCGTCCAACTGCTTCTCCTTGTCTAGATCCGTTTCTTCGACCGAGTGAGCCATGGTGATTTCTCAAGCTTCTGATCTTGTAGACAACAAATGTTTTGATGTTCAGGATCGTGGTAAGGTTGTCGTGATCCGACGCTTGATGGGCTTGCTCACTGGTAAGGAGCGAGAAACCGACAGGGTGCATACCCTCGTGCCCTTCTGCGCCATTGCGAGCTTTTCAAAGTCCCATTGCCTAGCTCTAGCTTCTAGCGGAACATGATTGGATCGCTCGGTGAGACTTGTGTTTCTTCGAGATCAGATTGTGTCACCGTCAGGGTCCTCCGATGTCTCGAATCCCTGACGAGTAGCTATGGCAATCTGGAACCAGACAATATTGCGCCCTCAAGACTGATGCCAAGTTCCCATTCCTGCATATTGTTTAAGAGGGTATCGTGAACTGGAACAAATGGACGACCTGCCGCATCTGGAGCTTTGGGGGCTGGTACCTCTAAAGGTAGGTAAGAGATAAATGGGTGCGGGGGAATGAACTGGAGGAGTCGAAGGAGAGGGAGGGGAAGAACCAGAAAGTGTACCGGAGATGTACTTGGGAGGAGGAGGGCCGAGGTACCGTCAGTGCGGAGAGGCTGGATCGCTACAATTTCCTCTATCACTAACAATATCGTGTCCCAGTATAGGGCATCCTTCAATGACGTTTTTCAGGGGCTGAAAAAGGGTGTTAGAGGAGAAGTGAAGAAGTGCAGTTTCTGTATGGTTCCTTGGTTTGTCCCGGCATCATTCTGATGATGAAAAAAGAGAATGATAGTGTTCAGGTCACAGTCTATTCTGTTAAGGCCTTGAGTCTATCCCGAATCAGCATCGCTACGGTGGGGAAATGGACACTTTCTCCGCCCAGCATTGACCGGAAGAGGGAAGTCGCCAAGACGTTGCGAACATCTGGTCTCCTCAGACTCGAATGGCTTCCACTTCCTTTTCCAAGCGTCCAAATGACCTGGAGAATGGAAAGTGCAGAGTTTGCGGGTCATGCAGACGTTGAGATGCACCTTCCCGGTACGTATGTGCCGTGCTTCTGCTGCAACAGACTGCAGTTAATTTGATCCACCTCCCCACCCCAGCCTTCCTTCCCCAGTTGACCACCAACCGGAGAGCCAACTGCGACTTCAATCTCTGGTCGCCAACTCTGACTCGTCCATCTCAACATGGCAATATGGATGCGCATTCGGCAGTTGTAACACTGGTTCCCGAGCACCAACTGTCCAGGTTGGGTGTTCTTGATATTGCAACGTTGGATCCCGCCCATGGTCACTTCGACGCGCCAGCGAACCGCGACTGCCACGGATGGGCAACGTGATCATTGATGGTATATCCAATCCAATTATGGTATCCAGATACTAACAACATAAACATTACAGCTTCAGCGGACGAATTACCCTTGGCTTCTTTGGCCTTCGAAACGGATGCGCCTCGGTGTTCAGAACAAAGTCATCGAGACTGATGACATCCGGCGGCGAAAAGGCCAAGTAGAAATACTTGAGCGTCTCGGCTAACCAAAAGCTCTGCGAAACACCATGTCAGCTGTCATCCCAACACATCATCACCAGGAAAAGAAAAAGAACTCACCTCCATGTAGTCCTCCTTCGGCAGAGGATATTCGGCCTTGGTCACATCCAACACGGCCGCATTCGCAAACTCGGTTTCCGTCCCATTGCTCACGGCCTTGAACATATCCCACGCCGCCTCCTGGAACTCCTGCCTGCCCGTAATCCTCCACATAACAAAGACGCTCTCAATCGCCTCGGGCCGCAGGATATATCTTGGATCCTTGGCCGTCGTGAACCCCTTGGGCAGATGTTTCTTCCACTCGGGTCTCTTCTTCTTCTCCCTCTCCCACAACTCCTCATTCCACCGACAACCCGCATCATCCGTCGACTGACAAGGCACCATATTATACCTCTCGGGCATCATCCCCGTCGGCATCGCCCTGTAAGCGTAAACACACCCCTTCGTGATCTTAACCCCCTGACTCTCCACCCACTCCGGCCTCCTAAATAACTTCCCACTCAACCCATATATCCCTCCCACAAAACACCCCAAATGCTCGCTCTCCGGATTCAGCAACATCTCCTCCGTCCCATCCACCGTGACATCCGCCGTCCCAATCATCAACACGTCCTCATTCCCAGGCAACATCGGCCTAAAGAACAGCGCTTTATCCGCCGCCTCCAGAAACATTCTCGACATGCCCTCGTACCTCGCCTCCAGCCCCCCCGTAAGCGCATACATTTTGGGCAAATACTCATACAACGAATCCGCGCAACCAGCCACCCCAAACTGATTCCCATTCACCACATCCTGTCTCGCCATCGACACGTAGATAGGCCACAGCCCCGGAATCCGCGTGGAATTCTGCCCTTGCTCAAAGACGTCCATCACGCGTGACGCAGCATCGTAGTACTTCATGTCCCCCGTCACCTGGCTGAGGCGGGTCATTTCCAGCGTCAGCGTTCCCGGGCTTGCACTCACCACACTTGCCTCAACATCCAGCCCTTCTCCGGTCTTGGCTTGATCGAAGTTGATAAAATCCACCGGCATTCTGTGTTCGGTGTTAAACCCCGCGTATAACAGATCACCCAACTCTTTCGCTTTCGTCAGCAAAATCACCCTCCCACTCAAGTCATACGCCGCCAGCAACCCCCCCAAATACCGAATATTCGTCTCAAAAATATTCACCCTCCCATTTGAATTTCCTTCCTTGACAACCCCAAAATCGATCCCCGCCACGGCCGATACCGCTTCATCAAACTCTGACCGAAGGCCCATGATCCAGAGCGTATCCAGTGAATCAACCAGCGTGGCTGCCCAGCCCGAGAACTGGTCTTTATACCCGCCGGAGATGGGTAGTAAAGCGTCTTTCTTCCAGGCTAGTTCCCTGTAACTCTTCCAGTTTTTGACGAACACGTCTTTCACTGCCTTGCGCCGGGCTTCGCGCACTTTGCGAGCAGCTGGTGATTCCGGTCCAAAATGGTGCTGCACGGGGGGAAGGGAGACGGGGCGACCGATTGGTAATTGCCGGAGGGGTGACGGTGGGGGGTATTTGTAGTCGAGACTGCTCCAGTCGAAGGAGGTGTTTGAGACTAGTTTGGACTGGGAGGAGGAAGAGGAGGAAGAGGAGGGGAGGGGGGAGTTCATGTGGTGCTCTAGCCAGATGGATTCCGGTATGCCGCCGTGGTGGGGGTCATAGGGGCCGGACCCGGACCATGGTGCCGATGAGGATGTTGACGTGGAGGAGTGGAGGAAGTAAGCGAGGGTGAAGAGGATGAAGAGGGCGAGGAAGATGTGTCGACGGCGGGAGGGGCGGAGGTGGCGGGGGATGCTGGTGGAGGGGAAGCGCGCCATTGTTAGAGGTGGGTGATGTTGATGTTGATGTTGCCCGTGGTGTCGCCCGTGATGTTGCCTGTGGTGTCGCCCGGAGCGTAGAGGTATGTTTAGCAGGGCGTGATGCCGCTGGTCGCTGGATATCTCGCGATGACCATAGGTGAGTTTTTCTTGTCGTCCTCCTCTTTTGACTGTGATCTGTATTGTTTGCTATCCAAAGGGGTGTCAAGGAATGATAAGAGTCTAAAGAGTTCAATCACACAAAAGATACTGAAGGAAAACTGAAGTGAAAGTTGAGTAACAGATCAAAGAAGCCTTTGTCTCATCAATGATCACTTTGTCTCATCAATAATCACTTTTTGTCGACCCTTCAACCCCTTCAAGCTGATACAAACCCCCCTGAGCGCCCGCTCATTTACTCATTTCGTCTTAGTGGACGTGGTGCCGCCGCCGCCACATACTGTTTGGGCTTCCGATTGACCACTCAGCTGCTGTAGACAGGTTCCAAGCGCACAGTACTACGCTTATTTGCGGCATGTCTTACAGTGTGCCAAGGCGGGTAAATCTCGTGAAACGAGCTGTCGTTTCTTTGCGATGTAACCGTGGAAGACTGGCGAGAGATGGCGGTGGTGAGGGAAGAAAAGTTGGCGTAGGGCTGGGATGGGATGGGCTTGGCTGGGTTCTCGACAAGAATAGGACAGAAATGGTGGGCAAGAGGAAGAAGGGGGAGATGAGGATTTACTGTAGATCCCGGGGCCGGGGCTCAGGATTCAACGACCATCGTCTTTTGGAACGTCAAAACCCCACGTAAAAGACATCGAGACATTTGACTCATTAGTGTTCGATGGTACATACTCCATTGTTGACCGAATGCCCGCATGGATAAAAGCTGTCATGCTAAAGGTACTCATTCTTCAACTTCCTCAAGGCTCGCTAAAACAGCATGGCTTGCGTTGCAGCTAGCTGTCTTTCGAACCACCTTGAATGGCCTCAAGCTTCCATTCCAACTCCTGATTACCCAGTGCATCCATCTCCGTTTCGCCGTACATGACGCTCGCGATTCCACGCCTCACACAACTCCCATGCACACACAGCCCGGCTCTCCTCTCCCTCAGCTAACCAACCCTCTCCCATCGTTCCATCAAAGAGACTCAAAGCCCCCCGTCAAAACACCCCACAACCCCCGGCTTATCCTGCCCGTATTCCATCCCTTGCCCATCCAAATACCTCAACACCCCACACTCGGCCACCAGCTCAATCCTTGCACAATTACTCGGCAAACTAACCGTCCCATCCCCATTCGACTTGACAAACCGAACCGGGTACTGCGGCCGCGTGTAAACCGGATCGGTCTCGTTACACACGATAAACGTGCCATGTTGATACAGCTCCGGCGCCTCGCTATCCGTTACCGGCGAGCCGGGAGCAGTGGGTTCTTCAGCCTCGGGGGTGCCAGGACCGGCAGAGGAGATGAAAAGACGCGGGTGACCGGATGGTGAAGAGATGGAGATGGAGGGGGTGGATAGCCCGAAGAAGATGCCCAGATACAAAACGGAGGGGAAGTCGGAGTCGTAGATGCCGCCTAGACGGATGGAGAGCGGGAAGGGGTTGGAGTCGTCGAGGGAGATGCCGCCGGTGGAGTTTTGGTAGTAGATTTGGTGCGGGCTGGAACTGGATCTTTCGGCGATGGTGTTTGAAGAGGAACCGGAGGCAGTGGTGTTGGGTTTGGCGAGGACGGCGGTGCTTTGGCCGGCGCCGACGTGCACGCCGCGGAGGGACCAGTGGTTGATGTCGTCTAGGAAGAGGTTGCGGGCCATGTCGGGGTCGGTGAGGTTGGCGACGAGGGCGAAGCCGAGGGCAGTGGAGGTTGGAGGTTGTTGAGAGGTGGGGGAGGAGTCGTCTAGATGAAGAGGAGTGGCAGTTGTGAGGGCAAGGGCCGCGAGGGCGAGGAGGATTTTGGTGAGCATGGTGACTGACTGGTATACCTGTTTTCTGATATGCTGCTTTGTGGTATTGACGAAGGCAGTGTGAGGTGAGTGCAGATGATGGATATCCAGTCGAGTTGAACGAAACCCTTGGATTAAAGGTAGGAAGGGAGTTCTTGGTTTATATCATAATGATGTCCTCGCGATCCAGCTCTCCAGGTCGCAGTGCGACAGATATTGCGCCCGAAAGGGTCCAGGACATCACTCGAGGAAAGAATAACCGCTCCGACGGCAAGTCTCCCGTCGGATGGTTTCAAGTCGAGCCGCGAAGCTTTTCGTGGGCGGGACCGATGAGTATAAAAGTCCCCTACTTTGAAGCAATCCGAGCTGAAGAGAGAGCAATCGTGATGGTCGATGGAACCCCGGAAAAGATGCGTTCAGACATAGCTCCCGCTTCGCAGTTTCATTGGCGCAAAAGGCGCATCTGCGTAACGTTCTTGCCGTGGTGTTTTGGTCACCGAAGTCCATCTCCGGTTGCGGTTTAGATGAGATGGGGATTCGGGCATGACAAGACACTCGTTGCCGGGGTTTCGGGCGCGAAAGTACCTCGGTCATTGCCGCCCAAAATATTCCATCATCCTTCGGTCGCTTCTTGCGGTGGAGTTGTGGTACCTTGATAGTCGCATTTTGACATTTTGTCTCAAGTACTTTTTCCGTCTCGGAGATTTGGAAAGCGAGATGGAATTGAGATGTTGAGAGACGGGATGACAGCAAAGATGGGCGGGGTGTCGGGCAGCTGATTTCAACACTGACAGCTGGCCAATGTGCTGTCACGGCGACCGGGGCAGCCATTTACACACTAACAGCTCATCACGTTGAAAGCTTGAAATGCTGTTAGTAACTTGATGGGAGTCCAGATGTGGGGGCCGGATCCACTGATTGGACCAGCATTGCCGGCCGAGACAATAGCGCTAGCGTTCAACGTCGGTCGTCGATTCGCGCGCCTGAAGTTCGTCCAGCTCACTTGTGTTTGTTGATTCTCAAGTGTAACAAAACATCACCATCTGGGGCTGTTATGGTGAACACTTGGAGCGACATGATGCGATACCAATGACACATAGTACTTAGGCACACACGCGACAGCCATGGAACCTTCTCAACTTTCCACAATGGACTCCGATTCTGAACAGTCGCAACCAACAAGTCCAAGCCAGGACCCCGCCGCCGCCGAGACTCACCCGGAAGCCGACGCCGACAACGACGCCGACTCTCTCTTCGATGGCGAAACACCTGCATTCCAGTCTCAAACTCAGAGTCCCGCCCAAGTCCAACCTGGGGATCAAGGCAGTGATGACCAAGGGCCTGGCACTCAATCTCATTCTGAACCTTCGAGTCCCGCGCCTGAGACGCAAACACATGCTCAACCTGAAGGCCAGCCAGAGACTCAAAATGAAAGCCAAGAACACACTCAACCAGCTCGTTATGGTAGTTCATCTGATGAAAGTCGACCCCCGACTGGGAATATCTCAACCCCATCTTCAACAGGAGCTCATCCAAACGGTCATCCCAACACTAACACCACTGCTAACAACGGTCCTCCGCGCCCACCTCATACCAATCTTCATCCTCGGCCAGCACCAAGTCCTCACCCCAATGGCATCTTTGGACTTCTTGGCCCGCCACCCCCCGATCCAGGCCCAAAGCCCATGCCTCCAGCACCCGCTGTCCATGGACCCTTCACTTACGACAAAGACGGCTTCAAGGCCCTGGGCTTCAAGCGGGAGACGCCCTACAACCTCCACATGATTATGCGCGATCCCAATGCCGCCCCGCCCATCGAACCCGTCGCCAAAGCCTGGTTCCACGCCCAACTGATACACTACGGCATCCCCGTTCACCAGTCTCCCCTCCGCGCCGAGCCTCTTCCTGGGGACTTGTTCTTCGCTCTAGAGACGGCCCTACGCAGAGAAACCATCAAAGAAGGCAAGCTCCCGCCTGCTGACATTTCGACCATTGAGTACAACCTCAGGAGACAGTTCAAGGACATCTACAAACAGTACAAAGAGGCATTCAGGTACTGGGAACAGCAGACCTTTGCACGCTGCGCCACCCCCACCGACGAGATCAACTGCAGCCTCGACCTCTTCATGGCCAAGTATTTCCTCAAGGGCACCAAGGGCCGACCTGATCCCAGGAAAACACGGTACCCCATCATACTGCACAAACTAAACGACTACGACGGCACCCGCAGCGTTGTCAAAGCCGTTCCCGGATTGCGGTCCCACATGATGCCTCTCTGGTCCGTCATTTGCTGGGAGGAGTACGGCATCGAGAGGGCCATCGAGGAGGCCTTTGCCAGCATTGCAGCCTCCCATCCGTCCATAACCATCCATGTGCCTACCATGGAGGCCCATTTCCACATCGACTACTTCCTGTCCAAGTACTGGCTTACCGGCTTGTACGGACGCCCCATGCCCATGTTGACGCAGGAGCCCGTCGTCATCGAAGGATGGTTTGGAGGTCCCGATATCCGGAATATCCTGACACAGGCCGTCCTTCGCGTCCCGGACCTCCGTGTCTGGGCTTTCATCGGCAACGGCATCGACAAGACGGTTATCGGCTGGGGTGATAGGCCATTCCAAGTCATCGAGCACCTCCGAATCACATCCATGCACCAACAAGTCGCAAGCGCTGCGCCGCAAAGGGTGGAAATCCAAGGTAACCCTACCTGGGAATTGGCACTTCAACCTCACTTCCGCTTGTGTCAAGTAAAGGCCGACCTCTTACAGACGAACCCTCAGCAAGCATATGAGCCCTTCGAGATCGAAGAGCTGGTTGGCTCGTGGCTGGTCCAGTGTCCCGCCCTGGAAGATGGAGGATGGGGAGGACGCCCTGGCGAAATGACCATCGACATCCTCAACTGGCCTGTCGACAGCTACGGCCTCGTAGCTTCCATCAACCTCAAAGTCGCTCTAGGCACCATGATCCTCGCCAGATCGGAACGCTTGCTGGACGAACTGTCAGCCTACCTGCTCCACGACCCTGAGGTTCTGCCACATATACCCCATAAGAAGCGAAGACGAGGTGATGACTTCTTCGTGGAGTATCCGCGACGGAGATCCCCCTATGAGCCCATGCCTCCCCTGCGCATCTTCTTCGACTGGATCGGCCGGCGAACAGGAGAGTTTGACGTTGAACTAGACATGGATCCCGCAAACAGGAACAGAGGCTGGGTGGACATTGACATGAACAACAAAGTTTTCGGCAAGGGGTGGCTGAAGTACGTCAAGTTCTTTGGGAGGGACAACCCGGTGGCATTCTCGATGTACAAAATGATGGATCAACCCAGGAAGATGCCAGAGCAGTGGAGTAATTTCAGGCCTAAGCAGATGGAAGCACAGCTGCAGAGACAGATGGAAGAACAGCTGCAGAGGCCGATAGCGGAGCCGAAGGGGATCATGGTCACTTCCAAGATACCGCCACCGGCGTCGGACCACACGCTTCCACCACTACCACCGCCACGATCAGGGCCACCACCACCGCGCCCAGCGCCTCCACCGACGGACCTCCCTGGGTTTCAAAGAATACGACCAAGAGAACCTCCTCAGGGGATACAGATAGGAGTGCATACCATTCCGCCCAAGAAGCGAAGAGGACCGAGAAAGGGGTACAATAAAGCGCCGGCTGCTGATGTGGCTCAGCAGCAAGGAGGTAGGGAGCCCCGTGAGGGAGGCGATGGCCAAGAAGAGAGGGATACTTCCACCTCGACACCGATGGATGGTGAGGGGCATGAAGAGGAATATGGGTCTGAAGAGGACGAGGAGCAGGAGGAAGGGGAGCAGCGAAATGATGGGTCACGAGAGGATGTAGAGGAGGAAGGCGAGGCAGATGAAGGACAGGCACAGGAGCAGGGACAAGCAGAGGGGCAAAAAGAACAAGTGGAGGGACAAGAAGAGGAGGAGCCAGAGGAGGAGGATGCACAAGAGGAAGGTGAAGAGCAGGATGATGAAGAGGACCTTGAGACATATCAAACACCAGCGGAAGAGGCACCATCAGCACCAGACGCAAAGGAACAGCAAGGCTGCGGCGACGGACAACAAAAACAGCAGGAGGGACAAGAAGTGGAAGGTGAACACGACGAGGAGCAAGAGGATGACCAAGAGGAGGAGGAGGAGGAGCAGGAGGAGCAGGACGATCAGGAGGAACAAGGAGATGAGGAAGGGAAGGACGACCAACCACAGGAAGAGGAAGACGGACAACAAAAGCAACAGGGGTCGTCCGCTCCATAGAATGGCGCCATTGACTCTACGATCACTTTGTTTCGGTGGATTAGTTACGATGGGAAAAGCGCAAAGTTCACTCGAGCAACGTCTTGACACCAAAGCAAGCCACAACACTACAATCCATGTCTTTTGCCCATAACCCGCAGCTACCCATTCATTTTTTCCCTTTGCTTCCCGTTCTTTTATTGATGATATACTTATACAATTCCATCCGCCGGGCATCTGGGCCCGAGGACCTCTCTGCCTCATCAACTCCCATTACTCACGGCCCTGGGACAATCCGACTGACTATACCTTTGAACTTCTATTTCTTCATTGTACCTCGTCAACTCTTCGCAACCTTTTTTTTCTTCTTTTTTTTCTCTTTTGCCCAGCGCATAATTCGACTTTTTACTTTTCAAAGACGTCAGGATGATCGGATGGCCTTTCTGGGAGGTACGTACCAATGCCCTCCCCATACAGCGTTCGGAAGGCCTTTTTGTACCTCTAGCTGGGCTGGCTGTTGAGACTAGTGGAGTCTCGCGGTTGACGATCTTGGTGGCCGCTTCGAGATCGCCGGTATGGCACAGTGAACAGTCCGGGAGAAAGTCGGGGTGATGTAAATGCGCGGTTACGGTCATGGTTATGGTTGAGGTAACGGTGTTGATTAAGAATGGATAGCAGAAAGGGTTGTGGTTACCTAGTCATGGTTCTGGTGGTCGGAAGGAGGATGTGCGAAATTCTTAGGTAGAATGATGATTTAACTGACACAGCCAGGCTCAGGCATAGTACCAGACTGCTGGTAAGCACTAAGCGCTCGAGATATTTCATCGCTTGCCTCCGCCGGGGACCTAGTCTAGTCAGTAGTGATGACGGTGGTAAAGAGTTATTAAGACTTGGTTGCTAAGTTCTCATCAACAAACGCCTGAGCAGTAAATGGGGACCACACACACACACACACACTTTACCAAGCTTGCAAGATTTCGGTCGAACTCTCGGTTTTTAAGGTACGTAGTAGGACCATACCTCTGAATAGCTATAATAATATGAAAGGTATGAAACTACTTGAATTACCTAGCACAATGCTTCTTCTGTCGTGTATACCACCGGGAAGTGGAATCTCGCTGAGTCCCATCTACTGTGTATGCACATCCACTTATGTCAGCTCCAGTTAAGGCATCTATCTTATAACCACAGGCAGGAACACTATAAGCACCAACAGCCAGAGCCAAAAAGAAGGAAGCAAGAAAGGAAGGAAGGAAGGAAGGAAGGAAGGAAGGAAGGAAGGAAGGAAGGAAGGAAGAAAGAAAACTTACACCCATCCATCAATCCCCTCCTCTCCCCCACCTGATCCCTCACCTCACCCCACACTTATTCCCCACCTGTATCCCTACTCTGCGTCCCGTCTTCAGCTGCGGACAATTGATATTACAATTCGAGTCCATCCGTCGCCTTCTGCAGCGCGTTATCCTTCCAGCCAAACACATAATCGCCATGATTTCCGTACCCCGTCGCGTCTCCCTGGGACTGGCTTCACACGAATGGCTGGCTGAGTGGCTGGTGCCGTCCGTCCAGTTGGCCAAAGCGAACTTGTCGTTGAACTTGGAAGTGTCCGTCCCAGATGACTAGGTAGAAAGAGCTGCGGGATCTTTCACCGGGTGGGTGGAAGGGCACTCAGGGACCGTTACTCTCAAAAGTGCCGGAGGAGGGGTCGAAGTTGATACATGCTTTTGGCCCCCCGAGCACAAAATCCGGGGTAAATCTGGCTTCCGGTTATACGTGCACGATGGGGCCCAGGGGAAACGTCCGAGACGGCAGCGGTTGATTGAGCGGAAAGGCGTTCTCCGCATTTTACATATACTGCAATGTCGCGGTTCGTTCGTTCGTTAATGTGTTGAGATCAGCCGTTACGCCCCCAGGAATTGCTCCCGAACCAATCCTCTTCGTCCCAGCAGATTTGCCGCAAGACACAAATTGTACACGCAATTCTAATATCAACGGACAGAAATTCCACAAGGTGAAGAAAACGCGAGACTCACCGGAACTTGAACTTATAAGCCAAGCGTCGCCCATTCCTTCTCAACTCTCCCCAAGAAAACAACCCCCTTTTCCCTTTCGCCATCTCTCAAAACTACAACATTCTCTGAACAACGCCACCCAAAATGCAGCTCACCGCCCTCCTCCCCCTGGCCTTCGCGGCAACTGCCCTCTCCCAAACTACAAACCCAACCCTCCCCGAAGGCTACCGCCAAGTAATCCTCAACACAGTCTGGAACGCCAAGTTCGCCGTGCAAGCCCAAACCCCCGTCAAGAGCGGATCAGGCATCGTCTTGTACACCGTCGCGGCAACCAAGCCGAAGCCTGAGCAGCAGTGGTGGATCAAGGATGGGACTACCAAGGTGCAGTTGGCTAATACGAACTTTTGCTTGGATGCTGGGACTGGTGAGTTGTTTCTGGTCTTTCAGCCTGTTACGGTGGATGTGGAGAGGAGAGAGATGAGAGAGCGAGAGAGAGAGAGAGAGAGAGAGGGAGGAAAGTCGGAGGGTGGTAGGAAAATGGGTTAAAGGGATGGCGATAAGGGGATATGGCAAGCAAGGGCCGAGAAAGATGCCGCAACGAATGATACCGCGTGCACTTTACTGACAAAAGAGTCCGTAACAGGAAGAAGCAACGGCTCCCCCCTAACCATCCAAGACTGCGCCGACACCAAAGCTTCGCAAAAGTGGCTCTATCAGCCCGAAGGATACCTGGTTCTGGATCAAGCCTCAGGCACAAGTACGTCACCTGTATCTTTCTCTACTCAGGATACCGTAAAAGAATGGTTAGACTGACACGCAAACAGAACTCTGCGTCGACCTCTACACCGGGTCCGTAAGGGATAACACGAAAATCGTGCTGTGGCAGTGCATAAACGGGGACAAGAACCATCAGTGGAAGGCGGCGAATGTTACTACCACCCCTTAGGCGGTCAAGATTTATGATGTAAATGGCTGGGCTTGGGACAGGAGTAACTAGGTAGGGAAGTGTTTAAGCTGCATTGATGTACCTCTTGCTTGATGCAGAGACGTAAACAGATAGATCATGAAGAAAACCTCATGAGGAAGAGAGAGAGAAATCTTGCCACCATTTCTGGAGAGAACCCGGACGGACCTGCGACCCGCAGTCTCCATATCCCTTGACTCCCGTCTCACTTTGCGGACATCCCTTAGACTAGACAATCGCATACCGGCGAGCTCATGACTGGATAGACCATACTTAACCACAGTGTGTTCCTATCACCGGCAATTCGGCATCACCCTCGACGAGTAAGCCGGTCCTCTCCAACCCTCCAACTAGTGGTAACCATTCAGTGGCAAACACCAGACTGGCAGCAATACCATGCTCACCACTTGATGAGTGGTCGTCCCAGAAGGCGGGCAGCATCAGGCTGTCAAAGCTGAACCCTGATCTGCAACACTGCAGCAAGCCACCTGCGGTCTAGACAGGTGCATGCTGACCCGTGTGTTGACAGCGACGTGAGATGATACCTATGATACGCCACAGATCTTGGAGAAGTAGGTATCAATAACGAATGGTAGAAAGCGACGAGACGCATAGTGTACAGAAAGCGGCAGTGTGTGGAAAGAGAAAGTGCATGATCTGCTACTAGTGGTGGATAGATGTAAATGGGACTGCATGTGTGAATGCATGAGGCTGAAGGGTAACTTAACAACTTCATTCTGGGCGTGTTGCAGAAGGCATTGAAGCCCTGGTTTTGATCATAGGATCAAGTTGAAGTACGTTTCCCACTCACGGGCTTCCGTGGTTTTGGCGTCTTGGAGTCTAGACTCTGGACACTTTCTTGCTCGTTCGAGGGCAGGTATTAAACTGTGGATCACCTCGCTCGAGAAATGGCTCCTCGAAGTTGGTGTTGCTGTTTAACCATCATTCATGTTGCCTGATTTCCCGCCGTTCTTGATAATAGAGATACACTCCCAGATACTCCCAGAATGTTGAGCTACACGGCTACTGTCATCCTTACCTGCATCAGGTTCTTCGTCACTCTCCCGTATCAACGCCTCTTGATCTACAACACCGTCCAACCAGCACAAGAGATCAAGAAGCTTGCTTCTTCTGGCTTTAAAACCGGTACGACCGAGCGGGCCAAGTTGTGGATTGTGATCGCAGCATGGCGGCAACGGAAACGAGACGAGCTGCAGTTCGTGGCCGTAGCGGTAAGCAGAACCACGTCTTCGAACCATCACAAAGGCTGGAATCAGTTACGGCCAGACCGGGACTCAATACTGATTTTGTGAACATGAGTCTCTGTAGGCCACCGTCATGACGGCGATCATCACGGCCTCCTTCTCTTGGCCCAACGTTCTTAGTTCGCACTGGACCGGCCCCGCGTTCTGGTATGCATCGCTATCGCTATGCATATCCGCCATCTTCCTCTCATCGCAGCAACTGTCGCTACTTTCGCTCATCGAGAATAAGGATGCTTCGGAGTCCAACGTCGATAAACCAGAATGCGAGAGGCCATCCGCTACTCTCACCATACGGCGACATCTCCGCCAGATACTGATCGAAAAGATTGAAGTGACACAGAAGAAGAACAACGATAAGCCTGAACTGCACACGGGGGAGAAGTCGTCGATGGTTATGACAACCGGGAGCGTCGGAGCTGGTGGCCGTCTTGGTGCCGGCCGTTTCAAGCCCACTGACATTGAGGCACAACACGAAGCAGGCGACGTGACGCAGATGCAGGAACATGCCAAAGAAGTGGCGGTTGAGGGCGCAGATACTATCACTGAGGTTCCCCCCCCGAAGCGAGTGTCGATGCCCTATCAACGGTCGAGGAACAGCTGACAGCTCCTAGCTCGACGCGATGGACGTTCAGTTGGAGAGTGATGTTCGTGTGGCAATGTCCAATAATGCTTATTGCATATTCGACCGTTTTCTACATGGTTGGCTTGTTTGTCGTCGTGTGCACTCCGGTTTTGGAGGTCAGGAAGTGGGGGCTCGACTCCTATGTGGCGGTTGTGTACATGGCTTCTTTGGGGGTATCGGTGTGGCTGTTTGGTTTCTGTTCATATGGCGCCTACGATTACATCCATGATAATCATGGCCCAGGGCGGCATTTGCTGGATGAGCTGGCGCAGCGCATAAGCATCCTTTCAAACGGGGTAATTCCTAAGCAGAAGAAGACGAATGTATCAGCGTAGTAGCACAGCAGCTGGGAAAAACTAGACTGAGGAAACGGATCGGATTTTGCACAAGGGAGGGGGGTTGGCTTCGATGTGGCACCTGATAGCTTTCCTAAAAGAGTCAATTGTCCAGAACCGCCGTTGAATTTACAGACAGCTTCCATCTGTGTTCGTAAGGGTCAAGACGGAGCCTCGTGTATTGCTTTCGTACCCATTGGCAGCATCTGGGTGGGTGATAACTGAATATTACAAAGCTGGGTCTCTATGACGAGGCAGGTTCAGCGAGCTGGGGGTGGTTTCCGATCCCGTTGGTACAGTCGAGTCCGAATCAGGTGAAAGCAATGTGAACATCAAGGGTTAAGTGTTCGTTGGTGGATGTATGGCGACTGTTTCGATAGTAAACCGAAGTTGATGGGGAGATGCCGTAATCGTGGGCGTTTCGAGCTCCGGTTCAGGATGAAAACAGGAGGAAGTTGGAAACAGAAACAGAAATGGAAGTTGTGGTTGTAAGTGGAGGGCCGGTGTCCCCACTCTTATTGCTTGTTAAGTGGGGCAGTCCAGGAACGAGTGGGTCACCCTACCATTTGACCCACCAGCCGTCTCTAAACTACAGCGGGACAAGCACTGAAGCTCTCACATTGTCGTCATCTTCTTTTCACTAGACAACTTTAACCAAAAACAACCACCACAAAGAGAAATGATGAATCACCACCAGGAAAACACCGAATCGCCCAAGACACCAATTGCGACGTGATCACAACGATACCATTTTCTCTCTCCCTGTCCCGAACTTGCGAATCGACGAAATCATCGGCGCAAATCCGATACCGATGCACCTCGCCCTGGAGCTGAAGAGACATGTTGCGAATCAACTCCCTTGGGCCGATCCCGGATACTTCATGGGGCTGAAAGGTTCGAATCATGGTGACAACTTGGATATCCTCCAATAACCGCAATCGGCTTTGGCGGCAACAGGCAGCGAAGCAGGACCGAATGGGTTGCCGAGTTTCTCTACCGCCAACCATACAGTCGGTTTGGCAGCAAGATGGCAGCGCCGCAAGATTGGCGAAGGGAAGCAAAAGATATCTGACCGGCGCGCACTTCCCGAAAATCTACCCGTCCTAGACCCTTGGACCGTTGCCAGCTTTGTGTTGGGCGTCGTCGGATGGCACAGTACGCCAGGGTTCACAAGATGGCTTACGGAAGAAAGGTACGTACCTCCGCTTCCTTTCCCGCTTCCAAGAGCCGATAGGCCATCAACACTTAGGCCTCCAACAAAGGATGCCCTCACCCAACCAGGTTCTCGGGTATTGACCAGTTGTGGCCTTGGAGCTACCCATTTTGCAAGACTAACTCGATTTCTTAGCTACCGGTTGGCTTATCCGACCTGCCTTAGACGAGGCACATGTTATTTTATTGTCGATGTTGACGCCTCATTATCCCGTTTTGGATATTTGTCAAGACATCGGCACCAATCGATTCTTCGACCGGAAAGAGAATGCCTTCAACCTGCCCCCCAAGGTTAGAGATTCCACGGAATCATGGCCGATATAAGAGTGCGTGTACATTCCCCCACCAATGCTGTCCTCCCTTCCCCTCTCCTGGGTTCATCTCGTCGTCCATCAACACAATATTTGTCGATCTGCACAAAGTCCTTGCTTTCTCTGTCCATTCGCCGCGATACCACAGAATCATATTGATAGCTCTTGCTCAACAACGAGCTAACATTCTCTCCACGACATTTTCTTAGGTCCAACCATTGCTCTACAGCGCCCACCAACATGACCACAGACGCTGTTCAAGACGGTTCCAGCCCGGAATCAATGCGCGCGTCTCCATCTCCAGATGACATTATTGCAGCATTTCTCGAACAACAGGACGACATAGTAATGTACGGGCAGTCCGATGAACGCTTCGCCATGCCTGAGGATAGTTTTACAAGTCCCTCTTTGGATGAGGACCCCCGTGGCCATCATGAGCAGGCATACACTGGGGCCAGGCTGAGTCCACCTTTGAGGTTTTTGGCAGGATTCCAACCGCCCTCCCAGCTACCGTCTCCCCCGGAATCCCGTTCTGGGAGTCCATCAGGGGGTGATAAAACTGCGCCTCGTCATCGTCGCACATCCTCGTACCCAAGAAAGACAGGCAGACACGGTGGTATTCATGTTAGGAGGCACACCACATTGGGTACGAGTTCAAAGGGGCACATGGCGCATACTCCCATGGTTCCACGCAAGGCCGAGGATTGGGAGCCGTGGAAAAATGTTATCCACCAACTGTACATTGTGCAGAACCACATTCTCAAGGATATCATTGTCATCATGGAAGATACCTACCGTTTCAAAGCAACGTAAGTAGTACTTGTCCCTGGAGTTAACTGTGCGGGAATTCCTGGGCCTGGTCAATGACTAACAAAGCCGCCCTACACAGACCAAAGATGTACAAAAACCAGTTTGCCAGATGGAAATTCTTCAAGTATGCCATAAAACGACGATCACGTTCGGGAACGGACACGTGTTCTGGCTCGGTTTCTCCTGAAAGCACAGGAGAACCTTGGATGGCCGATCAAGACCACCAACCTGAAGAGATGCAAGCCGGTACTGCTGTCTTCCGTGTTGATTACGATAGCCCCGTTGACGCATACCCGTCTCACTACCTTGAGGACAGTCCCTCTGTATCTCAGGAGCCATCCTATCGCTTGCAGTCTCCTCAGGACGAGCTGGTCGCTTTCTGTCTGGACTCAGAGTTCTCCTCGTTAGCTCAACAGATCATCATGAATGATCCCGAAAGCAAAGAATTGGGGACGCGGTGTAGCAAGGGCACTTTCGGTCCTGACTTTGCTCAAGGCTTGGAAGGTCTATACCATAAGGTCGCAGCCATGACAGGCTCGGGTCAGTATCCGGAGGACGTCCTGAAAGCAATCCAAAGCATCTATTGCGGGTGGATGAGCGACTACTACCAATCAACGCAACAGTGGTCGGAAATGATCGAGTGGAAGAAAAGTGGACTGTCCATGACTTCAAACCAGCAGTATGTTGCTTGCTCTATACGTCTGGAGGAGCTGATGCGAGATCATGGGTTATCTGAAGATGCAGAGGAGTTAAGGAGGAGAAGGATGAATATTGGGTGGCTTATGAGCGGCGTGTTGCTGGGTTTTTCTGGAGCTCTATCAGCGGGAAGATAATATCCTCTTGACCCATGAACAATCGATATCCTACAAATTTTCATCCATTTCGCACCATCGAGGCATCGTAATGTTGCCATCCAAACATGCATATCTCAGACCATGGAAGTGACCAAGTCCCAGGCCAGTATATAAACCCCACCCCCAGCCCTCATCTCCGTACACCAGCGAGTCATGTTCTCCACTCCTTCTCGCACTGCCTGAAATCCCAATTGCGCCTATGGCGCAGTGGGTTGCTCTCGGCGCTATTTAACTATATGCGCACGAGCTCATCCGATCGATTCCCATCGGGAGTCATAACGACTTGTTCTTTCCAAAAAGATTGAACACACCGGTTTGTTTGCCTCACCCGCAATACCGGAACGAAGAAACCAAGGGTTTGCCGGCCTTTGTCGCAACCTGACACGACTACAGCTGTTGAAGTGGTTACAACCTAACCCTCCTTCATTGAAGCATAGGGACTTGGGAATTGTCCTGTTGATCAAAAACTTCAACCAAAACAACAAAAAGACTCTAGCATGACGGTCTTTTCAAAAATGTCATGGAATGAAGAAACCTTACTTGGCGGAAGGATGGGGGATGGGGTTGTTGGTGTACTTTTTTCCCCATTTCTTTTTTTCCTTTTCCACCTTTTTTTCTTTTTTTTTCTGGTGCCAGTCAGAACCAAAACCTTCGAACCCTTTCAGTGGTGATATCACTTTACCGCATACCACGTGCGGCACGAGGTCCGGCAGATACTACCCCTGACGGCTACCAAGAGTTTGGGTTCGGTTGTGGCGTTGACGTGATCTGTCAGATTATTAGGGCATGCATGGATGGCCAGACTTCTGGTCCAGTATGTGCCTCCCTGTCTGTATAACCTTATATACTGTATATGCAGTGCAGGAATCCCCTTATAACTATGGCTCGATAATTGGGCTGTCTGACGATATTACTGTATGAGGACTAATCTCCTGGAATCACTGGTTCTTGTACTTAAACCCTAGCACCCTCAAAGAGGACTGGAAAAAGGAAGACCAGAATCAATCACTTTTTACTGCATATCTCTTTGACCCACTTTACGTGCTTTCTGACATGATCATACAGCGGGATGATGCGCTGGGAACCGTTTTTTTTTTTTGGGTAAGGTCTTTGGAGGCTGACGCTTGGAGACACTCGGCGATAACCACTCTTTGCAAGACTTGGAGGCAATGTCAATCTTGGTTTCCTTCGCTAACATCGTGAAGGATTTCTTTCCTGTTATTAGAGAGGGATTATCCGACAAGATTGTAGCCAGCTTTGAGTTCGAAACTGGATGTGTAGGGGCAACCGGCAAGCTCAGCGTACGCTCTGTCAGCGACTGGCAGTTTCATCAACAACATGGAAATAGGAATGGGCTCGGCCTAACCATACCCACCGAAGTGCGGCCCAGACACGGCATTGCGCAACGACAAAATTGATGAGCATTGGTGAGACTGGAATTTTACTATAAGAGGTTGACATCAGTCTAGAACGGAGCCGAAGGAAAGCCAAAGGATAGCCAAGAATGGACCAGCAGAAAACCTTTACCACGGGTCTAATCATTCCTAGCGCAGAACCTAAATATCGAAGATCTCTCATCTAAGATCGATTACATCATCGCTCGCTCGCTCGTTCGTTGGCCCGGAAGCCATCACGAACATCACTTACACGGGTTGTTAGTGGCTTGTTAGCAACCAGTTAATGACTGGTACCTTTCCGTGCGGCTCTGAAGATTCCAGGTCCAGAACAGTGCTTTTCCCCGAAGAATAACACATTTCAATGTCCATCACCACCAAAACCGTGTCTTTTTGGCGTTGATACCTTCACCTGGTGATGATGTATCGGCCGTCTGGATGGCGTGATATAACACAATCAGCGCCAAGCCAGGGGTTCAACCGACGCCGTCGGAGCGGGTGTGGATCACTGCCGGCCGCGGAGACGCCCGCTAAACGACGGCGCTAAGGAATCCACACCGGGACGGTTTCCTCTTGAGTCCCGATCGGGCCACTTTATCGGCTGGACGGGTAGGAGCGAGTTGTCTAAAGCTAGTCTCATTTACTCAGCCACCTACGCATGGCCCTTGCGTTTCTCTTTGTACCTGCGGGTCCAAATGGTTGTGATATCCCCACCACACTTACCCACCCACCAATTATAATGTCACACCATTTGGACCCATAGGGTATAAAGAGACTGCGCTACGTGTGGCGGCGGAGCGGATGGGGGCTGACATCGGAGTACGACTGTTATAAGAGACTATCTAAAGCGACTTTCCCACCCTCAAACGCCTTAACAATTGCCAAGACTTTAATAAGCTGGCTATAATAACCAAACAAACAAACGGTCAAACACACGCACATATTATAAAATATCATCTTTTTACTCAATTGCTATACAGAATTGAAGCGCTATATCACCTCTTTCATTGTATGAAGTAAATAAAGTAATTATATTAATTAATTAAATTATCGCGATAATGCCTTCCAAATCGATTTTGAAGAATTAGAAGCGGACTCGTTGCGCTAATATTACTACGGTTTATTTCGACGAGGATTAGGGTTTGAATTAACCAATACGCACCTCCACCCGCCCTACAAAAAAGAGTCGTACTCTCATCAAATTTAAAGGAGAGGAATCTATTACTAATTTATTTAAGAAAGTTACTCCTAAGAATGTTGCCCTTAAGAAGGCTCCTAAGAAGGCTCCTAAGAAGGTCGCCCCTAAAAAGGCCGCCCCCAAGAAAAAGGCTATTCCTAAGAAGGTTACCCTTAAAAATAAGAGGAAAGGGAAGGCGCCCGTGCTAAAACCCTCTTTAAAATTAGAAACGGCGTTTTTAAAGACTGAGGCCGAAATTACCTCCGTACTATCCTCTCCGCCTATACGGTTAACCCCTATCGAACTTTTTAACAACCCTGATAACGAATTTAATAATGACGAGGAAGAAGAAAAGGAGGATAAGGAGGAAGAAGGGGAAAAAGAGGAGGAATAATAATTTCCTAATTTCCCTATCCGCTTTACCCCTAAAAAGAAAGCTATTAATCCTTTATTTTATTTCTCTAATAATAATAAAAAGATAATATCCCTAATCTGGGCGCTTTTAACCTAATTACGTACTCTAATCTAACCGCGTACCTATAAATAAATTACGCCGCCTTCCAAACTTAAACCTAAGCCCGCTCTCCCTTTCTATATTTAAATAAAATTTACAATTACGGGGTTAAACTTTATTGCCTTTAGAATTAAGCCTCCCGCTATTCCTAATTATAGGAACTATTAAAAAATCGAAGTCGAATAAAAAAACGGTATAATTTATAATTAATAGTTTGGGATAACTTTACTTAGGGAAGTCCTTCGTTTATGAATAGGATATACATAAAAGACTATTGCTAGTACGGTTGCCATTGGAATTAGGTACTAAATTATCCTTTATAGCGTTATATTTACCGTTAGCGTTTATAATAATAATAGGAGGAATAAGGCTATAATTTATATAAAGATTATCATAGCCGCCTAATTTAATAATAATAATTATGATTTTAATAATAAGGGTATTATAAAAGTATACTTTTATAATAATACTATTCAATACTATACTCTTACGTTCGCTTTTCTTTTCTACCTTTTCGATTTACTTATTATAATACTAGCACCCGCTTTTATTATTAATTCTATTAATAATGTACCTTCTATTCTTACCTCCTTTCGTAGTATAGCTAATCCCTTTATAATTATTATACTATAATTATTACACGTATTTATTACCCCCACCCTTACATTTAATATAAGGAAGAAGAATATAATTAATATAATAATGGAGGAAATCGATAAATTTAATAAATAAGACCGCGAGTAAGAGGTATACGGGGAGTATAAATCCCGTAGTACTATATACTATAAGCTCTTTTAAATATAGAAGTATAATACTAAGTACAATTATAGAAATTATAATAAGGGAATTAATAATTAAATATACTATTTCGTTAATAGTAGTAAGATATATTATAACTTCTCTATTAAAGACGTAGGTAAATAGGTAGAGGTTATTGCAGCTAGGTATATTACTATACGAAATCCTCTTACTTCAATTATTTTAAAGATAATTATAGTAAAAACCGTTGCGGCTAGTATTAATTCGAGTAGCGGAAAACGTAATAGTAATAAACTTCCAATATACATTAATATTATTAGTAACGTTAATAGCGGCAATAATAATACTAATATAGAGTTTATCAATAACCTTTTATAAGCAACGTTAAGAAAGGAAGAAAAACTACTAACGCTATACCTATACTCTCTATATTAACTATATTTATACCCGCTATACTAATTAATATATTACCTTCTATATAACTACCCTTATTACCCAATTCTTCCGCCTTCTCCTCCTTCCTCTATTATAACCACTTTTATTATTACTATCCTGGTACTAAATATTATAATAATTATACTAAGCGCTGCCTTAAACGTACTATTTAATTATTAAATTACTATATTCTATAATTACCTTACTAACCACAATACTTTAGCCGCTAAATATAACCCTTTACTTTCGCTATTATATTTATATAAACTCCCTCTATTATATTCTTAATCGTACTTCTAATACCCCCGTTAATTATACTACCCTCTATTACCAATGAAGAGAAATTACTATAATCCCCTCTAGCTGTCACAGGATTAGCCTTGTGACCGTTGTCGCACGTAATTAGCCAATTGCCATTTATATACGTTGTGTTAGATTGTAGCCGCTTTTGAGATTATTGTAATCTGTTAGCTAAGTGGCTAATACGGCGCTCTACCTTCAAGCGCCTATATAAGGCTAATTTCTAAGTATAGCTTTACGACTATTCCCTTTCTCTCCTTTGTATAATTATATATATTTATAATTATATTTACTTTTTGCCTATAATAATTAATTATACCTTTTAATTATTATATTCATAGCGAAAACTTAAAATCCGTAGAATTGTACGCTTATTAATCAATTGCGTAATTTAGTTATGTAGGAATCGCCTCGCTATTAAATTGCGGAATTTAGTACCGTTAAATTAAATCGCGCCCTCGTATTATAGCAGCTTAATTCTCCCTTCCCCTTTTTATTTAGTAAATAAAAGGTTATTCTCTTTATTTAATAGATAAGAAATCTCTTTTATTTTATTACAACGATAAGTTATTATTATATTCCTTATATTATTCGTTAATAACGACGATGATGGTTTTAGTATTAGTAATTACCCCTTTTTTTCTAATAATAACAATAACGCTATTTTATTTAATTTTATTATGGTTAACCCCGATTTTAATTTAGAATTTAATAAACCTAACGATTCTTTCAGTTTCGGTAACTTTTTCGACGTCCTTATAGAAGATTACATCCTTAATATTAATATTAATTGCGCCGCTTTAATTAAAACCGAACTTATTTACAGCGTGCAGAATCTCCTTAAAAGTTTTAATAATAATAATAAATTTAGGTTTGTCCTTCGCGATTATTTTACGATTGCTACTTAGATTGTTGGCGACTCCGCTTTTTAATTTATTGTCGAACTTCTTAGCTGTATCTTTTTTTCCGTTTTCGAGAATAATGACGATATTGCTGGAGATTTCGCTCTTTTTAAATACGAATTTTTCGTCGCCTGTTAAAATACCGACGATAATTAGGTTATTTTTAATATTTTAAACTTTAAATATATTTAATTTAAATAAGAATTTAAGGATTTGAAAATAATTATATCCGCGTTTAGTATTTTACTTAGGCGTACTTTCGAAGACTCTCCTATTTTTAATAGAAAGGAAAAGGATTTCGTTTATTATTATAACACTTTTTATACTTAGAAATTTTATATCGTTACCGTTTAGAAGGTCGACGCCCTCTATTTTTAGGAAGAGGATGTTAAAATCCTCTACGCCGCTATATTATTAGGCTTTAAATTTCTATCCGGCTTCCAATCGGATTTTAATACTATATTACTAGAATTTAATAAAGATAAGTAATATTAGAAGACCGGTATCGACTTTATAAAATACTTTAGTAAATATTTTAATAATATCAATTTGAAATTCGACGCCGTTCGCTATTTAACCGACTTTTATTAGAAAAATAAATTATTTTCTAAATTCGAATTCGAATTTATTAACTTTATAAATTAATATAAATTCGATAGCATTATATAGGTTTATTATTTTTATAATAAAATTAATAAACGATTCCGCGGCGCTTTAATTTATTGTAACCCTCCCGGCGAGACCGAATTCGTTAAATAATTCGATTTTTACTATTTTATTTCTAAGAACTTTGACGACACTAATTATTATAATAAGGTAGCTAACTATTTCTATAAGGCCGATACTAGTAATATTAATACCAGCGGTAATAGAAGTAGTAACCCTAATGAGCGTCTTGTTAGTTAAGGAGGTAATTAAATGGATATTAATATTATTTATTAAGAGATCTTAAATTAACCTTAATATACTAACCTATACCATTATTATAATTAACCTAGTTATATTATTCGCGGTTATTTAATTTCGGTTAATTATAACTCTAAGGGCCGCTAGGATAATAAAGGAAAGAATAAGGGAAAGAATAGGGTAAGAATAATTATAGAGGACGTAGAAAAAGTAGTTATAGAAGTAATTAATAGGTTGAGGTCCGCGTTGCCAATATTGCGCCCGCTATAGCTGCCGCCGCCGCTCCCACCGAGGCCGCTGCTAAAAATAATTTTATAATAATTCGGAAAATGAATAGCCTTTATACCTAATTACGTATAGAGGTTTAGCCAGTTATTATTATTATTATAGAGACGAATTTTAATTTTTTTTAAAGTTAAAGGATTTAGAGGAGGTACGGATTGAATTATTAAATAATTTATCTTTAAATTTAATATTCTTATTTTCCTATATTATAACCGGCTTATATAAAGATTATTATATTACCTTCGTCAATAGCGAATATTTTACTTTTATTTTTATTAACCGTTTTTTTATTCGGAAATATAACTTTCTACATTTTCGTTTACTTTATCTTAAAAAATTCATTTTAGCCGATAGCGTTATTAAAAGTATTATCTTTGAGGGGGTGAAAATTAAATTTCACGTTAATTTTCACGGAGAAACGATAACCTTTTTAGTTTATAATATTTTTAAAAATTATCCTATAATTTTAAGCTTTCCTTAAATCTAATTCTATTAGCTTAAAATTAATTATAAAAAATACGGTATACGTTTTAATTACCTTATTTATTACGGCCGTTATTTACCTTCTAATTTTATAAACGAATAAATGGTAACGCTACGGGCCCTTACTAATTATATATCCGTAGCTATAATTCGTTTATATAAAGAAGCCGCTCCCTAACCCTTTTCCCTATTTCTTCTTCCCTCTGATAATTTTATTAAGGCTAGTACTCGTCCTAGCGGGGTAGAAGGCTTTTAATAATAAACTACCCTTTAAAAAAAGACGGAGGATATTTCTCTTACCCTTTAAAAGGAAGAGATTGAAGAATTACCTTCTCTTACAATTACCCTTCGGATTATGAACGCGCCTATTAAAATATTTATAATTAAACGAGCTAGTATTAAAATATAAGGTATTTCTAACATAATAATAATTTTTATTAAAATAAAAAACCCTACGGTTTATAACCCTTATATTCGGGTTAATAGTAAATACGTATCCGTTGGTATTTATTACTCTCCTATATATTAATTTAATTAAAATACTGACGAATTCGACCCTATTAGTATTCGAGAATTGAATGCCACTATATTTAATTATATTTATAAGAAGCGGAATTTATAGCCGTACTATACGAATTACGCCTAATTATAAAAATTAATTAATATAGTAGAATTATAAAATTTAAATTTATTTAAAGAAATAAATAATAATATTATAGAGGGTAATAGAAGGTAATATAAGGAAAGTTTTCCTAAAAGTCATCATAATTTTATTAATAATTTAATTAATTAATCCGCCTTATAAGAAGAACGGAAGGCCGCCTTTATTACGAAAGCTATAACTCTTACTGGAAATTTAATTACGGACGCGCCTATTTGTAAGGAGATTATTTAATGTATTTATTTAATTAAGATTATTAACGAAGACGCGAAGAAATTTTTCAATAAAGTAGGCCGCTCCAATTAAACTAATAAAGAAATTAGAATTAAATTCCTAAAAAAGTTCTATACGAGGATCGCTATTTTTTAACCGCGCTTCGCTAATATAGTACCCCTAATATATTCTTATAATTATAAAATCGAATTTAAGCCGGGCGAGTAACCCTTTAACGCTCGTCTACGCTCTATATCTCTTATCGAAATAATTGTTATTAAGAAATAAATCGACGATAATTTAAGGAAGAAGTTTATCCGGCCTTCTTAATCCGAAGCCACCTTATCTATTTTATTAAACAAGAAACTAAGTAGAGGAGTTTATCTTTATATAGATTACCGTAGGATTAATAATATTATTATGAAAATACAGTATTTATTACCGTTTATTAAAGATACCCTTAACGTTATTTATAAAATAAAGATTTTTATTTAATTGGATATTATTATTATATTTAATAGGATTTATATAAAGGAAGGCTATAAATGATTTACCGCGTTTATTACGCGTTTCGGTCTTTTCGAATCCTTAATATATCCTTTCGGTTTATAGGGCGCGCTAGGAACCTTCCAAAATTATATTAACGACGTATCATATAATATTTTTAATATTAATATAATTATTTATTTCGACGATATTCTAATTTATTCGGAAAATAAGGAGGAGTACCTAAATTACATTAAGGAGGTTTTAGACCATATAATTAAAGCCGGTTTGTAGATCGGTATCGATAATTACGAATTTTATATCAAATGAATAAAATATTTGGGTTTAATTATTATTCTGGGCGGTATTGAAATAGACCCCGTAAAGGTATCCGCGGTAATAATTTAGTAGGCTTTAGATTCTAAGAGGTCTTTTTAACGCTTTTCAGGTTTTACTAATTTTTACCGTCGTTTTATTAGATATTTTTCTATTATCATTAGCCGTTTTTATAAATTAAATAAGAAAACGGTAGAATCGTAATAAGATAAATAATATTGGAGGTTTTTTAAAGCTTTTAAAAAGGCTTTTAATAGCGGTTTGGTTCTTCGTATTTACGATTAGTCTAAGTAAATAGTAGTTAAAATAGATGTCTCTAATTGGGTTTATAGCGGTATATTATTATAGTACGATAATGATACTATCTTTTAATTAGTAGTTCATTTTAATTAATAATATTTATTAGCGGAGTATAATTATAATATCTATAATAAAAAAAAATTAGTTATTATTAAGGTATTAAAGGAGTAGCGCCTAGAGTTCGAAGGAGCCTAATAACCGTTTAAAGTCCTAACTGACTATAAGGGCCTAAAGTCCTTTACTGTTAATAAATAATTTACTCCCTGCTATATACGATAGTCCTAATTCCTTTTATATTTTAATTTTACTATTTCGTACCGGCCGAGGTTATTATAACTACGATCCGACGCCCTAAATAGGAAATTAAAGGATTTATTTAAGGACAAAATTGATAAAATGTTATTAGTAAAGAATAAGATCTTATTAGACTATAATATTCTCGTTAACGGAGCTTTCGTTTTAGAAGATAAGGATATAAACGTAGAAGAAGGGGTTTTCGTCGGATTTAAATATATTTACAAATTAGAGGTTATAAATAGGAAATTAACGGATAATTTAGTAGCAAAAAACTATAGGAAATTAGTTTTGATAAAATATTGTCGTTTGTTTATTAAATTCAGTAAGAAAAGTATAATTTAAGGAAGTTAAAGAATATATAAAGAAAATCTTTTTTACGGAATATAGAATATTTTAAGGCCGGGCTTACTATTATAGCGCTGTTTTTCTCGACCCTTCCGATATAGAATTCTAATTATAATTATTCTATTACGTTTACAATTCGCTGTTAGTAGAGTACCCGGGTAGGGAAAAGATATATTTTCTTCTATTCTAATCTTTTTATTAGTTGGGGATATATAATACGGTCTAAATATATTATAAGGCCTATTTTTAATATATAAAGACTAAACTATTATAGTACTCCCCTTATAGTTTTTTAAAGCCCTTAGTAGTACTTTTCGTTTTATAGAAAAATATTTCGGTGGATTATATTACCCTACTTACGCCCTATTTTCGTAGGGGATAGGAATTTAAATATATTATTATTGTTGTAAATAAACTAATTAAGAAATATTACTTTATTCTAACGGTTAGTTTGACGGCTCAGGAATTGGCGGACCGGTTTATCGAACGTATTTATAATATCTATAGCCTTCCCGATTTTACTATTTTTAATTATAGTTCCTAATTTATTTTATAATTTTAGAAAGCGTTATTTTTATATTTAGAAGTAACCCTTAAGCCCTCTTCCGTTTTCTATTCCGCTACGAACGGATAGACCGAATGTATTAACGTAGAAATAGAATAATATTTTTATATTTATATTAATTAAGTATAAAACGATTAGGTAAATTATTTACTAATTACGGAGTTCGCCGATGATAATCTAATATCCAAAAAGATTAGCGTTTCTCCCTTCTTTATTAATTATAATTACTATTTATGTATAGGGGTAGAATTAGCTAAACTATATCCCCCAAAGCTTTCTGAAATTTAGTAAATAGAATATTTTAAAGCTAATAAAATTGCAGAACGATTTAGGAAAATATTAAATTATATTATAGTATAAATAAAATAGATATAATAGCGATATAAGTATAATACGAATATTAAATAATTGGAAACCCTAAAGTATAAAGTAGGGGATAAAACATTATTTAATATAGAGAATTTCGAAATTAGTCGCTCGTACGTTAACTTTATACCGCTTTTCGAAGGACCTTTCGAAATTTTAAAGGCGGATAATTATAGAATTACGTTCAAATTCTTAATTAATATAAAATACAATCCAACTTTCTATATTAATAAAGTTAAATTATAAAACGAGGTGGGTATCCTAAAATAAAATGTCTTTAAAAAAAAAGGACGTTCTTATTAATTACAGTAAAGTAAAAAAGCGTATTAATAACGGGGAGGATTAAGTAAAATAAGAATTCGAAAAGATTGTTAAGTATTAGAATAATAAAAAGGGTTAGTAAGAATATTATATTAATAGGTACCCCTATAAATTTATTATAGTAAAAAAGGTTAAATATAATAATATATTTAGAAGCGGTACGGGATTTCTATAAAGTATACCCGGGAGCCCTAATATTACCCAACTAGGCAGCCGCGGAAAAGCGGAGGAAGAAGGTATTCGAATTACGGAGGCTTAAAAAGCCCAGTACGGGAACGGAAGTGCTAGGAGGAGAATATAGAGGACGCGGAGGATACGGAATTCTAAGGAGGTTATTCTAAAGGATTAAGCCGGCTATAGCCGTAGAGGCGTTTAGAATAATTTTCTATAGAAGGCTAGGAATTAGACTAATCGATTAATAAGTATATCGATTATTTTATATATTATTAATTAATTATATAACTTCTTTAGTCCGGGGTAGTATTATAGGGTTAGCTTTGTGACTGTTGTCGTATGTAAGTGGCCAATTGCTATTTATATACGTTGTGCTAGACTGTAACCGCTTTTAAAATTACTATAATCTATTAACTAATTAGCTAATATAGCGCTCCACCTTCGGGCGCCTATATAAGGCCAGTCTCTAGACATAGCCTTGCGACTGTTCCCTCTCTCTCCTTCGTGTAATTATGTATATTCATAACCACATCTACCCTTTGCCCGTGATACTAGCTCCCTCCTCTCCGCTACCCCTCCCGCTATGTAATTATACTCTAAGCGAATTTATTATTAAATTCTTTAAAACCTTCTACCGGGATTACTATTCTAGGAAGACCCTAGTAATAGTAAAAGCGTTGTAAATTCTAATCGCACTGCGGAAGGTATTTAAAGGACTAGACAGTCCCGTTAGGGTTATTATAGCGCTTAGAAACTAGCTAGTCAATTAATTTATAAAATTAGGTTTTAGAATAGAATTTTATACTTTACTAAGAAATAGTATTAAAACCTTCCTTAAGTAGAAGTAATTAGTAATCGCCTAAATAAATAAGTCCTATAGTATACCCTCTACCCTCTAATTAATAAATTTAATTAACTATTATTAAATATTAAATTTCTAATATAGTTTTATAGTACGACCGACTGATATTACCGCTTTCGAATTTAGTATTACGAAAGTATTTACCTCTTTAGTAGGTAATATAACCGCTAATAGTAATATACCGGACAAATTATAACGAATTAATATATAATAAAAGAAGTAGATTACTTTAATTATAAGGGGGAATTCTATATATTTCCAATATTTTTATATACTCTCTTTATTATTATATAGATAAATACTAGTACTTTACTTAGTATTTCTAATATTTCTAGCATTTCTAGCACCCTTTTTTATCATTATATAAATAAATGCACTTCTGGCATTTCTTGCATTTTTAGTATTTCTAGTACTAAATTATAGTATAAATAATATATTACCCCTTATACTACTTAATTACCCTTCCTATTCATCTTCGCTTAATAACGTTACTAATCTTTTTAAACTCTTTTAGCTAGCTAGTATATAAAATCGTATAATTTTTATCGATATTATTAATACCTTCTATAATTAATTTTGTATTCTTAAAGTAGCTACGGATCTATTATATTCTATACCTAATATTTTTAATAATTCGACGAAGAAAGATAAGGAAATCTTTATTAACTGTCCTATCGCTACCCTCGTCGTTATATACCCTCTTTATATACTTCTTAAAATTACTAAAGTACGCCTCGATCGGATTAAACTCTAGGGAATATAATAGTAAATACTAAAATAATATACCCGTACCGATATATATATAGTAGAACTTATTATATAAATACCAATTCGCATTATTTATTATTAAAATACTATTACAATTAAGAAAGGGATTTATTACAGGGAGGAGGCGATTTCTTAATTATTTAACGAACCTTAACGTATTTATTTATCCCTTAAATACTAATATTTCGAATACGCTATTAATCGATAGAATTAGGAAAATATAATACTATTTATTACGCTTAAAGCAGTTCAATATTATAATAATAATATTACGGAGAACCTAATTAATACAATGAATTCTATTACGTCAGTCTATACCAAATTTCTTATAAAAGACGAATATTTTTATAATAAATATTGATATTTTTATTATCTATTCTACTACTAATTTAAACTCCTATTATACCGCTTTAAATACTAACTTCTTCTTTTTCTAGCGCTCTTAATATAAATAGTATCGTATAATTTGGTTTAATATATATACATCGTATTCGTTACTTAAAAAATATAAATATCGTCGAAGTATAAGAATAATTTTAATATTAATAGTTTTATAACCTCCTTTATAACGTTAATTATAATAATAAATAATGAATAATTACTATAATTACAAATATACTTCTACAGCTTATATAAAGAGCTTTCTAATATTCTAAGGGGATCGAGACTATAAGATGGGCTTGCTAATAATCTCGAAATTTCGTTTATATTAATATATTATACATACGCTTACGCTAACAGCCGTTATAATATCGTTAATATATTCGTCGTTATAGAATATTAGATTTATAACGGTTTATTAGCTTACGTTAGGAACCTTTACTATATTATACGACAAAAAGACTAGCAAAGATAATAAAAATACTAAATAAAGCGATAGTAATGTAACTGTATCAAGAATATCGATATTTTGGTGTAGATTTCAAAGATTTACAATACGATACAATTAATCTAATTGATTAAAATGGTAAAAAGATGGCCATTTTGTCGAAATCCGTGTTCAGGTCTGTGTTATGGCCAGCTCAACCCAACTAGCGTGCCAAGACTGTCAAGGCGTTTGAGGGTGGGAACTGTATAGGGCCATACAGACTCGCCGGCAGAGGCTGCCAAGAGTCCAAGCTTGGCACCATCTTCGCGCGCCGCAATCACCACTAAGTCTTCACCAAAACTCATCCGGGCGGACTTACTCCACACAGTCGTGTTAGACTTGAACACAGTCGCTTTACACGACCCGGGTAGAAGGGGTTCGACGTTTCTTTCTGCCGACCACTTTGTCTTACACACACAGTATACTTACCGTCCCATTGTCCCGCTTTCTTGTTCGTCTCAGTCTCTGATCTTCAAGTTTCTTGGTCTCACAGGGAAGAAACACTTACACACAGCAGTCAGTACCATGTCCAGGATACAACAACAAACAAAGAAGCCCATCAAGAGGGTGGCCGTCATCGGTGCGGGGCCGGCCGGCGCCATTGCCATTGATGCCCTCGCTCAAGAAAGGACGTTTGATCTCATCCGCGTGTTTGAGAGACGTGAAGGACCGGGAGGATGCTGGTGAGTCTCTTTACTTCACTTCCTTTCACTCCTCCAAGTTCATCTCACTAACACATTATCCAGGATCGGCGACAACAACCGCCCACAACCTCTCAACGGCTTCGCCTCTCTCTCCAACCGCACCGCCGACCCACCAGTTCCCATCCCGCACACTCTCCCTGCCCTGACACCCAAGCTGGAACAACCGCGCTTCACCGAGTCCTCCGTCTACCCCTACCTGGAAACCAACGTCGACGCCATCCCCATGCAGTTCAGCCAAGAGCCGTTTCCCTCAGAGAAGAGCAAGTTTTCTATCAACCTCCACGGTCCCAACACCCCGTTCCGGCACTGGAAGGCCGTACGGAGGTACATTGAGGGACTGGTGAGTCGAAACGGGTATCAGGATCTGGTGTCGTATAACACGACGGTCGAGAGAGTGGAAAAGGTCGGCGATGAGTGGAAGGTGACGCTGCGCAAGGAAGGACAGCAGAAGGATTATTGGTGGGTGGAGTGGTTCGATGCCGTAGTTGTGGCCAGTGGACATTATTGGGTGCCGTGGATTCCTGCGATCGAAGGTCTGGAGGCGTTCGAGAAGCAGAGGCCGGGAAGTGTGATTCACAGCAAGCACTTTCGGGGGAGGGACCTTTACAAGGGCAAGGTGAGCATCCCTTTTCCCTTGTCCCCCTTTTAACCTGTCCCCCTTCCCCCATTCCCCCATCCCAGACTAACCCCCCAATAGAAAGTCGTAGTAGTAGGCGCATCCGTCTCCGCCGCCGACATCGCCTACGACCTCGCCCACTCGCGCACCGCCCAGACCCCCGTGCACGCCATCACCGTCGGCCACAACTTCAACGGCTACTTCGGCGACGAGGCCTTCAAGCACCCGCGCATCGAGAACCACCCGTCCATTGCGCGCGTCTGCCCCAAGACCCGCACCGTCCACCTCGTCAATGGCGAGTCCATCCCCAACGTCGACCACATCATCTTCGGCACGGGCTACAGCTGGACCATGCCCTTCCTTCCCCAGGTTCCGGTCAGGAATAACCGCGTCCCCGACCTCTACCAGCATGTCGTCTGGCAAAAGGACCCCTCCCTTCTGTTTGTGGGTGCCGTCGGCGCTGGATTGACGTTCAAGGTGTTTGAGTGGCAAGCCGTTTACGCTGCAAGGATACTAGCTGGTCGCGCGCAGGTGCCGTCGGTAAAGGAGATGCAGGAGTGGGAGGAGAACAGGATCAAGGTCAGGGGCGATGGGCCCAAGTTCAGTTTGATCTTCCCGGATTTTGAGGAGTACTTTGAGGCGTTGAGGAACCTGGCGGGTGAGGGCGAGACGGCGAAGGGAGTGGGCAGGGAGTTGCCCAAGTTTAGGCCGGAGTGGTTTAGGGCGTTTATGGAGGGGCATGATGTGCGGAAGAGGATGTGGAAGAGGGTGAATGAGCAGGCGAGGGAGGAGGAGAAGGCGAAGGCGAAGGTGTTGGAGGGGGAGGTTAGGGCGAAGTTGTGAGCGGGCGGGATGTGGGTTCGGGATTACAATGCTGATATTTGGGTACGGTGTTTTGGATGGCAAGATGGAATTGAAATGGGACATGAAAGTTGGTGCAAACGCAGGGAGGTATAAGGGGTGGAACGCTAACAAAGCCTAACAGTTGTTCGCGTATATTTGGTGTGGGTCAGTTAGAGACAAGGAAGCCACTATTCCGTGCCCCACCAATGCGACATCCGACATAAGCTCCGGGTCCCGTCTCCCAACGGCCAACGCTCCAGCTTCATCGACAATCAACCACCTTTTCTCTTCTATTCACTCCTCTTGCATCGTCAAATCTTCTCAACTTCCTTTCCTTTCTCACTTTTGCTCCCGTTATCTAGCACATCAATCCCGTCCTCCTCCTCTTACATTTCTAACCCATGCTATCGATTCGCTCACCCACCACAACCTTCCGGCCACCGTAGCGGGAAACCGGGCGGGCATCTAGGCGAGATGACCAGACAGTGTTAGTTTTATAGTCAACGCTAGAGACTCTTCGTCTAGCCTAGGTGGCCTCCCTATATTCCCGCTGCGGTACACAGTCTCTCCAGTCTCCAGTTCAACCTCCACCTCGTCCTTAAAGGTGCTCCCCTCTTCATCCATCTCCTCTATCCCCTCCCCATCTTCCCACCTCCTCCCCGTCAACCACTCCCAAATCCTCGTTGCACTCTCGTGACCTCCAACCATCTCCGCCCTCCTCCTCGCCGCCTGCGCCACCGTCATGCCCCTACACAACACCCCCACATCCGCCCCCTCCCCAACCAACACCTGCACCGTTTCCAACCTCTGCCACCAAACCGCACAATGCAGCGGTGTGCCCTTTTTCTTGAGATCAAGATAATTCAGATACCACTTAACCCCCTCCTCTCTCCCTTTCGCAGTCTCTTTCGCAGCATCGATCAGCAGTCTGACCCTCTCCGCGCAGCCGTGTTCCTTATCGATATTCCTCCACCTGCAACTAGCCTCGATGGCGCAGTGGATGATGTTGGGCTCTAACACCGCGCCGTGATCCAAAAGGGTGCGAATGGCGTCGGCGCCGTCTTTGACGACGGCGGCGGTAATGAGGGCCGAGGGAGCGCGGCGTAGTCTACCGGGGATGGAGAGGAGGTTGGGGTCGGCGGAGTGGGAGAGGAGGAAGGACATGAGGGGGGGGTTTTCGACGGATAGTCTGGTTCGCGGAGGAGTTTGGCATCAATGGTTAGCGAGTTTTGGTTGAGTGGCAGTTTGGTGACGATGTTGGGACAAGAGGCTGAGGTCTCTGTAGGTAAGGGTAAGTAAGGTACCTACCTAAGTGCCGTGCCCTCCTCAAACTCAGTCGTATTAACATCCCACCCATTCTTGATCAATACCTCGAACATGGCTGGGTCGCCGCGGTCGATAGCTCTCAAAAAGGCCATCCGATTGACCCTGGCGCCTTTGGAGAGCAAGAGGTCTGCTACGGCGAGATGCTCTCCCCATACCGCGTTCGAAAGGCCGTCTTGTAGTTGGGCTGTTGATACTTGTGGAGTCTCGTGGTTGAGGATCTTGGTGACGGTTTCGAGATCGCCGGTTTGGCAGGCGGGGAGAAAGTCGGGGTGGTATAAATGCGCGGTTACGGTCATGATTGCGGTTGAGGTGGCGGTGGTGATGAGGGGATGATGGACGAAGGGGTTGTGGTAAGTTACAGAATGGAAGGTGGGGAGGAGAAGCTGGAGATTCCTTGGGTGATGTTATGCCGTACTGATTGAAGCCCAGATATGAATGACACCGAATGGGTAAGGGCTCGAGATAGTTCATCCCCATCGCTTGCCCCCTGCGGGGCGCTCAGCTCGTTGCGATGATGGTGGTGAAGGGCAGGTGAGCGGGGAGTGAACGAACACGGGAAGATCTTCTTCATGAACCACTTACATACAGGAATACCGTGTAGATACGTTCTGTTTCACGGATCGACCTGCGTGCCGTCCAGTCGGTCTTGTGCTTCGTGGGGGCCAAAAACACCAACGCCAAGGGCCGTCACATCTCCCAATGACTCCTCAGCGCAGCTCATGGGACAGGATGAAGAAGAGGACGAACTGGAAGGTGCCATTGCAGGGAAACGCGGTAGTCTTTGTAAGTGTCCGGGGTGGTGATCTTTTGGAGATCAAGTTGGACTTGAGTTTCTTGAGCACGGGGATCTGGTTGCCCTTTGTGTCGACGATCCAAGAGCGAGAGGACGCGGGCTGGCGGTCGACTTCGGAGCAGAACTGGCTGATGACGTTGTACTCGGAGCCGTCGAAGATGTTCCAGGGCAGGATGCCTGGCTGGTCCATCTGGCATTCGGGATTGGCGGTGGCTGTTGGGACCACAGGCCCTCCTTCTGCTGGTCCTGGCCAGGGAATGGTGGTGACAGTCTGAACTGAGGTCGTCTGAGTGGCGCAGTTTCCACAAATGGTTTCACAAGCGAAGAATTGGGCACCAACTTCGGTGCAGGTTGCTTGGCAAGCCGTTGCGATACCGGTGCACGATGTCGCTGTCGTAGTGACCTGCTCGGTAATATCTAGGATGTCCTTGGGAATGATGTTCCTTCCGCTCAGGGAGTTAAAGATTCGGATACAACGGCATTGCACGATACATAGGACATGAGGTTGGAAATCGCCGTGGATCCCGATGTCGCCGTCCCCGAGAAGTTCGACGACGGAAGGACCGAATGCAGGTGGACGTTCGTTCAGATCACATATTTCGTCGGTTGTCGAATGTAGCAAGAGCCGCCGGCCCGGCCCCCACAAGCCACAAGGCACAGCATGCAGGTCCGTCCGTGAGGAAACAAAAAAATACACGTCATAATCGGCGACAACATCCTCCTTACCCGATCATCACTTTCTGCCTTTCTCTCTCCCACACGCATCACTCTTTTCCCCCACCAACACAGTAAACATGGCGGCGCAAAGCGACTTCATTACTGCTTGCGAAACCGGGGACGTCGAAGCGGTTACCAGAATCCTCGAAAAGGAAGTCGTATCGGACGATCTGGACCAACTGCAGAAAGGCCTTTCCAGGGCTGCATGGAGAAGTCACCCTGCTGTGGCCAACATCTTGCTTTCCAAAGGCGCCAAGGTTGACCGGACGAGCTTCGTGGGAAGCACCAACCGCGGCGATCCGACCATGTTCGAACTTTTTGTCAAATACGGCTTTGACATCAACTCGACCGAGTTTGGTGAGGGTACAGCACTCCGGTAGGATAATGTCAACTCCCCAGCATCGTCACATTTACCGTCCACAGATAACTAACCATTGGAACCAGCATGTCCGTCGGCAATGAGAACCTCACGCGCTGGCTCCTCGCCCACGGTGCAGACCCCAACGTTGCTCATGATCGGGCCCCCTCGCCCCTCATCTCAGCTGCGATCACTGAGAAGGGTGGCAATGCCGTCCGTATGCTTTTGGAGCACGGCGCAGTGTTAGAGCCCAACATCCTTCATTATGCCGTCCAGTCTAGAGCTAGCATGTCAGATCGCCGGGACAGGGTGGAACAGCTGGTGCGGGCCGGGGCCAACATCAACCACATTGATCCCAAACGGAAAGGAACACCGCTGCACTGTGCCGTATGGCACAACAGAGGTGACGTTGTGGAAGCGCTTATTGAGCTGGGAGCTGATCCCAACGTAGTGTTTCAAGGCCGTACAGCGGCGGATGTGGCTAAGGATCGGTGCCAGAAGCTCGAGCATTACCTGAAGATTTATCAGTTTCTGAAGGACAAGATAAAGGTCACTCCAGAGGAGTAGGTTCCGGGACCAGTACACTCCTATCTTTATCAGGTAGGTTGAACTTCAAAAATGATGGCAATTGTAAGAGCCCAGGTCATTACCTAGTATTAACTGAGTTGCAGCGAACTGCGCCGGCGGTCAGACACATTTGTCACCCAGACGGTCTCTCAAGTTCCGCAATCATCCACACCATCCCTTGAAGAAGCGAGATGGATGCTAGAGCCCAAACCAAGGCCAAGGGACCTGCAGCGCTTGCAGGCCCCCAGTGGTCTTCACTACTGCTGGCTCTCTTGCTGCGCGAGGGTATTACACACACACTCAAGCCCAAGCTCACAATGCCTCCGCTCTTTATCTAGCAGAGCGCACAATTACCGAACCGACCCCCGGCAAAGAGGATGCGTTCATGGTCACGGAGATCGAAGAAGCAACCCAAATGGTATGGGAAGTCTCGGAGGGCTCCGACGTGAACACGGCCTGCTTCACTCGTTTGGACGGAAAAAACGCCGTCAGTATCGGCACTAGCCATCTCTGCGGTTGCACCGTTATAGTGACCATTAGCCAACGCGGGCGGCGTCTACGCCGCGCACTATTGGGAGAACATCTCGTTTTCGTCTCTGATGATCTGTTTCGCCAGACATCGACGGAAACAAATGATCAGCTATTCGAGCGGACGGTGATAGCGCCGATCCAGAGAGGCAAATCTCTACGCACAAGGGTTGAACAGCACAAGCTGGAAGCGAGCAAGATTGGGAAATCAAGAGTCCGATAACATTAGAGCGTTTCAGGTGCGTCCTGATAAGCCGTACAGAAAGCAAATGATGAATGACTATGATCTCAGGTCCAGTTACTCCTGAAAACCAGTTCTTGGGGGCCCTCCTAAAGGAGGATATAGAAGAATTGAACCACAAAGAGGTCGAAACGGAGCTGGCCGATTTGCAATTGCAAATAGAAAGCCAGAATTACCAGGAGTGGGCGCGGATCAAGAGCACCGTGGGAGGAATCATCAGCTTGTTGAACCCTGATACGGAAGCAGGAAGTTCGAGGTGGCAGGATGTTATTTATGGCCGCCGTTCGAATAACAGTACGAACCTCGATACCTTAATAAAGCGAACGGACGTGTTTTGATCAAGTATGCCGCCGACCATGAAGGGAAGAAGAAAGTTGTTTTGAACATACGTCTTGCTCTCTCTGTTTTCATCCAAGAACGTATTTTGTACATTAGAAACGGCGCTTCGTCCAATCCATATGATTAAATGGAAGTTTGTTTATCAATTCTGTCCTCCGGGATGAAATGTTTCGTCGGCTTGAGAAGGGATCCTTGGATGTTCGCAACATTGCATCCCGTTCCCATTCTCGGAACGACCTGGCAGGTAAGGTAGTCTCTGTGGGATACAACGGAAGTGGGCGGAAACGGATAGATGAGTTCCGGTGAAGCACACCTAACACCCCGTCCTTCTCCCCCATGGACGTGAAGTTTTTTCCGTCTCTCGTTCTCTCCTTCATCCACCATCATCATGGCCACCGAAGTGATGCCTCCCAAATCGCTCCACCATTTTATATGGGAGTACTTCTTTCAGACTTCAAATTCGCTCGTGGTGTTCCTACTCTCCTCAATAACCCTACACCCCCTACAATTGAATTCCTGAAATCGCTACCTAACGATTTCTCATCGCAAGAATGGGGCATTCACGTTTTGGTCCTAGAAGCCCTCGGCTCCAACATAAAGCCTACAATTTACGTCGGTTCGAGCGCCAACCACAAAGGCATAAAAGCGCGTATCAGAATGCATCAAACCGCCAGTGCCGGGTGATGAGAGAGTAGGTAGTCAGATAATAAATGCATCGAGGACTGGGTCATAAGATGACAGGCTATATTGGCTTATCAGTTAGATAAGGTATACAAAGAGTAACCCTCCGCACACCGACCCACCCCAAACCTACGCGCACCCAAGATCTTGAAGACACTCGACAATACTTCCACATTCGGCCGCATTTTCCCTAACTGAAAAAGATGGCATAATACCTGCACGCAAAGAAGTGGCCCATATTACGATTTAGAGCGATGTCTCGGTTGAGGGAAAGCACCGACGGCCTTGACCACCTGCCTGCCCAGTAGATTTCTTTGGAGAATCCAGGAGGTGCCGGCGCACCGAGGACCCCTCCAACCCCCGCCCTTTTGCCAATAATATTCAGCTTTTACAAGTGGTTCGGTGTTATGACTTTGACCCACGTGGAACACGCGTACCTAAGGTACCAGGTAAGATGGGCGACAGAGTCGACAGAGAATGTTGGACTGGACGGAGACTGTACCTAGGTACCGAAGCGGCAGAGACTGATATGAACTCACGAAACGCAGCGTCAACAAGGGATTTGTTGCCCTTGCTGCGTGAGACAGAGTGGGCAAGGGAGGAAAGTCATCAACCAACCTCGACCTCATAGAGGCCGACTACGTCTGGAGTCTGGACATGGTCGGTAAGAGAAAGGGGAGGGGATCGTGCATTTCTACAAACAGAGGAAGAGAAACATCTAAACAGAAAAAACCTGTCTATACAACCATTACCCAGACACTCAGATTACATCCTCCAACCTGGAAGTCCAACCTTCTCGCTCCCTAACCCCTCCCACATTATCATAACAAGCTTCATACCACAATCACGCCAACCCAACCTCAACATTCTTCCCCTTCACACTCTTCCACTCCACCAACAACGCCCCAAAAATGCTAGCCACCGCCATCGCCACAAAAACCATAAACACATCCGTCAGCGCATTATTATACGCCTGCGTGACCCCCGGCAAAATACTCTTATCCACCGTCTTCTGCACGCTCGTCGCACCAAGTAACAAAATATTCTCCGGATCACCGAACCCCGGCGCCAGCTCGCCCACATACTGCACCAGCTTATTGGTAAACACGTTCTGCGCAATACTTACAAACAGCGCGCCGCCGAGGGTCTGGGCGAATACCATCAGCGCCGTGCCGATGGAGACATCCTTCATTTTGAGGACGGTTTGCACGGCCATGAGAGCTTGTTGTAAACCTAATCCCAGCCCGGCGCCGACGAGGATCTGGTAGCCAATCCACTTGCCCGATTTGGTGTCGGGTTCGAAGGTCGTCAGCAGACCGTAGCCGATGCTGGAAATGACGGAGCAGAGGATCATGAAGGGGGCGTAGTAGCCTAGGGCGGATACAAGAGCGCCGGCGACGACGGAGAGGATGACGGTCGCGAGAAGCATGGGGAGGTTCATGATACCGCTCTTGACGGCGGTGGCGCCCTTGACGGCTTGGAACCAGATGGGCAGGTAGTAGACGGAGCCCATGAAGGCGGCGCCTAGGCAAAAATTAAAAATTGCCGAAGCCCAGACGGTGCGCTTTTTAATGATGCGGGGAGGGACGGTGCCCTCGTCTTGCATTTTGAACTGGATGATGATGAAGGTGGTGATCAAAACGGCGAAAAGCACAAAGAGGAAGATGATCCGCCAGCTGTCCCACTCGTAAGTGGTCCCGCCCCATTGGAGCGCCAGCAGCAAGCAGACGATGGCGGGCATGAACACCGCTGTGCCCAAGGGGTCGAATTTCATAATGGTCTTGGCCCACGTCTCCTCCTTTGGTCTCTCGCGGTTGGGGTCGGGAAAGAAGAAGCCGATGACGGCCATGGTGATGGCGCCGATGGGGAGGTTGATGTAGAAACACCAGCGCCAAGTGACTTGGTCTGTGAAGGCGCCTCCGAGGAGCGGGCCGGAGACGGAGGCGATGCCGTACATGGAGCCGATGAAGCCGGTGTATAGGGGTCGCCTTTCGAGGGGCACGGCGTAGGCGAGGATGATCAGGGCGCCGGAGAAGATGCCGGCGGAACCAATGCCGGCGATGGCGCGCCCGATGATTAGGGTGGTGGAGGTATTGGCGACGCCGCAGATCAGGGAGCCGAGCTCGAAAATGAAGATGGCGATGAGGAAGACCCATTTGAGGGAGAAGAAGGTGTAGAAGCGTCCGAAGAGGAGTTGGAGCGCGGCGGTGGTGAGGAGGTAGGCTACACATGGGACTGGTTAGTACCTGTTGACCAGGGAAGTGGAAGGGAGAAAAGAACGTACCACTTCCATACCAACCCACATCCTGCAAACTGTGAAACTGATCCGTAATCTTCGGAATAGCCGTCGCGATAATGGAGTTATCTTCTACTTGTTAGCCTCTCCCTTTTCCTTTCAAGCACCAGAACAAGACTGGAAAACTCACCAAGAGCCATCAAGAAAACACTCAAACACAACGCTATCGTGATCAAGCCCAGCTTCAGGCCAGTCGGGTATTCCACTCCATCCTCCCGTATCGTACTAGCGTGGCTCTTGTGCGTAGCATTAGACTTTTGCTGGCTCAACGTATGTGGTCGTTCCTTCTCTGGATCTGTAGAGTCGATTGTCCGTCCGCCGTCTGTGTCGGAGAGAACTTCCTTGTTGTTGTAGCCACGGGCATCTTCACTTTCTGCTATTGTTGGTGCTTTTGATTCGCTCTCGCCGCGGGCTGGAGGGACTGCTAGGTTGTCGCCTTTGGCGGCGTCCTTTTTTGCGCCGGCCATGTTGGGTTGTTGGGTATGGTCCGGTATGGCTTCCTTTTGGGCGAGAGTCCGAGGGAATGGATAAGCGGAGTTGATCTGGACGGGGAAGATTAGTGAACTGGGAGGTTTATGTACGAGAGAAAACAGATGACAGAAATAGAAGCCGAAGGATAGAAAACCATTGAAGCCCAGGACAAAGGATTGTGATATACACCTCAAGCCCACCAAGCCACCAAGCCTCCATCCGTTACGATTGGTAATTCCGGGGGGGCCCATCAATGTACCTCGGAGATAACTTACCAACCAAGTTGTTGTTCCAAGTTACACAAAACGGTCCTATTAGCTTGCCGATGCCCAGCCGTAGGCCGCCGTAGGTGTCAAGTACCTTGTCTATCGGTTTTGCTGTCAGTGTCCCACCCTGTTGGTGTCAACCTGTCAGAATGGGATTAGCTCAGGAATGCCTCGTCGAGTCATGGCATGGAAGCCTGAGAAGGAATGCGGGAACGCACCACCCCGAGTCCTTGGCGCCAGTCAGTCTGTCTGTCTGTCTGTCTGTCTGTCTGTCTGTCTGTCTGTCTGTCTGTCTGTCTGTCTGTCTGTCTGTCAGATCGTGCCCTTCCTTGTGCCTGCAAAGTGCGATATGTGGCGACGGAGCTGACATTCGGGTTCTGGATGGTTAGGATTCCTGGCGTTTTGCTTCTGGGAAGGGGAGTGTGCGCGCCCCGCGGGATACCGTAGATTGTCGTAGGAACAGTAGTCGTCCTTAGGGCGTCGACAGCTGAAGGCGGCGGGACGGGATCCATGGTCGAATGAAGGGACTGGGGGACTTGATCAAATGGGAGCTTCTGCCTGTCGTCCCAACTGGTAAAGGCGGCTGATGTCATCCCACTCTGCGAAACGTGACCGTGTCGACTGCACGATTGCTTGTTATCGGCGTTTTGGTCGCTTGCGGTGTGCTTGAAGCATGCATGCATGGCCCATCTTCCTGGTGTGTTCTGCCATTCTCTGTGCCGTTTGCTGGCAATACGTGCATTCAAGAAGTGTGTTTGCCAGGGTTTCTTACCTCTAACAGACAGTATCCCCATTTGTGCAGGCATTAGACCATCTGGGTCATGTAAGTGTTAAGGGAAGGCGCAGGTCAAGGGTACGTACCTACCTTACCCTCTCCCGCACCACATTTGTCATCTGTCCAGCCCAGCCCGCCAACCTCCAGAAGAAATCCTTTATCTCGGCATCCAGCCAAACGGGACGACAGACGGCGGGGAGCAATCTATCCTGTTGGGTGTGCGCCATCAAGCCCACTCACTGACAACCACCCATCGCTCTAACAATTGTGCCGTCCCCGAGAAGTGAGAACTGTCACTGGGCCGCTCGCATTGTTCTGCTTACCTTAGCTGCCCCCCTCCGTCTGGCCGTCGGGTTGGCCAACACCCGATCCGGATTAGGATTTGGCGCGCCTTCGACCTATCGGGGATATCGCATCATGTTGAATCATATTTCGCCAAGATAAGTAAGCTCCAGATATCCTTCTCGTCGTTTCTTGTTCGTTCTTTAACAAATCCCATCATCAAAATCCGCAATTCCAAAACCAACACCGCTGACAGCGGCCGCTTACCCCCGCATCTACCGCGATTCCAGAATCGAATTCTCCCGACACCGTGGTTCAGTGTTCAACAAGGTTAGGTTAGGTACAACTTTACTTCCGAGCCTCATCGATGCCTACCTACATCCTTTCTACCCTTCCACTGTCATTCCAGGGCCATTCCAGGAAACACTGGTGTCCCACCGTCCCACCGTCCCACCGAACAAAGATGCAAGTAAGATTCCAAGTCCGGCGCCACATATCCAACCAAGTAACCAACAATGACCTAAAAACCCCAAAGAGCAAACTTATCACAATTATCAGATCCGATTCCGAATGGTTATATACAAAATGCAGGGTACGTCGCAATAAAAGCGGGAATTAAAAGTCTACCTAGTGATGCCGCTGCTGCGCCCTTTTCTTTTTTACACATTCCCAACACGACGGTACCACGACGGTAAGGCTGCGGTGGTGACTGACGACGAGTTGCACCACTTTGCACCACTGTCACCAACCGAACACTTGTTTCAGGATCCATTTGGCCATTTCTAATATCTGTTAAAGCTGTTGTTGGGTCAGATTCGGACGTGTTGAGGGTTAATGTGTTGGATTAGAGAAGACCTGCATTCGGGCAGATTCGGTCACTTGGATCTCACCAGCTCCTTAAAGGTCAAGGTTCGTCCTTAATGATTCGGATATCTGTTTTGCGATATTTTAGTTGCCGCGTATAAGAACCAGTGGGCGGACTCGACTCGTCGTGTTGATTGTTGAGGCAGGCAGGCGAATCCGAGCAGAAAACCGACCTGGAAGCAAACAAAAAGAACCAAGCTGGAAGCCCTTTTTCCCTACCCACTACATAGTCCATATCGTACTTCCCGCCCCCTTCCCAAATCCCGACCGTTTCCCATTCCCTTAGTTTGTGTCTTCCCCAGAGGTAAGTGGAAAGTGACATTAACGTTGATCCAAGGTAACGAAACCCACATGGCTGGAATTGATGATCCAGAAGGTAAATCAGCATGAATCAGCATGACTCCTCCCCTTTACGCCTTACGGTCCCCTTCGACGTCGGCGTTACAGCATCCGTCGTGTCTTGGCTTATTACCTAGACAAGACAAGACAAGACACGCCAACCTCATTGACTGCCGTGCAACATGGAAACCAGCACTGCACTGCCGCCGATAGACAAAGGTTCAGTCAGGTCTTTGACTCCCGTCTCGAGGTTATGACAAAGGTACGTACCTCCTGTCCCGTCGCTAACACCGAATGGGAATGGTTGATCTTTCAGGGGCTTAACACCGAACTGAACCCTTGGGGGCCAGGTTCGCCCGGGATTATGGCCGCAGTGGCCGCTAACACCGAAGTCGTAAATCCCGAAGTCGATTGCCTGTATTCTGAACTGCGAGAATTATTAGAGGCCGTGGCTTATTTGAAGTTGTCTTTCCGGGAACATCTTGGTCCTCAACAATTCCCGCTCCGTTTCGCATTCCATCACGCTGCTCTATCATTGGCCTCCACACAGGTTCCATTGATGTTAGTGTTAAGATACAGAGCCTTTCGTGCGCTCTACAGTGCGAGCGCACTAACAGCCGTCGCGGAGATAACAGGGGGTCGTTGTTAGCTCCATTATCTCCACCCACTAACCTTTAGTGCTTCGCCCATGTCTTTCTTGGCAAGCTTTAATCCAACCACTCTCCTTCCTCTCCTCTCGACCTTCAAGCTGACTTGGGTGGCTTTCTTCCATCCAGCACCCAAGAACGCCTGATTCTGACAGATACATACTGCAACGCCCTATGCACATGTCACAGGAAGCATGGAGCAAAGGCAGAAGGCAAAGGCGATGCGATAATGCGAGAGAACTTGTTGACAAGAAGAACTGATCGGGAGCAGGAAGACAATTGTTAAGACTCCCAATTCAGTGAGAATTTTTCCTACCACCCTCCCCCACATTGTGCTAGGTAGTACACCGGTAGGACCAAGAAGAATTGTATACATCACAGAATTCCCGCGGTAACATGAAGGTTGGGATGAAGGAAGTAAGCGCACTCTCCAAGCCTTCTATAAAAAGCACAACCATGACGCCTGTCGTAAACCCAGAATGACCATGCTAATGATGAGTTTGATATGTGAAAGACAGGATAGAAAACCTCAAGGAGAGCAAACTAACAAACTTTTTCAACAGACTAGTATGATAACTCGAAGGATCATCGCAGTGATCGAAATAAGACTAGTACTTCTCTCGAACCAAGTGTTTGGAGCTTTTTCTAAAACTTCAAAGTTCAAGCATGTTTTGCTCCAACCCATACTCCTTAGCATAGTCCCTAGTTCTCACATGAGGGCTCGCTCGGCGTGGCTCGTCCTCTTCATCAATAGCTTTGGTAGAAGCGGGTGTGAAATTTCGAGTCCGCTTGATATTGCCATTCCCGTTTCCGTTTCCTACGGCAGAATCACTTCCATTACCATTCCCCTTGCTCTGTCCGGTTCCATGGCCAGCGTTGAGCGAGCTCTCCGTTCGAGGGGCAAATGGGGTCGGGCCGGAGGCAGGGTTGGTAGGGAGATTCGTGGAGAAGTTGGAAGTAGAATTCGAAGTCAGGTTGGATGAGAAAGTGGAGGAAAGGTTGGAGGGAAGGCTGGGAGGAAAGCCGGGAGGGTTGGGACATGAAGCATGGCCACCATACATGTTGGAACTGGACCCAAACTCGGCCTGTCTCGGACTATTCTGATGGCTCCCTGCGACCGAGAACATGCTTTGCAAGCTTGGAGAGTCGCTTGAGCTTCCCGCGCCGTCCATGGAGGAGACCATTTGGGACAAGTTGGATGCGATGGGACACTGGGAGTAAACCGGCTGTGAGAACTTGCGGATGTCGCTATGGTCTGCAGTGGGGGTCGAGTGAGCTGATGAAGGGTTGGAACCAGGGATCGTGAGGAAGCGGTTCTCCTTACGTGATTTGACATCCGAAGACGGGAGAGGTACCTGGTGAGGCTGAAGCGGAAGTGGCATCGGCTGGTTCAAGAGAGTGTTGGTCAAGCAGGAGGCCATGTCAGACGGGATGGACGGCATATGGGTAGACATGGAGGGGAAGTGGACTCCTGTAGTCATGTCTTCAGCAGGAGGAGGGACTGTTGTCGGGGTATTCGTTGGCACCTTCATGCTCATAGGATGTTCGTCATCCATGCTATGTCCAGAAACATGCATAGCCTCTTGTTGGTCGCGATTGGGATCGCCGTAGTCGGGCATGGTTTCATCGCTACTCTGCTGCTGGGTGCCCCTTCGCATACTAGATTGCCAGGAACTGGTACCCATTGAGCCAATCCAGTCCATGTAGGAAGGCTCCGTGAATGGATCGGGGTAGGAAAGCGACGAGCCAGAGCTAGTGTTAGCGCCTCGGGGTGCGTAGGGCATCTGGAGAGTTTGTGTACCCCCATAGCTGGTGTTCGGTGGTTGAGGCTGGAATACGCCGTGGGTCGTGATGGGCGTTGGGAAGCCTGGGCTCTGGCTACTTTTCTTTCCTCGCTGGGGCGAGTGCGCGTGGGAGTTGATACCATCGTCGGGGTGGTATGTTGGGACGGGGATGTTCGAGATGTAGGTCGGGGTGCGCCACATGGATGGGTTGGGCCAGGCAATGGAGTTGTTTTCAAGCAGTTCTGAACACGTAACTTGCGGTCAGCTGCCGGCGACGGATGAGAGAAGGGGGGCATGGTCTTACCTAGCGGAGCATGCTGGAAGGAAAAGGCGACAACATTCTTGACCCGCTCAAAGGGCACCGTCACGGAGTCGCGTGGAAAGCCTTCGCTGATAAGAACTTTGATGCGACCAAGGTCGTCGCCAGGGCTCCAGTGGCTCTCGTAAAGAAGCTCACGGCGAAAGGTAGGAAACCTTAGGCGTTCGCGTTCGCCCGTCTTTGTATACTCTTGATGCTTGTCAGCATGTCATGGTTATGGGTGATTGCCCCTGCTATGATGCTACGTACCAAAGGTGTCTGCAATCAGATGGGGCCCGTTGACCTTTCGATCGAAGGCAGTAGACGCTACCAAGCGGCCGTCGATGAATATGCGCGCCTCGAACTTGACGAACTCGGTATGCCTGCTGTATGTCTTTGTGAACAGGCTGATATCAGGGGTTTTCCAGGCGTGCATCGAGATCTGGAACGGACTGCCGGCTGGAAGACTGGGAATGAAGCAAGTCATGACAGGTAAGCCAGCCTGTCCGTGCATGTGAGCGAGCTCCTGGTCTGGGACTACATGACACTGGACCTTGAACTCCTTGATTGGAATCTTGCCGTCCCTGCCTGTAGGGAACAGGATGACGTCCCAGTCGTCGTAGCGCATCGTATCGTATGCCGTCGAGCCCAGCCGGTGTTGGAGTGGAGAGTGACTGAACGTAGTATCGATGTTGCTCGGAGCACTGGCAAGATATAATGCGACAAGAAGCAAAGAGAAGAAGCAAAAAGAAGACAGTACACAAAAGACAAGCCAAAGTGACGATGGTTGGCCACGAAAGTTGGAGACGGCGGATTGCCAAGTGTATGCGAAGTGGATGGTGACGATAAAAGTTCTCCTCTTCCCCTCTTGCTTGACCGCTCAGGGTTCTTACCCGCGTATCACGCCGCAGAGAAAGGTCCGCAACAATCTCGTAGGCAGGCAGTAGTTGGATCCATTTGGGAGGAATTTTGCGGTTGCTCCTTCCGTGGTTGTGAAGATAACGTCAGATGTTGACTCTCTGGATCATGGGAAAATGCACAGAGGGCTGGCATCATCGATTCCTTCAAGATCGTGATGGGGGTTCTGAGGAAGGATATCCTGCAATTCGAGCGTCATTGCCATGATCTAGACTCATCCTTGGTACTTGCTGGCCAGGCTGATGGTGAAATCTCCTTCCATTGCTCGTTGGAGGTTGAGCATGATGGGCAAGGAGCTTATCGTAGGCGGGAGTTGCCATTGTAGTGAGCGTTCGGTCCCGAGTCAGTGGTCCACTTGTGACTTACACGGCAAATGTGGAGTCATTACCTCAGACGAACTTGCACGAGTCATGATATTGCAGAGAGACCTGGCCTGTTTTTGAGGACCCCATTGGAAGCAGCAACATGTTTGTGTGGACATGAGCGCACCTCCAGGTTATCTGCTCAAGATTATTCCTGCTGGTGCTTTCTTGTTAGTGGTCAATGGAGATGGAAGGGCTGGACTAGTTAAAGGGCAACATGTGAAAGACGGAAACAAGCAGTTGGACCGGATGCACTCTCTGGCATGATTAATGACTGCTTCCCATGACTCAACTCTATGACTTCCCCGGGTACCGTTCACCCCGGATGGAAGTAGTGGCAGCTACCTCTATGTACAGGCTTTGTTCTGTATTTGTTCCTTCGTGTCTGTATTCAAGGGTCAGGATCACCCGACTGTCTCGCCTGTCAAGTTGAAAGTCAAGAGTCAGCACTGTCCAGTTCCATGTCTTGATCCACAAAATGGAGGAGACCTCGAGGCCGTCTCCATCTTTCAGCCTGGGGAAGCTCCACTTACCCTGATAGCTCCCGAACCGCCCAACTCCTGCAACAAACCGCCCTCGAATTCGCGAGGATACGAGACCTTGTCGGGATACGTGAGCTTGACGCCGTAGCAGAGGCCGAGGAAGGCAACAATGAAGGCGCCAATCTGGGCAAGACCCTTGCCGGGAGAGATCCAGGTGTACTCGTATGGGGAAAACATGCCCAGGATATCGTGGTCTTCGTGCACGGGCTCGCCAAAGTTGCGACGCTCTTGAGGGTCCCACCAGTTGGCGTAGGGATCGCGATGCTGGCGCTTGATGCGCGGGGGGTTGATGTAGCCGCCGTTCTGCGCACAACCAGTCCGTCAGCTACCGTTTGCTTCCACTGCCTGGTCTGTCTGTCTGCCTCCTATCCCACTGCCTATTGTCATACCATCTCGGGGTCCTCAGCATCGGTAAGATGAGGATAATCGGACTCGGGGTACTTTTCTTCCATAAGGCCGCCCCGGCCGGTAAGCTGGTCGGGCAAGAAGGTACGGCGTTGCTGGACAATGGGGGATCGGTTCGCGGCGAGCGCAATGAGACGGGCGGGCGAGGCCCGGACAATTCGGCGGGACAGCATCTGGAGAAGCGTATATCGTCAGTTATTGTTCCGATTCTGGCGCTGTCAATTGGCGCAAAGTTACCTTGGCTTATGAGGGCCGCAATGCAGTCGTGATGCCGAGTTCGAATTGATTTGCGAATTGGGATCTTGACGTTGACGACAGACCAGACACCAGGCGCAACTCGACAGCCTGCTCATCCAAGATGGTCTGTGCACATAGCTTGTGGAGCTGCTGATTGCCTTGCAGGGATGGGCCAAGAGGAAGGAGAAGATGACCCGAGGAATGGCCGCCCCGCATCAGAAGGCTCTTGGCCTGGAGCTGCACTAACAATTTCACAGTGGCACGCCATGTCTCGCCCAGTGAGCTCCCCTTCCCGTCGTCAGCGTCAGAGCTTCCCACTCTCAAACGCGTTGTGCACAGACCTCTTTATGGCTCCTGCACCAAACACGGCAGCATCATTCGCCATCAGCAGAGGCCTTCATCCACTGTGATCAGGCTGGCCGTGTTGGCTTGGTGTCCCGCTCGGTGCCGCTGCCGTTGATGCATTTTTTTCGTCGGTTGGCAACTTTTTGCGATTTGCGGGCAACGGCCTTTCCGACGACATTTCCACGCTGCAGCCAGCCCTCCCGTAGCCTGATCACGCCCAAACCCGGGCATGAGATAGTTCCAAGTCGTGCGGTTTCTCTGACGTTGTTTTGGTCTCATCAAATGCCCGTTTCGTCGAGATATCCGCCCCCATATCCCCTCGATAGGCGTGGCTGCTGTGACAGTGACCATGACTATGATGACCGACCACGGCACCGCGTCTGATTCTGCGCGAGTTGATTCAACAAGGAACGACACCACCACCACGGCCACCACCACCACCCCCGCCATTGTTAACGGCAACGGCAACGACAAGGACAACGACAGCACCAGTCATCACGGCGATGATAACAATAACATCAATACAGACAACAAGAGCAACACCAACCATGTCCCCGCCATCGATACCTCTACCACCAACACCAACAACGATGGCTTCCTCGACCGCGACCAGTCGCCCTTGTCGTCCATCTCGTCCCCGCTGAGCGAACCCGATAACTTTGAGTTTGATACCGAACCGATTCCATCGATCCCATCACCAAAGTCTACGACAAGCGATAATGCCCGTGACGGAGAGACCCCCGAACTCGACCAAGATGGACAACCACCCGCCAAGCGACGCCGAGTGCGCGAAACAACACCTCACAATCACTCGCGCAAACCGAAACCAGAGTCACCACCATGGAAGAAGTTCGAAGCCGAGGGTCCGACCACCATCATCACCGAAGACGGTCGTCGCAAGTCTGGTCGCGTCAATCCCGTCTTGCTAGGCATGAAACCCAGCGACAAAAAGGTTACGCGAAAAGCTATACAAACAAGTCCTGTCAGCAATAAAAGCAGCGCCAGTTTGTCCAGGAAGCCAGCGCCAGCAAGCAGCAGCAGCAAACATGCCCCTTCAAAGATGCCGCCCCCGCCGCCGAAAGCTCCCGCGCGCAAGTCCGCCACGACTCATGATACTAGACCCTCCGCGTCCCGACCCCGTCGACGATCTACATCTCCCCGACGTCCTGCTACACCACCGAAACCTGCCGCGATCGGTACGCGTCGTTCAACGCGCCAGGCCCTAGCCCATTCTCGAGCATCCTACGATGATGGCCAACTCTCTCCCGGTGCCTCGCGCGCCACTCCCCGTATCAAGCTCAAAGTTCGACCGCCATTGACCGTAATACCCCTCGTTCATCCAAACCAAGCCAATGTCCGCCCGAAGCTTGGTCCTACCTTTGAGGAATACTTTGCGCGCGCCCAAGAAATACCAGTGGAGGAGGGTGGCCAACAGATCGCCGATGAAGGGCCCGAATACACAGACGAGATGGCCCTCCAAGACGCCAAGGTCATTCTACGGGTCGAAAAAGAGGTTGAGCCAGGGGGCTTACTCGCCCCCGACAGGTGTTCGGCGTTTGTGCCTGAGGCCGAGGAAGAGCCGCCACGACAGTGGGCTCATCTCGACCACCTTACAAAGGCCATGACCAACTTCCGCAAGTTGATGTATAGAGAGCAGCAGTTGCATATGCAGTCAGCCAAGCGCATCGCCATCGCATGTGAAGCCGAGTGGAGACGCCGTAACCCGCAGCCTAAAACCGCCGAAGAACTCGAGCTCGAGGAGATCGAAGCGTCCAAGGCCAAATGGCGCCAGGTCATCAAGGCCTTTGCTGGGACATGGGAAAATGTTAGGGTCGAGGTCAACAGGCGCCGCTTGGTGGAATGGGAAGCGGAGGAACAGCGCCGTGTCAAGGCTGCGCTGAACCAAGCTGTCAACCTGTCCGAACAAAAGCTACAGCAACGACAAGCGCAAGTTGACGGGGACGAGATCACAGACGAGGATGAGGATGAGGACGACGAGGACCTGGAAAGTGGCATGCCGTCAGTGATGGGCGACGACGAGGAAAGTGACGAGCACTCCGACGAAGGATCCGACGAGATGTCCGGCGAAGATGACGAGAACGAAGATGAGGATAACATGTCCTCCTCCGAGGACGACGACGATAAGAAATCGGCCGCCTCCGACGAGGGCTTGACTCAAGAAGAATTACGCGCTAAATACGCCAACCTGCCTACCTTGGATAAGACAGATGAAAATAAAGATACAACAAAGGACGTGGAGATGGCTGATGCTTCGGCTGCTGTGGATGGCAGCGGTGCGAATGACGACGATACAAGTGATGAGTCAGTAGACATGGACGACGACCTTGGATCTAGCGAGGAGGAGTCAGATGAAGACGACGAAGACGAGGATGACGAGGAAGAGGAAGAGTCCGACGATGAGCCTGCTGGCTTGCTAGGATTATTCTTTGGAAAGTCGGAGCTAAAGAAGTTGAAGGAGGAGGCTGAAATTGAGGAGCCGTCGGCTGAAACGGCTGGGGACGTGGAAATGGCCGATGGTCCTGCTGTTGTTGAGCCTGAGCCCCAAGTTAATGGCCATGCGGAGGAGGCGCCGAAAACTAATGGTTTCCATACTAATAAGCAGCGGTCGATATCTCAACCTGAGGGTGCAGAGGAGGAAGTATCGTTGCTGGAGGTACCCAACAGTACAGCAGCACAAAGTTCTCAGAACACAACAGACCCGGGGAGTGGACTGGCAAAGAAGAATCCCCTCGTCAGTGGCGGTCCATTGGAGCATCATAATGAGACTGTGCAGCCCGAGGACCAGGCACTCCGAGCGAAAGAGTCGGTTGAAGCTGGGGGCGACCTGCCGATGGTTGATGCTCCACCAACAGACGACCTGCAAAGGGATACAGCCGCGGCGCCGTCAATAGAGGCACCCCCTAACCCCCGACATGATAGTCAGGAAACGGTGGCGGCTACTGACATGCAAAGCCAGTCACAAACGCAGTCACCAAAAACAACTGATACCAAACCGACCGATGTCGATACTCCCCACTCAGAGCTGGCCGTCAGTGTGCAAAAGCCCGACAGCAGACAATCCTCACCTCAGCCAACAACCCCAACAGTCAAGACCGAAATTCCGTTTCTCCTACGTGGAACACTGCGTGAGTATCAGCATCATGGTCTGGACTGGCTTGCCGGGCTTTATGCCAATAACACCAATGGTATCCTGGCCGACGAGATGGGTCTAGGAAAGACCATCCAGACCATTGCTCTGCTGGCGCATCTCGCCTGTCATCATGAAGTTTGGGGTCCCCATCTGGTCATTGTTCCTACGAGTGTCATGCTCAACTGGGAAATGGAGTTCAAGAAGTGGTGTCCGGGATTCAAGATTCTCACCTACTACGGCAACCAGGAAGAACGCAAGAGAAAGCGCCAGGGATGGAACAACGACGATGTCTGGAACGTCTGCATCACCTCATATCAAATGGTCCTTCAGGACCAACAGGTGTTCAGGCGCCGACGCTGGCATTACATGATTCTCGACGAGGCCCACAACATCAAAAACTTCAAGTCGCAGCGCTGGCAAACATTGCTCGGCTTCAACACGCAGGCTCGGTTGCTACTAACAGGTACACCGCTGCAAAACAATCTTACCGAGCTGTGGTCGCTCCTCTACTTCTTGGCGCCACCAGAGAACGGTGAAGGTGGGTTCGTTGACCTCACCGAATTCCATAACTGGTTCGCTAGGCCCGAATCTCAGATCTTGGAAAGCGGTCGTGAACAGCTGGATGATGAGGCACGTGCCATCATTGCCAAGCTGCACAAGGTCCTTCGACCCTACCTTCTCCGTCGTCTCAAGGCGGATGTCGAGAAACAGATGCCGGCGAAGTATGAACACGTCGAGTTCTGTCGCCTTTCCAAACGTCAGCGAGAGCTGTACGACGGGTTCCTCTCCCGCGCCGATACCCGCGAGACACTGCAATCTGGCAACTACATGTCTATCATTAACTGTTTGATGCAGCTCCGAAAGGTCTGCAACCACCCCGATCTCTTCGTGGACCGGCCCATCATGACTTCGTTCCGCATGTCGCGGTCAGTACCGGCCGACTACGAGTGGAATGAGAAGTTCATTCGGGACAAGCTGTTGGTTACGAAGCCCATGACCACTGTCAACTTGAGCCTCCTCAACATGATCCCAACCGAATACGAGGACCTGTCCAAGACGCACACCGACCGTATCGCCCAGCTCAGCTCCCATCGCATTTTACTCGACCTGAGGGAGGCACAGAAGGTTCGGGCCAACAATGCTTACACAGCGCTGGATCCTGCTTCGGTCAAGTCCAACCTCGTGTATCTTGAAAGTGCCGCCAGATGGGGTCGGTTCGAAGAGCTTCAGCACTGCGTCTACATCAACGCCCTCCGTCGCCAACAACGACCCATTTACGGCAAGCGCCTGACCGAGTTCCTCACCCTCGACACTCACCTCCGGCCCTACAAACCCCGACCCAGAGTCCCAGCTAAGATCATGTCCTGGTTCGAAGAGGATTCCTTCCTGCTACACAACGCCATCCCCACGCTGCAACAACGCGCCGAAACCATGGAAATGACCATCACCAAATTCGCATGTGTCACTCCCGCGGTCGTCACCGGTCCCGAAATGAACCGATTCCTCCTTGGCGAGCGCGGCATCCAACTGTTCGAGGACCTCGACCTCAAGCTCTCCGCCCCCGTCAAATACGCTCCCTACATGCCACCCCAACCTCCACCGGACCCCTGGCACGAGGCCCGCATGCGCCTGACCATCCAATTCCCCGACAAGCGTCTCCTCCAATACGACTGCGGCAAGCTCCAAGCGCTCGACAAGCTTCTCCGCAAACTCCAAGCCGGCGGCCACCGCGCCCTGATCTTCACGCAAATGACCAAAGTCCTCGACATCCTCGAACAATTCCTCAACATCCACGGACACAAGTACCTCCGTCTCGATGGCGCCACCAAAGTCGAACAGCGCCAGATCCTCACCGACAGATTCAACCACGACCCGCGCATCCTCTGCTTCATCCTGTCCACCCGCTCCGGCGGCCTCGGCATCAACCTCACGGGCGCCGACACGGTCATCTTCTACGACCAGGACTGGAACCCAGCAATGGACAAACAATGCCAAGACCGCTGCCATCGTATTGGCCAGACAAGAGACGTGCATATCTATAGGTTGGTGTCGGAACACACGATTGAAGCCAACATCCTGCGCAAAGCTAGTCAGAAACAGATGTTGGATGACGTGGTTATTCAAGAAGGAGCGTTTACCACTGATTACTTCAATCGGTTGTCCGTCCGAGACGTGTTGGGCTCAAATGGAGAGGTGATCGCCAGCAATGAAGACGACGTGGCCGCCAATCTCGCCATGGATCGCGTGCTAGGCGGGCCATCAACCGCGGCAGCAGCCGACGATGGCACTGCCGAAGGCGGCGCAACCCAACCCCCCGTTCGGAACGTGGGCAGGGTGCTAGAAATGGCAGAAGACCGGGAAGATGTCGACGCCGCCAAAGCAGCGGAAAAAGAAATCATGCAGGACGAAGCGGACTTTGGTGATGCGGGAAGTACACGGCCGGGAACGCCGGGTGATGCGCTGGCGGATCTTGATGGCCAACTTGTTGGACTTGGAGGGGAAGAAGATAAGCAGGCGGTGGAGGAGGAGGAACAGGTGGTGGAGTATAACGCCTGGGGAGAGAGGATCCATACTATTGATGAGTATATGCTGGGGTTCATGGCGAAGGCGCTGGAGGGTACGCCGTTGGAGTTGCCGAGGGATCGCAAGAAGGGGAGGGATAGGAATAGGAATCGGAAGGGGAAGGATACGAGGAAGCGATAGAGGTGGTTGAGGTGATGGGGGGTGAGTAAGGAAGTGGTGTATGATAGAAGGAGGGGAAGGTGTTATGGATTGAGGCGAGGTGAAGATGAATAAAGTGCATAGTTCTTTTTGTTGTTATAACTACTAGTCAGCGAGTTGGTCTTATTGCGCGCTGAAGAAGACAGGCAAGGTGTATGAAGGGGGAGGTGACGGAGTAGAGCTGGAACTGAAGTAAATGACCGTGTATTATACTAGACGTTATACCATATTCGACTCTTGGGAAAGTAGAATGAAAGATCAAACAAATTGTCTTCAGCCCTGGCGCGTAGCCAGACTCCACTGTTTTTTCGGTGCAGCTTTTTTTTGTTCGATGTCGCCGACACGAGTGTTGGAGGAGGGGCTAAGAAAGGCAAAAGAAAAAAAAAGGGTGGCCCGTACCGGAGTCGAACCGGTAACTTCTATTCTATGCTGGACAGCCGGAAGTATCGCAATACGACAAGACATCAGCTAAGTAGTGTTGGCCATTACACCAACGGACTACGGGAAGGTGGGGGAGGAAAGGGGATTTATGAACCCTACTTTAGACCCCTCGGCCGGTGGGAGTTGGGATGAGGGGCAAGGTGGAAGCGGTCCCGTCGGCGAGGCGTGGCTGGCCAAACAAACAGTGGAGCTGATGGGTTGTTAGTGCACTATCGGTTAACCTGCGAAATCCTGCCCGCAGATGATAGTGTCGTATCCCCTTTTTCGTCTGATTGTTATCGGGTACCTTATCGAACCGTTCATGTCAGCTGCCCCTGGGAGGTCATGACAGCGGAATTGTTGGAGGCTGGAAAAGGCGACAACGAAAAAGGGCTTGATTGTGGTTGTCTAGCGGAAGAGGAGAAACGGAAACCAGGGCAGCCTAAATACCTGGAAGGGAGTGCCGGTGAATGGGCGGCCCAGTGCCATTCACTGGGCAGGGCACGGACTTCCAATAGGAATGCACTTTCCATGAGCAGGTGTTTGCGAACGCGGGGGCCTTTTTCCACGCTCTTTACTTCTCCATCTTTCCCAGTTTTTACCAGTCGTAGCGTTTCATTTCATCAACCATCTAGAGCGCGGAACTTGTCGTTACTAATCCCATCATCGCACCATCCCAGTGCATCATTCCCTTCGCAGCCTCACCCAACCCATCGCGGAAACCAACAGAGGGCCCCCGGCCTTATACACCACGACCAACAATCTGACCATTCAGCCAAGGGCACCGCCTCCCTTTTCCATCGCGGCTGACAGGGAATGTGTGAGACAACCATAAGGCTGCATCCGCTGCATGACGGGAAACCATGCCTGTCATTTCCGCCCGGTCGGCCCATGGGTTGCATTCCATGACCATCCCACGCAGCGACATTGGTCACTTTGCCAATCACCGGTCATGACTTACACGACGCCAGGCTTCTATTTTCTTGCTCCCTCCATAAGGGTCAATGAGGCTGAACACCATGTTGGAATGGGGGCCGATATTCGGAGTTCCTCAGGGTGTGTGGGTGGGACGTATCGGGTGACAGGCACACACGCCCACGGATTGGCTCACTTGACCTTTCCTAGCCCCAACAACTGACTTATACACAGGTTCAACCCATAACACATATCATCCCTTCCAACACTGTACACGACCCTTTCCAAATTCCAACCTTGAAGGCGGCTTTTTGTGTCCTTTTGCTGTCGCACCGCGCCAAACGCGGCTCGGCTCTTTTGGCTGCAACATACCGATGTTTGTCCCTTGTTCCGCAGGCAACCCAGGCTGAACTCATCTCCCGCCGACCGCCTATCTCGTACTACTGACATAGAGACGAACAAACTGAACTGGTGGTTGCACCGGGGTGACTAGACGGTGAATGAGGGCTTGATTCAAGCTGAAGTCAGTTTCGGTGAAGGGTGTCAATCAGGACCCAGGGCTTGGTGTCAGCGGCTGTTGACCTCGCCAGGCCATATGAGTGATGTTTTCCTCGTACAGACCTACAGGGAGGAATTGGGTGTTGGCGGCGGCCTCATGACCTTTGGATGACTCTGAAGTCAAGTCTGAGGAGGTCATGACCGGATGGTCAAATGACTTTTGCAAAGGAGCTGGATATAAAGCGTTGTTGTTTTCATCTGTGGTGTATTTGGTTCCTCGCTTCTTTCTGACCAGCTTCCACAAGTCAAACGTTCAACCAGAATCAGCAAAGCTTAACCAACACAACAGACAACACACACACACACAAAGCCACTCGCGTCGCTTCCGAACCAAGAACCAACCAACACGCAACAAACACAAACCACGACACCACCTCTACCTCTACCAACCGCAGCAGCACCAACCTCCAAAGCAATGGCCTCGCGCTGGTACACCACAGACTATTGCACCATCTGCTGCCGGCACATCCCCGTCTACTCATGGTACTACCACTCCTACACCTGTCATCGGCGCACCGTCACCAGAACCAGCACCAGCACCGGAGCTCGGCGCTCGCACTCGCGCCACCGTGAGCGTGAGCGTGAATACGAGTACGAAACCACCGTCCGACGCACCCGGAGTCGAAGCCGCCATAGGTCTGCTTCGTACTATTACTACCTTCCGTGGAGACATCGCCCGGCTCCCGAGCCGGTGAGGTGTCCTACTCCTGCTCCGTTGCCGGAGCCTTGCCGGAGCCGGAGGGATAGCTCGGACAGGGATAAGGGGTGGAGGAGGAGGACGGTTGATATTTATATTGAGCATTAAGGGGCATTGAATACCTCAAGGAAAGGACGGGACGGACCCGTCACCACGCTCTTTCGCATCATTATTTTCGCATCCACGCTTTCTTTGCGGACGCTCCTGTTTTCAGACAACACTCATTTACTTCGATAACGACTCGTTTAATTCTACCGAACCCTCGTTTACAACAGGCCACTTCATCACCTGGACCGGCCTACTACTCTCTTTTGTCAAACAACTTGACAGTATACACCTCCTTGCTTCTCTCTCTTTTCCTTTGTTCATGTGGGGCGTTGGCGTTTTGATGGAACCAGAACTTGAAGACACACATCAGATTGAATGATAGAGACATGATGGATGGATGGGATATGAAGGGAATGCATGTATGATCGACACAAACAATAGTCTAGGTAGCCCTAGCGCTTGGAATCAAACCAAACTGAGATTAACAGAGGTATTGCCCTTGGTGCCGTGATTCGGCATGATGCAGGAGCATCGTCAAGTGTTGGCTCCATCGTAACGTTCTCGTCAAAATTTGGGGAGGGTTGGGACCCCACGACGAAATGACCACAATCTCGGGCCAGAAGTTGTCGCAAAGCCGTAGGAAGAAGGACACTTCAGGGTTCGAAACGCTACCTTAAGAATAAATTATTTGGCTTGCGACAGCTGGGTGGGAAGATATAACAGAGTGTCTCCCGACCCTTTCTCGTCATCCCCGTCGAGAGCGCTGTCCAGGAACACAGTGGGTTAGGGTTAAGTGTGGTTCTCGCCAAAATTGATCACGACTTCCGTCCGGGCCTTGGCGCGCCGCGGGGAAACTCCACTCGTCATCCGACCTGCCGATACTTATCATCGGAGTGCCTAAAACGACTGTGTGGAGACAGAAGCTGTAAGTCGCCAAGTTAATAGAGAAGGTTAGGGTTAGTTAGTGTTAGGGTTAGCGTTTAGGGTCAGTTAGGGTTCGTTCCGGGGGTGCAGGGTGCCTGTGAGAGGCCCCCGCGTGTGAATGTGAATTTGGTGTTGAGAAAGATGTCGTTTTGAGCTCTCATTGTCGTCGTTGAAGATGATGACCTTTGGTGGTGTTTTTTGGCGATAGGCGTTTCGGACTTGATGCCAAGAGTTGGAAACTTTGCAGCAAAAGTCCTGCTCGACACAGTCGTTTCAGCCAAACATACAGTCGTTTTAGCCACCTCGCTTATCATCTCATCGTTGTCCGTTATCATTTGATCCCGTCCCAACGAGCGGCCTGTTCGTCTGTTTGTTCATCCCATCAATCTGCCCTGGCTTAATATCATCGTCGTTTCGTGTCGTTTTTCTACTTGTTTTTATGCGTTCGTATCAATAATTTCGGCAGATATTGGGAAATGTCGACAGCGAACCAACGCGCCAGCGCCCAAACGCGCCAAACACTCAACCGGTCCCGTCCCAACGGCCCGCACCGCAAAAAAAAAAAAAAACCAGTTCGACAAACAAAACTTTCCCTTCAGACGGCATTCCAGATCTTCGACCACAGTGAACCAGCGAGCTCCCGAACAGAAGCTCTTTCGATCTTGCGAGCTTGCAAATGAAAATGTCGAGGTAGGACGGCAAAAACCAAACCGAGTCAGTCTAGTCCCAATCCAGAAGGTAGCTGGGGAAAGATAATACGAGGTGAACAATCGCTTGGCGATCTTTACGGCCCCGCTGAGTGCGCTGACGGCGATCGCCCAGCACATCGCCCAGCACATCGCCCAGCAGGCACAAAAGTCCGATGCGGTGATGGGACATGCGGTTTTGTTACAGTTGACGTCTCGACTTTCTTGTCATCGCGAGCACGTTTGACAAGAAGGTCAAAAGAAGGTTGCTGGACGGGCAAGTCTGCGGAAACAAACACGCAAATAACACGATGAACGGCGGCAGGCCAACAAGGTGCCTCAATCGTTGCGGGGGACCCCGGCCAGTTGCTTAATTCAACTTGGCAGGTCCATTGCGCCTCGATTGCGCCCCGGCCATGACAGGTCCCGGGCGGCGGTCAATCGTCAAGATGGGGAAGGTGGTTCTGAACCTCGCTCTTTCCACAATTCAATTTCCATTGCTCACGAATCAACCGTGGAAAGCTTCATTGGCCCATCGGTTCGGTTACATCTATGACGGCCAATGGCACCAAAACTGAACAAAAGTTCGGTACGCTAGAATGCGTCAGTGCTCAGTGGCACGGCGTCCGGGGCGGCGAACTGCAGCCAGGAAAACAACCAGGAACCACAATGATCAGCTCCTTCCATGTTCGGAGAATTAAAAGTTGTGCCAAGTGGATCTATTGGATCACTGGACGGATTGGCCATGTCTATCGGCGATTGTATCTCCAAGTTCCGGTTTGCATATAATAACGCCCGTTGGTCTCGTCGCAAGCCATGGCCGCCCTCCCTTCCCATCACCCTCTCTTCACCCTCTCCCCCATCCTCTCCTTCTTGCCCTCACCTCTTGCTCCCCGCGAGTGAGGCAAGATCACCGGCAACATGAGGTTCTTCTCCGCCGCCACCGCTCTTCTGGCGGCCGCGTCCACCGCCCATGCCGCCTTCTTCAAGACCATCGGCATGGAAATCGGCCCCCTCGACGACCACATCGAGACCCTCAACAAGCGTGCCGAAGTCAACGGTACTTCCGGCTACGGCACCTTCGACCAGCTGATCGACCACAACACCCCCGAGCTCGGCACCTTCAAGCAGCGCTTCTGGTACGGCTTCCAGTACTGGAAGGGACCCGGCTCGCCCATCATCCTCGTCAACCCCGGCGAGCAAGCCGCCGATGGCTTCAACAAGTCTTACCTCACCGACCAGCGTCTGGCCGGCTGGATGGCCAAGGACATCGGCGCCGCCGTGGTGATCATGGAGCACAGATACTGGGGCGAGTCCAGTCCGTACGACCAGTTGACAGTGAAGAATCTGCAGTATTTGACGCTGGAGAACTCGTTGAAGGATATCAACTACTTTGCCGAGCACATTCAGCTGCCGTTTGACAAGACGAATGGCAGCAAGCCTGCCAACGCGCCTTGGATCTTCACCGGTGGTTCTTACTCGGGCGCCCTGGCCGGTTGGCTGGAGGCGCTGTATCCCGGTACCTTCTGGGCGTATCATGGCACTTCTGGCGTTGTTGAAGCCGTTGGACCTTTTTGGACCTATTTCGTCCCTGTCCAGGAAGCGACTCCGCAGAACTGCAGCAGGGATCTGAGCGCTGTTATTGACTATGTCGACTCCGTACTGCTGTTTGGTACCCCCAAGGCCAAGCGCGAGCTCAAGACCAAGTTCAAGCTGCAGGATTTGACTGATGCCGATTTTGCTTCGTGAGTTGTCTTGGACTGTCTGTCAAGCTGATCAATGCTAACGTATCTATCTACAGCGCCATTGGAAGCGGCCCCTGGAGCTGGCAATCTAGCCAGTTCTACTCGGAAAAGATCTCCGGCTACAACCCCTACTACCGCTTCTGCGACTACGTCGAAAACGTCTGGCCCAACTCGACCAACAAGGTTCCCGGTCCTCAGGGTGTTGGCATTAAGAGGGCCCTCGACGGATACGCCAAGTGGTTCGTCGAGGAGTCTCTTCCTGGCACCTGCGAGTCTAGTGGCTACGCTGGCTTCGAGGGCGAGGACAACGTTCTCTGCTTCCAGAACCAGAACGCCTCCAACCCCATCTTCCACGACTTGTCGGTTGGCAACGCCTACAACCGCCAGTGGAACTGGTTCCTTTGCAATGAGCCGTACGTATTTTCTCCCTCTCCCTTCCAGTTCCATTATACTGACATGCATGCAACAGCTTCGAATGGTGGCAAGACGGCGCCCCCCTCGGCCGCCCCTCCATCGTCTCCCGCCTCGTCGACGCCGACTACTGGCGCAAGCAGTGCCCGCTCTGGTTCCCCACCGAGAAGGGCTCCGGCGCTTCCTACGGCATCAAGCAGGGCAAGCGCGCCGAGGACGTCAACAAGTACACGGGCGGCTGGAATCACACCAACGGCACGCGCATAATGCAGGCCAACGGCTCGCTCGACCCCTGGAGAGACGTCACCCTGTCGTCCAAGTTCCGGCCCGGTGGCCCCTTCAAGGGCAACAAGAACCACCAGGTTCGCGTCATCGAGGGCGGTACTCACTGCTCCGACTTCTATGGCCCCAACTGGAGCGCCAATGAGGGCGTCAAGAAGATTGCGGCGGACGAGGTCGCCCAGATAGGACAGTGGGTGGCGGACTTTTACAAGGAGAAGGGCATCACTAGGCCCCAGTAAAGGAGGGGTGGAGCTGTACATATGAGTGAGAGTGCCTATGATTGAATGCCTTGATGTACATACCTAACGAGAGCATGAATCTATATACCAGAATGTCTTGCTGCTTTGTTGCTGTTGTTTTGCCATGTTGGCCAAACGAGGAAAAGAACCATACGTAACGATTGCGATGGGTTACGTAAGCCCAAAGTCTGTTCATTACAACCATCCAATAACAAGGGCCGCTGGTCTAGTGGTATGATTCTCGCTTAGGGTTCAATCCTGAGCATTCTTGCGAGAGGTCCCGGGTTCAATCCCCGGGTGGCCCCATTCTTTTTCAACTTTTTTTTGCATTTCTCTTCATCCACCTGTCCTCTTTTTACCTCTGCTAAATGATTTGAGACCTTTTTCTGCCTTTTTTTTTTTGTTGGTGGTGGTGTTGAAGGTCTTTGACAACAAAAACATCGAGATACCACCACGGAAACAGCGGGCGCTTCATGAAAGAAAACTGGCACTTGCCAAATTTGGAGGGTGTTCGCACTTTCATTGGTCCAACGAAGCTTTCAACCCAAACCCCCAAAGTTGTTCTCTGAGTCCCTGTACAATCCCGCATATTCCTCCCCGTGCATAACCTGGAATGTATTTCTTTCTTGCCTCATCATCCCCACTTTCTGCCTCCGATCATGATCCCACCCCTCCAAGCTTAGACGAACCCTACCGGGCTAATACCGCCTTGACCTCACACCCCCTCGCCTTGTTTTCAGCTCCTGCAGGGTCTATCGGCAGGGTAATTTTGTGCGTGGTCCGACTGCATCTGCATGCACCACTTCTTGACTACGTACCTGTAACATCTCCGTTTGGAGTTTGGACCTCTCGGCTGCCTCACTCACTGCAGTGCATCGGGCTGTTCCCTTTTCTCTCGGCCCTCGTCCAAACCCGTCGGCGTCGGGTGTCCTTCTTCCTTCTTTCCTTGCACTCGGTTCCTTCTCCTGTCCCCCCGCCCCGTCAATCGGAACCCCTCCCTACCTTACCTTACCACCCCCTCTTTTGCCTTCCTAGAGGTACCTACCTTCCACACCTGCACCCTCCTCCCCCCCCTCCTTACCCTTAGCACCAGCACCCAAAGCAAGCCGTCCCTGGGCCTTCCACCCCTCCACCTCCTTCCTATCCACCCAATTCCCATGCAACCCCAACTTCAACTTCATGGGCAGATGGATCACCGCCACCGGCCCTTGCGCCAGGTTCAAAGCGTCGAAGATGACTACGTCGTTGCGCAGCTGGTCTAGGTGGTTTAGGAGGGCGATTATGTACCCTTCTCCTTCCTTCTTGCTGTTGGGTGATGGGATGAACGTTGGTTCTTGGAAGGTGGTTGTGGGTGAGGCGTGGTAGATGTCGGATGTGCCGTAGGGTCCGTAGGGGGAGGAGGGGCTGGATGAGGGGCTGGATGAGGTGGAGGGGGGTGCAGGTGTGTGGGTGGGTGGTGCAGATGGTGCAGCTGGGCCCGTTCTGACACCGTTACCACTCCTTCCGGTTGGGACTGAAGGTGGGACTGGGGCAGCCGTGGAAGTAGAAGTAGAGGGGTCCGGGTCTGATCCCAAAGGTGAGGAGGAGTGAAAGTGCGCATCAGACCAAGTGAAATGTCCCAAGCAGTTAAACAGTCCGCCAGCCGGTGGTCCACACTTCTCGAAATCGTAAGGCCTACTAGGGTCGACGACCGCTTGCCAGAAGTGTCTGTAGGGCTTGGTGATGTAGCGCTCGTCGATGCGAGAGAACTCGCCGTTTGTGGGCCAGACCACTGCAGGTGTGAGGCGGGTGTCTGCAACGAGGATGGTGTCACCTTGCGGGGTGACGAAGGGGGAACGAGCCGCGTGGGGATCGATGATCCAGCGCATGGTGGGGGAGGTGAGTTTGTTCGGTCTAAGTGGGACTTTGGGGTCGAGGGGAGGGGCGGAGGGAGTGATCTTGGGGTCTAGAGGGAACCAGTAGAAGACGTTGTTGTCGGCGACGGTGAGGTCGATGATTATTTCTCCTGAGGGGAGCTCGTAGCAGCCGGCTACGTGGCCGTGGAAGCCTTTGTCGTATGTCAGCATCATGTTCGTGTTAACAGAGAGGGAAAGACGAACCATTATCAGCCCTGAACCAAACCACCTCCCCGTTTTCGTCGTTCCCATCTCTCGGTACAACGCCATACCACTGATCTTCTTCGGGGTCCCAAGCGAACTTCTCGCCGCCTCTCTTCATTCTCTCCAAATCCATCTTTAGGGGAGTCAGAGGCAAGACCACCCAGTTCTCGGACACTCCACAATCATGAATCATTCCCGCAAAAGGTGCTTTGAACCACCTCTCCCCCAACTTCTTGCCAGTCTCTTCATCAATGGTCCACACTACACAGTCTACCGAACAATCGCCCGGTTCCCCGCCGGCTTCATAAGCAAAACAGACCATTTCCTGTCCTTCGTTCCTTATCCCGTTCCGCTCTGCACCACCTCCCTCACCAGCACCTGCATCTCCCCTCGCCCCCTTTGCCTTCGTAACCTTGGGCACAATCTTTGGATGCGCCGTAAAAGTAGGACTCCTCACCTGCCCCTCAAAATCCCACCCCCGTTTTTGGGTTTCCAAAGTCTCCGGATCCAACGCAACCGGTAATCCATCCTCCTTCATCGCCAACAGCGCCCCGCGCCAGAAAACAACATTAGTATTAGACACAGTCCTGTCCATTTTCTGCTTCTGGACCAAGGGATCATCGGTCAATTGGTTCCGATAAGAGCCAAAAAGGGCGCGGCCGTGGAGTTGTTCCGTGACAAAACGGGTGGTTTGGACGTAGCGGTGGAGGAGGGTGGCTGTTCCTGTTCCTGCTTGCGCTTGGTCTGCATCACCTCCTGAGGCTCCTGTGCCTGGCTCTGGAGCGATAGGAGCGACAGGAGCTCCCGGCCCCAACAGACTAATAGCTGTCACGGCGCCGTCCCCATTAAAGTGTATGTCGTTCGCGTACAGAGGAGGGAAAAACCGATCGGGTTGGACGCGGTAGAAGGTCCCGTTTAGTCCCGCGGGAATCTGGCCGGAGATGGGGAGGTAGGGGAGAGAGAGGTGGGGAGCGCGGAGGGGGGTGTTGAAGCCTGTGAAGGGAGGAGTGGGCGGGAAGCGCACGGGGTGTGGGGAGGTCAAGCGGCCGTGCTCATCGTAGGGGGGTCGAGAGTCAGGGGAGTTGGTGATGGGGGTGGTGACGTAGGGGGTTGATGTCATGGTGAGTGCTGCTTGCTTGCTTGATGCCTCTTGATGCTTTCTTTGATGCTGCAAGTGTTTTGTTTGGCAACGCGTTGCAGTTGTCGAGTGTTGGGAAGACAATGAAGTGGCTTGAACAGACAGCTAGCTGGTGATGCTGCTTGTGACTGACCGTCGTCAACTTCCGTAACCACCGACGGGGGTCGCCGTGTTTTTGTTTTACGATTTTGGGACGATGCCAAGACTTTACCCCTTTCTCGTCCGAACGGTCAACCGTGTGAAGGATCGGATGAACATCCTTCTCGGCAGCAACTACCGAGAAAGGAACTGTGATTGGGAATGAGGCATTGTTGGAGTTTATTTCCGTAGGGAAACGAACCCCGCTTTCAGATACGATTTACCAAATTTTTATTTCTGTGATTCACTGAACCGTTGTTGGTGGTTTGCCGGCTGCCCGGGGAATGAGGTGTGCGGGCAAGTGCGGGGCGGGGCCGGGAGGGGAACGCGACACGGGCCAGAAGGGTGCCCGGACACTCGGCAGTCGTCCGACCTGCATGGGACAAAAGGGATCAGGACTTGGAACTTTGGGGCATAAAATGTCAGGAAATCATTTGAAAGTACTCTGAGATTTATCAGACCGTGGCAACTGAAATCACGAGCAAGTGTCGCAGCACAGTGCGAGGATTGAGAGGTCAATCAATGTTCGACAGATTTCGAACCTCCATACTAACGGAGTCGTTAACGAGAATTTCACGACTCTCATATCTTGTATCCCTCTGCGCTGTATCAAAATTTGGGACAAGGATTCACACGAGCGACGACATTTCAAGCCAAACCCTTTCTCTGGCTAGACTGGTGGTTCAGCCGCCGAGACTGAGCGGGAAACTTACGGTTCTCCAAGTCACTGCCTGGATTTTTCTGAATTGCTACAGTGGGCGGACATAGCCTCAGGTGCAGCAACATCATGGCTGCTGAGCGTTAACCTGCCGGACATACACCTGCTGCCCCGGATGCAGAGTTCTGGCATGGAACAATGCACCACGCCACTCTGTACTGCAAGTTAACCCTAATGGCACACACATTTATGTTCCGGGTAAATTGGTGGGTATTGTCTTTGAGCTTCCTGTGTTAGCTTGGTTTGTTCGCTCGATCTCCCCCCGATGGGCGGATTGCAAGACTACCTTCTGTTACAAGGCTATCACTGCAGATTCAGGAATGGCGAATCACGAGCATCGATGGCTTGCGACGTACGACCGTGAGTGTGATCAAACTGCATACCTCGACAACTGAACGAAAACTGACCCTGGACCAGCAAAGCTCAGCGATCCAGCCTTTTACCGCACCACTCACTCTTCCACCTTGTCCTGCACCAACTCGGGCAACACCCTTTCCCCCTTCCTACTCTCCCGCTCCTCCGCGCCCTCCCACTTCTTTCCCCTGGCAACTCCAACACCAACGGCTCTTCGCACCCCTCCTGCACCCCCTCTCCGTACTTCGGCGCCCTCAAATCCTCACTCTTGATCTTCTCCCCGGTAACCGGATGCGGATAATGAAACGGCACCACCCTCGTATCCGGCCACAACATCTTCCTCTCGAGAATCTCATCCGGGCCCGTGGGATCCTCCGGAAACGTCCTCGTCGGCCACGGCACATAATTCGGCTTGCTCTTACTCCACCCGGTCTCAAAATCCGCATACCAAAACGGGAAGTACCTATACCTCCAAAGCTTCCACACTCCGTCTTCTTTCACATACTCATTCTCGTACAGACCTCCTTCCCACCACTGCCTGTGGCCCATCGGGAAGTCTTTCTCGATGGAGTGATGAGTGCCAGCTTGCATCAGGGCGCGCATGCGGCACCAGGCGTGGTCGCCCGAGGCAGAAACGTCGACGATGTCTTGCATCATTATGTGGTCGAGCAGGAAGCCGTGGATGGGACCGTTGCGGCCGGCGACGAAGGTCTGGGCGAAGCGCTTCTTGTAGAGGCGCTCGACGCCGGCTTTGCCGAGGTAGCGAGAGCCGAGGAACTCGACGAAGGTGTCGGGGCGGTTGGAGAAGAGGTCGACTACTTCGTTGTAGAGGCATTTGTCGAGGTAGTAGCCGTATTTGTGGTGGGTTTTGCGGATTTCGGCTTCGTCTGGGGGGTTGTTAGCTATTTGAGGTGGTGAAGGGAGCGGTTGAAGACTTACCGGAGACGCGGAACAGCTCTTTCTGTAAGGTGAGGACCTGCTTCTTGAGTTCTGCGAGTTCCTGCTCCATGTTGGGCTACTTGGTGTCTGAGTCGGGTTGTTCTTTGGGATTTGCGCGCTTGATCTCCAGGAAACAATCGAAGCGCGATCTGGATGTGGACGTTGTCGCTTTTAAAGCTGTAGTAGGCGACGACAGAGTGATATTATTGGTTCGGTTGCAACCCATCATCGTTTCACTCGAACCATCATTCAAATGTCCTATTGAGCCTGATTCCATCGATGCGTTGGTGACAACGCAGTAATTGAATGCAACGTTGATCTCACAACTACACACGCGAGCAGCATTGACAGGTGCTTTTCCCGACTTGCTCCCGCCCTCCGACTCCGAACGGCCCTGGGACCTGTGAGGAGAGCGTCTCCGAGTCGCTCCGCACACGAACGGGTAGGTAGGTACTGCAGGGAGCTTTGACCAGAATGGGATGGGTTTGTTTTGGCCAATGTCATCTAGTCGGTGTTGCGACGTGCGAAGAAGAATGGGTATTAGGGTGGCTGTCATGTTGATTCCGTTGTTCGCGTGACAATTAATGACAAGATTGACAGTTGGGTTGACTTGCGCCGACGGTGTGTCGTTCGCGCTACAAAAAACCTCGTCAGTCTGTGTTCACAGCCGCTTGTAGGGTAGGGTATTTCTGTAGCAATGTTATGCCTCTGGCTGGTACTGCCTCACCGGGGGCTCGAACAGCTGAGAGAAATCGGGGGTGGTCGGCTAAACTTCCCTTTCAGTCTCATCGGTAACCAAGACGTCGACGGTAGACAAAATCAAGGTCATTTGACTGAAGCCTTGTTTTGTTGACACAAGCGACACAGAACGACATGAACTTGAGCCAAGCAAGCTGGAATGGACTCAATTTTTTTGCTGGAGTTTGACGAACACCCCTCCACCTTCCTTGGCCTTCAGTTGCAATAGCATTGATGTACCAACTCTAGTACTCTGTGCAGGCGCCTTGGTCGCGCCTTACTGAGGTAAAATACGTGTCGTATCGCATGAAATAGGTATTGTCACAGGCAATGGCCAGTCGCGACTGCCTCCGTGTAGGTGGCCAGAGTGCATTTTATTCAAGCTCGTGACTCCGATGGTGAACATGAGGAAGGAGTCAAGGGGGAGAGGAAGGAGAACCACAGCCAAGTACTTATGGAACGCAGGAAGCGTCCATCCTTCCCGATTCTTTGCTGAGGTATCCCACTCATCTTCTGAGCTTTGAAGGGGCGGGACGGGTATTGTGCATCCAACTGGCAAACACCTCAACACAGACCACTTGAAATGTCCAACAGTGCGGGCAGGCAGGTCAAAAGCCCTCATCGTTAGGCCGCTCGCTGTCTGAGCTTTCCCGCATTGCATAAGGTAATTCTTGCATTCAGTTCACCTTCCGGACCGAAAAATACTCTGTTGCTTCGTTCTCCTCGCAACAAATTCCTGCAACACCACCTTGGCCAAGAACAGAAGTGGAATCACTGCAAAGGAGAACATGACTGTGTATGGCAACGCTCCTCCCCCGTTCCCCGATTGTCACTCTTACAATGTATTAACCGTCTTCAGACAGGACTGTGCCACGTGAAACTTCTAGGCTGTAAACCGAACCATCTCAGCCAGACTCCCGTACGGCGTACGAGAGCCAAAAGATTCCGATACCTCGAACTTGGAGACATATCTACAGTAATGAACGCGACATTCCGGTCTTGACTCCTTGAGCTTCCGAGCGTCCGACTCGCTATAAAAGAAACGGAGCGAAATACCGTATCGTCTCGCGGAATCGGGATTCCGACATGTAGGGTTAAAGGTGTCTGACAACCACGTACATGCTCTTCGACGGTCTCCAAAAGCATTCGGTAGACCTTAAACCCTGCGTCATCTGCACGACACCTAATCCAAAATTTGCGAGACGATACGGTACCAGTTCAGAAAGGAGACAAAAGTTACCTACTGGTGACTCTAGGCTCTGCTTGCGTTGGAGATTCGCAGCTTCCCGTGATCTTGTCCCCGCCCCGATGACAGTGACTTGCAGGACGGAAAGATCCTGATATCTCGAATCCGACAACTCGGTAGGGATAAACACGACATTCTTGACGGATGGGAGTCCGACTGCATACTACAGAAAAGAGAGAGATCAAAAAGAAGTGGGTAGTTTTCAGGAGCAGAGATACCACCAAGCTCTGCTCCTGTTGGGGGCTCGTGGGAATCATGGCTGCCCGCGGTCCCCTGAATCCGTCCAGTAGAGAACTCAAGGGGCCACACTGAGCGCACAGGTAGTAGGCTATCGAGCTACATACCTCTACTGCTCTATGCCCTGGTAGTGCGATAAGTTCCAGCCGTAGTTGTACCTTCTAAACAAAAGGTGATGAACCAGGGCTCGTCGGGGTCCCTTCTGGCGCCTGGTTAGGGAGGGACACCTACAGGAACCGCCTGTTTGGTTACCTTGCTATACTGGAGGTCTTTGGTGGTCACACCAGAGTTCAGTGGGCAAATCCCTGAGACCAACCTTGAAGCGCAACAGTTATTCACCCGACTACGGATTTCCATCAGGCACCTCTTGCGATGACCTTTCGCGCCGTTATTCAGTCTTTGCTGTGCTTTGGTCTTCGATTTCGCAATCCTGGACTTTGGGTGTTCGTCTCTCGCCTCTCCGCATGGGCTGTATGGATTCCCGGCTTCGGCTTCCAAGTTGCTTTCCATCACCAAGGAAGAGCCCGAGCAAGCCAGCACGTGAAATCCCCCTACCTCGGACATCGTTCAATACTTTTGCTAATGCGCTCTCTTTATGTTCTGCTCGCGCATCGCATCGCGAGTGTCAGCGCATCATCGATCGAGTTCGAGTCATCAGCCTGCCAGCCTGTTTTCATGATCAAAACAAGTTCCGGCAGCTACTCCCTGAAGCCGGGAACCGCATGCCCGCACGCCCCGAGCGGACAACCCGTTGCTTATCAAGAATACGATGGTATCGCACCGCACCTATGGCGCCAGCTGTAATTACACTTGGGGCGCTTTTGATCTCCGACTGCCGCACCTCTCCTGCGGCCCTGGAAGTACCACGCCATCTCTTACGGGCGGAACAGGTAAACATTCCAAAGCGCAGCAAGCTCACGGTCATTTCAAACTCACGATCCTCGGATTCCTCACCGGCACTGGTCGGTGGACGCTGGTAGGCTTCTCACATTCCGCTGGACAGTGAAGCACTGCCCCCTCGAAGGAGACAGAGAAACACAGGGGGTAGAAACACGAAGCAGAGTATCCAAGCTTCCTTTGGCCTGCAAGTAGGATGAGGACACAGGAAACAGGACTCAGTGCCTACCGGCCCGATCTATCATCCAAACAGAAGGGCTGTTCAAGCTCACAAACAAGGTGACCAGTTTGGAGCGCATTGCACATATGCGGCCTAGGGATCATTAACATACCTGCTACTATGTGGTGCGCTTCGGATGACATTGTTCCAGGAAACCCAGCTTGGCCCGAATCGCTGAACAAACCAGGTTTTTGTCTGTTCAGTTTATTCAGATGACCCAGAAACCCCTATAAGACGAGTCCCCCCGATGCCCTTGAGCTTCTCCTTTTCTTGATCATTATCAGACACCCATTCTTTACTTGACTCTTGTCATCACATCAGAGGCACAACTACCACGTCCTCCGCTCCAGGCTTCAAACCTCTGTCCCTGACGCATTTGGGTTCGACATCCATTCCTGCGTGTACCGTACCTACGTACCGCAAAGTATTAATCTCATCGTACTCACTCCGAGTACATGTAAACATTCTTCGTAGACATTTCTTTGATGCCCGTGCAATGCTAACATGGACATCTCCAGACCAAATCAACTGAAAAATTACAGTTTCCCCTTCCTGAAAATTAGACGCAAAGAAAGCCTTTGCCACGTAGGTGTCTTCCTCCTGTTGATACCTCGCCCTTCTCTCTCGAGTACAACAATAACCTTGAAATTATAGCTCGCCAACATGGCCAATAACGGTCTCCACACCCCTTCGCACACCGTGTTGGCTGGGGCCGACACATTGAATGAAAACCCTGACCACGTCATTGGCCCTGCCCCTGACCGCAATAACAACCGCGAAATGCCCTACCGCTCGGGGGCACCCTCCCCGACACCGAGGAGATTCGCTGCGGACAGGGCCCGTCGCGCCTATGAATCCATGTCTCCAGCGGCCTCTGACGAAGAGGTGGTTGAGTGGGCGCCATCTTCGCCGGCGTCCCCTTCCCCGGCTCCTCGTCCCCAGAAGAAGGCAGGCAAGGGACCGCTGCTCCGGATGTCCGCCCTTCCGTCGAAGTACCAATGAGTACCTCGCTGGAGGCTGCCATGATGCTGCCGCCGCAAGGTCCCTCAGAGACCGCAGAGAAGAACAACAACGACGACGATAACGACGACGACAACGACGACGACGTCCGCAAAGGAAATCGAGAAGACTCGGAGAAGGCGCCAGCTAACAAGCTCAAGAAGAAAAAGGTTGGGAAATGGCCTGCGGACGTCCCTAACCCGAGAGAGTCGATTTGTCCCTATGGGACGTGCTTTGGCGTCTGCCGCCCCTACAACCACTAGAGCCTCACCGTCTACTGAAAAATCAGAGGATAGCGGTGCACAATGACAGGGCAGGTGGGCTTTTCCGTCGATTTTTGGGATATTCAGGTTTGCTTGCTTGGAGTTTGAGTTCGTGCTTTCGGGGTTTGATGCTTGAGCACTAGATTGGATAACATATCAACTGCGACGGGAAAGGAAGAATGCATTTGCGAGCTGGATCTACAAAATGATGGCACTCATACAGAAATAGCGGAGTATCTAGTACATCAGATAGTGTACGATGGCGGGCAGTCCAGTCCCCTACCGTGCTGGCTCCCGTCGCACGACGGTCGGTTCCAATTCATCATTGTTCGCGTTAGTTGATGTCCGGACCACCGTTGATTCTTGTGAACATGGCCCGCCACTCGGGGCACACTCGTAGAAAAATGGAAACTCGGGGTTCTCGTAGAGGCATGCCAACCAAGTCAAGGCACTTCGTAGAATGCACCATCAAGCGATTGCGTCGAGCACAGATCGGTAAGCAATCGGGCGAAGAGTGGTGCTGCCCCCGAAAGATCAGATAAGGTACGCAGGCCCTGTTTGTTTCTGCCCGGTTCTTTGTGCAGCAAAATAGTTCGATTTCTAAAACCAAGCTCAGACAAGGAAAAGTCGCATCAAAATACATTTCTTACCAGGTTCTGTATGTCACTTCCCGTGACGCAGTTGAGACCCAGGAATATTTGAGATGACTACTGGAAGGTGTGAGGCTTGGGGAGACTGGCGAGAAAGGAGTGACGTTTAGCCTGCAATAATTTTATATGCCATGCAGTCCAAGGCTGTCGGTCAAGCCTTCTGCATACAGTACCTATGCAACTGCCAATGCAACTCTCAACCAGCTGCTGCCACTGCCAGCATACACGAGGTACCTTAGGCATGTCAGGAACTTGGGCCAAGTTTTAAGCGGTGTGTCGGAGTCACTGGGAAATAACTCGAGTTTGTTTTCCTAGCCGTTGAACGTCCTTGCCTTGCCTGGCCGGCTAGCCCTAGCCCTTCTCACGCGAGTGGTCAGTGGCGAGTGTTTGGGCATAGAGGCCCCTACAATCTCCGATCAGATCCTCCTTCAGTTTTTAAACCGTCGGCGTGACAGACAATTTCCGCTCGCTCATACCTCCGTGCCAGAATCGGATCTCTCCGATCCCTTCGGGCGGGTTTGAAGTACATTACCTCAGGACACTCACCACTGATATCCCAAATTTCCTTTTGAACAACATTTCTCTGTCCTTTTACCTTTCCATCCCTCACCCCAAATAATACTGGGCCGGTTTTCTTTTTTTGTTACCCTCATTAGTTTGTGGGTGTCGTCTGGCATTGATCGGAGGTACTCCCCCACTTTTCTTTTTTTGGCACATGCAAGATCACCTCCAACCTCCGTCCAACATTACACCACCCGCGGGTATCTTACCGCGATGGGTGGGAAGTCCGAAGTGCAGCGTCCCCGGCATTCCCGGATGCCCGTCGATCAGTGCACCTGGAGCCTCAAATGGCCACGTTCTCTGTTTCCCGCATCTCGATCGTACCTGAATTTCAGCCTTTCTAGGCAACCGATGGCACAGACGTGATGCTGAAGTGATATCGGAACGACTAGTTGATGTTTTGATCAAAAGACATTCCGAATGGGAACAAAACAAAACGATGTGTGTTGGATGTTTTCTCAAGGTTCAGGGCGATTGCCGCCTAGAGGACAGATGTACACAGTACTGTGTCTCGGTACAGGTAACGGCAACCGTGTCCAAAACACGGACCTTTTCGTCCCACTCTGATTTGCCCTTGTCTTCTCCCTTTCACTCTTTCAAGCAGCTTCCTCCCAGATCGAAGACCTCTTCGTTTCCGACCATGCGACGTGGTGTTTGTGATTCGATAAATGAGAGCGTTCCGCTCGGGAGTTCCCGCTCGGGAGCTCCCGTCCCGTCGTCTTAGGAACCCCTCCGTGTCAGATGGCATCCCTGTCTTGACTGCTTCATCTGACTGTGCCTCGCCCCCCTGTCTCTTCGCTTGAATCTCTGACAGAACTGCTGAACTCAGAAGCTCATCTACTGAGAATTCTGGGCTACCATGATGGAATACCAGTGCTAGAGATCAGAGTGTGTTTTTTTTTTTTGGAAAGAAAGGAGAGAGAAAAAAAAAAAGGAAGAAAAAAGAAAGAACGAAGAAAATAAAGAACAAGGTAAGAAAAAGGTAATAAAAAAAAAAGGTCATTGTATAACCGTGGGTGTTCCTCAATTTTGCTGCCCACTCTCTGCAAAAGAGTGGGTGTTGCGACAAAACGACCAATTCATCTCACATCCACGGTTGGTCGGGTCGTGGGCGCAAAACTGGTGGATAGCCGCTTCCCGAGGAGAACTTTCGTGCCCAGGTTGACAACTTCCTTCCCGGGCTCGCCCGCGGAGAGAAAGGAGGACAGACGGACTTCTCAGAACTCAAGGATAGCTCCTTCCCAAGTAGAATCTTGGTGCTTAAAGCATGCTACGAGCTTTTTTTTCGGGCTCGCCCGCAGAGAGAAGGAAAGAAGGACGACGGATCTCTGAGGTTGAAAGTCTTCGGTCTGCTTTCTGTCTTGTGATTGTTGGTTCAACGGTTGTGGAGGAGACGGAAGGTGTCTGTGCGCTCGAAGTACATGAGGTTGACTTCAGTCCAACGGGAAAGCGCTGTTTGTCTACTCGTCGGGACTTGAAGAGTGGGGGAAATTACGAGGCAACGGACATTGATTCGCAACTGCGTATTTACCGTGTTCCCGCACGTTGTGAGGCGTACTTTTCATGGAATTTGGGGTAATTTGGGGTAATTTGGGGTAATTTGGGGTAATTGCTATTCAACGTTGTCGCCCGTAACATTCCTGGCCCTCTCCTTCGGAAGGGGTCACGGTCGCTTCAAGACCTGACGATACTGGGCAGGTGCCTCCTACAACACTCACGATGACCGCTACAGAAGCTCCTTCAGGCCTTCGCCGTTATCGTCTCTCTCTGGGCGTTCATGGTGGCTCTTTTCTGCTTTGAGTCCCCACCAGATTGACGGCATGAAGCCGCCCAGAGCATGCGGCGGAGGCTACATGGATCGGGCCCCGAACTCTCGTATCTTGGCGAGGAAGCAGTCGGGTCCGGGCTGGGAGCCGTCATTCTTGCCTTGACAGTTTCTCGTAAGGTTGCGGTATCTCAGGCTGCTGCCCTCGTTGCCTCCGGTGGGAGGAACAGCACATGCCCCTTCTCCCGGTGTGTCTCGCAACACCCCATGGTACAACCACCTGCCAACGGCCCGACGTCTCTCACATGCTTCTTCACTCAGGGTTCAGGAGCAGTGCTGCTGGGACCAGATGGCGCAATGATGCAAACTGGCCCGGTCTCGTCGAATGCGGGTCTGAGTCAGTGGTACAAAGTAACAAAGCGGTTCTCGCCTCGTATGCCGTTTTTGCTTCGCAGCTGTCTGGTAAACAAGGTGGCCATCCACCTCGCCCCACTATCGTGTACGGAGGACTGCACCAGTGTCTTTCGCATCTGTTTTATGCGCCTCGGTGAGTTTCTGCCACATTTCGTCCTGGCGAGTTTGCCTGAAGCGCGCGTCAACATGTTTTCCTAACGTCTGGAGAGTGGATGACACCATACTTGCCGCCTAGGTCCTAGGTTTGCAGATATGATGCTGTCTGAAGTCTTCAGTCTGCGGGCTCACCCACATTGTCCCTCCAAGGTTTTGGAGATTTTCCCTGATTTCTGGACCTGATACATTTTTTTCTTTTGAGTGTCGGAGGGGCTCTCTCGGGTCTAATGCTCTGATCTGTTCCCCGAAGTATCCAACGCGGCGGCAGCCGTGAGGATGAGTAAGCTGGTAAGTTGTCGCGCCTCGCAGAAATTTCAACTCACTGGTTCCGTTGTCGGTACCTCCTCCAAGGACCTTGGTGTCCTCACCGAGAGGAGGAAAAAGGAAGCCACAAGCGGTTGAAACATGAAGAAGGCTAAGCATGTGTTCAACAACACAGTATATGCAATAAAATGGAGCCAAGAGAAGATGTAAAGAGTAAATACAATTTAAATTCCAGGTGCGGGCACTTTTTCCTTATAAACGGTCTACATAGCACACGCCATTCGGTTCTTCAGGAAAACTAAGCCTACCATAACCGCTACCCGTACCGGCTCCCGCTTTTCCTCGGGATAGGATTTATCTCCATCCCGGGACACGTCAAATCTGACAATGATCTTCCAAGCAAGCCAACTTGGAGTTCGAACTTGACTTGATTTGACTTGTGAGAATCCTTGGTCACTCCGCTCTCACAGCCTCTCTTTGCCTGCTTGCTTCTCGGGGGCTATCACGAGTCCGGAGATATGATGTGTCACTGCCGGCCACTGGGAGGGAAGGTTGTAGAAGTCCAAGGCGTGGTTTGACGATTGGTTGAACATCCCGGCGGCAAATCTCAGATGGGTTTCTGCCGCATCTACAACGTACAGCACTGCACAACCTGAGTGGCATAAGGCAAGCATCAGGAAGAGGCAGGACTACACGAGCCGGTAAGAGCTTGAGGTGGTAAGTCAGATAAGAATGCATGCTTTCCACTTCCTCCAAGGAAGAAGCTGGTCTGTTGCGTCAACTCCCCCAGCGGGCAGAGCATATGGCATCTGCCATTAGAAGCAGCAGGGAACGAACCAAGGAAGAAAGCTCGGCTCATAGCAGATTGAGACGGGGACTAACTACCCCAGACTGTTTTATAAAAAGACCCTCGAATCCCCGTACTCTTGTACGACTTTCTTTCTCCTTTTCTCTTCGTGCTCTATGGGATACAACATCTTGTAGAGTGCCTTTTCTCCCTTTCAACTATAACTTGGGCCATTTTGTAAAGAACATTGCTTCGAGTCGCGCTGCCCGTTATAGCAAATCAACCCGGCGACTTCCTGTAGGTATTGCCTCTGCATGTGCCCACCCCTATTCCTTTTGAGACCACGGCCCTACTTCAAACCAGGCTGCTCGTGCAACAAATCTCCCCTGGGGCCTCTGTCCTCCCTCCCTCCTTCCGAGACTTTCGAAAGCGTCCAGAACAGTTCCCAATTCACCCGGCCTCATCCTCCTCGGGCACAGTGGGAGAAACCACCACTTACGCTGGTCTTTGGTCCTTCGATTCCCTGAGACGAACTCTCTCTCTCAGTTCCTCTCACCTAAATATGGAGGATATGGAGACCGAGGGGAGGGTAGGAGAAGCCCTCCCTCGCTCTCTCCTCGCCGCTACCTTCGTCCTCATCTTATCCATTCTCTTTTTCCATATTGCCCTCCTTCTCTTTATCCTCCTCTTCTTTATCCTCCTCTTCCTCTCCTTCGCCCTCTTTGCCTTCCTTCTATTCTCTTATGCTCCCGCACTCCCCTCGATCTCCTTCCCCTACGACGCGGGCGAGGGCGACGACTCCTGGGACATGAGTGAGGACAACGACTCCCATGAGCCGGAGAGGTTCTTCGAACCCGCTCTCTTCCGGGAACTCGTCCCGTTCTTTAACCCCACTCAGGCCTCATCACTCGGGCCCGGTATCCTCTTCGAGGAGGGCGACATGGAGTCGAATCCATATCCCACTCCTCCTCACAGTCCTTCTCCTACTCCTCCTGCTCCTCCTGCTCCTCCTACTCCTCCTCACAGTCCTCCTCCTACTCCTTCGCCCTCTCCCAACGCCACTCCTTCTCTCACTTCTTCGGAGTCGCCTATCGCCACTTCTTCCTCATCCTTCAACACCACCCCTTCCTCGTCTCCGGCCGGGCTATGGTCCTCCTCCGCGCCCGCTCCCGCTTCCTCCTCCACGTCCTTGTCCTCGTTGGCGTCCGAATAGAAGGTAGTCAGTGTCGGACAATGGCTTCCATGTCCTTGACGTTTTCTGTCTGTCTGTCCGTTCACACATCATTACCTGCCCCCACAACCGGCAGACCCTGGAAGCGGGGTTGAACCTGCTTCTGGAGTCCTGGGGGGAGAGATTGGTGGGTGCGAATGGGCGGGCGATCGGAACGGAGCTGGGACAAGGACAAGGATGAGATAAGGACTGATTGGAGAACGGGGAGGTCTGGGTCTGGCCCTAGACGTTGGGTGATTCTTTTCTTCTTCTTTTCTATGTCCCCTACGCAGTGATTTTGCACAACTGGGACATGGCGCATAGCGGGACATGAGGCATAGCGTGTGCAACGGAGGAAAGCACAATAAGAACACTGACTTATAGCGATACGACAACCACTTTTTCCCCAAGAACCAAAAAGAAAAAGAAAAAAAAAAAAAAAAAGACAGGCGTATCAGCGTACTATACAAGGACGAGAAACTTCCCTTTTTTGGATATCCGTCCTTTTGGCGCATAAATAGGCTTCCGGGCACCTTCTACCTATGTAGCCGGGGCAAGCACATCACATACAGAACAGGACCAAGAGCGAAAGGGACGAGAAGGGAAATAACACATGACGGAAGAATGGATACCAGGAAGGAGCGTATCACCAAAAACAACTCTACCCGCACTCCACCCAAGTCTACAACACGCACCATCTCTCCCCGCCAACCAGCGTCCGATGATCAATCCTCGCACAACCATACCAAAATACGTTTCAAAGTTTACTCGACAAACACTGTCGACCGGATCTCTTCTCTTCTGTTCCTCAATACAACCCAGCGTTCATAACAAAACAAAATACGTAAAACAAAACAAAACAAAACAAAACAAAACAAAACAAAACAAAACAAAACAAAACAAAACAAAACAAAACAAAACAAAACAAAACAAAACAAAACAAAACAAAACAAAACAAAACAAAACAAAACAAAACAAAACAAAACAAAACAAAACAAAACAAAACAAAACAAAACAAAACAAAACAAAACAAAAGGGGTGTGAATGTAGATAAAACGGCTGGTACGGTTTTGCCAAAACACACAAAAGATTTGACCCAAGGTTCTGGACATTAGAAGGGGTAGATTTTAGCCGTTCAAACCGGTCCATCGCATAACAGGGACCTCGAGTTGAATCTTCAAACGCGCTGTGAAAAGTCTGCTCCCGACGGCCCACTGGTGATGTGTTTGCAGCGGTTGCTGGGGTATTTCGTGGCGTTGCAGGAGGTCGTTCGATCGTGATGGCTTTAATTGGTTATTTCTGTTGTACTTTGATTTGCCTTGTCTTGTTGCTTGTTTATGTTGTTTTCTGTGTATTTTACTCTGCGTTTTTGTCGTGTAATGGTGCCGATACGGCTGATGGAAGTGTGTAATTACTTGTATGTCGGAGCCGGAAAAATTGTTATTTCCGGCGGCAAAACATACAAAACAAACCAAAACAGCTTAGAATCTAAAATAAAACCGTCATTTTTATGTAAAACAAAACAAAACGGTCAAAATCTGGTTTTATTTTGTTTTGTTATGAACGCTGATACAACCTCCTCTTGCCGCCAAATGAGCAGTCCCTGCACGGCTCGTCTTATCCTTATTCTCTAAACCTTCCATTTCAACAGCATCGACGTCGGACTCACCGGAGAAAGGACATACAGGACAAGAGACAAGAGGCAAGAGACAAAGAGGGACGAGAACATAATGGAAGAACAAAGGATCCGGTAGGAGAATGAGTGCCAACACCAAGGGCGTACCACCAACAAGGCTATAGGGAGACATGAAGATTTGTTGGTTGTTTGGCGTTTGAATTACCTATGTCCATTTTTTTCCTTTTCTTTTCCGTTTCCCCCCCCCCCCCTCCCCCCCAAAAAAAAACCCGAAAGCGGAAAGACATGGCATGTCAGCAAGCGAAACAGGAGCAAGCGAAACAGGAGCAAGCGAAACAGGAGCAAGCGAAAAGGAAAAGACATATGCACGGATACACTACCCAGTGCCACTTACAAGTTACAACCCAAACGTATTTGGTCACACTGACGACTGGAGGAAGGCAAGGAAACACGACGGATGGAGGAATGGATAAGGTATCAGCGCATTATTATCACATTAGAAAAGGGCGAAGGGACACATGTATGTAGGTTGTTTGACATGGTGTTGACTCTCTCTCGGGCTGGCCTCGGCGCCCCCCGGAGCCTGGAGATGTCACACCTGACTGGACTACCTTTAGGAATGGGTTAGTGTACACTTGGTGGTTGGTTTTCTTCGCCACTATTCTAGACGGGAAGTAGGCTTGAGGAAGCAACCAGCAGATACAGCACTAGGCATAGATAGATAGTCAGTCCTTCCTTTCTCAGGAATGGGAGATGGAAGGAGAGTCAATCTACTACAGTACCTCCATTCAATAGAAAAAACCGCTTCTGCTGTAAAATACCAGTGTGGTGTGGTGTGGTAGTTAGCGAGCATGCGGATGATAAGGTAGTTCAAAAACTGTATACATTATATACCTAGGTGAATCAATAAACATCCAAGTTCAACTAGAATATCATTCATCACCACTGACACACTGACTCTCAACTCCTATTCCTCTCCTCACCAATACCCATTACCACGGACCCATTCCCCTCAATCAACATCATCATCTCCAGCCGTTCCCGGAACACCCTCCAACTTTTCCCTAGCCTCATCCAGTGCCTTGTCTTCCTTGAAACTGTCTACTTCTTTCTTATCCGCAGCAGCCTTCGCATCACATTCACCCTCCCCATAGTCCTCAGTCTTTGCACCACCGCTAGCCCTAGCAGTAGCATTCAACGCATCAGGCTTGAGTGTGCCATCTTCGTTCACCATGTCGTTCGGGTAGAGTGTGAAGAGGATGACGAGGTAGGGTTTTTTGGTGAGGCGGTTGCGGAGGACGTATCTGTTTCGTTGTTAGTTGTTAGGTAGTTTAAGTTTTTGTACAGAGTGGAGGAGGGCAGCGAGGATGAAAGAGAAAAAAAGAACGAGTAAGGTGTGAAAGAACCGTAAAATAACAAACATGATCCGAAATGACCGCGAGAAAGCAATGAGAATGAAGAAGAGAAGATAAAGACATACCTCAACCCAGTCTCCCCATCCCAATACCTCAACACATTCACTCCAAAACCAGGTAACTTGAGCTCGCACTTGCCGAAATCAATGTACGGGTTATAGAAATCGACGGCGTAGGTTCTGCCATACTCCCACACCCATTTCTTCTTGGCGTCATCCTTCAATGCCCATTTTTGGCGCTTCTTGGGGTCGTTGCCGACTCCGGAGTTTGCGAGGACTTGGGCTCTCCACTTTTTGCTGGAGGTGCTGCTGGGTTTGTTGTTGTTGTTGTTGCTCTTGGGCCCTTGTCCAGCAGCTCCGTGGTTATCGCCCTCGGTCCCCTTCTCCTGTTTCTCTTCCGCTCCTGCTGGTTCGTCATCGTCTTCGTCTTCATCGCCGTCTTCATTATCGGATTCAGAACTGGCGCCTTCTTCCACCCACAGTCCACCCCCTTCTTCGTCATGTTCCCCAGCCCCAACGCGAACAGAGTTGAAACTTGACAAAGCAGGCCCATAAAGAAACGGTTCATCCGCGTACGCATCCCCTTCCAGTCCCGGATCGATCCACCACTTGAGGATATTCATCGCCGTATTGACCCCGGGCGGCAGATAATTCCGAATAGGATGATCAAAATCATTACCAAATTGTAAGTCCGCCGCCGATATCCCGTCCCCTTCCACAGCCCCATCCCCATCCCCATCCCCACCCCCACCCGACTTCCCCGTCACCCCCTTGGGACGTTTCGGCGTAAATCTTAAGCCAATCGAATACTGATCCCTGTTGTATCTATGCGGCTCCCTATCGAAGTACGCCGAACTCTCCGGCGACCCCCTCGGCAACCCGCGGTAATTCTGGATGCGCACGTTGAGGTCGATGTCCATCCCTTCGTCAGACTCAATGTGAGTTAACCTGGGAGAATTGATGGGTACTTGGACGTGGGTGGAGAGGTCGTAGGAGGGACCGGCGGTGACGCGGAGGGTGTAGTCTTCTGGTTTGCGTGGAGGTGCCATTTTGTGCTGCGGTTGATTTATTACAAAGGTATCTGTTGTTCTTCTTGCTTTGTGTTGTTCTCGTAGGTTGTTGCGATGTCTTCGCGGTGTGTTGTTTCGTTGTTCCAAGTGAGTAGTGTCCGGGAGCGTATGTACCAGGAGCGGAAATCGATCGCACGATAGATCGAGACAGTGAGGTTGGGGAAAGAGGAAAGAGGAAAGAGATGTTGAAGGTGGATCGGAAGGAAATGATGAACGAGGTGACCATCAAGGTACAAAGAGACACAAACAAACGAACGAACGACGTCGTCATTGCTGCCAAGAAATCGTTCCACGGGGACCTGGACCCGATGACGTCGCGCCTCTGGGATCCGCTGGTAGGGCTGTTGCATGTGATTCAGAGACAATTATTAGGGTCTTAACAAGAAAAGCGCTTGGCAGAAGCGGAGGATGTTAGTGCAGGAACAGGTACATCTACCTCGTGATCATCTCGACTTCTCTACTACACGGGTGTCAACACTCGCGATACTTCTTTGCTTGGATGAATCAGTTTTTGAGTTAAATATGTACAATCCCAAGTAGTGTGATGAACTGCCAGAATACGCTGATAATTCTAATATCGCTGATGATAGGCCTCACTGCAAAAAATACTGTACAACCAGGGCCAGACATGATACAATCAATCCCCGTCTATTCTTCATTCTTCACCCTCCATCCTCCATCTATCTACTCGTCATGCTTCCGCTTAGATTTCTATTCCTCATCATCCGCCTCCGCATCAGTAAAGTAATCAAACTCCGCCGGCGTCGGCGCCTCCTCATCACTCTCGCCATCCTCATCAACAGCATTCAACACCGCCGCAGCAGCGGCCGCACCAGCACCGCTTCCCGCCGCAGCACCACTTCCAGTGCCCGCAGCGGCATTCCCCGAACCGCGAGCTCTTCTCTCCCCGCGTTCAGCAGCAGCAGCATCCTGCTCCATACGCTGGCCGAGCTGCAGCAACTCGCTGAGTTCCCGCATACTAGACCGGTTGAAGGCGCCGGTTCCTTGGAGCTGACTGAGAAGGGATTGGGCGGCCCCACCAGAGAGACGGGGGGTTCCGTCGCTGGAACCGGAAGCGCCGGCGCCGGCGACGGGAGCACGCTCCGTGGTTACCTTGTTGAGCTTTTCCTCAAGGAGGACCTTGGGCTCCGAAGGTTGGGTATCGAAGAGGAGAAGGGGACCACCGGTAGGCTGGACAAAGTTAGTACACAGGATACAAGTGTAGATTAAGTGCAGGGCAACTCACCTTCTTGACTGGCTTATAACGTCCAGCCGGGAAGCTAATGTACTTGAGCTGAGCGGGCAGAATACGAGACATGTTCTCAATCTCGTAGCCAACCTTCTCCTTCTCCGCCTTCTTCTTGGCGTCAGTGGCGGCAGTTGCCTCCTTATCGCCAGACTCACCCTCCTTCTTCTCCTTGGACTCTTCAGGCTTAGCGGCGGCCTTCTTATCGTCGTCGATATCCATCTTGTCCTCGGCAGCAGGTTGGGAGGCGGTCTTGGAAACAGCCGGCGTGTCAATGTCCATGCTCTCACGACGCTGCGCCTTCTCCTTCTTTTGGGCCCGACGCTTGGCCTGCGCCGTGGTAGACAGAACAGCAGTGGTGACCAAGGCGGGTCCCTCCTCCACCTTGACCTCCTGCTCTGGTGGGTAGTCGAACAAGCTGGGACGAGTAGCGCAGTAGAACTTGACGTTGGGGATGGCAAGATCACTGTCGAGAGCAATGATGGACGTGGGAACGAAGCTGAGAGACAAGAAGTGGGTGAAGGGGAACCAGTACCAGTACTGGGTGAACACAGCCATACCAACGATACCAGCCATGTTGAGGTTGCCAGTCTGGGTTTGAAGACCAATGGTGCAGTTGCGACCACCAGCATCAATGATACCAAGGGCAAGCGAGGCGCCGAACTTGGTCATCTGCTCCTCGTGGCGGTCACTAACAACCTTCTTGAGCGTCTTCCGGATGGCCGCAACCTTGGGGTTCATGACCTCGTTCTGCTGAACCAAGATCATGGAGAGAGCAATGAGGGCACCCTGGCGGACAAAGTCGGTGGGGTCCTTCATCATGGGCTCAAGCAGGTCAATCGCCTCATCCAAACCGGTTCCGGCGCACGCGATACCGAGGGCCATGGCCGAACCGTAGCGCACATGCGGGTTGTAAGACTCGGCGAGCAACTCGACCATGCGAGGAACGCTGCCAGGCTTGCGGAAGAGGATGAAGCCCAAGCTCATGACGGCAACACGGCGGACGTCGTCGTTCACGTCGCTCACGGCAAGGTGAAGAAGCTTGCGAATGGCCTTGTTGCTGCCGGTTCCGCAGTACGCCAGGGCGAGCGTGAGAACACCACCATAGCGGAGGATAGGGTCGGGGTTCGCAAGGAGAAGCTGGATCGTCCTGTCGGCACTCTCCTGCTGTCCAAACATGATGAGGGCAATGCCCAAGGCGATACCGCGGACAATCTTCTCGTGCTGAGTCTCGTGGGCGTAGGTGAACATGGCATCAATAGTGGCGGCGTGACCGGTTCCCAGCATAATCAAGCCCATAGCCGCACCAACGGCCTCACCGTTGAGAGCCGAGTCAGAGTAGAGAGCTTCCTTCAGGTCCTCAATGATCTTTTGGTCACCAGTACCCATGCCGGCAATACCCAGACCCAAAGCGCCACCGTGCTGAATGACCTCCTGGTCGGCGTCCTTGAACTGTTGGTGAAGGTAGGGCAGAGCATCAGCGCCGTGGTTGGCGTGAATCAGACCGTAAGCGTAAAGGGCACCGGCCTGGCTATAGACGGAACCCGTGCTGACGCCAGAGGGGCGGGGAAGGTAGGGCTCGAGGAGCTTGCGAGACTGGGTGACGTTGCCCTTGTGCAGGACACCGAGTGCGGCAGTGGCCGTGAACTTGGACCAGTTGACAGCCCTTCCTAGCCACTCGAGGTTATCCCTGAAGAATCTGTCATTCGTAGTGCCAGCGTTCATAAAGGCATTGCAGAAGGTGACGGCGCTGTGGAAAATGGAGTTGCGGCCGTCCAAGCTGTCGCGTACCTTGTTGAGAATGCTCATGTCGGCGTGGTTGTTGCGGTAGAGGAATTCGAGGTTGAGCTTGATGGCCTTGCTGCCGTCAAGAATGGTGCGAATGTTCTTGTAGACCTTGGCCACCTCCTCGGGCAATTCTTCCTCGGAGCTCTCCTGGCCTTCCAGAAGAGGCTCACGCTCGGCAGCCGCATCGCTGCTTTCCTCGGCAGGCTTGGGCTTGGGTGGCTCGCCGGAGGGCAGAGCCTTGGTGACCTTGCCCAAGAACTCCTGGGTGCCGTTGTCGTAAAGATCGAATGCGATTTGGTACGCAATGGCGATCGAGTCCTGTTCTCCCTTGGTAACCAGCTGGCGGAGCATGCGGGACGCCTCCTCGTCCGAATCAAGATAGACAACGCACTTGGCGATGGCAAAGTAATCCGGGTTGGGGATGTCGTTTAGGAGGTCGAGGATCAGGCGCAGAATCTCGGTGCGGAAGCCGCGTTCCTGGACAATGTCCATGCAAATGCCAAGGGCATAGTCCATGAGCTCCTCAGCCGGCCCCTGGCTACCTTCCTGTACTTTGGTCTTGCCGGACTTGACATCCTCGTTGGCGCGCTTGATGACGCGACGCAGAACATCAAGGTTCTTGGCCTCAACAGCAATGCCCACCACCTGTCTGTATTTGCCCTCCTTCAGGCAGTTCTCGAACAGACGCTCAATGACGTTCTGAAGCGCAACCTGAGTGGCGGTATCGTGAACCTGGGCTATCGAGGCAGAGCGGGTCTCCTTGGTAGGCTGGAAGGTGGGATCCAGGATAGTGTTGTCGTCGGACGATGCGCGCGCAAGAAGGGACTTGGAGGGAACCGAAGATTGCGAGAAGGGCGTAGTGGGGGAGATCAGAGCCGAGCTATCGATGGCACCGCTGCCGAGGTCGGTCAAGAGGGGGGGAAGATCCTTCTTGGAAGGAGTATGGTGGAGCGAAGAGACGGCGATGTACTGGTCGATGCACTTGGAGATGATGGTCTCCTCGAACTCGCTGGGGGCGTCGAGCTTGAAGAGGGGGCCGGCAGCCAGGGCAAAGGTCATGCTCTCGTTGTAGGCTTGGAGATGGAAGTAGACCTTGGCGAGCACAAGGGCGGCGAGTTGGCGCTCGGGGAAGGTCTCGTCTTCGTAGAGGGCCTCACTGGGGAGACAGACAGATCAGCTCGGTTGCCCAGCTGAGCTAACTAGCTTGGTATCGGGTATCAGGGAGCTACTCACATCTGGGTCAAGGCGCCAGCGACCTCGGTCCAAACGGTGTCGATATCATCGTTGAGGGTCTTGAGGGCGAAGACCTTGAGCTCGGGCTCCTCATCGGCGAGGAAGGCCAACACGCCGGTCGCGGTGACGAGGCCGGGCATCCTGATGGTTTAATAAGTAGCTTCGCGGTGGCGGTTTCTGTTTGTCGTTGATTTCTGGGTGTTTATTAATGTCGGGGTGTTGTAGAAAGCAGCGTCCTCGTGCGCCACGTGGTGGTGATGGGATATGGAGGCGGTTTGGGTTGTTTGTTGGGCGAGGAATGGATCGAGTGGAATCGGGATCAGTTGTTGCCGTCAAGGTCAAGATGCCAGTGTCACCCAGCAGTGATGGCTTCAGTGGGCAGTGGGCAGCGATGGAGCTGGCGGGCGCTGGAACGCGAGGTTCTGGTTGGCTGGTGGGAGCCTGCCGTGGTTTGCAGTGACGAACTCACGGCCGAGCATCCACGTCAGGGAGCTCCTGCCTTGAGTGGGTCCCTTGCTGGGTGGATGTACCAAAGTACCTTGACTTTCGACCAATGAAAGAGTGAACGGAAGGTGAGATTTTCCAGTTGGTGAGAGGGAGGTGAGAGGTACGTACCTTATCTCACCTTATCTTTGGACAGCTCTAAGCGCGCATGGGCCATGCAGCTCGACGAGACAGGCCGAAAGCATTGAAGCTCGTTGCTCTTCAACGATGTTATTATTGTCTAGTCGAATGCCACTGCCATAACTTGAAGCTTGAAGCCTGGACTCAAAGGTACAAAGGTACATTCTACTCCAACATGTGCATGTGGAACAAACACTCAATTCGAGTTGATACCTGCTCCTGAACTATTCGCCTTAACTTCAATCTCATAGTCTCGAATATCAGCCCAGCAATAACGCCAGCCAAGCCCCGCTTATACTCTTTCTCCCTTGTTACTCTGATAGCTATCATCAGTTCTTCACTCTTCAACCCGAGCTGGTCTCTTCAACCCGAGCTGGTCTCTTCAACCCGAGCTGGTTTCTTAACCTCTTCAACTTTCAGTTGGTCCCTCCTCATGTCGTTTGTTGGTGGTTGTTTACTGTTTGCGCTGCACAAGAAGTGTGCACTCTTGGGTATATTGATCTCTTAATGGCGGATGCATGGGCGCGGGTCATGACTACTCTAGTTCCCGTCAATAGTGGGATGTGGAAATCTCCAGGGAGAGAATAATGGACATATAGCCTGCACTAACACGCTCCCACGTTATCTGAGTGGCATTGAGATAGCGAAATGAGTGGTACTAGCGTTTGTCAATGTCATGATGATACTCTAGCCTCTATTTTTTCTTCTTCCATTCTCTTTTTTCTCCTGGTGCAACACTACACGGTAATAGGCTTGCCCGTGAACGGCCGCCGGTCCTCTCGTCAATTCTCACCAGTCGAGACGGGAGTTAACATTCAGCATCCCTACACATTGGCGACATGGGATAGGGAGCTACCTTGTTGAACTCTACAACACACGACAGCCAGTTCAATCTCTCTGTCAGCTCCAACATCAGCTCCCGCGACCATCACAGACAGCAACATCACCGCCCACCACCACATCTCTCCAAACTGCGCCTCGAGTATTGGACAAAGAAGGACTCTCTCGATATTGCAATTCGATTGTTCAAGCTTCCACGACATTGGCTTCCTTCTGCCCGCGACGGTCCATCATTCGCATCGCCAGAGACCCTCTCCTTGTTGCGACCAGATCTGCCCGACATTCGAGTCCTGCGCCATGACGATGTGATGTTTCCCAATCGCGACACCAATCTATGACTACGTCCACGTCCTTTTCGCAATTCGAGCCCTATGCGCGACACTGCTGCCGCTTCCACCTCCGTCCAAGTCGCCGCGATTCACACAAAGGACACATTGCGAGACACTCAACATAGCTAATCCCGAGCCTTTGTCCCATGGTCCGCGGCAGAGACAAAGAGTCAACAGCCGAGCAACGTGTGAGGAAAGCAGCGCCGGTCCAAGAAGAAGCACATCAGGCACGGAATTACTGTAATAGTACGACTAATAAAGAAACAACACCATCGCCAACATGGACTTGAGAAACGTCCTCAACGACAGCAGCAGCGGCCCTGTCGCTCCTCGCGCCGCCGCGTCCACGCCCGACCGACCACCGCCGCAGCAACAGCAGCAGCAGCCACCACACCCGCAGTACTCCCAACATCCTCCCCAACATCCTCAACCGCCCCAGCGACAACAGTCATATCAACATCATCAGCAGCAACACCACCCGGGATATCCCCAGCCGCCCACGACACCCGGTCAGGCACCGCACCCACAACAGCACCAGCAATCGTATATAGACTATAACCACCACCAGACTCGACCCTCACCCGGTCGCCATATCTCCCAAGACTCGGGCTACGGAACCCAGCGCATGCCCTCGGGCGCGTTCGCGTCCCCTCCTCCGTTCTCGGGACCCCCTGCTACCGGCCCGAGCCCCTACGCGAACCGACCTCCGCCGCCGCCTCCGCTGCAGCAAGTCCCGGCCCACGATCCCCGGTCGCCCAGCCTTGCATCCGGACCCGGCCCATCGCCGTACCGTCACACGCCCACTTCGTCGATTAGCGCTCAGAGCGGCGGTTACCCCTTTCCTCCGTCGGCCCAGCACACTCCCACCAGCCCTGTGCAACGACCATATAATCAATATCCTCCCAGCAGCACAGCCGCGTACCCCTCCAGGGAAGGCTATCCTCCAACGCCGGGCGGCCCCGTGGGTGTCACAGGCCCACAACCACCACCGCCACCAGGACCACCAGGACCACCAGGACCAGGCGCTGGAGGTGCCCCTTACAACTATTTGCAGGGCCCGCCGGTTGGAGTTCCCCAAACACCACCGATTAGCACAGCTGGCGGCGGTACTCGTCAGTATCTCCAGCGATCGCACTCGACACATTCGGGATCGACACCGACACCAACCTCGGCGCACTCGCAGGGCCCGCCAGGACATTCGCATTCGCATTCGCACCCACAAGTGTACGGGCCTCCATTTGGTCGGGGAAGTCCTGGTGGCCAAATCGTGGATCCCCAGCAGCGGCAGTCATCCCAGCCAGCGACTCCAGTTGCGGGTCCAGGTCCGCTAACGGCTTCTACTACAGGTGGCCCTGGAACTGGAGCACGTCCACTGCCCCAGGCAACTGTTAGTCAGGCCCAGGCCCAGGCCCAAAACCTGAACCACTACGGCCAGCCGCCAAGCCCTTACCAACAACGACTTCCTCCTTCTGCGACAACGCATCATCACCTCAACCTCAACTCTCCCCGGTCCTCCCAACACTACCACCAACAAATTTCCTCTCCCCATTCCCACCCTGCCCCTCAACAACCGCCACCACCACCACCGCCTCCTCCGCAGTCTCTTCCCAGACAACACAGCGCACAAAGCATTTACGACGCCCGCGAACGTGAACGAGAACTACGCGAACGAAGCATCAGCATCAGTCCCAAAACTCGTGTCCCAAGTTTGCCAAGCAGCGCAGGTCGTCCTGCCACGGCTACTTCTGTTGTCTCGATTCCCGAGTCGGAACCACCCCGCCTCAACAATCATACCGCCGCTCCAATGGCACGATACAGGGACGAGGTCCGCGACGGTGACCACGGTCACAATGCCGCCGCCAAAAGAAAACTCGACGACCGAGAATTGAGACCAGACGAACTCGAGAGGCGAGACGTTCGTCCCCCACCATTCGACAACAGAGCCCGTCCAAGCCACACTCCCAACAAATCAGTCAAGAGGCGAGCATACGACAGCCCACCTCCCTGGGCCCAGCAGGCCACCCGAGGCAGCACACTGAAGGAGCCCAACTTTGTCCTCTACAAGCCCGTCCACGCTCCAGGCCACGGCCCCGTACAAATCAACGGCCATAGCCGTCATCCCTCGCCCGAAGAAAAGCGTTCTGTGCCTCGAGCACACGAACCCGTTCCCCGCGCACACGAAATTCGACCTAACGAACGGTCCGCAACCCCGAGCGCACAAGGTCCTCCCCCAGAAGCCCAGGCCAAATGGGGACCGCTTGGCCCATGGGAACCCACTCTTACGGGTGACGTACCCCAGGACACCATGGCCAAGGTCATGGCCGACTTTCTCTTTCACTATATTGTATCGAACGAGAATATGGGCGAGATCCATAGTCGAGGCATCCAGTTTGAGATCGAGGCCAAGTTTGGAGAACTCATCGATCGTAACACCAACCAAAGGATCGAGCTTGGAGTGCTATCCCCTACGATACTCAAGGAAGACGATTACGTCTATCCTTTCCGGAGCATCATGACTGAGGTAAGCCATGTTCCTATGCTCTCCATTTTTACCCTACTAACCAATGCTTTTGTTCAGGCACAACATCGATCCTACAACGAATACCTCAATCACCAGGTCGTCATCTCCAAGAACCCCAAGTCCAACATTGGCCGTGAACGTCCTCGAGTTCCCATATCGTATGAACACAAGCACGAGATCGACCGGTTTTACGCGATACCTCCTCAAATTCGCGACAGACACCTCCCCGTCACTGTCGCCAACCTTCTCGCATCCAAAGGGCGTGACGCCAAGGTCCGCGTTTCCTACAAAGAGAACAAGGACGGCAGCAGGGAGCAAATCGCCAAGATTGTCAAGGCCCGTCTAAAGGACCTCAGCATCCATTTTCCAGAACACCGCCTGGACTGCCGCATCAGCATCAACCTCGAAATGCCGTGGGAGGGCCCTATTGAGGAACTCGAGGCATACGCGACCGGTGCCAACAAGGGACAGTCTCCGGACCGCCGCAAGAATCGGCTGAGCTATGGTCATTGTAGCTATCAGTTCGATTTGACGCAGGTGGTGGAAAATGTTAACGTGAGTCGATGTACTATCTTTGCATCAGCTGAATGTGAGACTAACCGAGCAACCACAGGGCCGAGACGAAAAGAAGCACGAACTGGAAATCGAACTCGACCCCAAGGCAGTCCTAGACCAAGGTCGCAGGGCAAGAGAGGGACAGCCCAACCAGTACTTTGATTTGGTGGAAGGATTCCTGAACAACATCAGGATAATGGCCAAGATGTGCGCCTAGACTGCGCCACCAGGGGAGCCATGTTCTCTGGCAGACCTACACCTCTGTCTGGAATCTCAATCATATTCTACTCATCCTATCTCATTCGACGCTACCTGGCGCCCATGTACGCAGCAAATGTTTCCCCATTACAGAGACGGGTTAGGGTGCATGTCCCTCTATCCTCATTGAGTAGCGGTTTACTTTCTTTGACGGTCGGGCAGCAATATCATTTGGCTGCTGCTTTTGAGCTGTGTTGCAATCCCACTGTAGTGAGGTCACAGAGGAAGTTATTTTGAACGGGGGAAAAGAGGCCCATGAGCGGGACAGCCGGGAAGAATCTTTCGGACTCTGTGAAAGCATAACTATCTAGAGGCAGAGGTCGAGCAACGAAAGCATGTTATCATGTGTTATGTATGGGCGGGAAAATGTCGCTTATCATTAGCTATGGAGTTTTGGTGGCTACTTGTTTTCCCTATTATTAAATGGCATCACAGCCAGGTCGAGTGGACAGCAAGTTATTGGGAGTTTTCAGGTCATAAAGGAGAAAAGAGGAAAACTGAAAATGAGGCTAAACATAGATATTGCAGAGCGCACGTTGACTGTCTACCTCTCGAGACTTGCTTCAAGAGTAAGGCTCGTTAGAAGGCGTGGTATCGACGGAGCAATAATAATCTGGTGATATTCTTAAGTACTCATTGAACTATCATTTGGCTTCTGTTATACCAACCAAAGTACCTCCTCACTATCACAAACAGAACCGCCAAGGCGTCGCCAGATACCTTCAACGTCCTTTACCACCATCCTCACCTCACCCTTACACGTCCAGGTCCGACTCGACTCGTCTTCACACCACCATCCATCGCCCAAATATCTCCTTCGTACCTCAGCCCATGACACGGACGATAATCTTCACTCCCGTCCCCACAGGCTCGATCCCTCCAACTCGCCGGCTTCTCATTCACCTTCTCCTTCTGCTTAGCACCGCTGCTTCTCTTTGCCATCACTTTATCCACCCTTACTTCAGGTACAGTACTCTTTTTCGTCTTGTCCCAGGCCATTCTTCGCCTCTGCAGTTCCCTCATCCCTTCCTTATCTCCTCTTCTCTTTTTCGGACCATTCAGGTAAAAGACACCTTCGCAAAACTCGGCATCGAAACGGTCCGGCAACTTCATACAGCCAAACGCAAATGGCAGACTTCCAACCCTGAGTCTCTTCGGTAACCGTGACCTCGGACCTCCGAACCTGCTTATGCTACTTGCGGAAAGTGAGCTTCGCTCGTGTAGAAAGGACTACGTGTCACAAGGATGAGAGGGGTCTATATTTAGGCCGTTCTTTCCACTATCATTATCTCTCACCTTCTTCTTTACACTTACTACCACTTTCGATGCTGATATCGAAAACATTAACCGTCGCCTTTCCCGTACGTCAAGTTCCCTATGGTAGTCGTCCCCCCACTGTCGCGAAGGCACACTCAGATACAGAAGGAAGGGAAGCTATTCACAGATGGAAAGTCGGTGCCTGGCGATGCCTGACAGGAAGGAAGGTTGGCCACGAGATTTCTGGTATTTAAGACTGGCTTCCCCAGGCCTTGGGAGCTGTTTGGTTCTCTTCTCCTCATCTTCATCACACTTCTACTTGAATTCACCAGCTTGGGAGCTGTTCTCTTCTCACCATCTTCATCACACTTCTACTTCAATTCAATTGATTCACACCCACCTTCGCCTGACACCCACCATTACTCTAGTCGCAACGTACATTTATTCCGCTGCATCGCTTCCTTGGATTCTTCCCCCGGCAACCAACTTCTATACACACACCATCTCCAGCCCAATCCCGCACCGCCATCCGCAATCAACCCAGTACACTCGGTCTCAAGGCCTCGACACCCTCAGCCTCACCCTCCAAGACCTCACTCATCTGAGGAACATCTCTACTCTCTTTTTTTCTTCACCAGCGTTATTATCTTTAACATGGCTCCAATCCCCTACGAATCACGTGATTTTGTTTCTTGTTTTGGGTATGTCTCTCGCTCCCCATTCTGCCCTCCACTCCCCCCCCCCCCCTCTTCAAATCCTTTCTAACATGATGCAACAGTATCTTCTTTGGCATCATGCTCGGCATCCCGCTCAGCGCCATCCCCCCAACGCCGGAATCCGGGATAGAGGTACACCGGGTACCTTCAACAACCCAATTGTGGCAATTCTGAATGTGGCTGCCCGCTATTGTGGTGTGGTATGTCGCCGGTCTCGTGCGACTTCTGAAGAGAGCCGATAAACTCTATACGGATTGGATCGGAGACACGTCTGAGCTGCCGAACCATCCCTCCAGAGCGGCAACGACGGATTTTGACTCTCTGGTCCATCTTCACCGTTGTCTTCGCTTTCAGCTGGCCGCTCTAGGATCTTGGCGGTTGGGCAATTGGTTGGATCATCTGTTGCTTGACAGGCGTCAAACTTCCTCCAGGTCCCCAGCCAGGCCCCGAACAGGTCCCCCTTGGGCCGTGGCCGGCAGCACCTCCAGAGGCAGCAAACCTACCCAGAGGCATCCCCAACCATGACAGTAACGGAAACCTCTCAGGCTGTTACCCGTAACACAGCCGCCGCAATCCCCGGCACCCCTCCGAGGCAACGCCATCCCCCGAGGCTACAACACCGTCATCCCCACCCCCTCCATACGATGAAGCAGCGGGGAAAGGTACTAGCAGGACACGGACAAAAGGCAAGCGACAAGAAGCAAGAGGCAAGAGGCAAGAGGCAAGTGGTAGGAGACAAGAGGGACGAGGTTATAAGGGAAGAATAAAAGGGAAGAAAATGTAATAGAAGAATGGGTGACAAGAGCGTGTCATGAACATTTGATGTTTGGTTTTCTTTTTTTTTTTTTTTTTTTTTTTTTTTTCAATTTTCTCTTTCCGTTTCTGCAGAACTAGAAGCGGGAAAATACGACACACCGCATGAGCAAGCGATAATATGAGCAAGCGAAAAGGAAAAGATATTTGATACACACGGATACCCGGTGCCACTTACGACCCAAAAGTATATGGGTATGACTGACGACTGGAGGAAGGCAAAGAAACACGATACCGATTGAAGGAGGGATATTAGCGGATTATTAGTACCTTACATTTGGCTTGGGAAGATACCTACTAGGTAGAGGTACGAAGGGGCACCTCTATGTAGTATGTTTGACAAGGTGTTCACTTTCTCTCGGCACCACCAGCCAGTCCCGGAGTCGGGAGATATTATACACTTGCTTAGAGTTGACTCGGAATGGATTAGTACCGCTACACACTTGGTGGTTTGCTCTGACGTCTGACGTCTGAGGTTATGTTCCTAGAGGTACGTTACTCAGCCATAGCACTCTTTTTTCGGCTCTTTCTTTCTCAAAGCCTTCCTCTTCCTCTTCCTCTTCCTCTTCCTTTTCCCTTCCCCTGATCTCCTCGTTGCCACTTCTTAACCGCCGCTGTCGGTTCCTTTCAAAGATCTCTATGTACTCCCTAGCGACAATGCCCAATAACACTCTCCTGATTTAAACCCTTGCAACAATCTTTGAAGAGTTGCTTATTCCTACGGTCGACACCACAGATCTGTTGTGTTGGTTGGATATCCCGTCAGTCCTCTGGTCAGCCAGCATTCATTCATTCATTAAACCATGAATGACCAAGACATCCGATGGCGAATGTGTCAAGGTCAAGGTTCAATGGGAACGAATGAACGTGGGAAGGTAGAGAGAGGTAGAGAGAAGTAGAGAGAGGTAGAGAGAGGTAGAGAGAGGTAGGGAAAGGGGTAGGGAAAGGGGTAGGGAAAGGGGTATGGGTATGGGTAACGGTAGGGAGAAACGGTAGGGGAAACATAAGCATACACTGTTCATTGTTTTGTAACCTAGTCTTTTGCAGCAGGAGGCGGTTTGGGTGCGGAGAAGAGAGCCATCGGTTGAGAGCATGCAGATGCAATCGTCGGGGTTGAGGTACCATTCGCAGACTTGGGCGAGGACCGGGGCGGTGCCGTAGCCGGTTGCGAGGGAGAGGATGAGGAGGAGGGAGGTGGTGAGCTTCATTTTTTGCCTTTCTTGCTTAGTTGTAGGAGGTCTCGTAGTGTCGCTTGGGTTGGCTCGTTGGGTTCAGTGGTGAGTGGAAATACCGTGATCACTAAGGTACTGGTATTGGAGGTAGGGTAGAGGGAACGGTTTCGCATGGCTGGGAAGAAGTTATATCCATCTTTAACACACAGGAAGGAGGCCGCCGTCGACATGAGTGACGAAGCATAAGGTACCACGCTGCTATTTTTGTGGTAGCGGTAGGACCACCGTCGTCATGGAGTTGCTGTCAGTGTTTAGCCGCAATATCGAGGGTATAAGCGAGGTGTAACATGCCACTTGCCGAGGACAGGTGCCGGTCTTTTGAGTAGAAGACATCTACGACGCTTCTAGAAGCACGAGGGCATTGCCAAGTAGGTGGAATGAGCGTTATGAGACCCGCAAAGGAAGGTGGATGTAAGACTCGTAAGTGAATGGTCCAGTCTAGGACCGACCGGGTCCGCCGAACATCTGGTTCTCGCACGAGCAATTCATGTTTTTTAATTCTTGGCAGGTTGCCAACTCACTCTCTTCTTTTCTGGTTGACATGTGAGAACCGGGGGTCTATGGTAGCAATCCAGACCTCAGTCAATCTAACAGTAAGTCGGATTTGTTGGTAGGCCACTCTGATAATATTTTGGTAGTAAGGTAGGTACTACGCTTCACCTCATCAAGCGCACGACTTACATGCGAACGAGTAGATTAAGTACATACAGGCTAATTCCCGCCTCCGCAGGAAGCAACCCAAGATCCCGGTACGTGGGTTGTTGTTATTTTTGTTCTCGTTGCTGTTGTTGGAAGCCAGCTCGTGGATGTCCATCGATTCCATGCATTCATGGGAACATAGGCAAGAGAAGAAACCGGTCTTTTAGCTGCTTACTGCCTACTGCGTACTCATCGGGACCGGTGACAATTCTCATGAACGATCACTCCGATTATTTTTGAAGGAGTGTATTATTAGCTTGTATAGCAATGATCACGTAGCGTAGTTGCTGAGTGGTGTATCGCTGTTCCTCGCGTGCTGTGCTTCGAGTGTTTGCTCTGCCATCTGGTCGTAACCTAAAATATTCCTGTCGTCCGTCATAACCTGTCGATATCCATTACTCCCACCATTCTTTACTCCCGTCTATTTATCCACGCCTCCCCATCATTACCTCTACTTGTTCTCTCTAACCATTACCATCCACCTTCAATCATCTACCATCCAGCACCATTACTCCCACCATCCCATCATCCCCTTATTCACGACTCTCGTCATTACCTCCTCCCCCTACCCAACATCACCGCCCCCTGCACCCACCTCCCCACCCCCCACTCCGCCAAATTCTCCCAAGTCTGAAACTCCTACTTCCACTGACTCCCCGTAACAGCCGGCTCAGCCATATCAACCAAGAACCCCTTCGCCTTGGCAACTTTCACCAAAAAGCTCGGCACCCCCCACCCCACAACCTGCCCGACACCTCCACCGGGGCCGATGGGGACCAACAGTGTTCCGGCCATCTTGTTCTTGAATGTCTTTTGCTTTAGGGGGGCTGGCAGCTTCATGCCGTTCTCCTGGCCGTCAGGGCCTAGGATTTTCGCAGCGAGGTCGGCCCCAATGCTGGAGCAGACGACGGGGACTTGGAAGTTCGTTGAGATGAGTGTGTTATCGCTTCCGGAGACGACGTCGCCTACGGCGTAGATGCCGTCCGCTTGGGGATCGTTTTCCGAAGAACCGCGCACGCGGAAGAAGGCGTCTTTGGTGGTTACGCGAGAAGAAGCGTCCAGCCAGGTTTTGGGCAGAAAGTCGTCGGCGTTTCCCGAACCGCCCGTGGCGTCGATGTACAAGCCTACGGCACGGGTGGTGCCGTCGCTGAGTTCCACCGTGGTCTCTGTCTGCTCTCCTTCTCCCGAAACAGAATCGGACACGGAAACGACCTTGACGCCGTGGCTCACTTCCACCAAAGAGCCAAAGTTTTTCTTGAGGTAGGCCTCTGCTTTGCGCCCCAAGCTCTCGTTGCAGTTGCGATTGAGAAGACGGTCGGAGCCGGAGAGGAGAGTGATGGTGACACCCTCCGTTTTTCCCTGCGCTTTTAGTAGGGAGGCAATTTCTCCAGCGGTCTCAACGCCCACCGGTCCGCCGCCTGCAATCAGGACTGAGTGATGCGGGTGCGTGTCGGCCTGCAAGTTCTTCAACTTGGTCCTAATCCCTTCCCACTCGCGCTTGGTGGCATCTTCCGCCGCCCGCAACCCCTCCGTTCCCGGACCAGGCATGGTCCACAACGCCGAGCGCGCTTTGGTGCCCGTGGCGATTATCAGAATATCGTACCGGACCGTTGGGGTTCCTTCTGATTCGGGAGGAACCAACATCCCGTCGCCTGAGAAATTCGTGTCCACATGCTTGATCTTGACCTCCTTCTTCGCCGTGTCCACATCGGTGGCAAATGCTTTCACTACCGTCACCAGTTCCCCATATTGCTTCACGGAGTCGGACAAATCCCTGAACACCTTTGCTTCTCCTCCTGGCAAGAGATCGGGTTGGATCAAGGCGCGAGGAGAGGCGGGCTTGAAGAAGAAGTGGCTGTTGGGGGTTATCAGGGTGATTTTGTATTGCGGAAGAGAGGGTTGAGAGGGGATGCGCTGGAGGGCGGGGATGGTGTGTCGGGCGAGGGTGTGTAGCACGCCCAGGCCGGCGAGGTTGCCGCCGAGGATCACGATGGTGGTTGGGAGGGGTGTGGACGTGGTGGTGGGAGCCGGGGCAGTATTGTCAGCGAATGCTGATTGCGGTTCGGTGGACGCCATCTTTGGGGTTGGTATTGTTGTGGTCAAGTTGGGTGGTATGGCGCGTTGAAGAGGTGAGGTTGGAGGAGCTGATGGCACGACGTCGAGGGGGTGGGCGCCTGATGCTGGATTAATATTGGTTTCGTGGATGGACAGATGCTAAGGTGATAGCTAGCGAACTGAAAGCTAGAAGTGTAATATCCGCCGTTTGTTGACCAAAAATGCGAGATCGTGAGGTCGCACGTGGTGGTCGCGAGGAAGAAGAGGAAGGGAGGGAGACAGCCGCAGATAGCTCTTATCGGTTATCGCCTTTGTTTACTTGGTAGCTCGTTATCGCTCCCTTGCCAATTCCGCCTTCCAATGTCGCACAAAACACGGGAAAGTCCAATACCGGCGTCCAAAAGTGAGAGCCAACGTTGGACGAGAAAAACGAAAAAAGGAAGTCGGTCCCGAGCAACCTTTATCAAGATGAGAGGTCGCGCATTAGGCCCACAAATTGACATCAGTTATCAGATGTGCCAATCACAGCACGTTTTAGGCTTATCCACTAACAAATACCCCTAACCCATTGTGTCCACCAACCATAATAAGCTTAACGGGGTTTAGCGCTCCAATATGCCGTTCCACGAGGACGAACCTCGGTCCCGACCAACAGCCCGAAATGGACCACCAACACGCGTTTGTCCACGATGATTCAGCCCTGATAAGCTCAGCTGGTTTTGCTGACAAATTCTATTTACCTTACCAGTATTACGAGCTGCCTCTATGGACTCGGACTTGGTCTTACTTACAGCTCGCATTTATTGGAATTAAAGATACTGCATATTCAACTCGGAAGCTGGGCTGGATTGGGCTATAGCGGGTAGGATTATGTCCGTGAACCTGCCAGTCATGTTATTGTCAGCTCTCTGTTCAGGACCAGGTTCAAGCGGTAGAACAAAGGTACTGAGTATTGGAAAGACATACCCAGGCCATATCCTCGGTCCGGGGACAATGTATTCCTGTTCATTCGATATCTGGGTCAGCTTCACCGACGGTTTCGGTGATACCAGCTATAAAGAATTCACCACTCACCGTCCTATTCGCATTCTCCTCCGAGTACACATCAATGAAGATATCCGGATCTGTCAACACCTCGTCAGTCACCCTTTATTGTCACCCCTTGACCCCCGTCCTCCAACCGTCTCCCAGAAACAACGAAAAGAAACTCACCATCCTCCCTATAAGCCCCCGGAAACCTAACCCAATACTCCTCCGGCGGCAACACTCCTTCTCCTTCTCCTTCTCCTTCTCCCTCTCCCTCTTCCTCCCCCTTTATACCCACCTCCCCTTTCCCTCCCCCAACCTTCACCCTCTCCCCTTTTGTTGTCCCCCTCCTCAAATCCAAATGCCCACACTCAACATACCACTGCGGCCTCCCCGCCACATGCAAGCTCAAAATCTCATGTCGAACAATATACCTCCCCTCTTTCACCCCCCTTGGAATCACCACCTCCCACCGATTCTCCCCATATGCGTCCCCATCCCACTTTATGTTCTGAAACTGCTTCTGAAACCACATTCCCTCAGCCAGATTCGGCCCACTTAACAACCCTGCCTCCCAGATCTTGAACCACCTCACCTCCTCTAACTTGACAGCCGTACAGTCGTCGTTTGGGCAGGGAGCGGATAACCACACCGACATGGGACCGACGGGGTGCAGCCAGTAGTAGTAGATGGCTGTGAGCTTGGAGCCGGGGGCGAGAGAGATGTAATGCTGGGGAGAGTTGGGGGGAGAGAGGCCGGGGGTGTTGCATGCCAAAAAGGGGGAGGTGGGGGAGAAGAGCGGGTCGATGGAGGAGTAGGAGCGTTGGGGGATGCCGATTTGGGAGAGTTGGAGAGGGCCGAGAGGGGAGTTTGGGTCGTAGCTTGGGAGCAAAGGTTAGTGATATGAGAAGGCTTGGGGGAGCTGAATGTGGGAGAGGAGGGAAGGGGAGATGAGGGTAGGGAAAAGCCGGAGGGGAGGTCCGGTGAAAATGGAAGAGGGAAGGGACACAAGGGTCGGAAAGAAAACGGCCGGACGGAATTTTTGGCAGGGAGCCGGCCATGGTGAAATGCTTACCCCGGATACCAAACATCACCGACGGTGTAGTTAGCCAGTCCGCCGTGGGCCGAGACGAGGGCCGGCCCGGAGAACCGCGTCGCCAAGAGGGCTGCTAAGAGAAGCGGTATCATGTCGGGCATGATTTGTGAACGGATAACTAGGTATGTGCGAGAAAGTGACATCAAAGATATCGGGATTGTCTTGGCTTTTGTTTCGGTAGGTAGGATCTAACGACCAAGGTTTGGTGATGCCCGCATACTACGGCTGCCGTGGGAAAGTAATTACAGCCGAGAGCACCTTTGATCAGGTGCCGACCCGGAATGATAGATCCAACTGGGTACCAGATATGGAAAGGGGCAAATGAGAAGTTGCCGGGTGGTGGTTAAGGAGGTAGTAGATTATCCACCAATGTGAGCACTGGTTTTCTTGAAACGTAGCAGTTTCCAGGCTTGGGAGTGAATGCAATTTGACCTTCCACGTGTTCTTAATGCCTGAGTGGTTTGCAGATGATTTATGTAGATGAACGATGCCCGGCAGGCGGGTGTACACTAGCCTATGAGCGATATGAAACATTGATTAGCTTCTAGTGAACATTCATTATTGGTGAAGATTCAGATGGTGAATGGCGACGAACATCCAAGGCAGAACATGGACATCTGAGATCGACATACTCCCGGTTTGCCATGTGGCATTGAAGGACCTGCTTGCTATGATCTTTTCAGCCTCTTCGGTACTTGTGGACGAATTGCAACCCTCCGGCAGAAAGCCATGAGACAAGGGAGGGAGCTTTGCCGGACAGCCTTGGTGGTTCGCTTTGGCCAACGTCACTGGGGAAGGCATCCCATTCTCGGCCTGTGATCATCTACTCGTGTGAACACCGTTTGTTGGTGTCTGCTCTGGAACTTGTCATGGAACAACAAAAACAAGTTCCTAAAAGCAGTGGGAGAAAAGCTTCAGACTGAGCCTCTTGGAACTACCATCCATTTCCCCGGGCTGTATCAAGCCAAATCGGGCCTGGTAAAGCCGTGCCTGCATTCGGCAGTAGAACAGCCGGCACGAATCGGGGGTCGAATCTGGCATCCGGGGAAGAATAACATAACGTTTGATCTCCCATGCCATGCCAAATAGCCATATTAGCCTACTTTGACATTGAGATCACACGCCTGGCCATCATGCGAATCGCCTCCACGCACTTGTTCTCATCCATAGTGCCAAGACAAATCTTTTCATGGCAATGTCAAGCGCTTGCTTGAAGGGACTGCTTGAACTTGACGCAACACTCATGGCTAGCACAAGTATAGCCAAGGTATCACTGAGCTGCCAATGAGGCGAATTACCATGGCTTGGCCGGATGGCTATGGTTCGGGCAAGAAAGTGCATCCGAAGGATTTCGCCCAGGAACACGGTACCTCTAACTTTACCGTCTCCTGACTTGATGGCCTCGGCAGATGAAAAAAAAACATATAAGACGGGAGTGAAGTCGGAAACACTCGTCTCCCACCTGCACACCTCATCAAGCAGTCATCATGGTCCACCTTAGCTCCGCCCTCTTGCTCGCCAGCGCGGCCTTCGCCGTCGCCGCCCCGGCCTCCCAAATCTTTGAGCGCCAATGCTCCGTCGCCGGCAGCTATCCCACCGCGGCCGTGTCCAAGCTCCCTGACCCCTTCACCACCGCGGGCGGACAAAAGATTACGACCAAAGCCGACTTCGACTGCCGCAAGGCCGAGATCAGCAAGATCCTCCAACAATACGAGCTCGGCACCTACCCCGGCAAGCCAGACAAGGTTGAGGGTTCCCTCTCGGGCAACACCCTAACCGTGCGCATCACCGTCGGCAGCCAGACCGTGTCTTTCTCAGCCTCCATCAAGAAGCCCTCCTCCGGCAGCGGTCCCTTCCCAGCCATCATCAGCATCGGCGGCAGCTCCATCCCGATCCCCAGCACCGTGGCCACCATCACCTTCCCCAACGACGACTTCGCCCAGCAATCCGGCGGCTCCTCGCGCGGCAAGGGCAAGTTCTACACCTTATTCGGCAGCTCGCACTCGGCCGGCGCCTTGACGGCCTGGGCATGGGGCGTGGACCGACTCGTCGACGCTCTCGAACAAGTCCAATCCTCCTCGGGCATCGACCCCAAGCGCCTGGGCGTCACCGGTTGCAGCCGCAACGGCAAGGGCGCCTTCCTCGCGGGAGCCCTCGTCGACCGCATCGCCCTGACGATCCCGCAAGAATCCGGCTCGGGCGGCGCCGCCTGCTGGCGCATCAGCGACAGCGAGAAATCCGCGGGCAAAAACATCCAGACCGCTTCCCAAATCGTCACCGAAAACGTGTGGTTCTCGCCCACCTTCAACTCGTACACGCGGCAGGTGACCAACATCCCCGCCGACCACCACATGCTGGCGGCGCTGACGGTGCCGCGCGGGTTGATTGCGTTTGAGAACGATATCGACTGGTTGGGTCCCGTGTCGACGACGGCGTGCATGCAGGCTGGTCGGCTGATCTATAAGGCGTATGGGGTGCCGAATTATATGGGCTTTTCGCTGGTGGGCGGACATAGTCATTGTCAGTTCCCGAGCGGACAGCAGAGCGAGCTGACGAGCTATATTAATTATTTCTTGCTGAATTCGGGGACGGCGCCCGGCGCGGTGGAGAGGAGCTCGGCGAAGGTGGACTTGAGGAGTTGGGCGCCGTGGGATGTGCCGACTCTTTCGTAGGGGGTGTGACTGGAGGGGAGAGGGTGCGGTTTGGATCGGCTTCGAAAAGGGCCTCGGGGGTTTTCTGTTGTCGTGCTCGTGTAGGGCGAGCGTTGCGTCTGATGCCGATGATCTTGATCTCCGAGTCCAGGCCCCCCGGATCGGGATCGGTGACAGCCTTCGGCTCCTTGTATGTCGCGTATCGGTAGCACCATCCTATAAGGGCAGAGTTGCAAACAAGGCGTACTTAGTGATCAATGAGACCAGCTTGAAGTCGTGATACAGCATATGCCAAGACGAGAATAGGATATTGTAGTGGAGTGAAGCGAGTCCGAAGCCATGTTGCGACGCTGGTTGTCGGGTTGTCCCCGGCAAAGTAAACAAAACGGGAAAGTGGGTGTTGACAAAGAGAAAAGACAAGACCGAAGCTCGGTGTTCCGCTTGAGATCACTGGGGAAACCAATTGGAAAGTTTGATGATTTGGATTGGCCTGGTGGAAGAAGAAGAGATGTGCCAGACCCCCCGCTAAATACCCAAATATCGAAAAGGATGGTGGGGGACGATTAGAGTGGATACACGCTGAAGCTGCCCGGAGCTCCGTCGGGAACCGCATACGGCAGAGAAGACAGAGAAATGGTAACCAATGATGGCAGCCAAGTCAAGACTCATGACAGAGAAATGGTAACCAATGATGGTAGCCAAGTGATCAAGTGGCTTCGGGAATAACCGCCAGTGTATCTCCTACTGGAAGAGATCCCGAGATCACCACCCGTCTGGCGATCAATGACACGGTCGACGTGAAGCCTGTGAAGAGGGGGGGCCTTAAGCCGCTCGAGACCCGTACACGTGCCGTATCCCTCCTCTCTCTTCTTCCATCATCTTCTTACACTACTCTATAAAACACATCACAACATCAACATTAGTAAGTAAACGGTATCTCGGCACTCATAATAAAAGAGGGTGGGTATTGCTAAGATAGCCTCAACCACACACCCACGGGTAAACCATGTGGACGGCCAAGCAAATTCGGTCCTCGCCTTTTCGTTTTTTGTTAGTCGACTATGCAGCGTTACATGGCGCATCACAGTTTTCAAGTCTTGGCTTTGGGGAATGCTTGCAAGAGTAACTTTTGAGGAGCGTTCGTTCGTTGAAAAAGAAAAGTGATTTGGGTCTTTGTTTCCGGATTTATTACCGGAGTCCGGGCCGGAGGGGGGGGGACTTCTCCTCGTCCTCTTAGATCCGCGATATCGCCATCTTCCACCTTGGATCCATTTCTCTTTCTCTCTTTTTTCTCTCGGACCACTTTATCCTAGGCCCTGGTCTTGGTTGACCGCCTTGAAAAAGTCTTCTTTTACTAATTATTTCTTTCACCTCTTCCTGGAACGCTTCGAAAGTTGACGGTGGACGGTAACCCCCTTTTCTTTTTCTTATTAGAGAAAAGGCTTGCTTTCGACAGCACATTCTTCACTTGGCGAGAAACAAACACTGCTCGAGTTTGATGGAAAGGTTGACCTGCCAAAATCTCCCAACTCGACATCTCGCATCAATAACAACATCATGGCAGATCCAACAACCCCCGAACCCACGGCCCCGGACACGGCACCCCCCTCATGGCGCTCCGAAGACAACAGATCTCCCGTGCTCGCACCACACCCCGTCACAGTCCCGGGTCCGGGTACCTCAACCTCTAAGTCTAACCCCCACAACAACACAACAGTAATACCAGACGCCAACACTGAAATCACCCACCTCTACCTAACCTTCTCCATCCTCCCACCCTCCGCCAACACCACCCTCCAGTCCTCCGGCTCATCCAAAAATGACCCTCCCCCGCCCCCCAACCTCAAACCCTTTACGAACCCCCTCCTCTGGCCCTCCTCCACCAAACTAACCATGCTCACGCTCTCCTGCATCGCCACCTTCCTAACCGCCTACACCGCCGGCGCCTACTCCCCGCCTCAACTCCTCCTCCTCCAAACCCTTGCGCACGCGCACAGCACCACCGCCATCCTCGGCGGCATCTCCACCTTCTGCCTCGGCTTCGCCTTGGCGCCCATGGTCCTGGCGCCCTTCTCCGAGATGAACGGCCGCCAACCCGTCTTTGTCGTGGCCGGCGTGGTGTTTGTCATCTTCCAGGCTGTGTGCGGTGTCGTCCAGACTTTGGAGGGGATGTTAGTCGCGAGGTTCTTCCTGGGCGTGGGAGCGTCGGTTTTTAGCACCATGGTCGGCGGGGTGATTGCGGATATTTGGATTACCGAAGAGAGGAATACGCCCATGGCTATGTTTAGCGGGGCGGTGATGTGCGGGACGGGGCTCGGGCCGTTGGTGAGCGCGTATATGACGCAGCGGTGGGGGACGGATGAGAATGGGGAGGTGCTGAGGGGGAATGGGGCGCGGTGGAAGTGGATCTTTTGGCATCAGGTTATACTGGGCGGGGCGCTGATGGCGGCGTTGGTGGTGCTGTTTAGGGAGAGTAGAGGGTCAGTGTTGTTGAGTAGGAAGGCGAGGGCGTTGAATCGGTGGTATGAGGAGTTGGAGGCGGAGGGGTTTTTTGGGGTTTGGGTTGATGAGATGAATGAGGGAGAAGGAGGGAATGGGGATGGGGTGGACGACGAGGAAAAGGGAGCGTCCCCTGGTTCGACAACAAAGACACTCAAGCGTATCCGGTGGAAAACCAAAGATGACGAAGAACGCGGTTCTCTCACTCACATGATCAGTACCTCCGTCTTTCGACCTTTCCATCTTCTGTTCACCGAGCCCGTCGTCTTCTTCTTCTCCCTCTGGGCCGCCTTCGCCTGGGGGGTGCTCTACCTCACCTTCGGCTCCATCCCGCTCGTCTTTCGCCGACAATACGGTTGGAACATCGAGCAAGCAGGCCGTATCTTTGTCGCCATGATCGTCGGCGCCATCCTCGCCACTGCCATCGGAATCTGGCAAGAAAAGATGTTGCATCATCCCAACTGGAGGAGGGCTGCTCCCTCTTCCTCTCCCGAGACCACCTCCTCATCCTCATCCCCCTCCGCCTCCGACACCGAAGGCCCGAACGCCCTTCCCTCCTCCGAGCCGAAATCCCTCTGCTCCCGGGCCCAATCCGAAAATCCCATCTGGCCCTTCCTCCGCACCCACTTCCCCACCTCCTCCCCCGAATCCCGCCTCTACTTCACCTGTCTCACCGCCACCTTCCTCCCCATCGGCCTCTTCATCTTCGGCTTCACCGCCCGCCCAGACTACCACTGGATCGGCCCCGCCATCGGCATCGGTATCGCCACCATGGGCATTCTGTCTGTGTATCTGGCCGTGTTCAATTACCTGGCCGATACGTACCATCGGTATGCGAGCTCGGCGCTGGCGGCGCAGAGTTTTTGTCGGAATATTTTGGGAGGCGTTTTTCCGTTGGTGACGGCGCCGTTGTTTACGAATTTGGGGGATGGGAGGGCGGGCGCGATATTGGGCGGTGTGGCGGTGGGGTTGACGGCTGTGCCGTGGGTGTTGGTTTGGTGTGGGAGTTGGGTTAGGGGGAGGAGCCGGTTTGCTTTGGTGAGTTTTTATGTTTCTTTCCTGGACCTTTTGAATGGTGACGGTGGAAGTGGTTTGAAGAGGGTATTTGCTAACGTATGTGTGGACAGCAATTGGAAAAATCATGAAGGCCTCAACTGGACGGCATGAGATATGAAGGAATGAGAAAGATGGCCTGGGATGTGTTAATCCAGTATGGCGGCGAGAGGAGGAGGGACTGGAGTGTTGAGTGTTGGATATACCCAGCTTTTTACGCGATGCAGGTAATGAAAGATGGAAATGGAATGGGCTGTGGGGGATGGCATATGATATTGGTTCCTGGATAAACCAGTAGTCGGGGAAGGGATATGGGACGGGTCCTGGACACTGGCAGCCAGCCAGCTTCCCTCAAGGCCAAGTTGTCTCAGTAGTGGTATATAGACCTTTCTCATGGGCGTTAGAGATTGTAATCATAATATAAATACGCAGAAGCATAATAATGGAATAAGCCAAGCGATCATTTTACTGCTTGCTTGTAACCAACAATAACGATATTGCCGGCACTCAATCCAGCCCTCCATCCTCCGTGCTCACTCGACATCCCCGTCCCGGCCCGGCCCCACCCGGACGGACTCCGGCCAAACGAACCCATACCTCCGGCGCTCCGCTACCTCCGCCGCTAGCTCCACCAAATCCACTGATCCGCATCGCATTCGCCGCACTAATTTCTAGCGGTCCACAGTGGACTTCAACGCTCCACCAGAACCCCTACGGAAAAAAATTTTGAGAAAAAAAGTTTTCGATGACCACAAGTCCAGAACATCTACACCACCATCAAGATCCCATGTCATAAGGTCAACAACTAAATCAAAGATTCAACAAACAAGGTCCGCTGGCTCAATGGCAGAGCGTCTGACTACGAATCAGGAGGTTCCAGGTTCGACCCCTGGGTGGATCGAGTTCAATTCTTCTATCAAGAAGTTTCTTTTTGACTTTTTTTCTTTTTTCTTTTTTCGTTCTTAACTGTAGTACCCTTCTCTTTGGTGGTGATGACCTCCCGCTTCAAGTGGCCAATGAATGACTGCCGTTGTTTCCCGATGTTATTAGCCGCCCAGTTCTTTTAGCTTTTTTCCCTTGAGTGTTTCTTTTGCCCCCACGCTTCCTTCCGCATGTCACAAGTCAAAAGAGGTAGGTGTCTTTGGCCTTTTCCATTTCCATCGTATGGACATAATACCTCTGTGCATCGCATTTTTTGATTCACCATATGTCACGTACAACGCTCATCGACTAGTTCATGTTTACAAGTATGGTCAAGTGTTCTTGATTATCTTTCGGCTACCTATGAAAAGACTGTGAAAGAAGAACGTGCAAAGACATTGATTGCTTCATAGTTGTAGTGTAAGATATGTACGTACCAAATCTAAGATGAGAACAACAAAGGCAAATAGGAGGCAAAGGAAATCATACCTCTAGGTATGTACACCCCACATCCCATCCTATCCTTACTTCCATACCATACCAGGAGCTCAGGAGATTCAATCAAACCTCCAACCCCAAGTACTCCTACCTCTATCCCCAGCCCTCTCTGCCCTCCTACCTCTCTCCGGTGCAGGTGACTGATTCACAGAAGCCGAAGACAGCCAAGTGCTCGAATCCGGCGACGTGCCCTCCAACCTCTGCAACGCCTCCTCATTTACCGTCCTGATCCTCGATCTGCCTTCATCTCCAGTTCCAGTTCCAGTTCCAGGCCTGTAGGGTTTCTCATAATCCTCGTCGTCATCATCAGTCAACTCACTAACCCCATCCTCATCTCGCCACTGTCTGTGTCCATAATGCTCAGTTGCGGTCGCGGACCTGGATGACTCCCCCACATACAAACTCTCACCACCAAATTCCGAACTAATCGTCGCCATCCTTCGATGTCCTCGGTTCTGGTCAGGGGCAGGGAAAGAAGCAGGATCACCACCACCGTGACCACCATCCCAAGCCCCCCCACTAACCATCCCCGCAAACCTACCCCCCCTCCTCGCCGCCAGCTCAGCGTAGGATCCTCCCTCCTCGATAACCGTTCCATTCTCAATCATGACTATCCGATCAGCGATACGCATCATTTCTTTGGAGTGGGTGACTACCACTATCGCCATTGCCATTCCTTCTCCTTCCTTCCCAACCCCTTCCTTCCGGTTGCCATGAACAAGTCGAGCAAAAACTTCTCGCACAGCTTCCGCTCCTTCGGCATCCAAACTAGCAGTCGGCTCGTCGGCAACGATAACCTTGGGATTACGAACCAGCGCACGCGCGATGGATACCCTTTGGCTTTGGCCGCCTGAGAGCTGCATCCCTGAACCTTCGCCGACGACGGTGTCGTAGCCTGAGGGGAGGGAGATGATGAAATCGTGGATACTCGCCAGCTGGGCAGCGCGGTGGAGCAAGTGCTGGTTTGCCGAAAGTCTAAGGGGCGAGGAATCGGGCAGCCCGTACAGGATGTTCTCTCGAAGGGTGGTGGGCAGGAGTAAAGGGTGTTGGGGGATGTAGGAGATTTGAGAGCGGAGGGAGGGAGTATGCGTGAGTGAAGCCGGGACGGAGTTATATGTTAGGGAATCGGAATCCTTTGAAGCCCCAGGGGAAAGGGGAGCCTGGGGAGTGGGAGGGTAGAGGTTAATTAGCAAGCTGGCGATGGTGGACTTGCCGCACCCGCTTGAACCGACGATGGCGGTGCACGTTCCGGAGTTGATGGTCAAGTTCAGATTGCGGAGGACCAAAGTCTCGGGCGCCGAAGGGTAGGCGAATCGTAGATTCCGCATCTGGATCGGTAACGGATTACTTACCCGCTGCTGGCCTTGCGTCTCGTGGCTTGCCGAGTGCGAGAGGTTGGCGAAGTAAAGCATTTGCGTCGCCGTAGCCTTCGCCGCCGCGATTTGCGGCACGTTGGCGAGCATGTTGACGCAAGTCCCCAAGCTGAACAAGATGAGGTTGATGACCCTCAGCAAATCGGTCACCGAGGCGCGGTCCTGGGATAAGATCTTGGCGCCGTAATAAAAAATCATGGCGGTTAGGTAGTAGGCGATGGACTGGTTTAGACCGAAAAAGAGGCCGACGTAGGTAGCTCTTTTAAGACCGAGCTGGTACGCTTCGTCTGCTTTGGCGTCGTATTTCCGTGTAAACCACCCCTCGAGCGTCAGGGCGCGAACGACTTTGATGTTCCCAAAGGTCTCGGTGAGGACTTGCCCGGTATGGAGAGCGGCTTGGTCGCAGCGGGATTCCCATTTGTCGCTGAAGAGCGCGTTGAGACGGCCTGCGATGACGGCGGCGGGAATACCGGCGATGGTGACGAGGGTTAAGTCCCATTGGATTGTCAAGGCCCAAACGATTGCGACGGTGATCATTGTGCAAACGATAATTAGGATGGGGAGGAACATGCCGACTAGCTTCCTCATTTCTTCGGCGTTGCGGTCCAGACATGCTACGATCTTGGCCGGGCTGTGGGAAGATTTATCGAACCACGATTTGGGCTGAGCGAGGATGCGGGTGATGGCTTCGGAGCGGAGGGTGGTGACCCATTTCGTCGCTACCTTCTCAAGGAAGTAATAGCTGCCAAAAGTAGCGAGAGCGTCGACACAGGCGACAGCGGCGAGGATGCCTGCATATCGTGAACCGGCGGCGAGTCGGGCAGAAGGGGACGACCAGAAGGAGGAGAGGAGTTGGGCAAAGACGAAGGAGAAGAGAGGGTTAGCGGCTGCTACCACCAGACCCAAACAGACGCCGAGAAGGAGTTCGAGTTTGGAGCGCAGGTCGAGAGTGGGCCAGACGGTGCGGAGGATTGCCGATAAAGAAGGGAGGCGGTTGTTGACCGAATGCATCTTCTTGTTGGTTTGCTGGGGATTTGATGAATAAGAAGCAGCAGAAACAATGGACGCCATGCTGTTCCTACGCTTCTTGTGGAACCCAGCCCTTTGCTTCTTGTTGGCAAGCTTTTCCAGAAAGAACAACTCGAGGGAGTCCATGCTTCCGTTTACTCGAGCTTCAATCACCTTCGGATCGGGGTGCTGGGCCCGGCGGGCATTAGACACGCGGGTTTTCTTGACTGAGAGGCCGGTTTGGGTGATGAGTTCGATGGAGGAGGTGCTGTGTCTGCGGTCGTCTTGCTTTGAGAGGGGAGAGACACCGCGGATGCGATCGGGGTTGGCGTTCGGGTGAAGGTGATGGATGGGTACTCTGCCCGCACTCGACCTTCGTGACAGTGGTCGTAACTGTCCGTTGTCCGCGGAAGAGTAGGGGTCAAAACCAAACGTCAACCTGGGAAAGACTGTACTTCCCCTCTGTCCACGCAGGCTCAGGCCGCGAACAAGCTGGACGTAGGTAGCCTCCTCGATCACCTCCTCCTCTGATTCTTGTTCATCCAGCTCTTGAATATCTCCCAACTCACTCTCCTGTTCCTCCTCCTTTTGTTCCTCAAAATCGCTCGCATTCTCTCCATGATCACCGCGATCATGATCAGCCGAAGCAACAAGCCCAGCAAACAACCCCTCTCTCTCCTCCCTCAACTGCTTTCCATGTCCTTGTTGAACAACCCGGCCTCCTTCCATGACATACACCATCTCCCCCTCACCTATACATCCCACCTCATGCGTGATGATGATCGTCGTCTTGCCTCTCCTCCAGATGCGGATGGCATCCATTATGAGACCTCTGGATACGGGATCCAAACCGGATGTGATTTCATCGAGGATCAACACAGGCGGATCGCGGATCTTGGCTCTCGCCAAAGCTAGACGCTGGCGCTGTCCGCCGCTGAGGGAGTAGCCGCCGGGTCCGATTTGCGTCTCTAAGCCTTGAGGCATTCCGGCAACGGTGGTCTGTAGCAAGGCCATGGAGCATGCTTCTTTGACGTCTTCCACTGTGACGCGGTCGGGCTGGTAGCCTCCAAACGCGACGTTCTGGAATAAACTATCGTTGAAGAAAACGCTGGATTGCTGGATCAGAGTGATGTTCTGTCTGACCCATCCTAGGTCGAGTCGCGTCATGGGTTGTCCATCGACGGTGATTTGGCCGGTCAAAGGCTCGTAGAAGCGGACTAGCAAGTTACCAAGAGTGGATTTGCCGGAGCCTGAACGGCCGACGATGAAGGTTAGAGAGCCGGGTGGGAAGTGAAACGACGAAGGCTGGAGGACCAAGTTGGAGGGTGAAGACGGGTAGGCGAAGGAGATGTTGGAGAGAGAGACGTCGCCGTGACAGGTAGGGGGTCGAAGGCCGCCGGATACTTGGGAAGTTTTGGTTTGGCCGGGGTCAGCCTGGCGAACGAGTTCTTGGAGGGATTGACCTGCTGCCATCCCTTTTGCTAGAATAATCCATTGAGGACCGAGGTTTTGGAGGGACTGGAAGGAGATGAGGGCGCAGTAGAAGGTCGTCAAGGCGTTTCCGGGAGTGAGTTCCTCCCGGTTGACAAGCACCACGGCAAAGTAAAAACCCACGACGAATAGCGACATCATCCACAGCTTGATGTAGCTCATCTGGCCATTGTTAGACAGCACCTGACGGGCGTAGTATTTGGACGACCGTCGCACAGCCGAAATGAAATGGAAAGACTCGTGGTCTGCGGCATTGTAGGCCTTGACGAGGTCGATGGCGGTCGTGGCAGCCGTCGCATGCTTGGCAGCCTCGGCAAGTTCGCGCTTTTGGCCGGCGATGGCAGGGTCGAGGAAGCGGGCGATGAGCCAGAGGATGAGGGCAGACGGCAGAGCGGTGGAGCACATGACAAATGTCAGCTTGTAAGAGTAGTAGAGGGCGACGATGATGCAGGAGGCGAAGACGAGGAGGTCGCAGACTAGAAAGCCCAAGACTTGGGAGGTGCCCATTTGGAGTTCGCGGGCTTGTCTGCCCGGAACGTGTTAGTGATGATTTGAGGAGAAGGGAAAGGAGGACTTACGTCTGGATGGTAGTCATCAAGCTTGACATGCCATGCTCTCGAAGATCGAACCAAGCCGCACTTCTGTTGAGAAGGGTCGAGAATAGAGTCTCCCTGGTAGTCTTTGCGCGCAACTCGCCGGCCATGACCCAAAGAGCAACGTCAATGCTGCAAACCACCCACATGCCGAGTCCGAGGAGGAACATGTACAGACACCAATTGGAGACCTGGTGAAGCAATACAGATGCCGTGATGTCTCCTGCGCCGTAGGAGGTGCAGACCTCGAAGATCTTGCCGAGAAGGACGGCGTAGGCGGTACGTCCAGCGGCGATGACGGCTGAGCCGCAGAGAGCGGTGACCATGAGCGAGACATGGGCTGGGCGGGTGAAGGCAAAGAGGTTTTTGAAGGACGACCTCATGGGCTTGGGGGCTGGTTGAGCGGGAGCCGCAATCTGGACAGCGATGGACTCGTCCTTTGGAAGAGAGCTTTCGCCCTTTTCGTGTTTAGGGCTGATCATCTTGACTGTTGTTGACTGTCAATCAGTTTGACCAGGTCATGGTGGAAAGGGTCCAAGAGAAAAAGACGGTCGGCCTTTTGGAGGAAGTGGTAGCAATTCGAAGGCTAGTGGCAACTGGCGATGGTATAATAGGAGGGCCATTTCGCAATTCGGGCTCTGTGGTAATAGGATGCGAAGGGAGAGGTGTGTAGCTTTGTGAGGGTCTTTGTTTGGCGGTGCTTGCTATTGTTTGTGTCGGCCAGAGTGCTGGGTGGGCTCAGGGGTAGCCGAGAACAATAGGAAGCAGTTTTCCATCCCGGCCCTGGAACAATACTTGCGGATTAAAGATGGGATGGAAGACTGTGGCACTTGGTTCTTTAGTTTGACATGTCTCTTTCATTAATGGCGCTTACCTCTCTACCTCCATCTCCCTTCCTTCAAGTACACCACAACATGCACCCCGCGAGGACATGATGGACACGTCGAATGATGTAATGACTGGACTGCAGAAATTCACTTAATATTCGGTCGATCGATGGTATCCTATGCGCTGCTGCTGCCCTTGGCCTTTTGCCTCTCCTTTTCCGCCTCCTCGTAGATCCAGTCGTTGAGGCCGGCGCGGTTTCTGGAACAGGCGTTGTCAGTATTCTTTGCCTATAGAACTCGGGCGGTGGATCATACCTCGCAATCTCGACGGCATAGAACTGCATGCGCGGCACAAAGATGGTCTCCTTCTCGCCGTACTCGGTCTTGGGGGAGGCCCTCAGCAGAGTGCCAAAGTTGTAGTCGTCAATCTTCTTGTCGTAGGCCATCATGAAGGTGCGCCACCTATCCTTGCCGGTCTTGCTCTTCATCTCGTCCTCGTCGATAGGCACGGCGGGGTCGAACTCGGGAAAGTCCTTCTTGAGGTGCTCGAAGATGTCATCGTCCATCTTGGTCAGCCGCAGCTTGGAGCCGGGCACCTTTTCGAGGATGGCCCAGTAGGTCGCCATCTGCTGGACGGCCTTGACGGCGAACTGCTTCTCGATCTGGTTGGGGGCTAGTTGTTAGCATGCTGTCAGGGTGTAGGATGGCGCATCGTGTCGCATGTCGGCGCATCGCAAAGAACGAGGCTGAGGGGATACATACATCCTCAAAGTTGTCCGCATTCTCAGCGTCAAAATCCTTGGGAACCTGGGTAGTGACAGACATGGTGGGCGGCTTTGTCTGTTTTCGGATTGGGGTGGTGTTGGTTGTGTGGTGGTGTTGATGTTGGTGATGGTGATGGTCAAGGAGGAAGACTAAAAAAGATTGTTGGAGACAAGGTACTGAAGATAGCTTCCAAGTACCTCAGCCTTATCCAAAAGACGTGAATGGATGACCAATCCAACTGAAGAGGAAGGGACGGGAACTGACCAGACGCTTCCTGGCTGCGCGACAAGCTCCCCGATCTACCCAGAACAGTCACTGGGCCTCCATGGTTACAGTGGACATCAGCGCTAAAGAGACTACCTATAAAGAGGGTACCTCTGCACTAACAACTGACAGCTTGGTACTCGGCTACGCACGTCTGAGTAAACAGGGCCGCGGCGGGGCAATGACATGCATCTGACGGAGCGGAGGAGGGGCCCTCGGGGCCAAAGCGCGCTATAGAATTTTGGTACCGGGGTATCTTATCGATAAGTGAATATGGGATGAACGACAAACGCTTATCGGCTTATGTAATCTCTTATCACTTACACTGCATTTCCTTGTTGGATTCGGACAAATCGGATGAAATCTCTCCTCAACACCATCATCCACATCATCGCCATCACCATCAACATCAATCAAGACTTTCTCTCACTCCTTCCAACTGTCTCCCATCTTCTGTAAAAATGTTCTGGTCAAGTTCTCCTGTTGATTCTTTTCTAGACCTGCCGCCCTGCCGCCCCAGGACGATGAGTGCTGGGCCAGCAGATGGCCTCAGCGCCATTCCATATGAAAATCCATATGAAAATCCATATGAAAAGAAAAAGGCGGACTTGGGAATGATCTTGATTGGATGCTTCCCAGAACGAGAATCGAGCTTGCAGTCCGGAATGAACACATCAGCATCTGCACAATGGTGGGGGGAACGGCTGCCACACTGGGACCAGAGCTCACCTACCTCTACCTGGCGGTAACAACTGGGCCTACATACCTACGTCTCCTAGGGGGCGTTCGGGTTTCCTGCCCTGACTTGCAACTGAACCAAGGAGGCCAAGGGCATGCCCTGTTCAGTGCCAGCGACAACCTACTCTTCCCCACGCCCACCACTTCAACAAACATCCAACTCTACAGCCATACTGAAAAACACTCGCTAGAGAAGACACCATCATTTACCGTTGTACTCGTATCCGAGAAGCAAGCATTCATTCGCCATGGACAACTACATCAAGGATCTCGACTATGAATACACTTGCAAGATCAAGTACGATTCCGCCGTCCCGCCCGCTTGGGACCGGACTCTGAATGTCGGTTGGTCCCGCCTCCCCCGGGGCTCCAAGGAGGGAGAGGGCGACGACGTTGCGGCCTTTAAGGCCATGACCGCTTCGAATACTCGAAAAGTTGGCCACTGGGACTACTTCACCCTGCCCGCCAATGTTGCCCTGAAGATCTGCCGCTATATAATCCAACAACACTCCACTGACAAACCGATCCGCCTCAGCAGGTTGTCTGTCTACAGTGGCCTATATCCTATCACTGAGGACACGGACCGGGATGTTTGGGAAAGCGAGTTCTTCGAGACTCCGAAGCAAGCATCACGTGCTGTCACTCCTTACCTCCTTGTCAGTCGTGGCTTTCGGACCAACCTTTCAGCTGCCTTTCTCCTCACCCGTCGGTACCATTTCGTCGTTTCGCCCTTTGACCATGTCACAGACCTGAATTGGCTCGCCCGTAATGGCCCCTGTCTAAAAAACATCACCATGGAATTTGATTGCACCAGGTATTATGGTGGCAAGCCCCAGACGAGAGAAAAGGTTGAAGCTGCCAAGCACCCTGGGGGTGTCGACAAGGAGCAGTTAAAAACTGCACTGGCGCCTGGCAAAGATGCCAGGGAATCCGTCAAGCACTACAAACGGGTACTGCTTCCCATGTTGGAAATGCTAACCAGCGGCCGAGAATTTCCCGTCAACCGTTTGACTATCATGGTCAGAAAGTACCAGGGATCGCGGGAGAGCATGCCGCGTAAGTCTTTCCAGGAGCTTCACCCTATCCTCTTTGTCCATCCGAACTGACCATTATTTGCAGAAGGTTACCCCTACTTTGATCCGACATGGCTGAATTTCCTCCTCGTGATTCCATGCGTCCTCCAATCAAATGTCCGAAATCTTGAAACAATCGGCGTCCCTCCGAAGCTTTTGGGATTGATCATCAACAGATTCTGGGGAGAGGGAAAACCTCCAACCGAGGACGCTCAGAGACAGCATTTTACATGGAGTCCTTCTCCGCCCACCCTCTGGCCCGAGATGTCGGGGCAGTCCGCAGCAATTTCCGTACCGGGCTCCCTCGACCTGACCGTTCAATATTTGCTTACGCTTGACCACCCAGGCAAAGTTGAGATCCGCGCCTTTCCAAGCCAGGAAGCACAGAAAGAGCAGCAGGAGCAGCAGTCTGCCAAGAAACGAAAGTCAAAACGCAAGAAGAAGAAGACCAAAAAGTCCTCCATTCTTCCCGAAGAGGCTCCCATACCACAACCAGAACGCGTGGTAGAACCCGAGGAACAATCGGGAGAACAGGCGCACTCGCAACCGCCCTCCCGGCTCTCGGTAATGACGCCGTATCTAACGTTTCAGAAACAGCTCTCCCGACTGCTCAACTTTATAAAACCAGGAGAAGGTGAAGCGGGGCCTTCGGGCAGCTCAACCGCGACCGCGACCGCAGCTGCGGATGTGGAAGCTGATTCATCGCCTGAAAGGGAGCCTGGAGCAATGAGATGCTTGGACAGGCTTGGCTCATGGGGACTGGGAAGGTGGTGGGATGGGCGAAAGGAGGCAGAACCAGCAGACCAAGGTCGGCAGAGTCAACTAGTCGAACATGAGAAGCCGTTTCTGCGGCTCGTTAGCTTGAGGAGACTTCCCAAAGAGCAAGTGCAGGATGAGGATGAAGATGCCATGTCCTCGCCCGAAAGGAAAGCCCTCCACCTGCAGCGCGCCAGGGACAAGTTTATGGAGCTGTCGAACTTGCTGGAGGCGTCGTTTCCGGCACCTCCGATTTCTTCGGAAACTTTAGCTGCTCCCGGTACTGGTACTCTAAGTACACAAACTGGATTAGGAGTACCTCGAGCTACTCTAGCTGGCCCCCTTCTGCCGCCTCCACCTAAACCTGCAACACCGCAGCAGCCACACTCCCATCTACCCGTTACGCCTGCATTGCCTGGTCCTTCTGCTGTGTCTATCCCGATGCCTGATGGAAAGCGGACGAGGCTTACGGATGAGGACCGCCAGCCCAGTAGTGCCGGTTCTACTCCAAATGGGAATGACGCTGGAGACTTGAGCGAATCTAGAGGCAGTGGTGATACGAGGTCAGGGCATAGAACTGCCTCTGGTAGTACAAGTTGTCCTGCGGCTGGTAATGATATCAAAACCGGTACACCTCAAGCCGGTTCCTCTGCTTCAACCGCCATTGAGTCAAAGGCCCCCGCTGGAAATGCTGCCGCTGGAACTACCACTGGTGCTGCCGCTGTTGAGGACAATGACAAGGGTCTCGGGCTCTGGGAGACTAATAATACTACCTTTAGTGTTGAGAAGGGGTGGATTATGGTTTTGAGGAAGAAGAAGAATAAGAATAAGAAGGCCGGTGAGAATAAGTGTGTGAAGCCTGGGGGTACTTCTACCTCAACCTCTAGCTCGAAGGAGGCTGAGAGCAAGGCTGGACTACCACAATCACCACAAGCGGCACGACCTTCTCCTCCACCACCTTCAGATCTACACATTGCTGGCTCAAATTTGGGTGACTCGAGTAGGAGGAAGGCAGAGGACAAGGATGGAAAGTCCAGAATGGCCACTGCATTAACCGCTAAGAAAGTTAAGGGCAAAACCTCGGTTGGATCACCACCTTTTTCTCTGGAACTTCAGATGCCAAATCCCAATACGTCAAAGCTGAAGGAGGAGTTTCTATCTAATGCAGCACAGGCCGTTGTAGAAGAGCCTTCCAAGAATAATGCCATGCATCAAGATGATCCTAAGGGTGAGGAGAGATCTGGATCACAATCACCTCCCTGGCTACAATGGTCTTCATTTTCAGAAGCTTCACTACCGACACCATGGCTGTCGATGGAGGTACCCGGGCAGGCCGGGGTGCAACCGACTCTACCGGAGAAGGGAGAGAGCCAATCGCAAACCCGGTCACCACCTCAATCACCGTCAGATAGACCTCCACCTTTGGAAACTTTACTGCAGCTGCCAATGAAGGTGCCTAAGGTGCGGTTGTCAATGGTGGCAAAGGTGTTGGAGGTGCCAAAGGAACAAGTACTCAACGAATCTGCTGAAGATGTAAAGGCTAGAGAGGGGGTTGACGCAGACCAATTCAACTTTCCTACCTCTAGCCAAGACACTCAGGTTTGCAGTATCGTCAGTACAGTAGCAAGGAATCCTAAAGCAAAAGGTAAAGCACGGTGGACTGGAAGCCCGAAGCCGCCCGACGAGGACAAGGACGTTGAGAGCACGAAGGTTGAGAGCAATCCTGTATCACGACCGCAACCGCAACCGCAACCGCAACTAAGTTCGCTCCAGCCCGAGATGAAGATTGCCCAGGCAGTCATTAGGCAGGAGAGGATAAAGAATGGAGACGTCAGGACACAAACATTCCCACCACGACCGCAAGGACAGCCACAACGCCCACAAGGGCATCTGTACCCAGGGGCACCTTCACCATCAACTCCAAAGCCGCCTTCTCAGCAACCGTTACTATCTAAGGCGGAAGCTTCAGCGTTATATTACCGCTATCTGCAGCCTAAGATGCTCGCGCTTAATATGCTACCGACGATGGCAGGGTCCAAGGCTCAAGTGTCGACGACGTCCCAGGTTCCAACTATCTCCCAGGCACCGTCGATATCGGCACCATCAATATCCCAGGGCCAAGTGCTCGTAATGCATCCTTTGCACCCGATATCTCAGATGCCAACAATATCTCACATGCCAGCAATGTCCCAGATGCCGCCAACGTCACAGTACTTTCAGGTGCCGACGATGTCCCATATACCACATATATCCCAGGGCCAGTCGCAACTAATGCCCCAGGCCCAAGTGGCCGCAATGCATCCTTTGCAACCGACCATTCAGGTACCAACTATATCCCCAGTGCCAGCCGTGTCCCAAGTTCAGATGCAACCGATGCCCCAGATGCAACCGATTGTCCAAATCTTCAACTACTACCAGGTACCAACAACAACGATGTCCCAGGTACCACCAAATCCGCCGGCGCATGCTTCACAACCAACCCATCCCTTTCAGCAACCATATCAAGCACCCCAATCGATGTACCTAGGGCACGAGCGATGTAACGCGCAAAGGTGCTATCAGGAGACCCCAGAGCACTTTCACCCCCCAAACATGTATCAGTTGCCACCACATCCAATGAACCCCGAGCTATTCGGGGTGCCATACATTCCTCCCGATGAAGTGCGACCTATCTACCCAAGGGAATGTCTGCCAAGTGGAAATACATATCTAATGCCGAAAGCTCCTATCCCAAACATGAATGTCCCCACATATCCGGCGGCAAGTGGAAGTGGACAGAGCGGAAATGGTAATGGTAATGGCCTCGCGCAATATCGAGTGCCGGTATCAGCGCCGATGTCAATGGCGGAACGGCCACATTTAAACGATTTGTGTTTGGATAGAAGTACTTTGCATGAGAGAAGAAGGAAGGGAAAGGAGACGATGAGGCCTGCCAACGTGGAGGAGGTTCAGAACAAGCCAGAAGAGGGTCAGTAGGGTGACTCGGAGAATAGGAGAACGAGACTCGACATTGTCGAGGGCGATGTGGACATGAGGGAAAAGGATGGGCAAGAGAACTGTGTTGTCCGTACCGATCAGGCCGTTGGGGCTGATTCTGGGCCTGGGGTCGGGGGCATAGAGACTCCGACCTCCTCTGGATTACAGCACCAAGTACAAACGCCGGAGGAAACTCCTTCTCGAGCATCTGAGCAAGCATCATCACTGTCTTCACCTGAACCGCAGACGCAGACGTAGCCGGAGATGCAGCCACAGATACACATGTCCAAGGCTGGGGTGCCCCAGGAACAGGAGGCAGAGACGTCAAATGAGGGGTTAGATAATGTGTCAAGAGATGTATCGGAGGGAGTATCAAAGGATGTGCCAAAGAACTTGCCCCAGGAGCTGGAGTACATTCCAGGCCACGTTCCCGTCCATGTGCCAGAATATGCGCCAGGGTGTTATGTGCTAGCGGACGCACCATAATGTGAGTCGGGGGATATGCCAGAAAAGTACGTCCCAACGACCGTGTCATGGTATGAGCGAGAAGCCCTGTCGAACCTACCGAACGGAGAGGAAACTTGGAAAGTCAAGGGACCATGGGTCTACATTGCTGGCGCCAGGGAGTCTGACTTCACGAGGAAGAAGAAGCCCAAAACCAGGAGGCCGGATACCGAGAAGGCCGCAGCTTCGAATCTTGGAGTGATCAGATTCGAAAGGATGGTTGATGGATCATGGGTCTACGTTGCTGGGGCTAGGGAGTCTGACTTCAGGAAGCAAGAGGGGAAGAAGCATGGAGCCGAGAAGCCTGCACCTCCGAAGCCTGAAACCGAGGAGCCCGAAACGGAAAAGTCCGCACCTTCAAAGTTAGAGCAGGAGCAGGAGCAGTTTCAGGAGCTGAGTGTTGAGGGCGAGGGCGAGGGCGATGCTGCTGGGGGTGAAAGACCGGTCTCCGATGATGGTCAAGATCACGAGGAGCTAGATCACGAGCAGCCTGATCAAGAGCAGCTGGATCAGGAGCAACCGGACTGGGACTCATGGGAGTGGGAGCAAGGGGATGAGGGGTACGTCAGTGAACAAAGTCAGGATCGTCTTGCGCTTCTGGAGCAGGAAGTGGCTCAGCTGCTGGAAGAGGTTCAGTTCCTGGAGGAGCAAGATCAGGATCAGGGTTAGGGCGAGGGTCATTTTGATGATTAAGAGCAAACTCCGCCGGAACAAAGCGAGCCGGAACAAAGCCAGTGGGGGCCTGAGAAAGCCGGTAAAGCGTAAACATGCAGGCAGGTATTTGTAACTAATATTTTAACAGGATGAAGCGAAACTCTCTATTTTGGAGTAAAAGCAACAGGTTTGTTTGGGATAATGGGTGGGAAATTGAGGGCAAGACAGACTGTTTGACTCTCAGAGAGTCAGAGTAGGTACCTAAGGTAGACTGGAAGTAAAAACTAGCCTAAATGATGTAGGAAAAACGAACAAGAATTAGAAGCGGGTTTTCTTTGGCACTGGCTTCCGTTCCTTTTGATATATCATAGCATAGGTGCGAGATTGAATCCAGATTCATTCCATTTACTTTTCCTAACCCAAAAAAAATGTGATATCGACAATTACTCAGTACCTCCACCCTCAGTCAGTCCTACAGTAAGTAGTACGTATCTCGGTATATCTATAACATAGGACGGGGATGACCAGAAACACCCACAATACAAGGAACTTATTCCCTCTGCACCTCAATCCTCTCCACCAACTCCCCTCCCACCCTCGCAATCTCACTTAGGATCGCATCTCGGTTGACTTCCACCATCACCTCCCCACCCGCTTCCTCCCCATCTTCATCATCACCCTTTCTCTTCTTCCCAGCTCCCACAGGCTTATAGGACGTACCCAAGTTAACCTTGAAGCCCCGTCTAGAAAGCGTAGGATTCCAAATCGCTCCCACAACCTTCTCGTCTTCGCCTCCTCTGAAAAAGACCAGCGGCGCGGACGATCCGGAGCCGTAGACTTGCTCGAGTTTCTCGAAGAGGGAGTCGATGGGGGAGGTAGGCAGGGGGAGAGGGTCCTCGGTGGCGTGGGTGGAGAGGTTTTTGTACCTGCTGTTTCCGGCGGAGGACTTGGTGGTGGAGGTGAGGTCCTCGCTCGGGTAGACCTTGGAAGCGGATTTAAGAGATTTGGCGGAGAGGTGCAGCAGGACGTCGTATTCCTTTGTACTCGGGACGAACAATCTCCTCGCATCTAGCTCGACGCCTTCCTCCCTGATGACGCGGCAGGCGGTCTTCGCCAAAGCGGTCATGCGTGCCGCCACGACTTTACTCGGCTGCGCCACGCCGTTAACGGTTGTGTACGCAACTCCCGAAGACTCCTGCGCCGTAGCAACGAACAAGACGGTGTGGTTCATCAAGGGGTCGATCTTGCGCCAGGCTTCGAGGCGGGTGGCGATGGCGGAGCGCTTGGAGGATGGCATGTCGCCGTTTGTGTCGACGATGAGCGGCTCGGAGCGCCAGTCCCAGCGGCTGAGGAAGAGGAGGGCGCGGAGCAGGCCGATGGAGGGGGAGGAGGGTGCGTCCCAGGGATATGGGCTCAAAAAGGTTTGGAGGGCGACGAGCTCGATGAAGTCCGGGGTGAAGTGGGACGAGAGTTTGTGTGCCGAGAACCAGTGCTTGAGCAGGCGGATGGTGGGCGAGAAGGCGGGGAAGCGGGTGGCGAAGGTGTTGATGGATTGGGTGTGCAGGGGGAGGTGGTTGTAGAGCCGGCGGAAGTTGGAGAGCAGCACGGAGGCTTGGTGGCGGTGGTGTTGGTCGATGGTCTTGTCGTGCGATTGGCGCGTGAGGAGGGCCTCTTCGAGGTCGGAGTGGATGCGCAGGCGGAAGGCAGGGCCGGATTCGTAGACGACGTCGAGGTAGGCGAGGTTTTCGAGTTCCGTGTTGGTGGTGGTGGAGGACTCGAGACCGACGTAGGTGCGTACCTCGCCGGGCTTGGAACGCTCTAGGAGGTCGCCGATCATGCGCAGGAAGGCGATCTTGGTGCGTTGGATGGCCACGATGGATTCGGGCCACTTGCCAGAGGCTTCGAAGGAGATGACGCATTCCAGGGGGCGTGGGCCGGATTTGGTGACGGTGGAGAAGGGCACCTTGACGGAGGCGTGTCGCAGTTCGGGGCAGATGGGGGCGATTTGCCTAACGTGCAGGGGCATGTCGTCGAGGTTGCGGATATCCTTCTCGAAGGAGGAAAAGGCCTTGCGAGCGGCGTTGAAGACGGAGGTGTCGGTCGGCTTGATGGGGATCAGCTCGGTGAAGCCGTCGCCGTGGAAGGTGAGCTCGTCCTCGAGGTAGCCAACGCGAAGATGGAGCTTGAGAATGTAGCGCATGATCTCCTCGCAGAGGTCAAATGAGGAGGTCGACGACCAGATCAAGGTCTCCCTGATGGAGTCACCCTCGAAACGACGAAGTTCCGACTTTTCACCCCAGAACCGCTGGAACTTGGCGCATTCCTCCTTTTCCTCGTTGCTGGGTCCAGCAGCCGGACCACGGTCAACGGCGCGGGTCATGTTGGCGGCGTTGAAGAGGACACCGATCTCGATGGTGTGATTCTGCTTGGTGGAAGACTTCTTGGTGAGGTCCCAAGATGAGCTCTTGGGTAGTTGAATGTGAATCGACCGGGCCCTCTCACCCAGTTCTTCGTCCTGAAGAGCCCGCTTGAGAACCCTGTGCACCTTGTCGCTGTATTCCCATACCCGTCCCCGGCAGTCGATCGGTTGCGTCTTGTCCTGCTTTCCATCGTAGTTGAGGTGGGTAATGAGGTCGTAGTTTTGCCAGGGGAGGTCGGCCTTGAGGATGAAGGTAGGGGTGAACTGGTCGGCAGTGCTGTCGTTGAGAAGGCTCCTTGTCCACTTGGCGTGTTGGTGTAGCTTGGCCGCGGACCAGTTGCTCATCTTGAAGGCAACGTTCAACCCGCGAACCGAGTCGAAGAGAACCGGACCAGCGGTTCCGGACTCGAGGGTGGCAGTTCCCAAAACACAGGGCTTCTCGGACAGGTTAGTAACAGACAAGAACTGAACCATGGCCTTGAACAGCTGGGTGGCGCTCAAGGATGTAGACAAGGGCGCATGGCCTCTGGTGTTGTCGCCGCTTTGGAGCAAAAGCGCCAGGAGTACCGCCCATTCAAAGTGACCAAATCCACCATCCGCCATGTCGCTTCCCAGTCCTCGTTGTTGCAACCACACCCGACCAAGTATACAGGCCTTCTTGAACGCGGCGCATTTCTTTTCGGTTTGTCGCAAGAGCTTCAGGTAGGGGAAGAAGCAGGACTCGGAAGCAACAGTCGAGTTGTAGAACGGCGTAGGCTTGGTCGCGGCCTTGGATTCATCACCACCAGCTTTGCGTACGAGGGTAGCACCCAAGTGAAGCTTCGATTTGGGGAAGAGGGCGTCTGGGGCGCAAGGGATGATGCGCACTCTGTAGTCTAGTCGGCCCTCCTTCTTTTCTCCTTCGACCTTTGGTTTCAACGACAGAATGGGACTCAGGGGGTTCCCGTTCAGGTATTCGTATGAAAGCTCTCCATCATCGGCCAAGTCCTTTTGTAGAGCAGCCGCCACAACACCGAGGAAGTAGGCTCTCTTGTACAAGTATCGCAGGTCGAGGTAGTCCTTTTCTTGCAGAGTCTCTCCGGGAATGACAACCACCATATCCACAGCATGGCTCTTTTGGGCCTTGATCATAGTCTTGGACACATAGCTGCCGACAACGTTGAACTGAGAAGGCTTTGCGAAGGCGACCTTGTAGTTGGACTTGTCGGACGGGCGCGGTTCGGGGAACGGGATCTGGATCTTGTGTTTCTTTTCGAGCTTGGTGGCGGCCTCGGCGATCTGGAGGGCATCGTGTGCTTCGATGGCTTCAATAGAGCCCTTGATCTTGTGGAGGAGGGAGTCGACGCCTTCGAGGGCAGTCGCATAGTCGAGCTTCACTTGGTCGAGGAGTTCTTCGGCTTCGAGGATAAATGCGCGGCCACGGGAGAGACCGGAGGAAGCAGCCGCATCGATGTTGCCAACTGCGCTTTCACCGCGCGAGTGGCCAATCTTTCGTCGTTTTGCTGACCCTGGTTCCATTGTGTGTGTGGTGTAGTGGTGGTGGTGGTGGTGGTGGTGGTGGTGGTGGTGGTGGTGGTGGTGATGTTGTTATGTTAAAGATGGGAATGGAGACATGCAAGACACAGAGGGAAAATTGATAGTGACAAGACTCACTGAGAGTACTGAAGGCCAGCAGTGGACCGAGCGTCCTCCAATTCTCCAATTCGAGTCTCGTCCAGTTCGCGAATCCCAAATTTTTTGAGACCCTGGAGCTCCGATAAGCGATAAGAGGTCAATCGATAAGCGCGATAAGCGGGGTGATGAGGCCGATAAATACAGTGTGGGTTGTGTTTGACAGACAGTGAGCCCCACCTCTATGATGCACAGAGTCCACATTGTGCCTGGTTCAGTTGATGTTCACTTGTTAGCTCACCCGCTGTCGCCAAACACGAAGCTTAACACTCCAACATCATCACTGTTTACTTCTTCTCTCCTTTGTATCATTTCCTATTTGCCATTTTCCTTCCTCTTTGCGATACCTCTGTGACAAACCTACAGTATCCTATTCAACAGGGCATCATGTCCACCAAACAGCTCGTCAAGGCGGTTGCCGAGGCCATCAAGAAACAGCAGTGGGACGACGCCATCGAGGGCGCAAAGAACATCATCGACAAGGACAGCAAGAGTTACCAGGGCCACATCCTCCTGGCCTTTGCTCTCGACAAGAAGGGGAGGCTGGAAGAAGCAGATAACACGTACCTCGCCGCCACCAGACTCAAGCCAGAAGAGAAGGAAGCGTGGCAGGGCCTTGTCAAGCTGTATCCCAACCTCGACACCTCCAAGAAGTTCAAGCAACACCAGCATGCCGTCCTCAAGCTCGCCGAGATCTTCAGAGACGCGAATGACCTTCAGAAATGCTACGAGACCGTCGACAGCTTCATCACCTATGCGCGCACCAAGGCCGAGTCATACCAGTACGTCGACGCCCTCGACCTAATATTGCCCGAATCCCCCATCTACGAGGCCATCGAGGGACGCTTCGGCCATGTATGGAGGACATACGAGACACAGGCCAAGCTAGTCGAGCAAAATGAGAAGAAGCGCATCAACACCCTGATTGGTGAGAGGAGGACGCGCATCGGCGCAAGAATCAACGAGGTCACCCTAGAGGTCAAGAGGGAGGTCTACAGACAGAGCAGGCTGAGCTACACCTATGCGCAGCTCATCAACTGGACCAACGACGATGAAGTGCGCCGCATGTACGAGGAAAAGCTGATCCAATACTGCCACGACCGTCTGATGGCCTGGCCTCCAGGAGAGGAGAAGGAGCGAGAACTGGCCAACGTCCTGAAGCTCGCCAACGACATGGTCATCATCAAGCACCCCTACAAGCTGGCCTGGGATATCGCAATCAACTGGCAGGACCACAAGGAGATCAAGGAGTGGGATGTCACGGTGCTGAGACAGTACTGCACTTTCTTCCCAGATAGTGACCTCAACAGGGTCGTCATGGGTTTCTTGACCAGCAGCGTGTCTCCCTTCCCGCAGGAGAAGCAGGAACAGACAGAGGACGCGGCGGCCATAAGTGAGGGTAGCACGGAAGAGAGTGAGGACGACGAGGATGGAGGCGCGGCGACGATATACGCTCCCATCACCGAGGAGGACCGTCTTCTTATGATGACAGAGGGTATTAGCGGTGCCGAGTCCTTGCTGGCGTTCAGACTGATGGGCGAATATTATCAGCATCTTGAGGAGTGGGAGAGCAATGTTGAGCTGATGCGCAAGGCGTTGACGTTCCTGAAGGAGGAGCGGGCCAAGACTGGTCTGGATTTCCGCTTCACCGAGGACGCCTTTTCCCTTTATCTCGGCACTGCTTTGGTCTTTTACCAGACTCCCCGCAACCACCAGGAAGCCAAGGCTCTTTTCGATGGCGTGCTCGCTCACGACCCTACCTCTACTCCTGCCATGATTGGTGTCGGCCTCATCTACGAGGAGGAGGAGGAGTACGACGAAGCTATTGACTTCCTCGAACGGGCATTGAAGCGTGACCCCGATAATATCCGTGTCAGGACAGAGGCTGCCTGGGTCAAAGCACTCAAAGGAGACTTTGACATGGCGAGGGCTGAGCTTGACGCCTGCATCCCCATCCTCTCCAAAAAGGGCCAGTCCAAGGAACTCCTTTCACAAACTCAGTACCGTCTTGGCTACTGCATCTGGAACATTGACCCCTCCAAGGCTGCCCGAAAGGACCGGTCTGGAGCTTACGCCTTGTTCCTGGAGTCCCTCAAAAACAACCTCAACTACGCCCCGGCTTACACCATCCTGGGTATCTACTACGCCGACTACGCCAAGGACAAGAAGAGAGCGCGCAGGTGTTTCCAAAAGGCGGTGGAGCTTTCGCCGTCTGAGGTCGAGTCTGCTGAACGGCTAGCTAGATCCTTTGCCGATGACGGAGACTGGGACCGCGTCGAGCTGGTCGCCCAAAGAGTCGTCGACTCCGGCAAAGTCAAGCCACCACCTGGCTCCAAGCGCAAGGGTATAAGCTGGCCTTTTGCCGCTCTGGGTGTGGCCGAGCTCAACAAGCAAGAGTTTCACAAGGCTATTGTGTCTTTCCAGTCAGCATTGCGTATTTCTCCCAATGATTACCATTCCTGGGTGGGCTTGGGTGAGGCATACCACAGCTCGGGTCGCTACATTGCCGCTACCAAGGCTATCCTGAATGCCCAGAAGCTAGAGGAATCATCTGAAGCAAACCTCACCGGGGAGACGTGGTTCACAAAGTTCATTCTGGCCGATATTAAGCGCGAGCTGGGTGAGTTTGATGAGTCCATCGAGCTTTATCAACATGTCATCAATGACCGACCAGACGAAGAAGGCGTCGCCACTGCTTTGATGCAGACGCTCGTCGACAACGCCTTTGACAGTCTTAACAAGGGCTTCTTTGGCAAGGCTGCTGGTCTGGCCACCGAGACACTCACCTTCGCCACCAAGGCTCCCGACGCCATCAAGGAGACCTTCAACTACTGGAAGGCCATTGGTGATGCTTGCTCCCTCTTTTCCAACATCCAAGGCCGCATCTCCGAGTTCCCCGCTGAAACCGTCCGTTCGCTCCTCGGTACCGACGACGACTTCCCCGCGTATCAGATCCTCAAGGATATTGACAATGTCGGCACCGGCATCGTCTCCACCGACGGCATTTTCCCTCAAGACGAAACCGTGGGTGTAGACTTGACCAAGGCCCTCCAGGCCACCATTCTCGCCCATAAGCGCTCCATCCATATCGCTAGCAACGATATCCACGCGCAATCCGTGGCCTACTACAACCTTGGCTGGGCTGAATACCGCGCTCACGCCTGTCTGCCCCCGGACATCCGTAAGAACAGCCACAAGAAGCCCACAAACTATATCAAGGCCGCCATGGCCTGCTTCAAGCGCGCCATCGAGCTCGAGGCCGGCAACTCTGAGTTCTGGAACGCTTTGGGTGTTGTGACCTCCGAAGTCAATCCAGCCGTCGCCCAGCACGCCTTCTGCCGCTCGCTCTTCCTCAATGAGCGTGGCGCCCATGTCTGGGCCAACCTGGCCACTTTGGCTTTGGCTCAGGGCGACCTCCAGCTCGCCAACGAGGCATTTACGCGATCCCAGTCGACCGACCCGGATTACTCGCTCGCTTGGCTAGGACAGGGCATCGTAGCGCTGTTGACAGGAAACGAAAAGGATGCGAGGGGCTTGTTTACGCATGCCATGGAGATCTCTGGCGATTCGTCGCGTGTTATTTCCCAGAGATACGCCGTCTCCATGTTCGACTACATCCTTTCCTCCTCCTCCTCCGAGTTCTTACCCATCACCTCCCTAATCCAACCCATCTTCGCCCTCAGCCAACTCCAATCCCTCCACTCCTCCGCCTCCTCCTCCTCTGACCTGGCCTACACCCACCTCCTGGCCCTCTTCCTCGAGCGCACCGGCGAAATCACCCGCGCCATCTCCACCCTCGACTCCCTCTCCACCACTCTCGAGCAAGAATACGAAACCACCGAGTCCCCCCTGGCCCTCAAACACTTCGCCATCGTAAAATCCAACATCGCCCGCCTCCAGCTATCCGCGCGTCTGTTCAGCGAAGCAATCGACTCCGCCGACCTCGCACTCCAACTCTCAAGCGACGAGTCCGCCGACGAACTCACAGCCGAAGAGCGCCGCAAGCTGCGTCTCTCCGCGCACGTCACCCTGGGTCTAGCGAAATACTACTCCCACGACATCAGCGCCGCAGTCGCAGCCTTCGACCAAGCCCTCTCCGAGTCTGACACCAATCCGGACGTCGCCTGCCTTTTGGCTCAGATCCTCTGGGCCACTGGCCAAGAAGACGCGCGAGAACGGGGACGGGATCTCTTGTTTGGTGTGATTGCGGAGGAAAAGCAGGAACAGCATGTCCAATCCGTTTTGCTCCTGGGCGTGATTGCCCTGCTAGATAACGACGCGGAATCAATGGATGCCGTGGTAGCCGAGCTGCAGACTCTCCGCTCTTCTGACGAGGGAATCTCACCTGAACAACAGGCGCAGCTGGGTGAAGTTTTGCGAGCTATCCTCACGGCCCTCGGCTCGGGAGACGCACAGCCGATGACGGATGTCATGCTTCATCCGTTCTTGCCGCATGGTTGGTCCAGAGTTGCTCAGCTCGCTAGCACACTTGGTGAAGAGAAAGAAGCGGGACAGATAAGCGAGGGAGCAAGTGAGATGGCGCTGAGAGTAGCGAGGAAGGGCGTCCCGCCGAGGGGAGAGCTCAGTCCGGAAGACCTGGCGAGGGCGTATGCGGGCACGGGAAGACCGGCGGATGCGCAGGTTGGTTGTGTGGTTGCGCCTTGGGAGAAGAGCGGGTGGGAGAGTTTGGGGGATGCGGTGGTTGTTGGTAAGGCGGAGCACTAGAAGTGTGGGCAGGAAGATGGAGAGGAAGATGGAGAGGAAGATGATGCTTCTTCTACCCCTTGCTTCACCCCCTCCTCCGCATCCTCCGCCTCCGCCGCCGCCGCCGCCGCCGCCGACAGCGAACCCGTCTCCATGTCTCAAGCCCGAGCCTAAGCACACAATGTAGGGGAACCGAGATGAGACCCCGCATGTCGTCGTTGATGTCCTTTCGCTCATTGCCTACCTACCAACCCTAGGAGGGAAAGCGAGGGATACCTATCGTGTGTGTTAAGTCAGAGGGTGTTTGATTTTGATTTGTAGCGTAGTGTAGTAGCTCTGGGTATATCTGGTAACTAGACTAGTAGCTCTAGTGGCGGTGTATCTTCAGAGATAAGAGATACGTAGCGTAGTTGCTTTGGGCCTGGGGCCATTTGAGGTCTTCAAGGTCACACAATGTCACAATGTCAGCGGTTGTAAGAACTAGATTCCTAATATTTGTTTGTAGAGGCTGTCTCCTTGTCTGTTTGTTCTTGATGCCATGCCTTGCCTTGCCTCTTTCCTTCTTCTTCTTCTTCCTCTTCTTCTTCCTGTCCTGTAACCGTGTCCTGTTTCCAAACACGCATGACCCTTAGCTCCCTCTCATCCTTACGCGCGTCCGTCCCTCTTCCTATACTTCGTTCAAGAGTCTATTGGTATAGTGGCACTTTTTGCGCCCTTCATTGCGTCCATTTGGCCTCTATGTATCCATGTATCCAGCACTTCTCGTACAAGTACTTGTTTCCATGTAAACAACCCCACGCCGCACATGGGGAAGATAAAGCACAAGCTCCGAAAAAGCGCAAGAAAAAGCGAACGAAAAAAAAAAAAACCCCAGCTGAAAGGGGAAAAGGAGACCGTTCGAATAAGGCAGGCGCCCAAAGAAAAAAAAAAGAAAAAAACGCAAAAAGAATACGTGATCCGACCCAGGCTCGATCTGGGGACCTTCAGTGTGTTAGACTGACGTGATAACCAACTACACCATCGGACCAATGAAGTTGGAAGTGGGTCATAGAGGAAGGTCTCTTATCGTAGGATTTGTCCCTCGACGGACCGGGAGAGCTGGTAGAAGCGATTTGGTGACTGCGAAATCACCAGAATAGCACCGTTCATACAGAGCCAAAAAGGTTTCAAGAATGATGTGAGGATCATAGGTAACAAGGATTCCTCGAGCTTAGAGGTTCAATCGGGTTCAAGTTGTGGGAAGTGGGTGTTTGTATCACGATCTCCCCGGTTGTCCCGCTGAGCCTGTCAAGCGCGCCAGTGCGCTAACAAAGGAGCTAGCCCAACGCGCTGTGAGCTGCCTTCTTAGTGAGTGTATACTAACATCCACGATGCCCCAGCGCTATGACGCCCGAAGGACTCTAGAATGCTCAGCCTGCGAAATCGCGTTTGTCTTTGTCTCTGCTCGAACTTACCTTCACAGACACTCCGTCAAATTCCATTCTAGACCTCTCGGATTCTCACGAAATATCGTCAGCGGTAGGCAGAAAAGGCCTCATCTTTGAGATACAACGGGGAAGCGACACAACCCGAATTGCGCGAGCGGGCGATACCTCGAAGAGACTCAGTTAGCCATCAGATTTGGAGGAACTGGTGGCAGAAAACACCAGACTTTCGCAAGGGAAACATCGCGACCAAAACAAAACCCGATCACCAACACAGGGGCGGTCTTCTGCAAACCGACGTGAAACTACCTTAAATCGACCACAAGATTATCACAAAGCTGACAAACATAACCTCATAAAATTATCACGCTTCCATCACCGAGACACCACATTGACAGCAGCCGCAGCCGCACCAAGCAAATCAGATAACAAAACCACGATCATCACCACTTTCCACTCCATCGTTGCCCTTGAGATCATCATCAACCTAAACCACAACCACACACCCAACCACACCACCTCCCATCTCCCAAAAATGGAAACAGCCCGCACCCTCCATCGCCAATTAACCACCGACTTCCCCACCACCTCCCTCCCCATCCCCTCCCTCTCCTGGCTCACCACTTTAATCCCGTCCAACATCTCTCGCACACCCCCTCTCCCCTCTCTCCTCGCCACCGCTCGCTCGCGGCTTCTTTCCTCCGACCTGTGCACTCCCGGCCTGTTAGACGCCAACTGGGTACCCAGTCACTGTTTCCCCGGTTCCTTAACGGGCCAATCTTTGCCGGGGGCGGTGGGGTACGTAAACTCGCAGGAGCAGATACTAGACCGGGACGTAGTCGTGCAGGTGTTGGATGTAGAGAATTTGAACAGAAGTAAATGGGAAGTCGTCGAGGAGTTGGAGGCTATTGAGAGGGGGGAGCAGACCCGCGGTCGTGAAGTCATCCGCCTCCCTACCTCCAACAACACCGACGGCGACGGCGAAGGGGAGGGGGAGGGGATAGATATGGGCGATGGCGGGACGCAAACCCAAACTGCTGCCTTTGCACAAAACAGCACAGCACAACAACAAGCAGCCCAACAAGCTGCTCGGGAAAGGAAAAACGCCACGCACAAATTAACACTCCAAGATTCCTCAGGGCAGAGGCTCTATGCGTTGGAGTTGAAGCGGGTAGAGGAGATTTCGGTGCCGCAGTCTGTCAATGGAAAAATGATTGGCGGAACGCCGATAGGGTGTAAGTTGGTACTCAAAAGGGGGACCAAAGTGGCGAGGGGGGTGGTGTTGTTGGAGCCGAGCATGGTCAAAGTGTTGGGCGGGAAGGTGGAAAGCTGGGGGAGGGTTTGGGAAAGGGGGAGGTTGGAGAGGTTGAGGGGGGAGGTCAGTCAGCAGGGTAGGTAGTGTCTCGCTCCCGTTGTTTGGCTGCGATAGCGATATTTTAAAGGAGGCCTGGGGCGTCAAGGGATCAAGACAGGAGGAAATGAAAAAATTCAGACATCGGGCATGAAGGTATGAACACACAAAGTCATGAAGAGGCAAGGACATGTAGACATTAGTCCCAATCAATTCTCTTTCTTTGATGTTCTTTCTTTCTAGTAGTAGGGTATGATAACACGCAACCAGCACCAGCACCCAGCAACGAAACAAGTTTTGCAAAGCAACAAACGACACAGATCAACACAGCAACACAAGAAAGAAATAAAATAAACATAACTCGTCATCCTCCAACCACTACCCGCATCCGAACAGGGGAGGCTGAGCAGTGAGCACAGCATAACAATAGCTGGGCCGCCCATCTCACCCAGCTGATGAGCCTTCCAAACCACAACCGCTCCCGAGCCCGGCTTGACGCGCTTAGTTGGGATAGACACAGACAGTATCCAGTGGGAGTGGAAGAGCCCGGCCGTTTTCCATCCGCTTGCATGTGTCAGCGGTCCAGCTTGGCCTGGACCGCAGGACATTGAAGCTCTTGGTATCCCATCCATCGCTCTTCACGGCCCCAAAATCTTAGCCCAATGCTGCTCTCGGTCAGAATTTTTGCTTTCAGGGTTCATGATCCTGGCACAATGGTCCTTTTTATCAGAACCTTGCCCTTCATGATGCTTCCTGTCTGAAGCCTTGTCCTCATCCTTCATGGCCCCACTCTATTGAGCCATGGCCATACCCTGCTGCTTTGGGTGGTCATCAATCTCTATCTCATCGCCCATCTCGATGTCCTCATCCTGTCCTTGTTCGAGCTCGCCCTCGGCATCGCCTTCACCGTCCAGCTCGTCCTCGGATTCGTTCTCGAGGTCAACGCTTCCGTCCTCGGACATTTCGTCTTCCTCGATTACAATGGCGCCGTTCGGTTGCCCCTCAACTTCCATACCACCGTTGACGGCGGGGTCGGCGATGCTCGATTGCTCGGCGAGTTCCTCAGCGCCATACTCTTCTTCGTCGGCGACCTCGTCGGCTTCGGGCTGTTCGGGAGGGAATTCGGGAGGGGCAGAGGCTTCAGAGTCCCTGTGGTTGTATCGTTAGCATGTGCGTAGGAGAAAGGTAGAAGTAGCAGGAGAGAGGGAGGAGTGGTATGTAAGGAGAATAAGTGTGTTGCCGGGCAACTAAGACAAAAGGGAGGGGCAGTGGGGCTCGTCGCGTCGTTGCGCGCCGTCGCGCCAGCACAGGCAGAGGCAATGCAAACACTTTTTTATCGTATCAGGGCAAGACATACCACTTGATGGCAAACCGCGTGACTCTCGGCTTCTCAGCCAACACGTTACGGCGGATCTTCTCAATGACGGGCTTTGGGGGCGGGTCGTTGATGAGCTCCTCGCTCTCGTACTCGTTGTTGACGTAGTAGCCAACGCGCACGAACTCGCGGCCGTCGTAGGCGCACGTCAACAATATCACCGTGACGCCCAGCAGCTCGTCGATAGGAATGCGCTTTGTGTCAGGAGGCTCGGCTTCGAAGATGAACTTGTTAACGCCGACGGGAATGGGGCCGACGAGCAGGGAGTCGAGTTCCTGGTCGTAGTTGTCGGAGGTCGCGGAGCCGACGTAGGTGAGCTTCCATTCGAGGTCTGTTGACGCGTACGCGCAGGTTAGCGACAGGACCAAGACGCGCAGAATGGGGAAGGAGGGGCGAGGAGAAGGAGGACAGGAGGACGCATACCCTTCTCGAGATGCTCGAGGCATTCAAAGGTGATTTCGAAGAGGTATTTGTCGGTGAACTTGGCGGGGTTGTTCATGACATTGACCCCGAGAAGCGAAACGACAGACATCTTGACGGTGGTGTTGCCGCGTAGGCAATCTGATGAAGATGTGAAGATGCTTCAAGTAGTAGTGGTGGTATTGATCAAGTCGCGCAGATATTTATGGTTGGTGGTAGTGATGTATCAAGTGATGATACACAAGTATGAAAAAAAAGTCTCCCTGGGAAAGGGAGAAAAGAAGAAAAAGGGAAGATGTTTTGCGACAAGACCGACGGGTTGCTGGCTTGTCTTGCGTTATGTTGTGTTTGTTTTGGTGGAGGAGATTGGAGAAGAAAGTGGAGCGTGGTCTAATAAAGTTCAGCTTATGCAAGGAGGGGACAGGACGAGACGGGACTGCAATGCGGACTGCGAGGGGAGGGGAGGGGAAACGGCCAGTCGCAGTGGGACAAGACGAGCAATGCGAACAAGGTATCACATTGCACACGCGGCAGAGCTGCTATTACACCTGATACGTATTTTACTCGTTATGTTCGCCAACCGAAATTGTAACAGTGAAATGGTTCATCTTGGTGACAGAAAGATACGCTCTTGGTGTTTCACGGTTTGTATCTTTCCGTCTTCTGCTTCTTCTGGTGCCTGACACGGGCGGGACAAGTGCAGTGGTGCAGTGATGTGAGTCGCGTAAATTGAAAGTTGACGAACAGGAACGCGTCCGTCTCCTGGCAGGCTGCGGCCGCTTGCATTGTTGCCGGCGGCAATGGGTCCCTTTGGCGTTCGGGCCAGAACCCGAAGAAGCCACATCACTTCAAGCTGCCAGCCACCTTCAGCCTCATGGTTTGCTGCTAGAGTGGATCCTCTGTGAAGCTCGAAAAAAAAGAGGACCCACACCTGGGAAGACTTTGCCAATCAACGTTGTCCATTGAATCTTCCATTGCGCTCTGGCGTCGCGACTGCAGCTCAATGTGAGTCCACTGTCTGCTGCACAGCCGGTCAACGTCCGCTTTCCAACTTTGACCTTTCTTAAAAAGACAGACGAACAACGCAACAAACATCCACACTGACTCCAACCTTACGACATTCGCCCATCCTCTACCGAGTCTGGAATACAACGCACAAATATTGAACAAGAATAGCATCTGCGCAATATCAACACTTTACCTTCTGGTGGATTCTTTGTCGTGTTCAGTCAACTGGTTCTCAGCTCTCTTTGACTTCAATTTGACCTCACCTCCTCCAGCTACGACTGCGACCGCAACCGCGACAGCTACAGCTACAGAGATACATCTACAGCTACAGCAGCAGCTACCGTAGTAGCGTCATGCAAACATAGGTCATCCGTGTTCACGGCACCGATTCCGACTTCTCTTCCCGCCCTGCGATATCGACGCGCCTCGACCAACCGTCCACTTCCACGAGAAGCTGTCCTTTTACGCGAGAACGAATTTTTACACGACACAACACCCCGAACTTCACATCAAAATGTCCGACGACTACGATCCCACAAACATTAATGCTGCCTCGTGGGAGGAGCAAGAGGACTACGGCGAGGCTGATGGCAGCGAACAATACGGGGAGGCTGAGGGCAGCGAGCAACAAGATATTCAGCATAGCGATGAACATCAAGAAGCAGAATACTCCGTTGAATCAAACCCTAATGACCTAGGTGATAACCCATCTCAAGATGGAAACACCGATGATGTGGGTGACGACTACGATCCTGCGTCTGTCGTCACGTCTTCTGTTCCTGCACCCTCTGCCCCTGCTCAACAAGATTCCGCGACCCAGCCTGCCGCCCCTGTGGCCAAGAAACCTCGGACCGCTGGAGGTTTCCTAGTGGGAGACTCTGACGACGAGGATGAAGATGGTGATGATGATGAACAACAACAGCAACAAAATAAAGAGGCGGTCTCTGGTGCTACATCGAGTGGTGGTTCAGCTCCAGCTACTACTGCTGCCCCTCAGTCGCATTCTCCTGCTGTCCAGACTACCACATTAACTGTCCAAGACAATGCACCTCCTGTGCCCCAACAGGCGCCTCCCCAGTCCGGCGCAACTACAACAGCTGTTCCGACCGCACCGAGTCCCGCTCCTCCTGCCGCCGTCCCTACCCCCGTGACCCAGGCGGCTCCTGATCGAGTAGCCATCTACGAAGACCAGATCCGCGATGATCCCCGAGGCGCAATGAATGCTTGGTTGGAGTTGATGAAGGAAAAGAGGGCCAGGAGTGACATTGATGGTGCAAGACAGGTCTATGAAAGATTCCTTGCCATCTTCCCCCAGGCGGTGAGTTAGCATATCTATGCCCCAAAAACAGTTGAAGCTAACGACAGTCAGGCCGATATTTGGGTCGAGTATCTCGATCTTGAACTCAGCCTCAATAACTTTCCTCAAGCCGAGGGCATCTTTGCCAAATGTCTTATGACAACCCCCAATGTTAACCTCTGGACCCGGTACCTGGATTACATTCGCCGTCGCAACGATCTCAACGATAGCACCGGCCAGGCTCGCCAAACTGTCTCTCAGGCCTACGAGTTCGTGATCGACAACATCGGTCTGGACAAGGACTCTGGCAAGATCTGGGCAGAATACATCCAGTTCATCAAGTTTGGCCCTGGCACGGTCGGAGGAAGCCAATGGCAGGATCAGCAAAAGATGGACCAGCTCAGGAAAGCCTACCAGCGGGCCATCTGCGTGCCCATCTCCAATGTCAATACCCTCTGGAAGGAGTACGATCAGTTTGAGATGGGCCTCAACAAGTTGACGGGCAGGAAATATCTCAGCGAAAAGTCGCCATCCTACATGTCAGCCAAGAGCGCCAACACTGCGCTGGAGCACATTACCAGGGGGTTGAACCGGACCAACCTACCTCGTCTTCCGCCCGCCCCTGGTTTCGATGGTGACCAGGAGTTCATGGAGCAGGTCGAAATCTGGAAGAAGTGGATTGCTTGGGAAAAGTCCGACCCTTTGGATCTCAAGGACGACAAGGACCAGCCGGGTCTGTACCAGAAGCGCATCCTCTACGTCTATAACCAGGCCTTGATGGCCCTGCGTTTCTGGCCCGAGATGTGGGTTGACGCTGCTCAGTGGTGTTTCGACAACAACATTACCACCGTGGAGAACAAGGTCACCAAGGACGGCAATGCCAACGGTGTCGAGTTCCTTATCCGAGGTATCGAAGCCAATCCCGAGAGTGTGCTTCTCGCCTTCAAGCATGCCGATCACATCGAATCAACCTACCCTATTGAGGAGAATGACGAGGCCAAGATCGCGCGCGGCGAGGCAGTCAAGGCACCCTACAACAAGGTGTTGGATACACTTTACGCTATGATCAAGAGCCTGAAGGAAAAGGAAGCCGCACAGATCGCCAAGCTTCAGGAGATGACTGCTGCGCAAGAGTCCAAGACAGGCTCCGACAACGAAGACGGCGATGGGCCTGCAGATAACATCAAGAAGGCGCCCATTGAGGCTATTCAAAAGGGGTATGCCGCGCAGACTCAGCTGCTTTCCCGGATGATCTCGTTCGTGTGGATCGCCTTGATCCGCGCCATGCGTCGTGTCCAGGGCAAGGGAGGTCTGAACGTTCCGCTTGGTGGCATGCGCAAGGCGTTCCACGATGCTCGCGCTCGCGGTCGTCTTACAAGTGATGTCTATGCGGCTGTTGCTCAGCTAGAATGGACTATCTACAAGGATCCCGCCGGTGGCAAGATCTTTGACCGTGGTGCCAAACTGTTTCCAGAGGACGAGAACTTTACCCTCGAGAACATCAAGTACCTTCATTCTCGGGATGACCACACCAATGCCCGCGTCCTCTTCGAAACCGTTGTCAACCGACTCACCCAAAAGCCGGAGCTCGTCCACAAGGCCAAGTCCCTCTATCAGTACTTCCACAAATACGAGTCCCAATTCGGCGAGCTCGCCCAGGTCACGAAGCTGGAGAAGCGCATGGCCGAGCTCTTCCCCGAAGACCCCAAACTCGCCACCTTCACCGCCCGTTATGCCTCGGACAAGTTCGACCCCATCACCGCTCGCATCATTGTCAGCCCGACGACCCAGCTTCGGCCCAAGAACATGATCATGCCCTCGATTGAACAACAGCAACCCCAACTCCCCATGTCCCAGCGTGACACGCCCGCCCGGGGATTCAGTCCCCGGCCCCAGCAGGGTATCAACTCCCCCAGCGCCGGCGGTGCTCCCTTCGCCTCCAACGCCAACAAGAGGCCCCTCGACGACCGCGACTACGAAGACCCTCCCCGCAAAATTGCCCGCTCCGAACACGACCCTTTCGTAAGAGGCGCGTCTCCCCTGAAAGGCGCAGCCGGCCGCAGGCTGGACCAGCAGCGACGCATGGGCGGAGCGGCCGGTGCGTATAGCGGCCCCGGGGCCGGTTCCCAAGTTGTACCCATCGCCAGGGACATCACCTTCCTGCTGAGCCAGATCCCCCGCGCGGAATTTTATGATAGCCACAGACTTAACCCTTCGCGGATGGTGTCATTGTTGCAGAACGTCAAGGTGCCGGAGTATTTGGACTGGAAGAGGGAACGTGAACGGATGCAGCAGATGCAGCAACAACAACAACAACAACAACAAGGAGGAGATGGATATGGTGGTTACGGTGGTGGAGGCGGAGGTGGCTACGGTGGACATGCAAGGAACGTGTCGACGGATTATGCCTACCGTGAATCTCCCGGTCCTCATGGTGGAAGACCGTTGAGCCCGTTCACCGGTGGTCCGGGGAGCAGATTGGCTAGCGCGACAGCCGCGTATCGTCAAAATGCCGTGGGCAGGCCGGGGTCGAGCGGGTCTTATGAGCCCCCTCCGGCTGCGCAGTACGGTGTTCCGCCCCCGGCTCAGTATGATGGTGGATGGGCCCAGCAGCAGCAGCAGCAGTATGGACAGCCACCGGCGCAGCAGGGGTACAACAGGTATGGAAACCCTCCTCCTCCCTATTAGAAAGACGGGAATGGGTACGATGAGGGTGATGGAGGGTGTGGAGATGGAGTATTCGGGGGAAAAATGGACAGGAAAGCGAAAGAGGGGCAGCACAGGGATCGCCCGGATTGGGTCCGGCAACTGGAGGAACAGGAGGAACATGGAAGAAGTGGTGGAGGATGGAAAGGGGGTTAGGTACTTGAACTTCGAGCTCTAATTATGGAATTGGAAAGAGAACGGGGTCTTCTTCCTATGAACCGTCCTCGTGTTGCTTTTCGACTTCCTACTACCCGCACTCCTCGCAAGGTTTAGCATGAATTGATAATGGGTAGATTAGCAAATACCAGTTGCTGTCATTACTGGATGTTACTAGCTCGAGCCTAGGTACCACCAAGCGTTGCGTCGTCCAGATAGGTAGTTTAGGACTTTAGGTCTTTGGGGTACACCAATACCAAGCGCATGATGACATTTATTCACAGGGTGGCGATGTCATCCTTCTGCTGTATGAGTTTTGTGTGTAGATGTGTATGTTAGTTGAATGGAACCTAGACAAAATTGATCTCTCCTCCATTTGCACCTACACGACAACTGCAACTGCAAATCGTATCAATCATCGTGTATTCTTCCAGCGACCTCCATGCTAATCACTACCCTTGTGACCTTGTCCCGTAATGCGTGCGCTGTGCGTCGACATTGTTCTATCATGATCCCCATGAGATTTCCCAGTCCCCAGCGCAGAAATTACCACTGAGTATCCTAAGGTAATCAACTCACATTGGTTCACGACCCTCATGATAAACAATCCCTTACCTCTCCCTCAAGTTACGCCAGCTCACCTTGATCTCAATATCAACGTTGACGTCTCCTGCTCGTCTTCCGCGCTCTCCTGCCCTCTCCTGTCCATGGTCGCGGCTTGCCCCCAGTGCCAACCTCCGTTTGCCTTGGTTGCCAGAGGAACCTCAACAAACAGACGAACTGCCTCTGGACCTCGAGATGAGACGATATTACTACATAGAGGAAAGTACCAAGGTACCAAGGTCCAAGGGTGTGGAGACACCAGACGACAAAGAGGAAGGCGAGGCGGACGAGGCGGTCTACACAGTAGCCAGGGATGATCAGGCTGAGAGATGGAAGTCGCGGTGGGATTTGGGACGAGGGTGGTCAAACCTGTTGAGTGAAGTGTTGAGTTTCTCGACGGATCTGCAAGACGTCACCTGTTTGAAACATGGGACGATGGGCACAGCAGGGCAGAAATGGCGGACAGAGAGAAGATGGCAACAACGGACTCTATGGCTGCCTGTGGAGGGGCATGAGCGAAGAGGCAGCAAACGGCAGAGGGCAGACGGTACATGGAAAGAGCTCTACGGTGAAAACGAACGTGCTGGACTCGAGTGAGCGGAGGGGACTGAGAGAAAGAAGACTGAGCGAAGACATCATTGACATTGGACCATGTCAAGAAAGGGCATGAGCAGGGACAAAAGGTTGGACAATATCTGTATAGTCTCATCGTTATTGTGTTTATTCCCATCCAGGCCGGGCATTCACTCTCCAGGACTCCTGGGGAGAAGTCTCCAGTCAAGCCAAATATCCCCACGCTTCGCGCTTCCTTTCTCACCAGGCGAGCTGGCTCCGAAGCAGGCATGGCCCTAGATGTCGATTTCGATATTGTCCCGCTTTAACCTGAGTACTTACTCGGGGATGAGAAAAGCACCTTCTGTTTCCTCTATATTCACCCACTCGGCTTCATCAATCCGGAGTCCGGACTCCAGACTCGGCTGGCCTCAAGCGCCAAGGAGGATCACCAACGGGCGGAAGGTTCCAACAACAACAGCAACTGGGAGCTGATCACCAAGCCAAGGACAATCATCCGAAACCTTGAACTGATGTCCACCAGGGCAGTTAGACCCGCTTTGGACGACATGGAAGCACCGTTTGAACATCGGGGGAGGAGTGATGAATGAAGGTCAACAACGCGTGCTCGGACTACTAGAGAAAGCAAGTGAATTGATGGTTACCTTTGACTGCGGGCATCTCCGTATTGACTGTATCGGGACGGAAGGATCCCTGACAGTTGTCGTGAACGTCCAATGTAGGGCAACATTATCATGAGGTAATGCCGTAGGTCGGGAGTTGCATGCGAGTGGTGATGTTTTCAAGAGCTCATATCTTCAGTTTTGGTACCGACACGCTCAATGAGAATGAGCAGATCACTACAGCGACATGACTGCATGGAAAAGCCAATGACATTGTTGTTGGACGTGTCGTGACCTTCATGATGTTTTGTTTGAGTGATTGCCATGTTCAGGGCGGGGGTCAGTTTCCCAGATTCTCTGAGTGGTCACTCCTCCGCCATGACTCTTTCCGTGAATATTTTCGCAGATGCTGACATGATGAAAGATCGGAAGTAGTGAGTGAAGCTCATCCTGCAACTGGAAGCGTCATCGAAATATCATGACGTTCCTGCTTGCGGAAAGGCAATCTCACATGGAAGCGCCTTCCCAGTCCACGTAATCTCTGCCTTCATTTCCCTCGGCGTTGACCGGCCAATGCTTTACACCAAAGATAAGCTACCTTGATGGCCCGTCACCGTGAGTCGCGACTTCCCAACCGGATTGCCTCCACTTGATGACACTTCCACTGAAAACCCAAACCGTCTTGGCACTTGCCCACCACATGATTTCGTGACAACCGTTATTACGAAGTGTAGGTATTTACCTTACGCAAACAGGAAACTTCACAGAAACAGTCATTGCTCTCATCATTGCAAGTATCATCGCTTGCCTGGCAAGAAAGTAGGAGTCAAGACCACGGTGATAACTGGGCAAGTCACATGGAAGTGTTTGATGATCCCACTGACCGGACACTCCGTCACAACTTCTTTTCCGGTTACCGTCACAGGTAGTCACAGTCGGAGGAATATTCGCAAGCACGTAGAGTACCTCTCTCCAGTTTTCCAGGTTCCAAGCTTGAGTAATCTCCATCTCCTTGCTGCCACAACTTTGTGACCATGGGATCACCACCGAGTGTTTGATATGAACTCAACCACAACGTAGTAAACAGTTCCATACCGCAGTGAAGGTGATTCAATCTTGTATATTAGAGAGCGTTGGACTCACCAATCTCGGAGTCCAATGTTTCATGGTGATGAAATTTCGTGTAAACGGTCACCACAGAAAGGGCCGCAACTGGCAAGAGCTGCCGCTGAGTGTCGGACCATACACTCTGTGCCGTCCAATCGATCCTTCGTCAAACGAAAGGCAGCACCCTCTCTGTTGCTGCCCCTCTTATCTCCTTCTCTTTTTTTTCCCTCCCACTCTTCCCACTCTTTCCCCCGCCACACTTTTCTTCCTGAGTCATCTCAACCTTCAACGCAGGGCGAACACTCGCCTTGCCCACCGTCTTCTTTCTCTCATCGCAACCCTCAAACCTTCCTGATCGCCCAAATTTTGAGAGTCAGACGAACAGAGGGCAGTACTCATCCTGACTTGCCTTCTCGTCTGGTCTGGTTGATTGTTTCCATTCACGCGCTTGCATCAGGTACGTACCCTCCTCTGGCCCCGTGGATGATCCTCCAGAATGCTATAAGAACCCCCCTCCCCCCCCTCCTAATCCTCTTCCAAAACTTCCTCCTCATCACACTCAACCAAGGATCAATCACTTACTCCTTTGTCTCTCTCCCTTCCCTTCGACAGCAACCGCAGCAACCGACCAAGACTTTCGTTTTCGACAGCGATTTGACCTAGACGCCGGTCTACAGTCTTGTGAGTTTTACCCCCTCCTCTCCCCTCACTGTCCACACAAGAGATACACCTACCCATCTCACTTCCTCATCATCACACTGGAACGTACCCACAGAACAACCACTGACTCTTGTCTCAACCAGTACCTGCAAAATGTCTGCTCCTGGATCTCCCTCTAGCTCTAGCCCCAAGATGTCCGGCCAGAAGATGACCTTGCCCACGCGCCCTGCCGGCCCGCCTCAGTCGCCCACTCAGGCTCGTTCTCCCTCGGGTGCCTCTGCTGCCTCGGGTGCCGCTCCCGGTCAGGCTCGCTCTAACTTCCCGCCCCCTCTCGGCTATGATCCCGGCAAGATGGACACTCGTGCCCCCTTGAGCCACGAGGAGCGTGTCGGCAAGCGCGTCGACTTGCCTGCCGATGCCTACACTGGGTCCGATATCAGCAGCACCTTTGCCGCTCGAACCGGCTTCAACACCGAGGGCAACAGCATCAGGGTCGCCGTCAACCAGTATCCCGTCACCAGGATCGCCAACATGGATGTTTCCCAGTACGACATTGCGCTGAGCCCTGAACCCACCGCCGGCGTCGTTTACGACAAGGTCTGGAAATCCAAAAAGGTCCAGCAGAAGCTTGCCTCTGTGACCAACAAGCCCTGGATCTACGACGGGCGCAAGCTGGCCTGGTTGGCTCAATCGGTTGATGAGATGCGCGTCATGGTTGACCTCGATGAGGAGCGCGGCCGCAAGCCTGGTGGCGAGAGGAAGAACGTGTTTCACATCACTATCAGGCCCACTGGTAAAGTTCGTCTCCAGTCTCTCAGGGCTTACCTCGAGAAGAGGGCTCCTTGGGACAACCATGTGCTCGAGTGCATGAGTTTCCTCGACCATCTTCTCCGTCAGGGTCCTTCCGAGCGCATGAAGACCATCAAGCGCAGCTTCTTTCACGCCTCGATGCCCAACCGAGAGCTTGACATGCTCCTCATGGCATACAAGGGTGTCTACGCTTCATTCCGCCTCAGCCAGAACATCAAGCAGATTGGTCTCGGTGTCAACGTCGATGTGACCAACCAGGCCTTCTGGAAGGCCAACACAGCCGACAAGATGATGAAGTATGTGATCAACACCTACGGCGGGCTGAGAGGTAAAGGGAACATGCAGAACCTTGACGACCAGTTGGTCACTAGCGCGTTGAAGCCCCTAGTCAACCGCACCACGGGAAGGTACGAGCAGTCTGAGGCCATGAGGGCCCTGCGCCGCCTGAAGGGCTGTCGCTTCACGCTCGTCCATCGTCCCAATGAGGTCAAGGAGTACAAGATCAAGGGCTTCGCCTTCGACAAGAAGTACGGCCCGGACGGCGCCAACTCCTACAACGTCACATTCAAATGGAATAATAATGGCACTGAGAAGGAGATCTCAATCAGGGACTACATGAAGGAAAGATACGGCTATGCCCTGATCCACTCAGCCGGCTGGCCCGTCATTGAGACCACCCGTGCTGGATCCTTCCCTGCTGAGGTGTGCAACATTGTGTCTTTCAACCAGTACCAGTACAAGCTGGACCCCAATCAGACTGCGTCGATGATCAAGTTTGCCGTTCAGCGCCCGGCACAGCGCAAGCAGGACATTGCAGCATCGGTTCAGCGTCTCGACTGGGCCAACGACAAGTACCTCAAGGCCTTTGGCGTCAGCATCTCCCCCAACATGGCCATCACTGAGGCCAAGGTGCTCAGGCACCCTGAGGTGTTCTTTGAGAAGAAGACCGTCAGACCCTTGAACACCGGTCGCTGGGACCTTCGCGGCGCCAGGTTTGTTGAAGGCAACAAGGAACCCTTGACTCGTTGGTGCTTCTTTGCACTCAACGGCTGTGTCGATCAGAAGGCCGTGGTAAACTTTGTCGGTAGCTTCGTCACTACTTACAAGGGACATGGCGGCAGAATCGCGCCCGGAAATCCCTACATGACCAATGTCACGGCAAACCCAGCTACGTTGAACGACGAACTTCACAAGCACATGGGCACTGCCGTCGGGGGGTACAAGAACCTGTACCCGCAGATCGTGTTCATCGTCGTCCCGGACAAGACGGCTCATGTGTATGAGCGGATCAAGAAGGTCTTCGACTGTCGCTACGGTGTTGTTACTCAGATCCTGAATGCGGATCACGTAAGGAAGGCGGCGGGGCAGTACATTTCGAATGTCTGCATGAAGGTCAACGCAAAGCTGGGCGGACAGACCTCCAGCCTCACTGCGACTAAGGCCAAGTCTCACGGGTTCTTCACCAAGCCCACCATGATGATTGGCGTCGATGTGTCTCACGCATCACCGGGCTCAGACATGCCGTCCATTGCTGCCATGTGCGCCTCAGTCGACATGGAGGGTTATCAGTATCGCGCTGCCGTCGAGACCAACGGCTGGCACAACGAGGTCTTGACCAACGAGAACATCGAAACCATGGTTCCCAAGTTTCTCCAGGCCTACAAGGACAAGACAGGGAAGGAGGTCGAGGATATCTACTACTTCCGCGACGGCGTCTCCGAGGGCCAGTTTGCACACGTCATCAAGCAGGAGGTGGAAGCCATCAAGAAGGTCTACATGGCCAGATTCAAGGGCCAGAAGAAGGCCAGGGTTACAGTGATTGTGGCCACCAAGCGTCACCACATTCGCTTCTTCCCCGAGAAGGGAGACAAGAACGGCAACTGCGAGCCTGGCACGCTGGTGGAGAAGGAGGTCACCCATCCCTTCCACTACGACTTCTTCCTGAACTCGCACCATGCGCTCCAAGGCACGGCTCGTCCTGTCCATTACCACGTCCTCATGGACGACATTAAGCCCCAGGTGAACACCTTGCAGAGGATGATTTACCACCAGTGCTACACGTTCTGCCGTTCCACCACGCCCATTTCGCTGCATCCGGCTGTCTACTATGCCCATCTGGCGGGTGCTCGTGGCCGCTCCCATGAGAGCCTGGACTACGGTGACAACGCACGTGTTCCTGAAAAGGTCAGGGAGCAGGTGAACAACCCGGACAACTTGGTTGCCAAGCATCAATCTCCCACTACTTACAGCAGCGAGTGGAAGAAGAGCAACCCGCCTCCAAAGCTGACCGTCATGGAAGGCAAAAATCACATCCACAACACCATGTGGTGGGTCTAATCTTGGTCGCTTTGGCTGGCTCTTTCTTGACTGGACTTGGATCAGTCAATCCTAGACATTGTTGTCTAGGTAGAACATGTCGACGGTGGGGAGGGGTGTGATTGGCAACCGGTGTACAAAGGGTTTGGGACTTGGATGGGTCTTCTTGACGCACTGGGGCCAGACATTTGGACGACATGGGCGATGGTGGTGGTATACTATGATCAACGGATCAGTATAGCGAGATGCTGGTGGCCGTGGAGGGAGTCAATGCTTGGGAGGATCTTGGGACCGATATCAGGAAAGGATTGATGGATGGCACTTGCACAAACATTTTCCGACCCGGGTCTAGGTTTCTTTCCAGTATTACCAGTTCTACATAAGTCCATAGCATAAGAAAGGTACCTTTACTTGAAGCCTGTTACATGAATGTGGATCAGTGAATGATCGTGATTCTGTGCAGTGAGGTTGATGTTGTGGATGGGTAAATCATCAGAAGAATGCCACTGCTTCGGAGTCTCTGCGACATGGTGAATCTGATGATTGATGGCACACGAGTTGGTTCGTTGCCAGCTCGGTAGGTAGAATGCATTGAATTGCACGGAACAGTGGTTGATTGATAATTGATGGGCTTGATAGTGGTTTGGATGAAGTTGATGGTGAGTGATGTGTACAATCTGGTGGCGGTGTTGCTCATTGCGTTGGTTGTTGATGGTTTGGCGTGTGTGTCATTAACCCTTTTAGTGATATCGGATATAAAAGCCCAAACTTCAAGCAGGGCACTCGGGGTTCTTTGCTCTTTTGCCTCGCATTCTTTGGCATATGATCCGCAAGGGAAGTGTTGATCAAAGTAAGTTTTTTGAGGTGTAATTTTACGCTTTCTGGGCGCAGTGAGGAAGGCATTGACTTGAACGTTGGAACTTTAGAAACGAAACTTGCACTTGAGGGCAAAGTTGGAAGGCGAAGGTGAAAGCTTGACTTAGGAAACAAGACTGGCAACTCATCGAGCTGGTTAGAAGTAAGGTATCTCCAAGAGCAACTGGTTTCTAGGTGTTGGGTTGGGGATTGGGGATTGCTGACCGGCTTGTAGCTGTTTAGGATTGCTGACCACGAGTGAAATCAGGAAGAAAGAAACGGGAGGCAAGAAATCAAGCAAAGCAGAAGAGAAAACGAGAAACTAGGAAGGCCAGGGGAACTAGGAAGGCCAGTGAAGCCAGGAAAGCCAGGAAAGTTGGGAAAGCCAGGAAAGTTGGGAAAGTTGGGAAAGTTGGGAAAGAGGACGACTACCAAAAGATATGGATCGACAGCGAGAAAAGCGGCTACCTCCAACACCTTCAGGAGATCGAGAAAATTCTGGAGTTGTTGGGCGTTCAATGTCCGGAAATTCTCCTCCACTCCCTAGTAATCCGGCAAATCGTGGACACTCAGCTAGTCCGTTAGATTCTGGGACTTACTCCCATCCTCGAGCTGCACCCGCACCGCCGGCTACCTCTAGTACAGCAGCCTACTCGCCAACGGCACCAAGTTTTCCACTCAGTTCTCCTCCTGGACTTAACGACTACAACCAACCACATCCACATTCAGATCCTCAACCACAACCTCAAACTCGACGTCCACTACGTCCAGCGCCATGGAGGACGCCTACTTCCCCGCCGCGCCCACCACCGGGGAGACTATTTGAGAGGGCGCTTTTATCTCCAAACCCCCAACGTCCTGCCCAGAAAGCTTCCCGGTCAGGCTCCCTTCCAAGCATTGATTTCTCCCAAAGGGAAGTTGGCGAGCAACAGGGGCAGCTATGGACACCACCACGTCCGGATTCCCCTCATCCAAGAGTTCTTCGACGTGGACCTTCTGGTTCCGCTGCTACTCGCTCCACAGAGACAGGTGCTCAGTATCCGTTTGCGAGACGACCGGTAGCTGTAGCTCCAGCTCCAATACCTCCCGTACCAGAAAAATCACCGAGACGATCAGTGGTGGGAAATAACAGGGAGCGGAAGAGAAGTCAGCTAGCTGGGGAGTTGGATGGTTTGGAGGGACGATTGGAGGGTTTGGGAGTGACTGTCGGGGAAGTAAGAAGAAAAGTCGAATATCATGAAGAAGCAAGAAGGGCCGAGCATGACGAAGAATCAAGGAGACCAGGAAGCACGGATTCAACATACTCGCAAGGCTCAGAGGGAGAGGGATCGGTCTACGCGGAGACATATCATGGGTTTATGTTTGGGGATCATGACCATGGAGAAGGGAGTCAAAAGTATGCGGACGGCGCCGAGCGGAAAAATAATAACCAGAACCGGGAACTACCACAGATCTTCTCCCCAACTACTGCGAGAACACCCAGTCCTCCGCTTGAGAGCCACTACCGACGCCACACTCCGATTGCACCTCCCGTCCAACCTCGAGCCAGGTTAGGAGGACGAGGTGAAGTAGAACCAACAAGTCCAACTCCCATACGCACCATCACTGTAGCACGCATCACAAGGAAACCAGCAAGACTGAGACCAGTGAGCACCCAGCAAGATTTGAGGACTCCTTCTCCGCTGTCGGCTACGTTGAAAGGGCCGGGGCCACATGTCCCGGATGGAGATCAATGGGAGACTTCCCCGGATACTTCCACGAACGGTGCTTCTGCTGCTGGTGGTGCCAGTCAAGGGGCTCCGATGTTTGCTAGGGAGTTGACTGCCAGTCCTGAGGTGATGAGTTCTGTTGCGGAAGAGGAGGATGAGAGGAGGGGAATGGTGAGTAGGTGGTCGACAGACTCGTCGGACTTGTCGGACTCGTCGGATGAGGAGGCAATAGATATGGAGGTGTCGCCTGTTCCTGGTTCTCTTACTCGGGAGGTAGGACGAGAGGCAGGGCAAGAGTCTGCACAAAAGCCGTCGGAAGAATATCATGAAGCTCAAGAAGTAGCGCAAGAAACACCATCCGCACGAGACAGCACCAACACCAGCAGCGGCAGCGATCCCTCCCCTGCTTCCCAAAAATACAAACGGACCGAGAAACAATACAGCGAAGACGCAACACTCCCGTTCAACAACCTCACCACCCAGCTTGCGGCTCTCGAAGCGTCCCTTAATCACCTCGTCTCTCACGCCAGTGATCTCGACACAGCCTTCGGCCAAGTGCGTGATGCCATGATCGCTTTGCGTGAGAAGGTGACGGAGACGTTGGCTGATACCCAGCAGTTCCTTGATGAGATTCAGGGAGTGGAGGGACAACTGGCGGAGGTGAGGAGGGCTATGAAGGGGAAGGGGAAGGAGAAAGAATTTGTTGGCAGCAGTGACGGAAACCAAGATGGGAGGGAAGAAGACAAGGGACAAGGAGAAGAGAATGATAATGACAAAGGTAAGGAAGTGGAACAAGACATGCAGTTTGTTGGTGAGGACGGTATTGACAGATGAACTAGGAGATCAACGAGAACAAGGAAGAGAGGTGGATCAAAGAACGGAGCAGAAAGAAGAACAACACCATCCAGAGACATCACCGGATATGTCGCCGAAGGAACCTCCAAGACGACCACGGAGGGGACCACCGAGCGGACCGGCGCCGGGAGGGACGGAGTGGGTTTGATGTCAGTCCGGACCCCGGAGCCTTGAGTTCGGGTAAGGCTTGAGATGGGAGAGGTGTTGGTGACGAGGAGGGAAGAGGAGGAAAGGGGGAAATAAACAAAACCGAGCGTAGAATTGACCACTTTCACAACATGATGACGATGCCCAACGTGAATGTCGCTTGACAGATGAGGTCTCACACTGTCCCAACAAGTAGTGAGCATCACCATTGACATGTTCTAGGTGAAAGTGCCTCATTTTTGTGGCGAGATGCCGTATCATTGCCAAACCATCATGTCGATGCTGTGATGTTTATAGCAGAGAATAACAAATGGACGACGACATGAAGTCCAAACAAAGAGCTTCCCGGACCCGTCCCGTCACGGGCCGCTCGTGTCTTGGCAATCGACCGGCTCTTCGGCACAGCGCTAAGCCCTGGGCACTGTCTCGGCAGTTTCTAGGCGCTAACTGGGCGAGCTTGGCGAATTTACAGGGGGATCTTTAGCGCACGAACATGTGATGCAGGCCCCGCCGGTCCCGCGCTCGTTGCCGTCACCGTGCGTCCCTCCCTCTCTTCCAGGTTCTACCCGACATCATCTTCCATCTTCCATCCGAGCCTGAGGACAGAGGAGATGCTCCCTCCCACTTGATACTACAAACGAGAGCAAACAACAACAACAACCGCCATACCAACAACCAGACGCGATGGCCTCATTCATCCGCGCAAAGCAGGCGGGCGTCCAGACGGACCTGTCGCAAAACATCCAGCCGATGCACTTTATGCCCGACGAACAAGCCCGCTACGGCATCAACTCCCAGATCAGCTGCCTTGCCTACGACCCCGTCCAGTCTTTGCTGGCAGTCGGCACCAACGAGTCCAAGTTCGGCCCGGGCAAGATTTATGTCTTTGGTCAACGTCGCGTCCACAAGTTCTTCTGCCCACCGCGCTCATCGTCCATCCGAGAGCTACGCTTCGTCGCCAACCGCCTCATCAGCCTCGACAGCAAGAACGAACTAGCGATATGGAACCTCGACACGGCCAACCAGGTTGCCAAAAACGTATACTCGGGCGTGGTGTGCTTGGTGACAGACCCCATGCTGGATTGGGCTTTTGTGGGATTACAGAGCGGTGATATCGCAGCCTACGACCTCGACCGCGAACGACCCTCGACCTTCCGCATTCCCAACTTTTGGCGCGAGCGAGATCCCAACCCGACCGCAGGCAGACTCGTGTCTATGCAGCTACACCCGAGAGATATCGGCAAGATCCTGATTGCCTACATGAACGGCGCCGTCATCTACTCGTTCAAGCAAAATGTTGTCCAGAAATACTTTGAATACGAGCTTCCAGCTGGAGCTCCCGGTGGTGATGGCCACGGAATGCACACGGCCCGGAAACCCAAGGTTGTCCATGCGGCCTGGCACCCCACGGGTACCTTCATCTTGACTGCTCACGAAGACGGCAGCCTCGCCATCTGGGACACCAAAGAAGGCCGTCTCGTCACTGCCAGGTCTCTATACCACACCAAAGTCAACGAGCCCACCTCCAACCCACCCAGACCGATGCGCCTCGCGCCCTTCGTCCGTATCTCCTGGTGCTGCCAAACCGATCCCGACAACACCGGTCTCCTCATCGCCGGCGGCCACAACATCGACGATCCCACCGCCAGCAACCTCACCTTCCTCGAACTCGGTCCCACCCCGATCTATGCCACCTCCTCCTGGGAAGTTCTCGCTGCCCACTTCGACGGCAAGCGGTCCCTTCCCATCTCCACGCCTCCGGGAGCGAGCGTAGTCAATTATGTTCTCATCCCGCGCTCATCTCCATACTTCAACGGCGCTCAGGACCCCATCGCCATTTTGGTCCAGCTCTCCTCGGGGGAACTGATCACCTTGACTTTCCCCTCTGGCTTTCCCATTAGCCCGACAAACATGCTGCACCCCTCCCTGTCCTTCGTTCACCCTTTTGTGCAAAAGGTTGCTGTCTCAACGGTGCCGAGGGCACGATGGCTGGGTATGGCGGAGAAGAGGAGCTTGGGGGAGCAGATACTTAGGGGAGGAGTGGAATACAGTCACAGAACGAGGAAAGAGCAGAGGAATATCGTCCAGGTTTTGCACGCCGATAACATCGTCCGCTTGTGGGATGTTGGGAGGGGCGATGAGATCGAGAATGCCATGCAGTGTCAAGTGGACGTTGCTAGGTCTCTCAACCGATTTGAGGGCGGCGTGGAAACGACGGCTATGCACATGGCGCAGGAGACGGGAGAGTTCGCGGCCGGCACGAAGACGGGCGAGGTGATCGTCTGGCGGTGGGGAATCAACAAGAATTTTGGCAAGGAGGAGCCAAGAGCCGGGGAGTGTGAGAGGGGAGGTTTGATGGATATTTCTTCCAGAGCGGAACCAAGTCTGAAGGAGGGCTTGCAGCCGTTTGTCATGCATAATATGGCTCAGGGGAGAGTCTCGGTGGTGGCGGTGTCGGATGTGGGGTTCGTTGCTGCCGGAAGTGAGGGCGGGTATCTTTCTATTATCGACCTGAGAGGGCCAAAGGTGATTCACCATGGCTCTGTCACGGAATGGTCTAAGGGAGAGAAGAGGGGGCTGTTTAAGCATTCGTCTAGCTCCAGTCACGGAGGCAAACCGGAGTGGCCGACGGTCATTGAGTTTGGAGTCATGACGCTCGAAGGGGAGAACTATTCGAGTATCTGCTGCTTCGTGGGCACGAATCTCGGGAGGGTGGCTACTTTCAAGTTGTTACCTTCTGGCCAGGGGTATTCGGTCCAGCTGGCGGGTGTTGCGAACATGGACGATAAGGTGGTGGCTATTTGTCCTATTGATGTGCAGACGGGACGGGAGGCGGGTGCCACGGGGTCTGTTGTTGCTGGGTTGAGGGAGGGGAGACAGATTGATGGTGTCTTGGTTGCTGGTGAGTTGCTTTCCTCTCTCCTTTTCTCTTACCATTTCCCTTGGTTCCATTACTGACACGTATTGCAACAGTCACCCAAACAGAATCCAAAATCTTCCGCCCACCCCACGCCCGCGGTGCATCCAAGTCCTTCGACTCCGGCATCCTCTGTGACGCCGCCGCCGTGACCCCTGCTGACACCTCTATGTCGTCTCACGGATACGCCCTCGTCGCCGTCTTCAACGACCGCACCCTCCGCTCTTACACCCTCCCGGGATTGCGCGAGATCGCCAAGCGTCCGTTACCCATGCTCGACCCTCTACGCACCCTATCAACAGTCATCGCCAAAACCGGTGACGTTCTCGGTTTCACCGGCCCCTCCGAAATTACCGTCTTACCAGTCTGGGGAGGATCCGGCAGAGCGCTCGAAAACACCCTCGACACCATGATCAACATCACCCAGGAACTGCCACCCAGACCAACAATCTCCAACGTCCAATGGCTCTCAGGCACCCAATACATTTCCCCCACGGACCTCGACCTCCTAATCGGCGGTACCGACCGTCCCCCCTCAAAGAGGATGATGGCAGCAACAGACGCAGAACGCAGCGGCGCCGGAGTCTACAACCCTGCCGCCGCCGGTGCCGCCGGGTCAAGTACAGCAAGATTGCAGGGACAGGTAAAAGAAACGGAAGGATGGGGCGATTATCTTACCCGACAGCTGAATGAGCGCACGGAAAAGCTGAATATTATGGGCGATAGCATGGATAATTTGGCGAATTCGACGAGTAAGTGGGCGGAGGACGTGGATGGGTTTGTGAAGAAGCAGAAGAGGGATTTGTTTTTGGGGGGGATTAAGAAGAGTTTCTTTTGAGCGCGTGCTGTGTATGCGGACTGGAACTGGTAAGGTAGTTTTGGAGTTGGGAGTTAGCGTTTGGGTTGGACCATGGTGGTTAGTCACTTGAGGGCAGATCTTATGTGTTGAGTTAATTGATATCTTGTTTCTCTTCAGCCTGGTCACGGCTGTGTTGTGACTGCGCACTTTTTACTAGCATCCTTCGAGGATGTGGATTCCAAGGTCAAGTGAGCATTCCGATAACCAACTTCGTCATCTTTCCCTCATCAATGGTGCTTCTCGGGGGGGGGGGGACTTGCTTGGTCTTCCACCGTTCTGTTTATCCATGCCCTCCCGGCCTGTCTTCTTTATCTGTCCGCGCGTCCTCGGATGAAGCGGTCCCCGGCCGACAAAGGAAGTCACTGTCAAAAAAATCCACTCGCAGATTGTTATCGGGCAATAAGCCATGCCCTGAATCAACGAGAGATCAGTGATAATATTGTGATAGGTACTACTACTGGGTCAGAGACGCTTCTAGTCCTGACGAGTACCGCGAACAAGGTGAAGCAACAGACAATACCATCGCCATAAAAAACCTGACACACATACACTGTCACGACTGTCAAGCTTCTCCTATCGCCCATTTACCTATCCACACCTTCCTTCAACTCCCTTCCATCACCCCCACAGCCACAGCCACCTACCTCACCCTCTTCCTCATCAACAACCTCGCATTCCAATCCGTCATAGCCATCTCATTGATATACCCGGTCTTCGGCCTCCCCTTCTTCTCATTCGCAAACTTGAACTCAAACTCATACAACATCCTAGCCATAATGAGCTTGATCTCCGCCACCGCAAACTGTCTTCCCGGACACGCCTGGTTTCCATACCCGAAACCCAGCACATTCGGATGCGTCTGTCCAGCCATGTGCAAGTGCATCTGCTCGGGTGACTCGTGTCTCTTTCTGTAGAAGCGCATCGGATCGAACTCGTGCGGGTTTTGGTAGGTTTGGGCGTCCATTTGGTGTTCAAGCATGGGGAAGGCGACGCGGGTGCCGCGGGGGATGTAAGTGCCATCTTTGAGGGTGAGGTCTTGTTGGGCTAGGCGTTGGGGACCGACTTTTGTTGGTTGCTTCTGTTAGCATTTCTTCTTCTGAGAAAGAGAGGGAAAGGGAAAGGAAAAGACATACGAATAATAGGCGGCTCCCTCCTCTGAGTCTCCTGAAAGAAACTATCCAGCTTCTCCAATCTGACACACCACTCCTTCACACTCACTCCCCCATCTTTCCCACCAGCCAACCCTGGCGGGCCCAGTTCCTTCGCAATCTCATCCACCTCCTCCCTCAACACCCCCCACCACTGCGGATGCTCACACAAATCAAACATCATATTGGCCGCCTGGCTCGCAGTAGTATGAATGCTCGCCAGCGTCAAGACACACTGTCGCGCACTCATCTCCTCCACTTTCACCTCATCCCCCTTTCCATGGTCAAGCATCCAATCGAGCAACGTATCCTGCGCCTCCTCTTCCGTGAGCGCTACCTCCCCACGTTCCGCTTGCGCCCTCTTCTCCTTCAGCGAATCGTGCTTCCTCATCTGTTCCCCGACGATGAGTTGCGCAGCCTTCAACTGCCTCAACACCCGCCTCCTAGCCGGGATCAAAGGCGCAACGACGGGGTACATCCAGGGAGGAAACATCTTCATGGTGAAACTGGCTGTGAAGAGATCAATAGAAAAGTCGACAGAAATACCCAGCCAGGTCTCATCGCGGCAGGCCGGAGAACCCAAGAAGACTTTGGCGGTCATGCGAGCGACTAGATCCCTAACGGTGTGTTCGAAATCGATTTTGACCCAGTCGTTCCCGTTCGTGGAGAGTTCAGAGAGAGGGAGGGAGATGTCCCACCCGTGTGAGAGCTCGGAGGAGGCGAGGTCGATGAACTTCCAGAGCTCCGGGGTGAGTTTTTTGCGGAGGACTTCGACGTGGAGGTTGTTGGTGAGAAGGAAGGTTATGCCGTGGTATTCGGGGACGAGGTTCTGCGGACATCAGATCAGTGACTGTTTGGGGACAAAAGGAAACGGGAGGAAAGGTACGTACGGCGACATTAGCACCCTTGTTACTCAGCTTGCTCAGTGGTATCAAGCGCAACTCGTCCAAGTACCGGATGGGTAAGATCAAGAAATCGGCGTCGTAGCGTTTGAGGACGAAGGGCATGTTTGGCATCTGTTCATGTTTCTTGCGTCAGCCTTTTTCTCCCCACCCTCCCCTGACCCCTCTGACATTCCAGTTACTCACGTCCTGATGCCTCTGGACGGGGATAGTTACCTTGGTATAAGCCTCATGCACCAAATCCCTAGCCCCCTTCACGAACCTGGTCTGCAACAAGAGCGTCGGTTCGAACCACGAGCGATAGCCAAAAGTGGGAACTGTGAGCTTCTTGCGCTTGCCGTTGGTAAGCCATTTGGCGGTGCTGGAGAGGAGCCAAGATGTTATAAGGATAAGTGCAAAGGTTTTGGGGTAGCTCAGGTGCTCGATTCGGTCTTTGATGGTGAGGTGGAAGGGGTTGAGGTGGTGTGTTCCGGTGCCTGGTGGGGAGGAGGTGTTGTGTAGTGTGTTCATTGTGTTGTTTCTTTGTGCGTAGTGGTTGGTGAAGGCTTGGTTGTGAAATAGATGAAGTTGATAGTTTGGCTTGAAGTGGATGTGAGAAAGGGACGTGGCCGTTGTGCTTTATGTCTTTCTGGCTTCTGTTGACTGTCCTGCTCTGCGTCATTCATTGGTCTTCATGGGGGCAAAGAGTCGGAGCCAGCGAAGAGGCCGAGAAATTTGAAGCTATCACATCTGAGCTGGCACATGTGAGCTGAGGCTAGACTGGAGTTTCTAGTCCGTGATACTGAAGGGAAAGTCAGAAACCTCAGTCTCCACATGACACTCATGTCTCTGCTCGTCACAAACCTTTCAACTTTTTCAGCTGGAGTTGTGGCACCGTGTGGTGTCAAGCGTTCAATCCTTCGGCCCCAATCCTTCAGCGTGCCTGACAATCATAGGCCAGCACAACAACAGCACAGTACATGTCGAGTCCACTACATCCACACCTGTTGTAATCTTCAACGGCCATCCCAATCCCATGGGAAACCTGCAAGATATCACACATGGAATCCTGAACGGCTGATGTCGTGCATATCAAAAAGAAGAAGCAAGTCCGACCGGGTTGAGAGTTCATGGCTGTGGATACTCCGATCACTTTTCAGCTGCTGGCATCGACATGTACTCGGAGGAGACATGTAGTCATGAAATCTTGGAGCCATCACAGCTGGAGGTGATTATCAACCAAAGACAACAAGATATCATGATGTCCATATCCCGCAGTGGATGCAGCGGGCACAGTGGATTGCCCTGGTGTTGATGCTGTGATGCTTCGGAGTTTCTTTGTGAGCACTGTACCCTTGACGCGCTGAGGCAGGGGTGGTAGGTACCTGGAATTTGTCACAGACACTGTGGGTCCGTAGGGCGAGCAGGGCGAGCAGGGTGGTGTCCATGTCCGCACGTGGTGATTTGCGAACATGTCTCAAAATAGGCCCGGCATAAAAGCTCGGAGATGGAACACTGTAAAGCCGGTAGCGAGGGTATCAAGGCCGAGTTGTTGTTATCCCCCAAGAAACGACAAAGAATTTGAAGCCATTCAGACTTGGGAGGTTGAGCTGGCCGATGCCGTGGATTGCCAATAAACCGGGCCACTGATTCCAGCCAGGATTTGCCAAAGTATCGTGTTTGTCAACTCGCTCTTGAAAAGCGAGTGCGCTGGATGTAAAAGAGGAGCACGGCAGGTGGTGAGTTGGGGAACAAAAGATGATGTCAATGGTGCTGTGTTTGCGCTGCAGGTGGAAAGAGGCATGCCTGTTTTGATGTTTGTAAGAGGTGGGACAGTAACGTACATTAACTGTTAAGGCTGTATCTATCACCGTTAAGTGTTAGGGACCGCTAACCCACTATCTGTGTCCCGCCTCCAAACGCGCTACATGACGACAACGACAAGAACAACAACTGGAAACCATCATCCCTTCTCCTCCTACACCATCACCACCACCACCTACAAATCCCTCACCAAAAACCCGCCATATTGCAACTTCTGAAACACCTCCTCGCCATCATACTTCCCCGCAACCTCCTTGATCAACGCAACATTTTCCTCCCCAAACCCCCGCAGCACATGCTGCCTCTTGTCTGCAAACGTCGGGCAAACAAAATCCAACAGCAACCCCCTCTCCTCCGCTGTCTTCCTTACCTGCTCGTAAATGCTATCCATGGCAGCCTGGTGCACCGCGTCATCCCCGTTCCGCGGGTACTCCAATGTGAAGACGTACCAGTTCTGCGACACCTCTTCTAAACCTAGGGCGTTGCCACCGGTGCCGTTGTCGCGGCCGGCGCGAGCGGCCGAAGAGGTCACGGGTTGAATGGTGTAGTGCAGGTCTGTGCCTTCGGTGGAAGGAGGGAGGGTAGCGGTTACGTCTTGCCAGGTCTTGTGGATGGCGAGGTAGAGGTCGGTGTCGACTTTGGTGGAGATGGTGAAGATGACGCGTCTGTGGTTGACTGTTGTCAGCAATTTCATCCTGGCAAGAAGAACGGGAAACGGGGGAAACTTACTTCCCCTTGGGAGGCCGATGTCCAATGGCCTGCGCCAGCGTCGACAGCGTGCCATCCGTCTTTGGCACAACCGGCGCCATCATACTCTCCAGCTTCCGGAACGGCTCAAAAGCCTTTGGTTCTCCCTTGGGCGTATCGGCATACAGCTGCCCGATGGCGATGAAATCCCGGTGGAAGTTGGTGAAGTACGCCGCTTTGGGATCTGTCTCCATCTCCTTGTGCGCAGCTACCGAAGCCTCGATGATGCTGGCATAATCCTCTGTCTTGTACAGGCTAACGGTATACTGCGTCTTCAACAAAGGATATGTCTGCAAATCGAACCGGGTAACGACTCCAAAGTTTGATCCGCCGCCTTTCAGAGCCCGGTAGAGATCCGGTCGGATTTCGGCGGAGCAGTAGACGACTTGTCCGTTTCCTAGGACGACCTGTTTCTGTCAGCAACCCCTCTCATGACCAGGCACCAGCACCGGAGAACTTACCTCAAACCCCCGAACCTGATCACACCCCATCCCCCTCAGATTGACGAACCCCGGCATTCCGCCTCCCAGCACAAATCCCGCCACACCAATCTCCTCATACCGTCCCCCCATCACACTCCTCCCCTTTCCTTCAAGCCAGGTATACACCTCTCCCCAGGTATTTCCCGCGCCTACGCTCGCTATCCCCGTTTCCGGGTCAAAGGACTTGTGATCCAACCGGTGCAGATCAATGATCACGCCATCTTCACGAGTGCTGCTGAAGCCCGGGTTGGGATTGTGGCCCGTGGCGCGCACGCCGAATTTGGTTTGGGTTTTGGTGATGATGGAGAGGGCGGTGCTGACTTCAGCTGGGGAAACGGGTTGGAAGTAAGCGGCCGAGGGGAGATGGCAGGTTGTTGACCTACGTGTGGTGGGTTAGTCGAGGTTGATGGGGAGAATAGGAAGGGAAAGGAGGAGGAGAAACACCTACCAGGGAGCCGTGAGAGCCACCATCGGCCCGGAGGCAGGGTCATCGGCGGTAGTGACGCGCTGTCCAAAGGTGGATTTAAGAAGGTCGCGAGCGGCGGCTGCTCGTTCAAGGGCCGTCTTTTCGACGGACATGGTTGAGTTTTGGCGGAGGAATGAGTGCTTTGTGGTGGAAAGGAGACGAGTTCCAGCTGATCTGAAGAGTTTGAGAAGGGCTGAAGACATTTTTTTGGATGACTCTATGGTTGTTGTTACGTGTGTTTGCTTATCGACTTGGCGGCACCTCAAGTGAAGCAAGAGTGCGGCACAGGGCCAGTACTAATAACCTCAAGGCAACTGGATTTGGGGGCATGAATCCAAGTGGTCGCTTGGAGACGAAGCGATATCTTGTACGACACGCGTCTGTCACGTGGATGTTGGCCTGGGTTCATCAGCGACATTCAAGGTGAGAATACATCTACCCGAGGAGTCCCAATAATTCAGGCACCGTCAAGCTGAGCCACCAAATTTTGATTACAAACACGGCATCAACCGTCGTGCAGCCCCAGGTCCCGGAAAATCATCATCATCATCATCACCACCCCCGGAGTTTCGGTGTTTCAGTCACTGGACTGATCACCGTCATGGATCCAACGCAGCCTAACAGGGGGCCATATTTCAGGGCTGCAGCGTGCTATCAACCCCTGTCGAGCTGGGCACACAGTGTACCCACCCCCATGGAACTCCATGTCTTACACTGCACGCTACAAGGTTACTCCGGGGCTTGGGAATAGCTTCCGTCGTGGTGACTTGCCCTGACATACACCCCAGCCCATGGCCCTGGGTTCACGATCCGGATCGTCCCCAGGATAGTGATGAAGTGAGACATCTTTCACAGACTCCACCTGGCAGATGGTGTCACACTCCCTGGCGGACCCAAAGCAGTGGGAGTTAGTCCGGGTTACACAACAACGGCTCCGTTGACACCTCAGCACGGCATAAACCTCGACAGTCGCACTGGGAACTCCGTGGGCGGATTACCAATCCACCGGACCACCTCGTGAGGGATATGGATTAATGTCGTGCGTTGAAACATATGATTGTTTTGATAAACAAGGCGAAGCGAGTTCAGGCGAGTAGGCCGGTGTGCTAATGCCATCATTACCATGCATTTGGGCCGTGCTGGAACCACACCGGTGCTCTTTCCAAAGGCCCATCAACAACGAGTGAATGTCTTGATGGCTCCCGGAAGCAGAGCTGGTGTTCCGGACGTTTGAGTTCAGCGGGTTTAGATGAAACAGCCGTAAGTGGCTTTTTGTAGCGGTGCAAAAAAAGGGTACCTGCTACTTTCAAAACAGTCTGTTGATTGCTGACTCTCTGTGCAAGAAGTGGCTAACTCCGAAAAGACCCGGATGTTCCTGAGCGGCTATTGCTCATGGGGGCCACGGGGCTGCAGCTGAGAATCCTGCTGGAGTCTTGAAGTCGAGCTATCTCATCCTCCTCTATCAGCTTGGTCATCGCAGTCATGTCTCTGGTCAGTTGTCACAATTGAGAACTTTGGCCTCGTGAAACTTGAAGAGAACCTGACGATCCTAGGACAAATCACTTCGTGATGTAGATCGAAACTGGAACTTGTCGGAGTCTAGCAGGGGAACCATCAAGCTGGATGAAAGTGAGAAGCAGGCTTGTCAATATCCGGCTCATGCTTTGCAACCACGGACAGGAAATTGTCAGCCATGAGGCCTGATGACAAGTATAATACTTCATCATCTGCCCCCGTCTCAGTTAACCTTTTATCAACAGATCCTCTATTCACAACTCATTACAACATCACACATCATTCACCCACAACCATGGAATCTTCAAGCCTCCAAGCCCAGATCAACTCTCTCATCACCTTCCTCTCCTCCCACTGCTCTTCCGGGAAAGGCCTAGGCACCACCTCCTCAGCCATCTACGACACAGCCTGGCTATCCATGATCCAGAAACTCCCCAACTCCGGGCACTTCCTATTTCCCCAATGCTTCACCTACATCCTCCGCCACCAACTTCCATCAGGCGGATGGACCTCCTACGCCACGCCCATCGACGGGATCCTCAACACAGCCGCCGCCCTCCTCGCCCTCAAGCGACACTCCCTCCATGTCTTCCCTTCTCCCCAGCCCACCACACAACATGAACCCGAACTCAAGAACTGGCCCTTGCAGCACAGGATTGAGAAAGGTTCCACCGCCCTCCAATCCATGCTCTCCACCTGGGACGTCTCCTCCACCGACCAAGTCGGTTTCGAGCTCCTCGTCACTCGCCTCCTCTCGTTGCTTGAAGACTCCGGCGTCACCGGCCTCTCCTCCTTCCCCGGCTCTTCTACCCTCCGCGCCCTGCACGACGCTAAGCTGGCAAAGCTACCCGCCAACTACGTCTACACCGCCCGCTCAACGCTGTATCACTCGCTCGAGGCGCTGTGGGGTTACATCGATTTCGACAAAGTCGGACATCTGAAAGAGGAAAACGGGAGTATGCTCGCTAGTCCGGCGTCCACTGCTGCTTACCTTATGGGTTTAGGAGAAAAGGGGATGTGGGATGAGCAGGCGGAGGAATATTTGAAGGGGGTTGTGGATAGGGAGAGGTTTGAAGGAGAAGGAGATGGGGGGCAGAAGGGGGATGGAGGGGTGCCGTGTGCGTGGCCGACCGAGACGTTTGAGGTTACGTGGGTTGTTACGACGCTTGTTGAGGCGGGGGTTGAGTTTGGGGAGAGGGAGGGGAGGGCGATTAGGGGGTATTTGGAGGAGGGGTGGGGGAGGCAGGGGGGGTTGTTTAGTTTTTGTGAGTTGCCGATGCTGGGGTGAAAGGGGTGAAAGGGGTGAAAGAGGTGAAGAGAGGAAAGTGCTAACGATTCGCAGTTCCCGGCGGACTTGTCGATGCGGACGATACGGCAAGAGCAATCATGGCGTTGAGACATCTTGGTACCAAGGTGGGCGTCGAGTCGCTCATTAGGGCGTTTGAAGCGAAGGATCACTTCAAGACGTATGAAGGGGAGAGGAATCCGAGTATCAGCGCTAACTGCAATGTTCTGACGTGTCTGTTGATGATGGATGACCCAACGGTTTATGCCCAGCAGATTGTCAAGACGGCAAAGTTCCTTTGTGAGCAGGTGCACACCGATAGTGTGAGGGAGAAATGGGTAAGCGCTTCCCATTCTTGACGGCTATTAAGGACAAGTACTGACACTATCTAGCACATCAACGAACTCTACTGGATGATGCTCCTCTCCCAGTCCTTCGCCACCCTCTTCGATAGCATGTCCGCCAACCCCTCCCTCGAAGCATCAATCTTCCAACTAGCTCCTGAACTCCAGGAGCAAATCCCAATGACTTCCCTCCACGTTCTCACCAAAGTCCTCGGCTCACAAGGTCTCGATGGCTCCTGGGCAAATGGCATCGCCGAAGTCACAGCATACGGCATCCTCACCCTCTCTTGGCTCTCCCATCTCCCCTGGATCCAACAGCTCGGACGCATGCACGGTGTCAACTTCATCTCCGCTAGCATCGAAACGGGCAAGGCCTTCCTTGAAGCTCACAAGCAAGACTGGAAAAAGGGGCAGTACCTCTGGATTGAGAAGGTCACCTATGCTTCGCCGGTGTTGTGCGAAGCGTACTGCCTGGCTGCGGCAGCTGTTCCTTTGCCTGACTTCACTGGTTCGACGGTTGACGCGGATGGCCAGGTCGTGCAGAGCACCAAGGAGTCGCTCTTCGTTTCCGAAGGGTTGCTCAAGGGTGTGCTGAAGGCAGGGCAGCTCATCTCTCTTACGCCGTTGTTCAGAACCCTCGCGCCGCAACTGTTGAGGGTGGCGGAGATGCAGGCCTGTTACGCCCTTGGCTTTCTTCAGCGGAAGCGGAAGGAACTGGGGATCTTCCTAGCTACCGGAGGGGACGAGAAGTACATGACTTTCATCCCCTTAACCTGGACCGCAAGTAATGCACTTCGTGTCCAGGCCACCGGCGGCCACAGTCACAGTGGAGGCCTGAGCAACTACGTCCTCCAAGAGATGATGATCCTGTCCATGCTCAACTACCAAGTAGATGAGTACATGGAGACCGCAGTGGAGCGGGACTTCCTAGGCTTCTACAGCGGAAGCAGGGGAAGTTTTGAAGCGGTTAGGGAAGTGGTTGGGCAGGTCTTCGAGGAGTTTGAACCCTCGGGTAGGAGAAGAAGTATCTGGGGAGATGCGGATCACACGCCTACCAATCTGAAAGAGATTCGGGCTACCCTCTCCCGCTACGTCAGACACATCTTGCTGCACCCAGCTGTGAGAGGTGCACCGGCGAGTGTACAGGCCAGGTTGGCGAAAGAGGTGCAGACGTTCTTGCTGGCGCATGTTCAGCACGCTGCTGATAACATCCAATTTGCCGCTTCCAACCAACTGAACATTGCTCCCAGGGAGGAAGAAACCGGCCTCCCCTCGCCCATCTCCGAGCCCTTCGATGCTTCCTCTCCCCCACCGTCCAAGCGCCGCCGCCTTTCCTCATCTGCTTCCCTCAAAACACAAGAGCAACCCAAGATCTTTTCCCCAGCAGACTCAAGAACTTTTTACTCCTGGGTGCGCACTACCTCAGCCGACCACACCTCCTGCCCCTTCTCCTTCACCTTTTACACCTGTCTTCTTTCGCACAGCCATCCCTACAACAGCAACAAGACCGACAATCTGTTCAACAAGGACGCCAAGACAAGCTATGTGGCGGAAGCGATGGTGAGAAGCTTGGCGAGTCTGTGCAGGATGTATAACGACTATGGGTCGATTGCTAGGGACGCTGGAGAGGGGAATTTGAATTCGGTAAACTTTGCGGAGTTCCACACTGCCTCTTCTGGTGGTGCGAAACGTGGGAAGGAGGGTGCGTTGGAGGGTAGCGATGGGAATGGGGAGGAAGAGAAGAAGGTCAAAGAGGAGTTGATGTGGATTGCGGAGTATGAAAGAAGGGGGATGGAAAGAGCAATGCGTGAACTGCAAGGCTTGGTGGGTACCGGAGAGATGGAGAAGGTAAAGTTGTTTGTTGATGTTACGGATTTGTATGGGCAGATTTATGTGGTGCGGGATATTGGTGTTGGGGTAAAGAGGGGTTGATTGTCCCCTTTGCGTGCATTTTTGGAAAGGAACTTGGTGTTTTTTCATATTTGCAGCTTTATGTCACAACTTAAATCAACCTCCCATCATGATGCTTCCGTCGTGTTGTCATGTTTCACTCCTCAAAAAGGGGGCAAGTAGGTAAACAAAGTGCACTCCTTCCCAACCCATTTTGGCGCATATCAGCACTTCAGCCAAGCCAAATATTCAACAAATCCGCAAGGTCACAGGGACCTTGGCGCAGTTGGCTAGCGCGCAGGTCTCATAGCTTTCTATGATCTGGTGAAATATCAGAGTAATCCTGAGGTCGGGAGTTCGAGCCTCCCAGGTCCCAAACTTTTTGCGGCATTTTTGGTCGTTTTTGCTAATCTCCACTTGGTTTGTTTACTTCTCCTTTTCTCGTGGGATTTTTGCAAATAACCATCACCTGCTTTTTTGCTCGTCTGGAAACTGCGTTAAGACAGTCAATGTCAGACAGCATGCCATTCGACGATATCGCAACGATGAGCGGGGTAAATTCGGAGCAGATGCGGGGCAATGGGTGCTGGGGTTTGTTTCCTCTTCAGGATAATGTTTGGTGATGATGGTTAGCCACTTCCGGCATTCCTTTCCAGTGTTGTCGTGAACGACGATAATGAGGGGTTCAGGAGGCGGAATAACCATGGCTAGAAGGCAGTTACGTACAAGTTCGGGTTCCTATCTTGGCGATACATCTCGTCGATTTGGAGTCCGAGATGGCGTCCTGTCAGATTGCACGGTTATGTGAATGTAGAGAATATGGGTTAATTGTTGTATTGATCGAGTGTGTGGAGTAGAAAGATTGTACACATAGGTTGGGGGATCTTAGAGTATTAGGAAGGTCTATAACGTTGTTAGGGTAGTTGGGAGGCTAGTCTTTTTATAGAACCCTTATTTTACTAGTTAAATATAGCTTACCAAATTGATATACCTCCCTAATTAAAATCCCTTTCGGGGATGAAGTTGAAACTATTTATACATCGTCTTCCCATTTCTAACTATTTCCTCTACGTCTTCTAACTTAATATAATCTATTATATATCCTTTTTTTCCCCTTCTTTTCCTTAATTACAACTATTCCTAGCAATCCCCTAAATTCTATATACTTCTACACAAATAATACCTTCGTTAAACCGTTTATAGGTATTTTTACTATTTTTAAATACTTAATTTTAATAATCCTAATCATAACCTCCTATTTGAACTAATACTTATAAATATTTACATACTTTAATTTAATTACTAGTTTAGAAGCTTCGACCATTATTACCTTAATCGTTTATTTATTATTAAAATCGATAATAGGGATGGGATCTACGAATCTTACAATTAAGCTTCGTATTAAACATATTATAAAAATAATTTCCTTTACTACATTTAAAAAGGTAATAAAGTTTACTTTAATTATTAATATAATTATAATCGTTGATTTAGTAGTTTCCTAATATATTAAACTATTAAAGAGTTTAATTGTAAAATTATATAAATCTTTTCGATTTATAGAATTATTTGTAAAGGATATATTTAATGCAATTTATAAAGTATCTTCGCTTTTATAATATAGCGCTATATTTACAATTTTATAATAATTTAGATTAAGGTTGTAATTATATTTAGCGAAGCGGATTATAACGAAGGTAATATCCGGTCGCGTTATAATTGTTACGTAGAGAATAGAGCCGATTTTAACTTGATATTAGTATATTAATTTACTAAATACTTTACTTTTAAAAGGTACGAACTCGATATTGGTTATAAGTAGCTATATTACTCTTTTATTATTTATAAAGCGGTATATCGTTTATAAGTATAATTATTAAAATAACTAAATCTTTTATACTCTATAATTTCGTATAATTTCAATATTTAGAAATTATTATAATTCTTTACCTCTAATAAAATAATATCGTTATTTAAAATTATTTATATATTTATAGGCTTCCTCGCTTTTATTACGGTACAAGGCAAAAATAATATTATCAACGTAATACAAAGCGAATACGGGGTTATTAATATAAATATAAGGTTCCTTTAGGACCGCTTCGAAACCTAGGGCAATAAACGATTAATAAATTTACATTACTAGAAAAGCAGGGAACGTTATAATCCGTATAGTACTTTTATAATATTTAATACTTTATTTAATACTAAGTATTTTAGGGGTATATATATATACATTTCTTTATTTATATAAATATTAATAAAAGTATTAATAGCGTAATATTAAATAAAGTTAAAATTAAAATATATAACTACTATAATAAAGGTACAGAAGGATTGGCCGGCGAATATAGAAGTATACGTTTCTTACCCTACTTCCTTCTTTTATTAGTCTCCTCGTACAACGAAATATACTTCAACTTTATTAAATTTACCGTTTTTAAAGAACTTATATATATATACCTATATATAATCGAATAACTACTTCCCCTTAATCTTTAACTCGTCCCTATCGACCTCTACCTAAATTTCTATTTTTTTATAGCTATTAAAATAAACTTACTTTACTTCTTTAAAGAGGTTTCTAAGAAAGTAAGGTTATGGGGATGCTATTTAAAGTTATAAAATAAATTTCTCTATTTATTAGGGCTTAAATAAAGCCTTCTAATTCGCTAGCGATCTCGGGTTTAGTATTTTAAAAAGCGTTTAGAACGTCGACGTCTTTCTAAGTATATATTAGTAATAGTTATTATTCTTCTAGTAAAATCCCTACGTCGGTAATAATAATATTGCTATTAAAAATTATAGATTCCTCTTATTGCGAGATTTTTTCGGCGATTAATGGCGTTGCAATTACTATACTAAACGACGTACTTCTTCCTTATAATATACGTTCGCAGCGTAATAATAGGTGTAAATAATTATTACGGGGCAAGGTAATACTAAACGTTGGGGGTAAATTAAAATTTATATATTTATATAAGGAAGAAAGGAAGTTATAGAATATATACGTAGTTCGTAAGGGATAAACCTAGCGGTATAGTACGTATACGTAATTAACCTACTTGCCGCCTCAGTATTGAGGCGGTACAATATTGGCTATAGTAATATAGCTAATTAGAGAGCGTACATTAACCCGGCAACCATTGCCGTAGTGATACCACGATCAGATAATAGTTATAGGCTAGCCCTATAATATAAATAGTATTTTATAAATATTATTCTCGTTAGAGAATTAATTATTCTTATTATTAAATCCGGGGAGGGGTTAGGTATATTACCTTACTATTTCTCATTTGTAAACTTCGACCTCTTTTTTTAATTTTATATTATTTTTAAAGTTCTTTATAACCTTATTTTAAATCTTTTTGTTAAGTTTCTAACGCGGATTTATAACTATAATTAGGGCGGGGAATATATATTAATATTATTTAATAATATATATACCTTCCTTATATATTTTACAGCGAAGGGAATAATTTTTAATTTTCGTATTGCGCTTCTTCTTATATTATTTATAGGTTCTATTAAATCGAACGTCCTCATCTTTAATATCGTTACCTTATAAACCGTTAAAAATAATACTTATTCCAAACGCTCCCCTATACCCCTTAACCTTAGCTATAATAATTAGAGGTCGTTTGTATAGACCTTTACGACGAAAGTTCCCAGATATAATACGGAAATTAAAAATATTAACTGTAATTTTTTCGTTAAAGAATTTCGAAATTCCGGATACTTAATTAAAACGAATAGGTTTTAAATAATTTAATAGATTTTTAAATTAAATAACGGCCATTTTAATCTTTAAAACTTTATATTATATAACGTTAATTATAATTAAATCCTAATTACCGATCTATTTACTTATTCTATTAGAACTCTTATTAGGTTTATTCGATAAGGATTTAATATAATTATAATAATATTAGCGTACTTTGATTATAGTATTTTTTTTATAGTAGTTATAAATATTATAGACCTAGGTATACTATATAATAATAAATTTTAGAAGCGTAAAGGAATTAGCTTTATAATTTAAATATACGGTCTCCTACATTTATTTTCGAAAGTTAGTATTATTAATCTTAAACAATTCGTAGGTTTTTTAGCGGTTATTATATATAGCGTTATTGTATTTGTATTCTTTAACGGCGGGGGGGTTAAAATTAATTAATTGGATAACGGTATCAGCTAATTAATTTTCTTCGGACCGGTTAGTAACTTCGATTTTATTATTAGGGTCTTCGCTAATAATTATAGAAGTAGTATTAAAGGCTGCTGGAGTATAATAAATTAGGAGCCTAATTTTAAAGCGTTGGAAGGATTTTCGAACTCTTTTAATACGGCGAGTAATTATAATTTTAAAGGTGTAGTTAGAATAACGCAATTCTTAAGGCTTAATAACGGTTAATTCGAAGCCTAATAAATAATTAGTGAAGTTTAAACTTTTAGCGTACTTTAGGAATTTATTATTTTATTTATAGAATTTTAAAGGGGTATTGAAGTAAGGTCGGTTAGATTTATAAGTAGATTCCTTAGATAGGGATATAGTTTCGGTCGTATATGGGGTTGTATAGATAGATTTCGTACTTTTAAATATATTCGTATAGTATAGGGATTGCGAATTCAAATTATTAATTATTAGATTATACGGTTATATAAATGTAGAAATTATAGGTTAATCATTGTATTGATCGAGTGTATAGAGTAGAAAGACTATATACATAGGTTGGGGGATCCCAGAGTATTAGGAAGGTCTGCAGCGCTGTTGGGGTGGCTGGGAGGCTAGTCCTCTTACAGAACCCTCGTCTTACTGGCTAGATAAGTTCTCTAATGATATCGGTTCGTCACTTCCATGTTACCTTACCATCCAACCTTATCTTCCCCAAGACTTGTGATACTTACCCCGCTGTTCTCATGTCATCAACATTACTTCCTCTGCTCATAAGGACCTTGTGATTCAAGACAAAAACACTCATCCAGACAAACATCGGACAACAACATAACATGACGGCCAACAGCAAGGAAGGAAACAGCAAAGAAGAGCCCGGCCATGCGCCGCTGAGTGTAGCCAACGCCGCCAGCAATGGACCACCAGACGCCCCACCCCCGGCATACCAATCTCATCCCCTTGGCCCCCTCAGTGCCTCCGAGATCACGCAGAGTTCGTCTCTGATCAAGGCATCATGGCCCGAGGGAACAGAATGCCACTTCAAGATCATCACCCTTCTCGAGCCAGCAAAGGCAGAGCTCATGCCCTACCTTGTTGCCGAGAGAGCTGGAAAGACACCCCTGGACATCGACAGACGGGCCTTTGTCGTCTATTCCTTCCGAGGCACCCACAACGTCCACGAAGCCGTCGTCAACTTGACCAAGAACACGGTCGAAAGCAATGCCAAGCTGGGACCTTTCCAACATGCCAACAGCGATGGAGAGGAGATCATGGCAGTGGAGAAGACCCTCCTCGCCCATCCCGAGGTGCAAGCCGAGATCGCCAAGCTGAAACTGCCAGAGGGCACCCAAATCGTTATTGACCCCTGGATCTACGGCGCTGATGGCGTTAAGGACGAGTCTGGCAAGTTCTACGATGACCTCCGTGTCATGCAATGCTTCCTCTACATGCGGGATCCCAACAACTCGTCCGAGCCGGATTCGTGCCACTACTCGTTCCCGCTTCCCATCTCCCCCGTCATCGATCCGGCCACTCTGGAGGTCATTCGTGTCGATATCCTTCCCACCGGTCTCGATGAGAAGGTTAAGCCCTTGGAACCATGGCAATCCCGTCCACCAAACGAGTACATCCCCGAAGCGCAAGCCTCTCTTCGCACCGACCTCAAGCCTCTTCAAGTCGTCCAGCCTGAGGGGGTTTCCTTCTCCGTTGAACCCTTCTCCGACATGGGCCGGCTCATTCGCTGGCAGAAATGGGACTTCAAGGTCGGCTTCAACCAGCGCGAAGGCATGGTTCTTTACGACGTGCACTACGACAACAAGCCCCTTTTCTACCGCCTCTCCCTCTCCGACATGGCTATCCCCTACTCGGATCCTCGCCACCCCTTCCACCGCAAAGCCGCCTTCGACTTGGGTGACGCCGGCGCGGGCATCATGGCCAACAACCTCAAACTGGGATGCGACTGTCTAGGCTCCATCTACTACATCTCCGGCGTCCTCGCCGACGGCAGCGGCTCCCCCGTCAACATGCCCAACGTCATCTGCGTCCACGAGCAAGACGCCGGCATAGGCTGGAAGCACACCAACTACCGGACCAACCGAGCCGTCGTTACCCGGCAGCGCGAACTCGTCCTCCAAACCATTCTCACCGTCTCCAACTACGAATACATCCTCTCCTTCGTCTTCAACACCTCAGCCGACCTCGCCTACGAAGCCCGCGCCACCGGCATCTTGTCGACCCAACCCGTCGACCTCTCCCTCTCGCACACTCCGCACCCCTACGGCACCATCGTGCACCCCGGCGTCCTAGCCGGTTACCACCAACACTTCTTCTCCCTCCGCATCGACCCAATGCTCTCCACCTCCTCCACGCCCCTCCTCTCCCCCTCCACCGGCCCTCGCAACTCCATCGTCTACGAAGAATGCAATCCCCTCCCCTTCGACCCCTCCAACCCGTCCGCCAATTCCCAAAACCCGCACGGAACAGGCTACACCCTCGCCACCACCCCCATCCTGGAATCAGGCGGGTACGACCTCTCCCCTTCCACAGGCCGCGTCTTCAAGATCTTGTCCCCATCCTCTCATAACCCCGTCAACAACTCCCCCGCGGGATATAAACTGCACATCCCGCCCATGCAACCCATCCTCGCCCACCCTTCCTCGTTCCACCACAAACGCGCCGAGTTCGCAGATCACAGCGTGTACGTGACCAAATACCGCGAGGGAGAACTCTACGCAGGCGGGAAGTACACGAACCAATCCCGCGGCGGCACCGGTGTGCGCAGCTGGGCTGAGCGCAAAGACCGGTTGGAGGAAACGGGTGATGATCCGGTGGTTTGGGTACAGTTTGGGTTGCAGCACGTGCCCAGAACGGAGGATTTCCCGGTGATGCCGGTTGAGACGACGAGGGTGGTGATGAGGCCGGCGAATTTCTTTGAGAAGAATCCGGCGCTTGATGTGGGGGAGTCAAGGCAGGAGGTTAATTGCAGTGTGGGGTTGAGTGAGAAGATGTTGGCTCAGGCTGGGAAAGTAGGAGGGGTTGTAGGTGAGAAGGTGAAGGAGCTGGGGGAAAAGCTGCTTGGGGTGAACTTGGGAGGGGAGGGTAGTAAAGCGGAGGGGGAGAGCAGTGGGAAGGATAAGAAGGTTGTTGGAGGAGAGGGAGGCAAGCTGGCGCCGTGCTGTGGGGGACATGCTTAAGTTAAGGTGTGGTGGTTAAGTGACTCCTTGGGCGCTAGCGGGTTGGGATGTTAAGTTGTTGAGTTGTTCTTGTTGATGGTATCATGACTGGACCGGACGCTTCAGAATTTCAAGTTCTCAACATACTGATGAATCGTCAACCGACGGTGTTGAGAAAGCCTGGCAAGGTATATATCCCCGCATAGAAATCTTTCTTGAACAGAAAACCACGAGTTCCGGACAACGAAAGAAAAAATGACGTGAGGTTCAATGTTGGATTCTTGTATCCAGAAAGCATGAGGGCGGTATCAAAACCGTCGAAGGCCCCAGCTTAACGAGGGGACTCAGCATAGTAGTGAGACCCGAAGCCGTAGAGGTACCACATGAGAAACGATGCCTCGTGTCCTTGAGATGGGCGACGCTTGTGTCCCAGTCCGGCCAGTCGTACATGTATCAGACACAATGTCTCAATCATTGCGATCGAAATGTCTCCGTATTCCAACGTTATCCGAATACCCGTGAACGTGACTAAACGGTCGTCGTCCGAACCGAACGTCGGTCTTGGCCTCAGGTCTTGGGATGCCCTCAGTCGCTGAAATGACCTGTGACCCGCTGTGACGAGCCCCTCAGTCAGCTGCTAGGGCTCAGCTCGCGCTGCGCAATCGCCAAGGTGAAGCCATCGCCATGGTAATATTTTGAGGTCTTGGAGGAGGAAAGCCTGAAAGTGAAGAAAAATGGATGTGATTGCCAGGTATTGTTTGTGTTTGGTGTTGTGAGGTTGTGTGTTGGATGAGAAGTCGCTGAAGTTGACGGGCGCATCAGTGAAATCCAAGAACCTTGATGGCGCTTATCGATAAGAGCCATGTCTGTGGGGTCTTACACGTGACACCCCTGATCGTGACCACAGTCTTTCACGGGTGGTTAACTTGGACGTAAAAAGGCCATGATATGCTTGATCACACCATGTGCTCTGAATGGGGAGCAGATTACGTGACTGCAGAGTGCCCATGTAGTTGTAAAGCATCGTTCAGTTCGAAACTCCGAGTTACCCTGAGTTCTCCTCTTTCACCCAAGTACAAGATGAACCAACGGCCGTCATGAAACCAAAAATAAAAACCGCTACGCTATGCAACCAATGTTCCCGACGCATACATACTCCCAAAACCATACTCCATGTGCAGATAGACCAGATACACCCCGTCGTAGAAACCCGCGTGTAAACTGTGTACAGCCCTTCTTTCCGTCTTACTCTTGACGGCTGGATCTCTCCGGCCTCACCTTCCAGACCTCCCAATCCCAATCCCACTATCCTTCTCCGTCAGGGCTTCCGTCATCTCACTACTCCCCGGACTAACCGGCGTCAAATCGATATCCGTCGGGCTTCCACTCCTATCCCTCCTCATCGCCCACTCATCCTCGTGACTCCCAGATATCTCAACACCCAAATCGACTCCCCTCGGCGGCATAGCTCCCGTCATCGCCGCCGGTGGTGGCCTCGAAAAAACCGGTCCATCGTTGACAGTAACCACATACCCCGGGAACTGGTTCTCAGGTACCCGTGGTCGTGGTGCAGCACGGGCCCGCGTTCTCCGTCCCGCAGCAGGAATCCGATATCTCGCCGGATCGCTCGGATCCACACCCTCCCCGTCCTGCTCCCTAACCGCACTGTCCTTCCTCCGCACCTCCCTACACGCCAGTATCGACAGGACAAAATTAATCAACAACATCATCACCGTCACCACCAGTAACGTGATCCCCAGTCGATACAATCTCCCTCTCCTGCCTCTCAGGCCCCTGCCAGCCGTGTGGTACTTGGTGGCCAGCGCTTCGACGATAGGCGGCACGGCGACGGCGTCGGGCTCGAGGTCGAGATCGCGATCGGATTCCTCGTCGGCGGTGGACACCCAGATGCCGACGTAGCCCATTGTGGCGATGCAGGCGAGGGAGATGCAGATGTGTACGCCGACGTAGGCGCCGGGGTAGAGGGTGCGGAAACGGTCGCGGAGGCAGAGGAGGGTGGTGAAGTCGAGGAGGTGCCAGATTAGGGTGGAGATTGCCTGGTGGGGGGTTAGTATGGTGGCAAGAAGAGGAGGAGGGGATGGGAGATGGGGGAAGGTAGGAAGGGGGGTTGTGATATGGGGTAGGGATAGATCCGATGATGGTGAGGAAGGGGGGGTGTTGATGATGCTAGGAGTTGAAGGTCGAAAAAGGAAAGAGATGGAGACCAGGGTTGGGGTTATGAGCGAGGTGTGTGATGAGACGAACTGGTGGGCGTTGAACAACAAGTAACAACAGGGACACCGTTGCACCATGTAACATAAAGCTCAAGGTGAGCTCTGATGATGAACTGAAACAGCAAAGTAAACAAAAGACAAAAGGAGAAAAGAACGTACCGTGATCCCCACAAACACAAAACTAACGTGCGCAAACCCTTTATCCCCATACTTCCCCACCATATAACCGACGACTCCAAGGATCGCTACCGCCAGTATTATCGAGAGGATGCCCAGTGTCGTTCGTGCTGTCAACAACTTTCCTTTGACTGATGACGAAGATCTTTGCCTTTCTTTGCTCCCACTCGTTGTTGTCGTCTGTGTCTGGCTGTGGTACTGTTCAAACCCCTCCTCCACATCCCTATTCCCAGTCCTGTCCTGTGATATCCTCGTTTCCATTTTCCTTGTTGTCGTTGATGTGGTGGTGTTGATGATATGCGTGGCGTGTGATTGGTCAAAAATGGCCGAGATGAAAGTGGACCCCGAAGCGGTGCCGAACCGGATGAGGTAAGGAGGTCGGGACGGTGCGGCGGCGGCGGTCCCAGTAACCAGGTCCAGGCCCCGTCCGACGTTCGACGTCAATGTCGATACGGGCAACCGTTCCGACTTTCGACGTTCGGTGCTGGTCCGACTTTTTGGTGTGATGGTGCAATTCGTTCCGACTCTTTTGTTGTCCGATTTTCCTGTGCTCGAATGCCCCGTTCCCTTTGAAATGCCAAATCGGATGTGGGTGACAGACTCGTCCAAATAATTGACATGTACTCCGGCCCTCTTCCCTGTTTTGCTTCGATTTCCTTGTTATCGTGGTGCTTTACCGCTTCCTTTGGTCAAGTCCCCAATAACCCAGTGCCGAAATGCAGTGTGCGCAATGGTTGAAGTTGATTGTCGTTATATCGTTGGTGTTGTTGTTATATCGTTGTTGTATTCAATCTGTGTTGCACTATGTTTGACAGATGACGAGATGGGAATGGGATGAACAAAAGGGAGAGATCAACAAGACCCCAGAAATGTCAGACATGGAAAGAAAGAAAAGAAGCGGGCGCAAGTTCGCTTTTTGAACCAGGTGCCAATATTTCTTGCCAATGCTGCCACCGACCTTTGCCATGGATTGAAAGCCCAAGAAAAGCCCAAGACCGCCCAAGACCCTCCCAAGAAATGGGAAAACAAACAACAACGATTCTAAAAGCAAACGACTCGCTGTGACAAGGCGGGCCACGACCGAACAACGCCGCCGCAACTGCTAGTAGTATCAGATACAGCTGCCCAGGAAACGCCCAGAGGCTCAGGTGACTTGGCTTTTTAGGTGGAAATGGGTTTCGCTCTGTTTCCCCTTTGACGGATCGCCCAAGCTGCTTGGCTCACCCTTGGCCCATCCTTGGCGGTGATCTTGGCGGGCTGCCAACCGTCAATCGAGCCTCCTTGGCGGTAACGAGTTGCTTCTTGGCCAAAGCCTGGGCGTGTGCTGTGCGTGTGCTGTGCGTGTGCTGGGCGTTGCTGGGCATTTGCTGGGCAGATGATGCTCGCCCTATGTTTCTCGGGTGCTGTGGTGATGGTGATAGTCGTATCGATGACTAAGTCAAGAGTGCCATGTCAACTCCAAGAACTCGACAAGAAAAAACATGTTGAAAAAAGGGTAAATAACCTTGGGAGTAATGCTCTCTGGGCGACTCGACAGCCTGCTTGCTGGCTGCTGCCCGCCGCTTCGCCAAGTCCAACTCTCCTTGCTTTGCTGTTTATGGTAACACACGACAAACGCCGGAACCGACCATTTCGGAGACTCGCAATTGACGGCATGTCACGGCATGACAGCACATGTTCTTCCACTTGGGGTTTGAGCCAAGACTCCACTCTCGGGTTGAGAAGCCCGAATTGACGGACTCGGCGGCTCTGGGCGGCTCTGGGCGCGCGGAAGCACGGCAACTAGGGGGCGCTAAAATAGGGGTAGTAAACAACTGAAGTTCATGATGTTGCCGGTAATAAAGCGGAAAAGAGAGACGGATATCTCGGGGTATAGCTACCCAACACATGGTGGCCTCACTGATATCCAGGGCAGTCTCCGATTCCACGAGGTCCCTCGCACGCTCACCCAAGGTCCGATATGGGTTCCTAGCTATCTCTACTCTCGTCGTCTTGCTGCCCTGCTTCAACTCCAGGCTCACATCGACGTTGCACCATCCTCACGGCATCGCGCTTCGCTACAGGTAGACTCACCGGCATAGCAATGCTCGCCATCCGTAGCTCCTGCCGCTCTTCCACACCAACCTAGGGGCCATTGCTCAGACACTAGTTTCTCCTCGGTCGAAGGAGTAGGTTGTTCGGTTATCGAAGTGGTCCACTCGTTTCGGTGAGTGAACATGTGTTTGGTCTCGGTGATTCCCTTGGTTCTGAATCTTGTGAACAGATACCACGCTCATCCTTTCACGCCCATCCTTCCACCCTCGTTGTGTGACTGCTACCAACTGGCAGGCGTAAAGAAACGTCTCGTTTGGTGCCCGTTGACCGAACTCGCCAGCCGCAACCGTATGATTCAAGCCATTGTGGAAGATGCGTAACGATCCAGTTGACGGTGAGGTCGACGAGAGCGACTGAGTTCAAAGAAGGGATGCGACATCCCGGAGTCGAACCGAAAAGTGATGAAGTTGCGACAAGTCAGCATGAGCCATGAACAGAAAGAGAAATCGAAGGTTGCAAGCGGAGAAAGCTTCTGCAACCCAAAAGCTGGAATGAGGATCGTGAGGGTATACTGCCGTAGTTAGGTAGACGATAATCTGCTAACAGACATTCGCACCGGAAGTGTGTGATCCCGATATCTTCCTAACATTTAGCTCATCAGAGCGCTCTAGCTACTTCTGGTTGGCTGCAATCGCGGCAGTCGGATAATGATGTAAGCAAGTGCTCAGGGCGGCAGGCAACAGTTGACGCCAATGCGGAGCTGCATTCATCTGCATTCACTTTGTTGATTTGACATCTCTTCCATTGCATCCGGCAACCGACAACACTGGCGACGACTGGTATACAAAGTACAGTTACCAGGTCACGACAGGTTGTACGGTACAAGCATCATCTCATCATCTTTACGATTTATGCTTGATCACTTGCCATCCGACCATCCCGCCGCCATCAATCAACCCTCCAACCAGCTCGTCTAGTGCGTAATTGTCTTTGTCACCTCAGACATCCAACCCATTCGTTTCCCTTCCATCCAGTCCAGCTTCTTCAAGTCCAACAACAACACTTTCTATCTTCGACTCGACATCTGATATCATATCTACTTCCCCGAACGAACATTGCCAACTCGATTCCATCAATCACCCAAACCCAGCATTACGCGACGCTGCCGATCCGCTAGCTATTCCCCAGACGCCCATCTGTCACCGCCCAGACCATCATCGCTGTCGAGCTTACTGCGTTATCTTATCGCTCGCGCCGTCATTACGCTATCTTCAGTCCATCTTCAGAGTAAACAACCACCCACGACAATTACTTGGAGACGCTTACGAGCACCAGCGATCGCATTTTTTGATACCCTCGACAACACCGATACACACAATGCGACGACCGTCGGATAGCTTGACCGAGCCCGCTCGGAACCTCGAAGAATCCATCGGCCCCCCATCGCCAACCACGCCCGACCAGACCACCGATCTTTCTCTCCCGCCCCCTGAAGAGCAGATAGTGAGCCAGCAGGTCGACGGCGACATCGATTCGGCTGCTGTCACACCACCCCCGCACATTGCCGCCCGCCTCTTCATCCGGCCCACGAACCAGACCCGCCGCAAAGACAGTGCAGCTTCGTCGCGTCGCAATAGCATCTCCTCCGCCCATTCCCGCTCTTCTCATGGCTGCGGTCGCGACATCGGTCCCCAGAGCAAGTATGTCGCCCAACACTTGCGCCGCGCTTCTATCCTCGAAGACCGAAAGGCCCGACTGGCCGACCGCGCCGCCCATGCCGAGAAAGTTCGCATTCGAGCCGCCAAGGCCAAGGCTGCCGTCAAGGACATCACCCAAAGCGAAGAGAGAGCCATTGCGGCTGCCATGGCTCGCGAACGCAACTTGGCCGAGATCGCTGCCGCCTGTGCCGAGGAGGTCAAGAGAGCCAAGCAGATCGCAGAGACAATGAAGGAGAAGCGCGAGCAGGAGAACAAAAAACTGAAGATGCAGATGGAGGAACGCCTTGCCGAAGCCGAAAGGAGAAGGGAAGAACTCCGGAACCGGAACGCAGCCAAAGTCAGGTGCAGGGAGCGTGGTCAGAGCCTTGTAGCGAGGAAGCCTACCTTGGTCGAGGTCATGCCCGAGGTCAAGGAAGTCAAGGAGCGCGAGTCGAGTCCTATGAGGCCGGATGCTGCCGCCAGTAGGATCCAGTGGTGGTGGAAGTCCATGAGTCGCAAACGGGCCGTAGCCGAGTTCAGCGCGCTAGGCTTGACCATTGACGTGGTTAGGGAGACGTCTTTCGATGCGGTTACCAGCTTGCTGTCGCAGGACAACGTTTTGGTGGCGACCTCTCGAGTGCTTCGCATTTGCGGGCTCAACGAGGGTGCGCCTGGGTCAGTGGAAGAGATGACGGCAGTCCGCTCGTTTTTGAGCGCCTTCCTCATTCTCGGCCACCCGTCCCAGGTGCTTAGCAATAAGGAGGGTACCGGAGAGCCAGAGCAGGTTGGGTCCGCCCTGGCGAAACCAATCCCTCGTGATGATCTGGCTAACCCTCAGTCGCAGGAACTCGTTGGCAAGGCTGGTGACCTACTAATCTCGTTTGAGAACATTCTAGGCCGATTGACCGCGTTTAATAACTATACTCCGCCTCCGGCCCTGTTGGAGTCGTTCCCCGAGGTGTACGCTACTTTCTACAATGCTTTCATTGCATGGAAAGCCCGTGATTCTAGCTCCCTGGTTGAGCTCATGGTCATGCAGTTCGTCGAGCTCGATGCGATCTGGGAGTCCGTCAAAGACAGCACAGACGGGTCTGTTGATCAGGTGTACAGTGAAAGCATCCGGGAAAACCAGCTGCTACTGTTGGTGCGCATCAAGAGACTCGCCGGACCCGTCCGTGGCAAGCAGCTGGTAACTGAAGCCGTCAGGGCGGCCCGCAAGGCTAGAGTCAAGAAGCCTCGCGGTGATATGAAGCCCCGTGTGGCAGAGCAGTCAGAATCAGAGACAGCCATGGGCGTGCTCGGTGACGACCGTGACATCAACCAGGGTCAACAGACACAGACTCCTACGCCTCCCTCGACCCCCGCCAGGAAGGGCGAGACCTTCAAGATCAGCGTCGTGCTACCACACACCAAGAGTCTCTTGCCAGAAAACAGGGTGGTTGTGCATGAGCTGGCCATCAACAGGGACTTCCGTACCGAGCCCAGCGAATACCACGAGCAACAAGCTCATCTGCTCGCACCCCTCTTTCAAGAGATGCGGGCAACGATGCAGGCGGACAACCAGGAAGTACACTTCGCGCTTCTGTTACGAGTCGCCGATATGGTCCGCGAGAAGCTCCAAAGGCTGGTTCGCCCCGGCAACCCTATGCACACACTGATCGGCGAGCTTCTTGATACGGAAATGGCCCAGCGTCAGTTCGCTATGGGCAACTTCTCCTACGAGAAACTCTTCCAAGCCATGGGAACACTCCTGCCCAAGCTCTGTGCGCCTGTCCGCGACGACGAAGTCAAGATTCTCGCCGAAGAAAAGCTCGTCCAAGGCACGTACGTTGACCGTCTGGAGGCATTGAATGCCTTCATCGACGTCATGCTTAGTGACTACGCCAACTACCTCCTCCAACAAGCCGCGCCCCAACTCATCGAGCAGGCGCCCTCCTACGAAGCCAAAGCCTTCGCCGCCGATATCGAAGCCGGACGCTACGATCTCTCCGCCGCCAAAGCCGCCTGGCGCACCGCACGTGAGAAGCTGATGGGCGAAGTTAGCCGCCGCGACCCCGAAGGTGTTGACATTCCTCGTTCTCGCCCAACTGCCAACAAGATCTACAACCAAATGCTTGTAGACCTCTTCACCCAGCCCCATCCTCTAGGGATCGACGAAATGCCGGAAATGCTGCGCTTAGACCACAAGCGCGTCGTGGAAGCAGGCCGCGTTACCAAGAGGATCATTACCACAGGCGCCATCCTCCTTCAATGCAAAAACTTGCTCAAGCGGGACGTCCGCGGTCCCTGGCGTACCGAATCCCAACGCATCCTTGCCGTCCTCGAGCGCAGCGAGTCTTCCTCCGACCCAATTCCCACCGAGCAAACAGTCGACGGCATCCTCACAGCTCTCGAAGCAGGTCGCTCCATGCCTGCTGCCACCAAGATCCACCTACGCGCCTTTGTTACCAAGCTCGTCCTCTCCGCCGCTTCCATCACGATCGAAAACCGCGAGCCTAGCGATCCTGTCCTTCGCCTACTGCTTAGCAGGCTGAGGGCCTATGTCTCGCAAAGACTAGCGGCATCGGCGTCGGCGTCGGAGAATGTCAAGGCTACCAGTACCGCTGGAGAGAAGCTTGCAGGTCTGGGGCTAGCCGAGTTTGTGGATAAGGTGAGGGATTTAGTGGACATGCTTGGGAGGGTCGGGGAGGTCGATAGAGGGGCGCATGGCGGGTGGTGGGATCAAGTCGCTGAGGCGGTTGAGGCTGAGGCTCAGTAGGGGTAAGTGGAAGGGCTGTTGCGAGGTCTAAAGGGGCGAGGAAACATGTGGTGATGGTAGCCATGTTTGCGCGACGAAGAGAGTTGGAAGAGGAGGAAGTGATTGCATATATACCACGGCGTTGTTGTTTTCTGTTTGGGTATCGTTTGTCTGGCCACGTGCCACGACACCAGCGATGAGTTTTCTGCTTTTATATCTGTTTCGGCGTTCTGGATTCCAAAGGGCTACAAGGCACATGCAAGGGAGTGGGTTCTTATGGCATGGGATCGGATCTTGTCAGGGGTTCTGTTTGTCGATGATTCGAAGCATTCACAGTCCCTGATCGCTGAGATGATCGGGACAGGCATCTACTACCAGTATGTGTGCGTTTCGTTTACTTATCCAGCGTCGCTGATATGACAGCGAATGCAATCAAGAATTATCATTCTCGCTTTCAGTGGATCAAGTTTAATCTCACTGCAGTGGTTTCAATGCATTTGCTGGGCGATAAGAAAGATGTCTTACAAGGGTAGGTAGTGAGAAGGCTGAGGCTGACAAGCCTATCTGGGCACAGAGGGAGCTGCCTTTCATCAAGACACTCCCGGGTGGATGTGCCGGCTTAGAAGTGTATTGGTAAGATCACCAACGAAACCCTTTTGTGCTTGGTGCGGCCCATCATCCCGAAGTACGTCACAACGTCCTTGCTTCTTTTTCTTCTTTCCTTTCTTCTTCTCTTACATTCCTCTCGTTGCTTATTTTCCTTGCTTATTCCACTCGAATCGAAGATGCCCGGCTTCTTCCATCGTTCTCCCAGGCCCCGAAGAAATGGATACCTCTAAGCACAAACTGTCGACCTCTAAGCACAAAATATCCCTTTGATAAAACAACGTCACACACCAATTTTCCGCTGCTCTCCAAATCCTTCTTTGTCAGCAATCCACAGAGTCCAGACTATACGTGACAGTGGCTTGTAAATTGCAGGCTTTGCAGCTCTGCCCGGTCATGCTTCTCAGTTCTTCAGCTCTCAGGTCTCTTGTCGTCATCACCAATGTCTCACCTTGGAACGTGACGAACACGTGCAGCCCGGCGGTTAAGCCGGTAAGAACTCCACGTTTCCGGCCCGAGAGTGTTCTATCTCAGCCAAAAATGACTCGGGACCGAAACCGACATGTCAAGTTCGCAAAACCACGTGGGGCCCGGTGGCGGCGTTGGTGCCGGCGCTGCTGCCGGCGCAGGGAGGGTGGGCAAGGATGTCATACACATAGATCGACGAGCGGCTATTGGCATGAAGTGTGATGCAGATTTGGTCGGTAGGTCAGCCGCAGGCGCCGATGGAGTTTGGGGTTGCAATCATGTCTGCTGAAGTGACAGCTTGGCTGTAACCCACGTGCGAGTGCCTTCCAATTCGGGAGAAAGAGACGAGGGAAGGGAGAAGTGTGGCGTTGCTTTTGCGAGCTTTCGCGAGGATTTTGATGCGGTTGGTTGGATCGACTGGGTGGACGGAAGTCTGGGTCGAACGTGGTTGTTTGCCCCCATGGGTCGTCACCTTTGAGGAATGTGATATCAACACAAAGCTGGGAAAAGGTGATGCCGAGGAGCTAGACGGCTGCCGACGGGTCATGGAAGGCAGGTGGAGGTGGTGAGAATGTGATGGCGATGTTGGTTCGTATTTGGAGGGAAGGTTCGATACGGCAATAGAGGACCGAAGAAGTTCGGCCTTGGTGTTGCTATAAAGATGGCATTGAAGGACTTGTCTGTCATGCAGTAAGTCGAGTCATCAGTTTGTGAGCTTTCAGGTTCTTGACAAAGACTCTGTCCAAGGGAAAGCATACATCCGGTCCTATTCTCCGATCCTCAACAGCCACAATAACCACCATGGCTTCTCACCCCGAGCGTTCGTCTTCTTCCTCCTTGGACCTGCCGTCCGAGGCAGCGCCCTTCAACCCATCCGCCTCCTTCGGCTCAACCGCCGAGCCACCTTCCTCGCCTTCCATGGCCTCTTCCCCCCTCATGCCCTCCTCCTCTCCCCCAATGGGTTCCTCCCCCATCCTCGCTCCCTCCTCCCCCCTGGAGCCGCCCGACCTAGAGCTCCCCACCTCCTCGGTCACCACCCAAAGTCAAGCTCAACACCAACGAATCGTCATCCTCGGCGCAACCGGCAACCAAGGCCGCGGCACCGTCCACGCCCTCCTCTCCTCCAAACACCGCGCCAACTTCCACCTCGCCGCCCTCGTCCGCAACCCCACCTCGCCCGCCTCCCTCGCCCTCTCCTCCCACTCCTCCGGAATCCCCCTCCTCGTAGCCGACTACTCCTCCCCCGCCACCCTCCTCTCAGCATTCACCGCCTTCCAACCCACCACCATCTTCTTCCCGCCCATCCTATCCGATGACTTCGCCCTTGACCTGTCCTACGTACAAAACGTCATCACCGCCGCCCGCCAATGCCCCTCCCTAAAGTCCTTCATCGTCAGCACCGCCTTGGGAACCGATCGCCGCGCGGAGTTCTCAGGTTGGGGAACAAACGGGGAGTGGTACCCCATGGGGTCGTACTGGCGGACTAAAGCCGAGATTGAGCAGCTAGTCAAAGAGGCGGGGTTCGAGAGCTGGACGGTCGTCAGGCCGGGCTGGTTCTTGCATAGTTTGACGCTGAGGATGGTGGGGTGGAGTTATCTTGGGTTTAGGGAGGGGGAGGAGGTCAGGACTATTAGGACGGCGTGGAGGAGGGGGGCGAAGGTGGCGTGGGTGGATGCGGAGGATGTGGGGGTTGTTGTGAGGGCTGTTGTTGAGGATGAAGATGGGAAGAAGTATAGGAATAGGGGGGTTGATTTGGCGGTGGAGGCTGTGACGGTGGGGGAACTGGCGAGGAAGATGGCGAGGGTGTTGGGGGAGGAGGTTAGGGTGTTGTATGCGGAAGAGGAGCAGGTTAGTGGGGAGGTGATGACGATGACTGATACGTATCCGATTGCTATCAGTCAGAGGTGGGCGAATGAGTTTGATACGACGTATGGTGTTGAGGCGACCAGGGAGTTGGGGTTGTTGGGGCAGTTGACGACGATGGATGAGTTTCTGGAGAGGAATAAGGGGTTGTTTTGATGCGTTGGAGTATTGTAGGATACCTCTAGCATGTGAGATACACTGGGAAGTGGGAGTGGGCCAGATCTCTTGTTCCATATTCGTCATTCGATACCTGTACATACGAACGAGACAAACAACTTGTCGGTAATATGGAAGAAACAGGGCAACAACTCTTGTTATCCAACCCTCCCGGGATACGTTCGTCGCCCACCAGCTAACCCTTCCTCCCCCACCTTCAATTCTCCCTGCCACAAACACCTACCTCACCCTCTTCCTCATCAACAACCTTTTCCGGTGTGGCTTACGCCTGTTCGAACAAAGTTGACAAGATCGAGACCATCACCAGCTGGGACTCGTATTTGCATAGCAACTCCTACGAGGAGAAGGCACTAACCGCGATCTCATTTGGCCCCAGAAATTGCCCGAGTGAAGTTGGGATACGCCATAGAGGGAGGTGTGGAGCAGGCTCGGTGGTTCAAATTGCTTCTCTCCGCCCCCGTCCTCTTCCACCCCGGCTCCGATGCCCCAGCCCTTAGCGGCTGCCGCTCATGGCAAAACCCTGGACAGACTCACACTTTCGCATTTCCTTTGACGCTCCGCCTGCACAGGTCCTACGCCTAACAACAAGCTCTGGGCGCTTACGCTGGCTGGTGATGAACGGTCACCCCTTGGCCTCGTTTCATGACCAAACCACGGGAAGAGTGATCAGACGTTGCCGGAATTGGTTGATTGCCTAAGGTACCAGTCGCTGCTGCAATAAGTGCGAACAGTTGGTGGAGAGTTAGCTGTTCTTCCACAATGCCGAAGGCCGCCCAAGCCAGGCAATCCGGGACCACCTGCCCGACCCTGCGGCATGGGACTGACACGTCCACGAGGGTACCTTGGGCGATAATTCCTGCCGCGACCGTTCCGTGCGCCTTGCGCTTGTGCCGGTCTATGGCATGTTGTCTCCATTTCGATATCGTCCAAGATTTGGATATGAACGGCTGGTGGCAACAAGTTGGCATCCTGCGCTTGTCTGACCGATATCGTGGTAGTTGTCCGTCAAAGGTAAGTTGGTGTTCTGACGATGTTTGAGCATCGTGAGCATATGCCATTGTCACAATATTTTACCAAAAGAAGTGAAAGGAGGTACATATACTTTGTCAATTTCTGCTACCGTTCTTGCTACCTGAAGAGTAACGCCATCCTGCAATCAATACAATGAATCAAAAACAAACCAAATCATCCTGACCCTGCTCCAAGCAAACCGATGCGGAAAGGGTATCTCGCCGTGCTATGCGTGAATCAAAAACAAGCAAAAAGCAAGAGCAAATGACGAATGCCAGAAGGGAAATGACGAATGCCAAAAGGGAAATGACGAATGCCAAAAGGGAAATGTCGAAGACGAAAGGGGAATGCTGACGCTCCTCAAGCATGCCCCTCAATGCCACTGCCTCCTTTCCTCCCACACTATTCCTAGCCCTCCAATCACCGACAATGACCAACAACCGGTCCTCCGACATCGACAACAAGTCAACGTCCTACCAACAGGAAAACGCCTAAGCCACTCCCCGCCATAGATTGTAAGCGTGGACACGAGGCGCCGCAACAGCCGGGAACTGTCCACCGGGGTACTTCTTCCTGTAATACTCCATCCTGGAATCATCTTTCATCAAAGTCACCAGAATAATCGTACCACCAGCCACTTCCTGGGCGGTCATGCGATAGTAAGGAGAGGGGCACAACATCTCCATGATCAATGGAACTAAGCCACCGTTGGCGGCAGCGGCCGGGGTCTTCGCCATCTCGTCTCTGTGGTTGATGAGAGCCTTGGTGAACTGTTGGCCGCTAACCAGAATCGGATGCTGCATATCCTGGGGGGTTTCGTAGACGATGGTCGGCAAGCTTCCGGTAAGAAGCTCTAGGGCGATGACGCCCAGAGACCAGATGTCGACAGCCGCGAGGTTTTTGACATGTTCTTCGCGGAGCTGATCGGAAGATGCGAACGCATCCGGAGCGATGTACGCCTCATCTTCCGCCCAACGCTGTCCTCACGGGGAGCAGTGGCCGCTGCTGGCCTGAGTAGCAGTCGATAGATCGATGGTGACGGAGCCGTTGGTACCGTCAGTGACGATAGGAATCTTGGTGGAGGAAGAGAAGTCTGTCAGACAGACCTCAAGGCGGGAGGTTGTCCTGGATCGCACCAGAATATGCTGAGGGCGAACGTCGCGGTGAACGAACCGTTGTCCGTGAAGGTACATCAGTGCCTTGGCAACCTGATCCACAATCATACAGGACTCGTGGTAGGTGAACGACTTCCGTTCGCCTTCCTCCACCATAGAACCCAGGTCGCACCACTCCATGACCAGCATATGCTGCTTGTTAATACCACGGGGAACGAGAAATCTCTCAAAGTACGCAATGGTATGAGGCTGAATGTAAGATGACCGTTAGTAAATCAACAGCAAGAGAAACAGAAGTGTGAACTTACAGCCTTTCTGAGCTTCGCACCTGTGAAGACTTCGAACTCCTTATACAGCAAATGAATCTTTCTCTTGTTGAAGTACTTGGCAGCGTAAACATTCCAAGTCTTTGTCGAGAGCACCTTGACAACTCTTCCAGAACCAGGTCTCATCTGGTTGCTTCTCGGGGTAACCTCCAGAAACGAATAGGTGTACTTTCCAATGTCATAGGCGAATCTCGTAAGGGAGGGCATCTCGGTGCCGCCAGGCATAGCCGGGGTAGCAATCTCCATGCCTCCAAGGGCCCTGCTCATGAAAGTCGCGACTCCGGACGCTGGGGTTGGAGGCGGAGGCGAGGGGCAAGGAGATAATTCCTTGCTGGGCTGAGGCTGAGTGGGCTCCGCAGCTTCAGGTGCGGAGGCCTTTAGATGCTTAATCGCTTCCATGTAATCGCTCAAGTGTTGGTTATGATCAAACGCTTGAATTGTGAGCTCGAGGGGATTTCGAGGGTCCCCCAGGAAGATATGGATGCGCTGGCCAACAGGAACGGCCCAGGCCGGCGCTCGGGGAGAGTCCTCGCCCATACATTCGTGAACCATTGAATCCACCTTCTCGTCGTCAGACACTGAGTGGTATGCCAAACTTGTGCCGTGAGAAGAGAAGATCTTGATAATGACCATACCGTCTTGACCGAAGTCTAGACCAAGATGCTTGTCGCTGATGCCTTGGGTCTGGTGACCAATGCTCACGTCGGCAGTCGGCGCGCTACCGATGATCCAACACTGCCCATTCTTGGGCGGTTTGGTAAACTCGATGCGATATTGGGCGCCGGAAATCTTGACCTGAATGAGGGCGACCACGTTGGCCGAGAAGATGAAGGTCGACATGGCGGTCCTGGTTGACGTTGTTGAAGAAGAGGATGGGATGAGGGAGAAGTGATGGGGAGATGAGCCGAAAGAGGGCCTTTGAAATTTGGGCTGAAGGCTGAGATACGCTGCAAGGAGTGCGACGTCGAGAAAGACTTCAAGGTCGGCAAGAGGAAGGAGCTCTTGCCTGGGAGAGAGGATATGGTAAGAACCGTTCAAGTGACAGATGCTGATGTTTTGGAGAAAACCTCCGCGCACTCCAAGCCCAACCTACACGCACTCTAAGACCCATATGACAGCTGTCATATAAATACGGTCGTTTTGTATGGTAAACTGGGGTCTTTTCAATGTTCCAAACATCGATCCCGCTAGAGTAAAAGTTGTGATACTTTTCGTGGTGTTGTGAATCCCCTATATCGAAGTGATTTGAACCCACCAAACCCGGCACGCACAGTCAGCCTCGTGCCCAATACAATCTTGATAATTTGATCCCTGAAATCCTTCTCTTATTTATTTGTTTGGTAATATCTACTTTGAATCGTTCAATATAATCGGGTTCTTACTGTTGCCCGGCATGTATTGCCATACGATCCATGGGTTCCTGTCATTATGGTGATTCTTACTCGCTAATTCGCTGGGTCGTATTGCGTTGTACAAAAGCATGCTCAAAATGTGCAAGACTGGCCAAAAATTTCACGAAATGTGGTGCAATGTTTCGCGCATTGAAATGGGCTATTTTCACGGGTAAAAGTGGACTTTCTAATATCGGGTATCATAGGGTGTCATAGGGTGCCAAAGACCCTAACCCTTGGGATTTTATGGGTCTTAGAGTGCGTGTAGGCTAACCTTAGAGTGCGCTGAGGTTTTCTCATGTTTTGTTGGCGCGACAGTTGCTTGCTTTTCTGCGCTTGCTTGTTGTTTTGTGGTTGTGTGGGAGGAGGGGTAGGGGGAGGAGGAACTTGCCCTTAAATATCCCTCGAGGCGCTTCCGGCAGGCAGGCAGTCTGTGGACAAGCAACAGCGGTGAATGGAACTCGGTAGACGGAGGGTGCCTGGTCATGGAAACCTTAGTTACTGCTTGCTTGCTTGGTGCCGACTGGGGAATAAATTGGAAGGCGCGGCGGTTTGGTGGAGGCACGAACCTGTGGAAGGTACGAAATACGTCGGGTATGAAATTTACACCGAACCTCCCTGCCCGTAACATACATAAAAAAAAAGCACAAGGGTGACGTCAACGTTGAAAGCCGTCGATTTGATCGTTAAGGACCGTCAGAGGCAAGATACATGCGCGCAATGTGAGCATGTTCCTCACGATTGTATTGCAAACTCTATTCCTCAACACAAGCCATCCGATCCAGGCCTGTCGCAGTGTACAGCTGTAAACCTGCTTTCTGTCTTCTTCATATCCGAACAGACATTGCTCGACTTTGCTCGACCTCACCATCCTGGCTATTTGTTGTAAATTCTGTTATCCAACCAGACTCACACACCAAGTACTAATCTAACTCCCCAACAGCCAGACTATCTCCCCAACAGCCAGACTATCTCCATCATCCCAACCGAAGAATCATCCCCAATACTTGCAAATTAACTCTCCGGTGGAACCACACGGCCGTTGAGTCTACGACGCAACCTGCGCCCTCATCCTGCTACATTAGGACCGTTCTCCTGTGGCTCCTGCTGATCAGCATTGTCAGGTTCAATGACAACAGCCCTTCCAACGAGAGCGTTTCCAGGTCCTCCAAGCTGGATTAAGGAGCGTAGCTCGCGAGTGAGCGCGCAGGGTGCTCTCTTGCGTTTGGCAGGTCTAGTGGGCTGCTGGATTTCTGGTTCGGGCAGAGACTCGGGAATGGGATTGGCTATGGCGCGATGCAGGCTGTTGACGTTGTTTTGATTTTTGCCGCGGTCAGGGGTGGAGCGGGCGGCTGGGGCGGCCAGCGGTTGAGGCGCGGCTGCTGGGGGTTGAGGTGCATCGGCCGGTGGTTGTGGTGCTGGCGCTGCTGGCCCTTTTGGTGCTAGAGCCGGAGAAGATGGTGGTTGGGCAGGAGTGTGAGTAGGCGCTTGGCTAGTAGTGTCCAAAGGAGGTGGGTTTCTTTCGTCGCTCAACAACTCGGGGTACATATCTCTAAGGTTCAAAACCAGCCTTCTTTGAAGAATCTTGTTAATCCGCAGTGGTTCAGACCGGACCAACTCGTCATGACGCTCAAGGGAGTCAATGAGCCACCTGTAGTAGGCACGGCAAAGCTCTTCGCGACTGATGCCTTTCTCCAGATGATTTTGACGGTAAGGTTGGAATAACGCCCACTGGGAAGTTTCCCACTCAAAGTACCTGAGCTGTTCGGCTAAGAATGACATGGCTTGAGCGTCATCTTTGTCAAACCTACTCTCCCGCTCGACGGGATCCGTTTCGTATACTTCATCAGACGGAAAGGCATCTGACAGATTCCCTTGAATGTCCCGGGCCATCTTGAGGAGTGCATGATGGTCTAGCTCATGAGAAGAGTCATCTTGACCTTCTTCATGAAGCGCAAGGTGTCTGTAAAGATAGTTAGCATCCCCGTCAAAGCTTCAACTACTTCTGATGAGATGTGAGTGCTAGTATGTCCATACCTGTACAGGCCCAAATGGACCTCTGTCCAGTCCAGGACATACCCGTACGGACCCTCAGCGGGGGTTCCGTTATTCGAGGCTCGGTAGACGAATGGTCCCTTCACTTGCTCAATGGGGATAACTCGCTGAGCTTCCTTCTCAATGGGGGTTGCTGGTGATGACATGGTTGCTTGAGAAGTGATGTCTGGTACTTGGCGAAAGTTGCTCGGTTTGGAGTTGAGACAAGTTACGATGGTTATCGAAATTGTGATTGATGGTCGGGATTGCTTGAGGAGAGAGCTCGAACAAAGAAGTGAGATTCTTAAAAGACCGGGACATTGACGAAAGACATCCATTGTTGCCATTGACTGGGCTAATCGCCTATTCCATACAGTTGATCCTATTGATCACTTTTGCAAACTGTCAGCTCTGTTGTCCCGGGCATTGAACTTACCCATTGTTTCTTTCTCGGCCCGCATGAGGTCAAACTCATCGCTACATGGTGGAGATATGCCCTATTGCATTGTATAAGACAATAGGCTACCGGGATGGGCAATTGGCGTGCGGAAACATGGGATGGCATGGTGGGGTGGATCTTGCGGTCGCTATCAACTCAGAGGCCGGCGCGGACGTGTTTCGTCTGGACTTGTCAATTGGACAAGTGAGTCAGCAAAGGACCATATGATGGAATAACCTTGTTCTCATATCGTGGGTCAATTGGTTGCACTATGTTTGGGGTCAGAAGAAAAAGCTTTCAGTTACGCAACGCTAGTCAACCCAAGAAGGGAGAGGAGGATGAAAACAGTCGCGACAAAACCGAACATGATTGAATTTGAATGGGCTGCTTGGGTGGAAATCTTGTTCCGTTGTGTTCTCGCTCGAGTCTAGGAAGGAACACTTCCATCTTCGCGACATCTACAGATATCACCACGGCCACCACTGCTCCTGCCAATTCGGCCCGCTCCGCACTGAATTTCTGGAACAAAGATCTGAGCTGGGACAAGGAAAGATCGAAGAAGGGGCCCATCGCATTTTCGCTGTCTTTGTTGTGAGTGGCATTGTTCACCCAAGTCTCCAGAGAGTCCGACATTGACAGAAGTCCATGATCAAGAAAGTTTCTGCTTCACGTCATCTGCACCAGTAGCTGTCATGCAAAGACTTTTGAGCCGCAACTTCCTTCAACATGGAGTGGTGCACTAACAATTAATCCCGTTGACGTCCCTGGTCCCCACCCTTCCTTCCGTAAACAGAACGAACTGTGATCTTGGCAGGGGAAGTTCGTGGGGCGTGTGTGGGTGTGGCTGTGCGCGACCGGGGTTTGACGATGCCCCGCCGTTGACTTCACTCCTTCACTCTTTCCTCGACAAGTTACTCGTTAAGTCAGGTCTGAAGTCGAAAAGGAGGAAAAGCACAAAGGAATTTGAGTCATCTGTCACTTCTAACAATGTTCTGGGTCTAATTGCATGTCATGTTATTCCTCGATGTGACATTGGGTAAGTACAGCTGTTAAACATGGACTCCTCCACTCAAGCTGCTGCATTCAACCTTTGTCCGGCCGCGAACAGGTATCGAGATGTTTCCCGTCGCGACTGGTGCTCTAGTCTCCTCACTTGAGAAGGGGAATTACCAGATTTCTTCGAGTATCCAGGAGGAGGGGTTAGAGCAGAAAGAGGGAGTGTGGTAACGAGGGAGGGTGATGATGCAGTGATGGCAATGCAGCTGGCTCTGCTAGGCTGGTGGTGGAGAGGGTGGGGGTGGTGGGGTCGAATGTGCCTTCGGTGAACGTTCCTTCTCTCGTCGCCAAGTTTTGTCTTGACATCCACATTTCCCTTGATGACACACCTTTTTCTGTCCCATCATATTCGCTGGTCTCTGGAAAACAACTTGAAGAAGGTGTATAGTAGGCAGCACAACAAGTTCTGATTCCATTCATCTTTCCATCCAATCTATCATTAACCCGAAGCCCTTCGACCTCTTGCCTGACGACCCCCAACCGCGTGCACAACGCACCTTCACTCTTAACGCCAAAAGACTCCTCCAACCTCCATACCATCACTGGCAGTAAGAAGGAGACATGGCTGGAGCCGATGGACAAGTTCAGCGATACGCAGCGCCAGCCATTCAAGGATTTTGCTGACGTCGTGTGCGCCATTCCGGCCGAGAATACCAGCACCGGCGTGCCTGCTCCGGTGCTCCCTACTCAATCCCCCGACAACTTGCGGTTATCCTGCCCCGACCTCGACAGTTCGAGTTCAGTGAAAGGGCGGACGTCTCTTGACCAGCTACGTAGGCACGGCTCCTCATCATTGCTTGCACGCACAGAAATTGTAAGTGTTCTTGGTGTCGTATTCCGCGAAGAATTGACCATGTGCTGACTTTAACTGATATGCAGGCTTCTGTCCCAATCAACTTCAACGACTCCGAGCTCTGCGAGTACAGTCACGTAAACCAAAGCCCGATTCACTTACTATCGCGGACATTGGAAGTGTCGTGCCAGCTTGTCTCTGTAGCGGCATTCGCGCGGCATTCCTATGCTCAACTATCGCTCTCAAACATATTCTACACGAAGCCGGACTGGTGGGATCCATAGTTGGCGTTGAACCCAACTGCGAGGTTCCACATCGGCAGGCGTTTGTAATTTGTATTAGTATTTGCGCGGAGCAACGACAGATACAAACCACACAAATACAAACTGAACAACTCAGGGCAAGCAAGTGCGATTCTTAGCCGCCAAATTGTGACTACAAATATCACTCCTCTCGCCCTTCTCTTGCTTTTTGGGGCCAGATGTAGCTGTCCATGTCTTCTTCCACTTCTCACCCCTTCCTGTCTTGTCCCCTACTTTTTCTCCACCCACCACTTGTGACATGACGACCACCGGTTTGCGGCTTCGACTGCCTTCATTCTTACTCCCTCCTCTTTCTGATATCATTTCCCGACGATAGCACAGTTATAAGGATGTTCTGATGATCTTCCATGTCCCCTGTCACCTTTCACTCATTCTTCATTATGCCATTGCTGCTACGCCAGGCTACTGCTACGCCAGGCTACCAAGCGGAGAGATTCAGCAGTCACTATTCCAGGAGCTTGCCCAGTCCGATACCGATACTTTTCTGACAGGGCATTGACTCCATACACCGCTTTCCAGCATCATATGTGCTGGTAGGTCTTCAAGACTTAGTCTCTCCTTTTGCTGTTGTCCTTGTTGATGGACCTAGAACAAACAATGCGCCGTGCTTCGAAGTCCACCGGTACTGTACTTGTACGTACAAGTCCGCCTTTCATCCCATCCCTTCGTTTTAACCCCTCTACGCGCCATATAAGGTCCTGCACCAAGCCCTCCAAAGCGGACCAATTGGCCAAATGGCCGAGCGGCTCCGTTCATGAAAACATTGCCGGTGTGCGCGGTACCCGTGGTACAGTTTTCGTAGGTCGCAGCTGGAGCATGGTGGTTCGTTCCCCCAAGACTCCTGGGCGACTGAGCTTTTTGCCTTTTTTGTCGCCCTCAACGGTCGTTGATCACATAAGCGTGCTCTCTGCATTTTTTATCTTCCATTTTCCCTTTTTTTGAGCGAAGTTTCTATCTTGACTTTTGATCGCGCGTGCGACGGTTCCGACAACAGGTCGGCACTGCAGCTGGTGCATGATGCCTGCCCGGCCTTCACTTCCTGATCCCAGACTCGTTTCGGTTTTTACTGTCGACTTGCGTGGGAAACAAACTTCACCCGTCCAAGTTGTCGGACTTTTCGGGGGGTAATTGAATGCTTGATTCAAATTGTGATTAACTCTTATCGCTATTTTTTTTTTGCGTCCCCTTGGGCTTTTTGGGCTGTCTCGGTTGTGTTGCACGCCATGTTCGTCTGTTAGTGCTCACTCACTATAGCAATCAAAATCCAGTGGCTGCACTATCACTAACACATCCCTTTCTTCTCCACTCTTTTTCTACCTATTTGATGACTAACTGTCTGCGCTGTGTTTTCTACTGACTTGTCAATCTTTTTCTCGTCCTCACACCACCTAGGTACCCGAATCAACACATCTATACAATACATGGACCTGTCCTCGACACAAAGCACCAGGGGCACGACTGGAGTTTGACACAATGCCGGCTCTCAATGCCACCAAAGGTTCAGCTCCCGACACTCGACAGCTGGCGACAATGCCAAAACGTCCGGCTTCAAACCTCAGGTTGACAATCGGGTGGAGCGTGTATATATCATCCCATCTCTCAGACACTGCATGAATTTACTGGCTAAGTCAAGGTACACCCCACCCCTGGCCCTCATCCTATTGTCTGCTTTTTCTGAATAAGGAGTGGGTCCACCATGCCGGTGGCGGGTGGGCTAACAGCTGGAAAATATCAAGAACAATAGGAGTCTTCAATCCTCAATACCTCGAGCTAACGGCTGTGGCTAATCACGAATAAGCTTTTCAGATGAAGATAGCATCCATTGAAGGTGGAACTTGGGGTCCTTTCGTTCCATGGTCGCAATTTCGAGGGCAGTTAAAACACCGCGTCGTTCTGGATTTGCAACCCTCATTCTCTCCCGAAAGCCATCTCACAAAAGGAGACATCAGCCATACTGATTTGATACCTTCAATTTTTCGACTCTCAACACCACACAATACAAATCATAAGCACAACAACGCCGACAATGTCGTCATCTCACACAGCCCACCAACAACTGGGTTGAACACATCCAGCGCTGGAAATAAAGCAAATACAAATAAATATCGATCTGTATTTATTTGAGTAGGTCAAATATGCGTGCATATTTATTTGTATTTATTTGTATTTGTTTACTTGCCAATATTTGATGTCTGAAATCGCGTTTTTGGTATTTATAATCTCAAAAGTACTCGGATTCTTACGATTTCTACCTTTCCAGAACGCTCAGAACCTCCTAGCAGCTATAAATCCCTTCCTTACAACAGTTACGACGTCGTATACATCGTTTAACTATAATAAATATAATTTAGTACCCTAAATACTAATTAAAACTTTAAGCTCTCGATAGTATTAATAGTTTTAGCGGTAAAGCTTTACTTCTAGCTATCGACAATTAATTTAGCGCTGCTAAAGGAACGTTCACAATTATTAACTATACAGGGTATAGAGTAGAAGTTAAATACTATACGTAATAACTGAAAGTATATACCTTCGTTGGCCTTCTATTACCCTAAAACGTTATTAACCGCGTAAATATCATCGTTAAGGTAGCGGTCTAACTTATCCTCCCTCTTTAACTCTAATAAGAGGGTATTGTAGAAATCTATATCGATTAATTAATTATTATTAATTTATATTGCCTATTAATTACTAATATTAGGTACTAGTAAATTAATTAATTAATTAATATAATTCTCATTATAAATAAATTAGAATTCTTTAAGAGCATTATCCTACTCAATAGGGCCTATTCTCTTATCGATCTATCTCCTTCAATAACTAACGTATAAAATATATATAATTTAGTATATTAAGTACTACTCTATTAACCTTCTATATTTTATCGAATATTAAACCAACGGTTTCTATACCCTTATTAATTATATTATTAGTATAATCGACGGGCGGGTTATTAGGAAATTACTATTGATAAGAGGTAGGTTAAGAGGAGGGGAATTGAAAGGAAGGAAATTAAAAGGAGGGGAATTAAGAGGGTTAGCTACGGAAGGTACGTATACGAATACTATATTAAATAGAGAAAGTAATAAAATCGGGGGCGATAATAATATTTAATTTTAAGATACTTAATCCTTCAAATAATTCAAAAGTAATACTACCTCCAAATTATACTTTTATTTTAATAAGTTTCTCAATAAAGTAGTAGAGAGATAGGATAGTTATTATAAAAAAGGGTTCTTTCTTCTCGAACTTCTTCGTAAGGTCTTCGAAAAGTTTTATTACTTCTATAATAGTTGCTAGAATCCTCCTATCACGGGTCTACTAGGTGTGCACGGTAGTAGGGGTGGAACAGAGCTTAAGATTGTTGATAAGGAGAAGAAGAGGTCCTATAAGCCCGACTGGGTTGGAAGAATACCTATGTATTAGAAGCCTAGCTAATTAAGGGGTAGGTAGTAAGCGGGTTTGTAGGCCCGGTCTAAGGTCTATAACTCTGGCTTATAGCTAGGCTCGACTTCTGAGCGCTAGCCCCTTATATGACCCCCCAATTCCCCTTTACATACAAAGATAACAATGAAAATTATTATACATATAGAAATATCCCTATAGCTTCCAAATAAACGACTTCTATACCGCAAAGATGTAGCGAATACTCCTAGACTAAATACCCTAAATAATATAAATAAATAAATAAATAAATAAATAAAACGACGTAGACGAAATATTTCTACGGCTAGCGCAAAGTGTTTATACGCCCTATTATAAAAATTAAACCCCTAGGAACCATTAACCTTAATATTTATATTGTACGCGTACGCGGGCGCTAGAGCGAGGGAGCAACTCCTCCCCTACGCGTATTTCTAAACTACTATATAACTTAGGCTGTTATAATTTAGCCTATCTATTAATATAAGCCCTCATCCTAACTATCCTACTAAAGAAGCGCTATAGCCTTTAAAAGACTACCCTATCTAGGCAATAGCATTTTATAGCCTCCCTATTTCCTTATAAGTATAGAATAGTAATAAGGTTTTAATATAATTTCAATATAGTTTTTACTATTTATACTTGTAAAGTAATATAATACAGCCTTTCCTTATAGTAGCTACTAACTTGTATAGCTGCAACCTATTATAACCTTAACAAATCGGTTATAAATAGACGCTATTATTTAAAAGTTCTAGGGAGTAATAATATTAACCTTTTCTCCCTAAATAAAATTTTCTAAGTAACTCCCAATTCCTTAGGACGGCTATTCGTAATTATTATAAATTTTATTATTATTAAAATCCTCAACCGGTTTAATGGTAATACTTTATAGCCGTATAACTTTACCTTTACCTTTATTTTTAGGATATTCTTTTACCTAATATTAGGAGGAACTATAATTTATATAGCGCCTCTCCTTTTTCTATTTTTATTATTATTCGAGGGTAATAGTAATTAATAGGCTACTACCCCGTCGTCGTCGATTTGTCCTAGTAGCGCTAATTTACATCGGTTCCTTAGAATTTATAGAGGTTATAGAGCCTCCCCTTAAATAATTATTATTATTAAAACGGTAAAAATATTTTAAAAATACTAAGTATTATTTTAGAGCGTTTAGGTATTCCTTAATACGGTTCTTCTATTCGTCGTTAAAATTACCCTTTAATATTATTGTTTTAGTATCGTTTGGCTATATAGAGGCTCTAGCCCTATAGAGGAAGTTGTTAAATTGGAGAAGGTATTTAATAATCGATTCTTTGCCTCCCTAGAGGGTTTCGAAGAGCTCTATACTAGTACGCTTATCTACGTTCGGATCCCCGTAGTCGAGGCAGATCTTTTATAAAAGATAGTCGGGGAGGCGGTTGGAAGGTTACTTCGCGAAGGGTAGAAATTCGATTTTAATAGAGGGTAAAAGGTTAAAATAGAGGTAATAGAATTAGGCCTCTAAATTATCGTTACTAATAGCGTAATCGTCGGTATATAGTTTAGTTCCGGCGTTATAGATTTACGCGTCGACTTCTTTAGCGGTCCCCGTAAATTTATTAAGATAGGGAAAATTAGGCTTCGATTGGACGGGTAGGATTATAGGAGGGGAGGTGGCTATAAAAGTTTTAAATTCGGCTATTTCTAAGACGAGAATTTAAATAGCGACGGCGAATTATTATTAGCGCTCGCTAGTATTTTATACTTAAAGAATAGAAGCTATAGCAACGAAAAGGGTTGGTTGTAAAGAAGGAAAAGAAGCAGTGTAGTATTTCTATAGGTACGGAGAAGAAAAAAGGATCTTTATAAACGGTCGAAGGGGATTTTCGGGTAAACGTACGTTCTAAAAACAATTAAAGAGACGGTTAATAATATGTTACAGGTTTATTGGGTGTGTACGGTAGTAGGGGTGGAATAGAGTTTGAGATTGTTAATAAGGAGAAGAAGAGGTCATATAAACCCGATTAGGCTAGAAGGATACTTATATATTAGAAGCCTAGCCAATTAGGGGGCAGGTAGTAAGCGGGTCTGCAGGCCCGGTCTAAGGTCTATAGCTCTGGCTTGCAGCCAGGCTCGACTTCTGGACGCCAGCCCCTTATACCTCCAATTATTATTATTAAATTAGTCGTCTTTAGGAAGCCGCTTGGATAGCTCTAGATAATTAACAGTCTTGCTAATATAGTAATTAACGAATTTGCGTAACTTCTAAGCGCAGCGCATTATACGATAATTAAAATTCTAATATATTGTATTATTAAAGATAACGCTAATATTAAGAGAGAAGGTATCCTCCTTTATAACGAAACCGAGCTAAGGTTAAACGTTATTATTAAAGTAATTACCGCAGCTAAATTAGACGATCTCTTTGAACTTCGTACAATATTGAAGGTTTTTTCGAATAAATTGAATAACGTTATAAAACTTACCAACCGATCCCTCCTTACACCACTCCCGGAATATAGTATCCTTATTAACAAGGGAAAGGCAGGGTAGAAGGTTGTTAAATTCGGGGACGCAGGCTCCTTCTCCTCTGATAGCGGCCTTTACGCCGAGATTTAGAACGTAACTAAAGCAGCGCAATCTATAACGACTAGGATCCAGTGCCATAGATCACATCCTATTCATCTTATTAACAAGACCCATAGAACCCACTAACGCTATTGATGCGCGTACCCTGATTGGCTGCACCAGCGGTATTAATATACGCGCCCATTCAATTGGCACTGCGACCTATATATTGTATTTATATATATTATTAAATTAAATAAAGAAAGCGGTCGAAGTTGGCAGAATCTAGGCTTATCTTATATAAAGGTATATACTAGAGCCTAACTCTCAATTTTTTCCTCTTTCCTTCTTTAATTTTAATTATTTATTTATTTATATTTAATTACGCAATACGGAACTACGTAAACTAGTATATTATAATATTTAATTAAAATTCACATACATCCGTTTAGGAAGGTAATTAAAATCGTTATTGAACCTGAGAATTTAATAAATTGCTTCGCCGACTTCTTAAACCCTAAACTTCGTCGCCGCGTTGATATTACGAACTTATTATTAAACCTAATATTCCCCTACCAATTACGATTAACTTCTATAATTAATTACGCTTAAGGCGTACTTTTGGGCCGTCCTTTCGTCCCTAATAATAAATAATAATAATACCCTTAAATTGCTAATTATAGTAAAAATAATCATAATAATACCGATACTTCTTTTGAATAAAAAAATAATATTAAAGGAGATTCTAATTAGGAAGACGAAGATAAGGACCTTTCTTTTTATATTAGCGCTAATAATAAATTATTTAACGAATTGGTTATAAATACATTTACCTCTTCTAAAAAGTATTATATTCTTAATAAATAACCCTTATAGGGTTATAATACGTCGATAATTTATAATTTTAAGAAAAAAACCCCCGCTAAGTTCGTAGAGCGTATTAAACGTCATAGTATAAAATATCTCCTTAAAATTAGCTTACCATTTAACCTTTACCGTACCCTAATTTAAAGCGGATTTAATTTAAAAACTATATGTACATATATACCCCTTTACAAATAGTAAATTTTCGCCTTTTTACTATAGTCGATAAACGGTCTATATTTATAGTTAAAATAATATCGTTAAAAGTTATTAATTTTATAAATGCTTATACTAAATAGCCTTATTGACTATAGTAGTTGATGTGCTCTGTTTGGGCAGTCAATTGGTAGATTGATTTAAATGATTTTGAAGATTTTAATAAAGTTAAACGGATTACGATTTTCACTAATATTTTCACTAGAATGCTAAGTTGCTTGAGCGCTAAGGTTAAAACCCGGTGAAAATTGGTCTGTGCGACTTTTTTACCCAAAGTACCTAAAACCCGGTGAAAAGACCCTAAAAATGGCTACGGATCACGCCCTTACCACACTGCAGCAACGCAGCGCGGCGCGACATCATATCTGCGTTCAACTGCCGCCAATCTTACGCTACGCTATTCGGAGCCCTGGTCTGAATTAGGTTCAAGGTTTGAAGTGAGCAGTAGAGGTAGGATCCAGTGAAGAGGTACAGAGTGAGAAGCTGAAAATCCAGGGCAGTATAAGACTGCTTCCTCGTCCCAGTTTACGATCCTCATCTTTGTCTTCTGAGAACTGTCGCTGGAAAAGGACACTCAATGATCGTACCACATCTGGAGTCATTTCTTTCGAGACTTAACACAAGACAACTATCACGAAAACCATGTCGTCGAGCTCGGCACTCCGAACCCTCTCTCACCAGGGGCAACAATCAGATCTCATCGAACTTGAAAATACCTGTATCGGCAGAGCCTCGTATGTTTAACCCTATATGTATTACCCGATAGCTTGCGTTCTATTCACTGTTTTTCTTGACTAACAGACAGTCGGATCATTCTACCTACTCTTCCAGCCAAATAATCCACCGGGACCTTGTATCCACACCCGGGTGCATTTCCGCCGCTTCCACTGCACCGACAACCCATTTTACCTCCCCAATCGCTTCTCCCCTTCATATTCTCGGCCCGGTCAATCCGGCACCGTTCAGGCCTCCCTCAGTCAACCTTGAAGCCCAATTCCAAGCAAGTTGCGCGCAAGTTATCCAGAGCATCCGACGACAACTGGCAGCCGAAGAATGCCTGCGTCGAGCGGTCGCTGACATACTGGAGATTTCGGCAGCTATGATCGAAGCTGATCAGGAAAGAATCGACTACATTCACAGGCACATAACAGGGCTGAAGCAAGACATACAACAATGGGAGCGAGCGGGGATTTATATTGATGGAGGGGAGCATGGGGATAACTGGGAAATTCAATACTATCTTGACCAGCTACCCCACCTAGAGGAGAGGCTGGCACTCAATCGGCAGCGTCTAGATGACTACATCGCTCGGATGGCGCAAGTGAGGGATGACACTGAGCAACTTCGGCAGAAACTTCGGCAGGAACTTCGAGATTTCCAGGGGGAAGCGGCAGACGAGGAGGAAGCTCATGAAGCAGTGGTTCTTGACGAGCAGTTTTAAGACGTTCCGGTTACCTGTACCGACATAGAGGATCAGGTCGAAGAGGTTTCGGCCGCAGAGGTGGCATTGAACAGCCCGGAATGTCAAACCACCACAATGGGGAGCAGCGAACATCTCGTAACAAACTCGTCGGAGGCAGCTCTACCCATCGTCGAAATCCAGCACCTTCTCATCTCTCCCACAACAATAGCCTCCATCGTCAACCAACCCACCCAGGTACAGCCGACAGTCAACAACAGCGAAATCGGCGAGCTCACCCCTATTACGATCCAATCAAGGATCACTTATGTAAGCCAGCCAGAGTAGTATTCTAGGTAGAACCAACAGACCAATCAGGGAGGACCCGAAGCGTTCGGGTCCCCGGGTCCGTATAGTTCGGGTCCTCGGGTCCGGTAGGCTCGGGTCCAGGAAGGCCGGGTATATAAGACGGCCTCCCCAGGCCTCTTGTTACCGGCTCTTCAGCAAGCAATAGCTTCTACAATCGATCAGTACCTTTTGGCTACTACTACCGTTGTTCCTATTCCCAGCGATATACTCCTGTGCTTGTAACGGTTCGTCACAACCCCCATCAAAAAGCCGAAGCTCTCCCACGAACTCATATCCATTTCGCAGCTCGAAAGAGCGGGAAACATTATCATTGGAAAGAGAAAGCGCGATGACGATAACAGAGAAGTTAAAGCTCAAAACAAAATTCCGAATGGTTAGGCCACTCGGCTGAGAAAGAGGAGGAAAATTGATCACAGTGGGCCAGGTGTCATTTGTCAACGAAGTAGACCGGTTCGAATGGTGCTGAAAAGCCGGCGGGAAGGAAGAAGAAAAAGGTCGGCTGGTCAAGGAAGCCGGAGGGTGAGAGGGATAGGAGGCTTTATGGAGAGAAGGAGCTAGATGCTCACTAGGTACCTTCCATATTGAGAATCATGTTGCGAGACGATCCATGGAGGATGGATATAGATGTACCTAAGAAGGAAGGAATAACTTTCCACATTTACTTCGTCAATTTAAATGAGAGAAAGTTGTGCTCATTTCATTCATGTTGCGAATCGATTTACAACTTTTCGTTTTTGAGACAACATCAACCAAATTCACTTTGCCTTTACTCGTGCCCTATACTTGTTCACTGATAGAGTTACCTTGAAACATCCATGTCACTAGACTCCAACTCCGGTTGCTTGTCACCAGTGTACCGTCTTGATCCTGGGAACAAGATGAGTGTTGATGTCTTAGGATGACTGCGTGGTGTGCACACCCATGACATTCCCACAAGACGAACAGCGCTCTGTTCGCTAGTGTAGACAGAACATGCCATACACTACAGGTACTTTGTCTCTATATACCATACCATGCAACAATTCTGGTCCAGGCTCCAGGCCAAAACCTTGAGCTGGAGGTTGTGGTCGATCCCAAATAAGAACCTTCACGTACAATAGCATCCAGTCTAGAGGTAGTGAATGCTCAACAGAACCTGAACGAGAACCTTGAGTCTTTTTCCACAGTCGCAACCTTAAGGGCAGGTATAAGACTGCTTCTTCCTCTCGTTATACGACTCTCAGAACTTTCCCCAGACATCGCCTCGAGCAAAGCAAATTTCAATCCTTCCAAATTTGCAACTTTCAACTCTTCAACCTTCAAGAGATAACATCACGATAACGCCATCAAGCAATGTCTTTACCACAGGCATCTCTACCTCTCCATGCCCGATGCGATCCGGTTAACACCGACCAGCCAGAAATGCCCCAATACGTCGACTTCGCTGCCGGCGTCGCCAAGTACGTTGATCCCTATGGCCGCGTTACGTTTGTGTCAGGCGATACTAACACCTCTACCTTATGTTAGCTCTAGACCCACCTCATCGGCTTCTCGACACTCTTTCGACCCTACCACACACCGTGCCCTGATGCCCACGCCCGTCTCGATACCTCAGTTGTCCACAGCGCCTTCAACCCAGCCTCGAACGCTCGTCATAGGCCTGTCCCCTTCCCCAGCTGGACCGCACGTTAACGCGATAATAAACATCGCGCAGCTTGCTAGGAATTTCCTCAGAGAGCCGGAATTACCGGCCCTGTTAGAAGAAAATGGTGGCCAAGATGCCAATACCGGAAATGGAGACAACGACCATACCTCTACAAACAGCGACAGCTCCGAGCCCGCAGCCTCCCCTGTTGCTCTCGGTAATGTGGCTATTCCGCATGAGCCTGTGCCCGCCCCGACTCATGTTTCGGTCACCATCATCCATTCCGTCGCACATACCGTTGCTTCAGCTTTCCCATCTCCTGGCTCTATTATCTCGGAGTCGCCTGCTCAAATTCCAGCCCTGTCTCCTAGCCCGTCGGTTGCTACCTCTACGCCTGCCCTCGGGCTTGTCCAGGATCCCACCTCGGTTCCTTCTGGACAGTCCCTTTCCATGGCCCCGGCTTCCGCTTCCACTTCTCAATGTCGACCTGTCTCGGTCTCAAGCCCGGCTCCCGCCACGACCGCTTCTCCGGCTTCAGTACCGACCATTACTCCACCTCCCCACGCCACCGCCAGCACTGCGGGCAACCGCAAGCGCCCCAACAGAAAGCTCTCTCGTGAGCTGAGCTCGCTCGCCCAGCTGGGAGGTCCAGGGAATGTCATTGGCAGTGTCATTGTCAGGAAGAGAAGGCATGGAAATGAAGGCGACGCCTCCGACGACACCTCTCACGATGTGGGCAAGGACAGATTCAAGAGAGTGAGGACAAGATCGACAAAGTATGACGGAACATAGCATACTCCTTGGAGCGACTTGGAGGACGTTCATAGTGATGGATTAAGCATGCCAGTTTTGTTTCGCAGAGTAGCAAGAAGGGAAGGAAAGACAAAATCTCAGGATTGCGAACATCAAATTTGCGCATAGTGTATGCATGTAGAGTAGAAACATACCTCTAGGTACCTACGTACGTCTACACTACCTAGAGGTACCGCAGCGGGTGTATAAGAGGTGTTAGTCATTTCTTTACCATAGAGGTACCTATTGACACGTGTTCCAACATGAGAAAGAGGCACACCTACACGCATGCCGGAGATACCCCTATATGCCCGAAGCGAGACCCGTACCAGCCGCATAAATGTACTGCTTCAATTACTGAGTGCTCGGTACGGAAAGAACACCAACCAATGTGTGATGTGGCTGTGCCACAGCAGTCGCTATAACTGCTGGCGGCTCTGATTTGGGCAGGCGGTTGACTTGGATGGCCGACTCCCGAGTGGAGACTTTGACTTTGAATGAGGGCATTCACGGATATGAACCAGACGAAAAGTCTTCGCGCGACCGGGAAAGAAAGACCACCCGTTAATCAGATGTGGATTCCGCACTGCGGGAAAGAACCATCCTCACTTTGGTCGCTTTGGTGAAACCGGAGGTCTCAGGAAGGAACCGCCAAAGGTGACGAGTCACGAGCTTGGTCACATCAATCAGACGCCACTTCAACAAGCCTAGATGTCCGCCCGGTTTTTTCACTATGGTACCTGTAGAGGTACCTTACATCACAAATTCCACTTGGTTCAACCCATAAATACCCTGCACCTTATATATTCCAAAAGCATACCTCTAATCATCATCTCGACGTTATCTTCTCCACAGTCCACCTTCTTCCCATCCGATCTTCCAGTGATGGTTCCATTAACCGAGAACCTTAAGGATTCTCTCCCGTCAAGGAGGTACCTGGTCAAGGTTCCTCGAGATCCAAAACCAGGGGTGCCCAATTCTCACTCTTCCATTCACACATCCGGTCAAGGTTCAAAAGACCCTTCACCCTGAGGGCGGAGGAACTTCCACAGTCGCAAGGCTCATGGCAATATAAAACCGGTTCTTCCTCCCAATTCGCAACTCTCATCCTCCTCATCTCACCACCGTCCCGAAGAACAATTTTCGGTACATCACTCTGTATCAAAGGAATTGTTCCACTTACCAACCATCTACACTGCAACCGTCGACTTGTAGACAAAATGTCGTCTTCCGCCACACCTAACAACATCCAAAACGGTCTCGCCCATGACGAGCAACCTGTCCACAATGTCGATTCAATGCCGAGGTATGTTCACCCTTTTCTCTCATCGCCATCATCTCATCGATAGGGTATCCTCCCATACTGACACCGGATGCGAGTGACAGGACCACAACTTTGGACCCGAACACACCGAGCACGGTACCATCGACCCAGATCCGTGCCGCACTCTCCTCCAGTCCGCCAGTTACGCCCGAGTCCGACTCTAACCCTAACCCGTCGGAGCAGTTAGATTTCGAAAATGACCGTGCCCGGAGAAGTTGGCAGGCTGCGATCAGAGATGAGCAGGAGTACCACGGCTGGCAGCACCATGTGTTGATACGACGAATGACACGAGAGGAGGGGCTGGCTCGAATAGAGCGTAATGAGCGGCTAATACGAGAGCTGCTGGCTGGGCAGCAGGAGGCGTACGAACGATCTGTCAAGGCTCCGACTGCAGCACCCGCGTCGACCCCGGCCCGGGCTCCGGTTGCTTCTGTCCCTAGAGGTACAAACACCATCTCCCTTGGGAAGAGGAAGCGGGATACCGACGACAAGAAGGAAGAGGATGCCGAAGTGGAGGATCAGAGATCTGGGACAACAACCAGGACTTCACCGATGAGAGAGAATACCGTGCCTGAATTATGGGCCGGACGACTGCGTCCACGGACTGTCAAGAAAGAAGAGGCGAAGCGTGGGAATGGAGGACAGGATCAAAGCAAGAGTGGGGGCCGTCCGAAGAAGAAGAAGGACAAGAAGTAGGACAGTTGAAGTTGGGCTGGAGAGGCTTGGCTAAGGTAGAGGTACCTAGTAGCATTTGAGCTGGGAGATTTACTCGATGTGTTGGGTTATGATATCGGGATTCAGGGAATGTATGATACATCGAGATGTCTGGTAGAGTTTTGTCAGATTTGCTTTTTAGGGAGACAGAACGGCGGGAAAGGAATAACAGAGAAGGACACTACGATCATACAGCGAAGTGATTTGCTTACCTGGATCAATGAGTGCCCGTGTTTTGAGTAGAACCCTCCATGCTTCTGTTCTCCGGTGACCGTCTTTTTGTATTGAAATGAACGTGATGATCCAGCAAGGACGTACCTGCCACCCGGTGTGTTACACACGGCAAGCATTGACTTATGGCTTCCCCTTCGTTGGTCGCTTGCGCTCAACGTCCGAAACAGGGAATTTTGGCGACATCCAAGTATGACGTATACCCTCCATTACGGGCATTTTGCATCAAGATTCGACACCTGCTCTCCCAAGCTGCTGGACGTTATCAAGGAAGGTTTCCTTGTATCACCAAGATGGTGATAATGTTACAGGAGATATCAAGGCCGTCCCTAAAATTCGAGTGAAAAGGAACATTTTACCTCCGCAAACACGCAACTTTCGTTCTCAACACCAGAATCCCAAAATCACCATACCTCGTAGGGAAACAACGAACATCGAGCCATCATTTCAATCCAGGACCAATCCGAACAGCAAGATGTCCGCTCAACGTCAACCACAAGAACAAAACCCAAGCTCTCAGGACCAAAATCCCACCTGGTCCGAATGGGCCAAAACCCAATACAACGCTCAATACGAGTCCTGGGTCCCTTGGCTAGAAGACCTCTACCTCCGCTACTTCACCAAGGACAACAAAGCGAGTTATGCCACCAATGGTACGTCCTCCTCCCCCCTTCTCTCCTTCTCTCCTTTTCCCCTTCTCCCCTTCTCCTCCAGCTTCCCCAAAAGCAACCCAAACTAACAACCCCCCTCGAACAGACACCCTCTCCAAAACAAAAGTGACAAACATCGAACAAGTAGACACCCTCCAAGACGGGGTGCATAACCTCGTCGCTGGACAAGTCGGGCAAGGAGGACTGGGACAGCCGGTTGGTGATCTGTTGTCCAAGGAGGGAGTGAATAGGATGGAGAGAAAGGGGAAGGATGAGAGGGGTGGGTATCTACCTGATGTGAGGAATGTGGGAGGGTTGTTGGGGAGGAAGTGAGCGCAAGCAGTCAGCGAGGGGGGAATGGTGGTGGATGGGGAGTGCGCGTTGGCGAATAGTCGGTGATGACGTGATGAGTGTTTGTAAGATTATAAGATACATGGAGGACCTCTTGAAGATTGCCGTTATATCCAAAGATCATAAATCCATCCTCCCAGGTGGATAAGTCGGGTAGACTGGGTCGAAGTGGGTTCGACGGAAGGTTGAATAACCGTTGAAGCCGGTGGAAGGCTGGATAAATACTAAGACTAGCTGAAGCCTAAGTATTTCTCCATCCTTCCACCGTCTTCAACGATTATTCAACCCTCGATCGAACCTACCCAGCCGACCCAGCTCCCCCCCTCCCAATGACCCCATTCGCTTGCACGACCCAACCCTTCCACCTACAACCACTTCCCCAACTCCCCCTCCGTCCACTCCCAAACCCTCCCTCCTAAAACCTCATCCTTCCCCGCCGCCGACATTTCCCCCTCAGGCACCCTCTTTCCAACAGGATCATACATCCCCCCACTCTCCAACCCTCCATTTCCCACCGTCGCCGCCCAAACACTATTCTCCGCCCCCTGTTCCACACTCACCAACCCCCTCTGCCCCGGAATCAACCCACACCCCAACTTGGTAACCCAGTACTCAACAAAGCTGAATCCCCTAACCATATCACTCTCCACAAACCCCGGCGTGACCGTCACGCTCGTGATATCCGGGTACCGCTTCGCAAGCTGGGCGGTGTACAGCGTGACAGCGAGTTTCGACTCCGTATATCGCCGCCATTTTTCTAGTCCTAGCCAATCATCCTTATCCTTTTTGAGGCCGTCTCCGGATACGCGCTCGAGCGAAACGGTGCCAGCGACGCGGTAAGAGTAGGATCCCAAGTTGATGATCCTTGCACTTCCGTGACCTCCCGGACCTCCCGGACCGGCACCAGCGTCTTGGGCTTGGGAGTTGCGCAAGAGGGGAAGGAGTTTCCGGATAAGCAGCGCATGACCGAGGAAGTTGGTAGCAAATTGGATTTCGTAGCCATCTTCTGATACCCCCAGCGGCGCAGCGGCGATGCCGGCGTTGCAGATTAAGAGGTTGATTTTGTCTTGTGTTTCTAGGAGTTTGGAGGCGGTGGCGGAGACGGAAGCGAGGGAGGCGTTGTCGGTGGGGAGGAAGGTGATGTTTTTGCAGATTTGGGGGTCGGACTGGGAGTCGGCTTCGGAGCGGATTCTGGAGATGAAGGCGTCGGCGGCGGCGGAAGAAGAGGGGCGGCCGGTTATGTAGATCTTGCGGGGACTGAGACGGGCGAGGGCGAGAGCGGTGGCGGCGCCGACGCCGCGGGTGCCGCCTGTTATGAGGATGGTTTTGCCGGTGAGGGTGGTCATGGTGTTGAGGGATGAAGGGATTGAGATGGTGATTTGGGGACTGGACGTTGAGGTCGGGATGGGAATCGTGTCCTTTTTATGTCCGGGTCTTGTTCCACTTGGTTGCCTGGAAGCTCATAACGCCGAATTAATAATGCCGTCGTGACATTCAGACTGCCGATGTGCGGCACAGCCCCAAAACAACAGCGGCTATACTGGAGAGAAGCCTTCGAATACGTGATCCTACAGCGGTTGTCGCGCCTATTGGTCGGTTGCCCCGCCTGCCTCCGACCCCTATCGGAAGATATCATATCATCACCTCTGTGGTCGCCGGCCCCTTCCCCTACGACAGGGTTAGGGTTGTGACATCAATCACCATCAACTCGCACTAGACACTCGGCAATAACAGGTCATTAACGATACTCCTATGTGAGCCAAACCCCTAAGAATGATATCCAACCCTTCAAAGTCCTCATTATATCCATCAAACCCCAGCGACCACCTCCCCCGTTCTCCCCCTAACCCTTGACTCACAACCCAGCATCATCCTGCTTCCACGTGCTCCCCGGGTACCAACTCGCCCAATTCCCACAATTATCCTCCACGGTTCCCAAACTCCCCCCACCCCCATCCCTAAGCGCATCCAGCCTCTCCAACACCTGCACCCCCAACCCCTGACTAACATGCCAACCCACATGACAATGAAACAGCCACACTCCCGGGTTATTCGTCCTCCAGGCCACCAGCAACCATCCCCAAGCCGGTAGCATCGTCGTATCTCTCCTCGGGGGATTATTCCCCTTAAGAGTGGACTTATCCGTGTTAGGGTTATACTCCCTAATCTGCGTCTCCGCCAGCGGGTTGGCCAGGGGCGGGGAACTACCGAGGATCATGACGTCGTGGCCGTGGAGGTGGATAGGATGCGGGATGGACGAGTTATTTTGCAGGAGGAAGTAAGTGAGGGTGTTGGACCCGGGGATTTGAATCAGGTTGCGAGAGCGCGGGACAGAGGAGAGGGTGTTGTTTGCTACGTAGCGGAGGGTGGGTTCCTGCCAGTTCACACGCAGCGGGGAGTTGTTGACGGGCCAGAAGACGCGGGCTTGGGAGTTGTCTACCGTCAAATCGACGTTCAAGGTGTGGGAAGTGGTGGGGGCGAAGGAGTTGACGTCTGCGGAGCGGGAGACGATGGGTGAGTAATCCCGCTCGGGCGCGGCGCAGCGGGAGTCGGGAGGGGTGGTACCGCGTTGGGTGGGCAGGGAGGTGGAGGAGGCGCCGGAGTAGGAGAAGATGGCGGCTGGGTAGGGGTTGTCGGATTGGCCGCAGGGTAGGGCAGAGAAGGTCACGTTGAACCAGTAGTTGGCGGTCGGCTGGTTGGCATTGATGATGACGTCGTAGCGCTGGCCGATGCCGAGGAAGAGATAGTCGCGAGTGATGGGCTTGATGGGGACCATGTCGGTGGCGACGACTTGGAAGGTGTGTCCGACGAGACTGACGGTGAAGGCGTTTTGAAGCGAGGTATTGATGAGGCGAAGGAGGTGCTTCTTGCCCTTGGTGAGGGTCTTGCGGGTGTAGCTGCCGCCGGAGCCATCGGGGTTGATGTTGCGGCCGTTGAAGAGGACGTTGTCGCTGGCAGGAGGGGAGCCGGGAAAGTTGGGAATGAATGGGTTGTTGGGGTTGTTGACTCGGTGGGCAATTTCGAAAACGGAACCGTAGTACCAGTCAGAGAGGACGAGTGGTCCAAGATCGGTGTCGTAGTCGGCGGATGCGGGACCCTTGATGACGACGGGTCCGAGAACACCGTTTCCGTACTGCAGCGGGAAGTGAGAGTGGTACCTGGTTTGTTAGCGGACGTTGATATGCATTTCGAGAGGGGGCATACCATGCTGTGCCGTATTGGTTGGCGAGGAATGTGTAGGTCTTTCTACTTCCAGGAGGGATGGGGCATTCGGTGACCCCGTTGACTCCGTCCTGGGTGTTGGCGTTGAGCATACGAAGGCCGTGATAGTGTATCGAGGTACTGTCTGTGTTAGATCTTTGCCTCCCCAGGGACATGGATATGGAGGTACCCTACCCGTTGGATCTCATGTTGTTTATGACGGTAATCTGGAGTCTATCGCCCCAGTCTGGACAATGTCAGTACTCGTGATGTTCTAGGTAAAGGGATACACTCACTTGCGCTGATGGTTGGGCCTTTGACAAGTCGACTGTAAGCAAGATTATCATTTGCCCCCTGGCGTCTTTTACATACCTGGAAACTGGCCTGGGTGATGTTAGCTTGATACTTTTGTTCGGTATTCTGCTTGAGACTCACCATTGACAAGCATCGCACTGTACTTCAACCGCCCATCACCCCCTCTCCAAGTGCTTTGTTCGGTCAAGGTCAAGGTGTACTAAGCTTGTTAGCCATGCCATTGTTGCCGTCAGATTGGACTCGGGCTTACTTGTCTGGTAACACCGGTCTCGGGCACATGTGCTTCATAGTCCGTGTTGATGTCAAAGGAGCTTGTCCAGCACTGCCTGTTGGATGCGGTATTGCACGATTGCCGGGCTTCTAGGACCTGCGGTTGGGATTCTGCTAAGGGACTACCGTGGGCAAGACCAGTCAGGAGCAAACTCCATAGGAGTCCGCTAAGAGGGTTGAACATGGCGCTGAAGAGGTCCCGAATCGGCACAGCAAGGCGTTGAAGAAAGGCCGAGGACAAGGCAGTAGATCTGCTGAGCTTGACCAGCAATTCTAACCTTGCCTCTTGAGGGATTTGGCATCATATATCAAGCCGTGAACTGGCGTGAGGATGGCAAAGTGACTTCACGATACAACTGACGGCCCGGTGCATTCATGGTGTTACAACAAAACCATGTGGCGGTCAGTGACACTGGCCACTTCACTACATGCACCTCTAGGTAGCTACGATATGATCATGATGTCCTTTTGTTGTTGTTGACTCGTCTGTCTGCTCTCGAATACCCCTCCCTTTTAGGACCCAAGCAATGTCTGATCGTTGAAGACCAGCTCTACATTCCTTCGACGACTGATGAAGTACGCTCAATAAGGAAGCCGATCCATCACCAGCTTGCAAAATGACTGCCCAACTCCCATCAGGACTGCTCATGGGTCCCTTCTTGGCGATATGTTGAACGAAAAGCTCCAGGTAATCGAGACATGCACGCACGATTGGTCAATGGAATTTCTGGATAACAATATCGTGGAACTCCAACGCGCGACAACAGTTCGCATGGTACCGGATTTGGTAGGTGAACACAAACGGTCTACTGTACGACCGAAGAGTACCTCGCGTTGCGTAACCATCAGTGCATTTTGGCCTGGTTCTCTCCAACTGGAATGGCGAACCATGTCAGTAGCCGCTACAACTCCCGATGAGTCCCGAGCTTGGAAGTTTGGTTCCTGCAGCTCGGGCTTGGGCCAACGCTTGTATGGCGAGCCGCATGAGGAATTGCGGCAGTGACTGGCCGGTTGGGAAAAGCCACTGTATGAAAACCTCCTGAGCGATATTGGACCGGCGAGCCTTCTGACATTGTGCTGACCGACAAGGCAGGTTTTGGAAGAGTTCATTTTCTTTGGTGGGTGCCATAAAGGTTAAACGGGCTGAAGCGACCTGGTAGATGTGGGAGAAGAAAAGGAGAGACAGATCCCCAGATAGTCACTAGACTACAGAAGGGGGTTATGTCTTGGTGAGACCGGTTTGGTGCAGCTCCCTATCAACGGCCTGTGATAGTCAACTGGGAGAACAGCAATACGAGGCGTGGAGGGTTGCTTGAACAGGTCACCTACCACTACAGCTAAACAGAACGAAGAAAGCTTTGGCTATGATACGACATGGCATGTGTCACAGCCTTTATGTCCGGCGATCCTAATTTCTCTGTCTCCTTGTTGTGTTCTGCCCATTGTTCATGCTGCGTGTTATCGATCGAGTATGGAAGTCCGAGGGTCGCAAAAGAGGTTACAGAACCAAGCATTTCGGGAAATATCGTGGAGTTACGAGACGTGTCTCGTGGCTGATGGAGGCTGCTGTCTGAAACGTCGGGGTCCGGGGTCCGTCGATTTGGTTACACGCTCCCTCTTCCGATGTCGCCGGTTTCCTCTTCAGGGAAAATCTTGACGGATGGCTAGGAGAGAAGCAGCACATGCCGGTTGACTTCATGTTGATTGCGGTGTAAGGGTCTTGAAGCGAAGCGTGTCTGGAACAGTCGGGGGATTCGGGCTTGACTTGCTAGCACAACAAAGGGTCTGAGACTTGGCTGTCATGCGACAGAAGCGGGGGAATTCGCCTGGAATGTCTTGCATACGATGTTTCCACGCTCCCACCAAGCCGTGGTGGTATTAAGCATGTCTTACACCGGAGGCACCTGTCCGTCCTTCCTTGCTGGGTATCGGGAATGGATCGTTGTTCGAAGTAACTCGTACCTAGCCAAGGCGCGGCAATGGTCATTCGTATACAGGGGATACTACGTACATGGGGCAGTCGTGTCGTCGTGTCGTGCTCATTGTGTCGTAGTGCTCTTGACTCGCTGAAGTGCTCTCGGTCGCGGATGGGGGCATTGTTTGGACGTCGTTGATTGTGTGCGATGGATTTGACTGGGATTCAGGTCTGGTCAGCATTGAACGTTGCGTGAAAGCCAGTACACTGAGGAAAGATGGAAGATATCAAATACGACCGACCGCGATTCCGTCGCCTTCAAGCGCCCGAAGCGACTATCCACAATGGGGACAAACGCGCGCAGCGGGACTGGAAAGATGGCGGTAACAACCCTCCGGTTCAAGTTCGGGTGCAAGAGGTAGAAGGATTGCCGGTTGGGAAAGATGGAAGGAGTGGGCGGCGACATGCATGCGTGCGGTCACAGGTGCCGTCACCTGACAAGCCACGGGAGACGGGAAGCGTACATGGCAAACGGGCCGTTGGACTTCGTCAACCCTCAACTGTTTGTCCGTCAACAACAACTTCAACCGCACAGACGACATTGGGTTCCCTGGTCATTTCTTCTGTCCATTACTAGTCTTTCTTGATGTCTCCAGACGAAATGATGTCCATGCGTCTGCACGGAGCAGATCTTCAGGTCAGTACCTAGGTATTCCTGCAACTCCTTCCGCAAACAACTGATCAACTGATGGCTAACATGCTCCCAGTCGTTGGCCTCAAAAGCCAGAGTGGGATGGGACGGAGATTCGGAGAAGCACAACTCGGCGTTGAGTACGCCGAGAGTATCCGGGGATAAGTTCCCTACTCAAGCCGCTTCGCCTGGTTGCTGACTTTGAAGGATCACGGGACGCTCCGAGATGTTCGCAAAGATTACCCTACCATCGAAGCACGGCTGTCATGCTGACACGGCACTCAACCCACGTGGCTTGCCAACCCTTCAGCCGCTCCCGGGTTCGGAGCTGTCAAGCGAAGATTGGTTAGCATCAACCAGTCTTATAGCTCCATGCCCCAAGCACGGCAGTTGGATTATCGTGTCTGCCAGCCATCTTCCTGCTTTCACATCGTGTTTGAGCCTCGACACCGAAATAGAATCATGAGACGGCCCAACGTCTTTCCGCTGACGGTGCGGTTTCGGCTCCAGAAGAAGGGAGAACTGGGAGTCTCGGGCCTCGAGATGGATATAAAGATGTGGATCGACGCTGTTGGTAGAGACAAGATCCTGAACAGCACTGACATCGCCAGCTCTCCTCTCAAGACTTTCACGAGAAAGAGACCATGAAAGCTCTGCTGCAACTCTCCTTGTTCTTGGCCCAGGGACTCCTTGTCTTTGGGACCACAACAACAGGAGGTCCTCCCAAGTGCAATGCCGACAAGTAAGTTACTCTGTTCCCAACCTAAAGTGTTGACGGCTAATACATCCAGCTGCTACCGCGCCCTGTTCCCCTGCCCATCTCCCTCCGCCGTCTCCGTAGCCTCGGGCTTTTGCGCAACCATAACCGCCTCCGGCACCACCGCAACCAACTATCCCACCCGAGCTACCAACGCCTGCGGCCTTACTCCCGATCGCTACATCTCCGCTTGCAAGTGTGGCCCGACCTGCTCCTACACCACCACCACCGCTACCGCAACCACGACGGTCGCCTGTTCCTCCGCTACCCCCTCCAACGGCGGCCTCATCTACGGTGACTTCGAATGCCCGTCCCCTTCTCCCCCCTGGACAGTCCAAATCCTCGACCCCTCCTTCTCCCTCTCCACCACCACGAGCAACAGCTTCACCGGTAACCGCTCCCTCCGCGCTTCTCTCACCGGCCCATCCACTTGCTCGGGCGTGTGCTCCAACGCGCGCATCATCAGTCCTCCGCTACCCATTACCCCAAACACCGATTACAAACTCACCCTCGCCACTTTCTTCCCCAACAACACCAACGGCGGGACTGGTTCCACCGGGTTCATCGGCGTCCAGATCAACGGGCGCGCAGGCCTGACCATCGACGCCAACGACAACCCGGGTCGCGAAAGATGGCGCTTCACGCAGTCCCCCTGGCGTTCTCTGTCCACCGAGACCACAGCCGGAATAAGAATTGAGTGGATCGGCCCTCCCTCTTTCCTCGACACCATAACCTTCGCTCCCGTAACCGCTTACTGCGGTCCCTCCCCTCCTCCTTTGGGAATCCTCCCCGGCGGCGAATTCGAATGCGGCGGTCTCGGCTCTTGGACACAACAAGTTCCCGACCCCGGTGCCATCGCCGGCGTTGTCACCTTGCCCATCCCCGGCCAAGTCAACCCCGACTACCGCTTCGGGTCGCACGCCTGGCGCGTTGTCTCTCCCCAGAAGCCAAACCCAGCGAACCAGGATTCCCTCGTCTCTGCCCGCCTCATTTCCCCGACGTTGTCGGTGATCCCCGGACGAAAGTACTTGATCAGCTTCTCCACGTACTTCGATGCGTTTGGGATTGGCTTTATGGGGCTTATGGTTAATAACCAACCGATCTATACGAGGGATCCGGGGGATCAGGGGCAGGGAGGAGTCGGCTGGTGGGGACCGAATACGGTTTACTGGACGGCGCCCGAGAACGTGTCGAGTGCGCAGCTCAAGTTTGAGGCGGTTATGGCGGAGGCGGGGACGATGGGGGTTGATGCGGTGGTTATGGTGGAGGTTAATCCTGCTGTCACTGCTTGAGGGTCGGGCGAGGGGGGCTGTAGCTGGTTTGGGTGTTGTGGTGGTGATGTTTGGAGGACCTTTTACTTTGGCTAGCCCTGAGAGTTTGGGTGCGGGTGGTCTCGACGACAAAAGTACCAGACAGCGCAACGCAAAGGTCCTTCGCTGAGCCAAGACCAACCCTCATTGTCATCAAAACGGGTCGTTGTTCAAGTTTAGATGCAGTGCTTACTTGGCTTTATTTGACGATGCTACGAACAAAAGTTGTGCCTCTCCGCTCCTCGTCCATTGTTCATGTTTCGATACACTCAGGAAAGAAGAATCGCCTACCATTGTGCGTCTATGTGTGAAGACAAACTGTGGGGCCAAGAAGGAGTATAAAGGGGTGACTAGATCAAAATGATCTGAACTGCTGTGCTATCTACCGTTCCACATCAGTGCCATCCATCCATCCGAGCTTTGGACCACCGGGGCAGCAATCCAACACAGACCATCCAAAGACATTCGAAACGCCCAAACCAAGCAAGCACCACAACCACCAGAATGAAACCAACAACCATCCTCCTCCCCCTCTTACACTTGTCCACCCTCGCCTCCGCCAACAAAGAAGGCAAATCATCTCTCCCCTCCTCGACTCCCTCTCAACAGCTTACTCCACCCTAACAGACTCTCTCACCCTCTACACCAACCCTCCCTCCAACATCGCCTGCGCCGGCGTCGACTCTTCGCCCATCATCTCCCTATCTCATTCAATCTTGCTTTCCATCGAAGCCAGCATCCCCACAATCAATAGCTCCGAAACACTCAACGTCCTAGGCATCTCCAATGTCGGCAGTTCCATCCGCTTTTTAGCGGTTGTCGTTAATGGAACAATGGAGGCTTTTCTTGCGGCACAGCCGAAGCTTAAGCAAACGGGACTGGGGGGGGGTTGGTGGTTGGGGGTTGGTGGACGGGTATCTGTTGAAAGGGCAGAAGGAGGGATGGGAAAGAGTGTGGGATATGCTTGAGGGAAGAACGGGAGCGCTGTTTAAGAAGATGATGAGGGAGTGGGAGGGGCCGGTGGGGGAGGTGATGGGGAGGGTTGTTGGGGAGTTTGGGGCTTAATGGGGGGTTTAGGGGCTGGGGAAGGAGAGGTGATGGGAATGGAAGGAGAGGTGATAGGAAACTTTGGGGGGGAGGGGTTAGGGAGGGAAGGGGGGAGGTGTGATTGGGATAGTGTGATGGGGGAAGCCGAAAGGTGTGGAATGAAAAGCGGAGAGTGAGTTGGAAAGGGTGACGTTGGAGGTGGAATAGGGGTTGGGGCTGGGGTTCCGGTTCGGGATGCTGTTCGTCTTTACGATGGGAAAGAGCGATGATGGCGATGTACATCAGGAAGGGCCAAAGGGATGACCGGGATGGCCGATGTAAGGTAGAGGTAGGTGCTGTTTGTGTCCGTCCGTTCAAATTGCTCAGCATTTCCATTTTATTTCATGTTCACACTGCACATTGTCTCTTCCGTTCACATTCATTGCTGCCGACATATTCCTTTCTACTTTGCAACCCAGGATATTATCAAGCACGCAAAGGGACTATCTCCGACTTCATCAGCATTACTCCAGAAGTGACGCCAGATCAAGATACAGAGCATCAATTCGACCACGAAACACCATATCACTTTCCGACTCCTCGTCCCAAGAAAAATTTCGTCCAACAACCGCCCTCCTTGGGCTAACACCAAGCCCGCCAATTTCGGAATGGGAGCAGCCTCCACACCACCAGCTCCTCCAGCTCGTCCAGTACTTCCGGTACCATCAAGGGTACCACGGATTCATCCAAGGCTGTTGATACCACCACCACCTCCTCCATGGTCCCAACCGCTCGACGATCCGGGGCCTCTGGAGCTTGCTCCGGTTGACTGGGACCGGGTCCTTCAACAACAGAAGGATGGATTTCTTTCTTGTGCGCCCTCATATGAGTCTACTCGTGAGCCCTCATACCGTGACTGTCAACCCGGTTATGAGCTCCGATCTCCGCCCCCATACCATCCCGGCAACCAAGCTCCGTACCATGACGACCAACCTGGCCGTGAGCCCCAATACCCGCCGCCCTCTTACAGAATGCAGACCTCATATTTTTCCCATTCCTATGATCCTTGCAGCCGCCAGCTCGCTCACCAACTCACTGAGGAGCAACACGCTGAGAAACAGCCCGCTGGCAAACCCGCTGGCAAACCCGCTGACCAACCCGCTGGCAAACCCGCTGACCAACCCCCTGCGAAACAACTATTTCGCCGCTTGGATTTTCGTAGCAAGCCTCTCCCCACATTTTGGAGAGGAGGCCGCCTGTACATGCAAAGAACATGGGCACACCAGCAAGCTGACCAGCAGCCCGCTGATCAACCCGCTGAGGAGCAATCCGCCGAGAAAACCGCTGAGCAACCCGTTCACCAGCCTGCTGAGAAGCCCGATCGCCGCTGGAATGCCCGTAGCGAGCCTCTCCCCATGTCTCACAAGCATCGGAAAACAACAAAACAACAATTATCGGAGGAACTACAACGCCGAGAGGAATTTGAAATCGATATGGTATCAGAGTCTAATGACCGATTTGTCCATGAACAGACCCAACAGACCCAACAGGCTCAACAGGCTCAACCTGCTGACCAACCCGCTGAGAAGCAACCCGCCGAGGAGCAACCGGCTGAGATGCTCTCTGAGGACCAACCCGCTGACCAACCCCCTAAGAAGCAACCAGATCGCCGCTGGAATGCTCATAGCGAGCCTCTCCCCATGTCCCACAAAAGAGGCCGCACACATAGGGAAACAACATCGGAACTAGAGTGTGACACGTCCAGTGAGACTAATACGGAACTTATCAGAGGGGTGGGCTACCACAAATGCAGCGACGATTGCGAAATTCACAAAATATGCAAAGGAGAACAGTGCGGGTGCCATCTCCCTCGCCCCCCGCGAGCAACGGCCTGTTACGCATGCCAGCTTGCCAAAGTGGCATGTAGACCTGCAATAGACGGAAGTGCAGTGTGTCAGCGTTGCCTGAGAAAGCCAGGCCCCCATCGCTGCAACAGAGGTGGTCAGGATGACAACGGAGGCCGAAGAGAGCAACGATCGTCTGAGCAGCTAGAGTGTGATGCGCAGTCTGTCCATCAAGACATTCCACAGACGGAACAAACGCAACAGACACAAGAAACAGAACAGACACAACATACACAACATACACAACAGACCCAACAGGCTCAACAGGCTCAACACACCCAACAGTTAGCATATCAACGTGAAATAGCGCGACTTTTTGAAATCCGCCGCTCTCTTGAACTCCGCTTTGGGAAGCGTTAGCGTTCGCATGATGTTGATTCAGTCAAGTGTTCAATATGGAACTGCCCGGATATGGACATGGACATGGAGTGCAACAGCGCACACACCCGCTAGTAACCTGGAGTCCAAGAGCAGGAATCCTAAAGAAGTGCAATTCCGCCGCTGCTCGTTCCAGGACTGGACTTGTTGCGCGAGAAGTCTCGGAGGAAAATGATTCATGATCATGATGGCGTTAAGGGATGTGGGCTGCCTCTATGATGGGAGTGATGAAGCGGATAATTGTGGACGTCTTCGCCGTTGCCCTTGCCGTTAGAGGTCTCTTGGTTTGTGATGTGAAGACTGAAGACTGTAAGACTGAACAGGGGAAAGGTTCGTCTCATCTCGAAATCTCGAAGCTAAAAACGGGTCGGACCGTTCCGTCTGCTATCCACGGACCCGTTATGGGACAGTGAAAAGATGAGATGATGGGGGCGGAGAGTGGGGGGTTAGCCGGATGCGTGGGGGCATCCCCTTACATTGCATCCTTCTTTTCTTTTTGTTGTTCTGGGACACATGTATTCTTTTCCCATGTTTCACTCTTTTCTCCAGCGGTCCTTGGTTTTTACCCTTCATTGCATCGGTAGAAGGCGTCATGGATAGGGGGAAAACTTGGATAGAAAAAATGGGGCAGCTGGAGCAAACCAAGGAATGGAATGGAAAGCAGAGAGCTCGCTGTCATCGTCGACGACACTGGAGATTATTCTTCCTTTTTTTCTGGGTTCGATTAATTGAATTTGTTGATTCCTCTGGTGTTTGGGCTTTTTTTGTCTGCTCGTTTATCTTGCTTCTCCTCGTTCGTAGACGGCGTCATGCCATGGATCAGAGGGAAACTTGGCGGGGAAAAGAAGAAGGGAGTTGGAAAACAAGGGGCCAGGAGACTTGAGGTATCTGGCCTTGGGAAACAGAAAAATAACAAGCAAGCAATGTGCACAGAAGATGGTTTACTTCAATAGATCAATGTGACGCATATCAACCTACTTCTACCAGAAAAAGGACTCAACGCCCTTCAGCTTGAGCGTTAACGCAACAAAAAGAGCAAGACCACAACCCTTCCCTAGATAGGTAAGTACCCTACTATCCCACCGGTACTTCTAAAAAGACACCGTAAAACCCCCCATCAACCCCCACTCCCCCTCCACCTTCCTCTCCCCATTCCCATTAACCCCATCATCCAAAACCACCACCCTCACCACCACCACCCCCTTCGTGTCATACCCAAACTTCCCCCTCGCCTCCAATCTCGCCCCATCCCAGCGAAACTCAATCTCACTCTCCCTCCCACTCGAATCCAGACTCTCGCCATCATCCAGGTACAACCTCCCCTTCGCTTTGCCGTTCTGATCAGGAGCGATGATGATCTCAAAGTTACGCTGGTGGACTTCTTTTGTTGTCATCGCTTGTTCCTGTCCAGAGTCCGAGGAAGCGTCGGAAAGTCGAAGAGGGAGGATAGACCCCCCGCGGATGTAAACGGGGATTTGATCCCAGTCTACTCCGGTGACGGTAATGGTTTGGCCACCTGCACCTGCTGAGGCTGAGGTTTGATCAGAGATACGGGAATGAGTGAAGAAATCGTACCATACCCCCTGCGGGAGGTAAAAGGAGACGGATTGGACGTCGTCTTCTACCACGGGTGAAACGAGGAGTGAGTCGCCTAGGAGGAATTGGGTGTCGATGGCGAAGGTGGCTGCATCTTCGGGATACAAAAACCAGAGCGGTTTGACGAGGGACTCGCCTGTCTTGCTGGCGAAGTAGAGGCCTGTGTAGATGTAATCTAGCAGTCGGTATCGGGTAGCAATCGCTTTGCGGGCAGCAGCGGCGACGGAAGACCACCGGTAGAATTCCTGGTCGGGAGCGGAGATGTCGGCGTGGTTCCTGTAGAAGGGTTGCCAAGCGCCTAAGATTGCCCACCGGGCACACATCTTCTCTTGCGCCTGGCCGTTGAAGCCACACACGTCTGATCCAACCATCGGGTAGTTGTGCACGGCGCTGAAGCTGAGTAATTGGCGGATTGAGGCGCGGTAGTCGACCCAGGAAGAAAAATTGTCGCCGAACCAGTGGGCTGCAAAGCGGGAAGACCCTGAAAAGGTGGAGCGGGTGAGGAGGAAGGGACGTTTAGTGGGCGAGCGGGAGAGCAGGGCGGAGCGAGAGACGGAAGACATGGTGAGGGCGTAGAGATTGTGGGTGTCGTATTGGGTCGAGCCGTCCGAGTTGGTGATGTTGGTGAAGAGGGTGCGCGAAGAGAGGGTGGGATAGTGGTTTGCTATCTGGTACTGAGGGGTGAAGAGGTCGCGGTTGGGGAGGCCGAGGTGTTGTCCGTCGCCGGGGGCGCGAGGAGAGATGACGGTTTGGGACTGAGGGAGGGAGCGAGTCTCCTGAGCAGAGGACAGACAAGTGGTATCGGCGCACATATTGCTCGCCTCATTCATGTCAATCCACAGCCCATCGACATCAATCCCATTGTTCGGATCATAAAACGTCAAAATTTCCGTCGTCCACCACTCCTTCGTCTGTGGCGCAATCCAATCCGGCCAGACCACCTCCCCAGGCCACTGCAGACCACGATACCAAGACCCGTCGGCTGCCTTGAGAAACACATTCTTCTCGGCCCCTCTCTTAAACGGGCCATAGTCGCTCTTGTACCTGATCCCCGGATCCAGAATCTGCACATACCGCATATCTTTGCCGTGTAGCTCCTCCACGAACCCCTTCAGCTGGTCTTTGGGATATCGTACCGGATCAGTACTAAAATCCAGCTTGTTGTCCATATAATCGATATCATCCCACAGCGCCTCCAACGGGATTCCCGCATCGCTATAATTCTTGACAACCTGCTTGACGTGTCCCAGATCCGGCCAGCCGTATTTACACTGGTGGAAGCCCAGAGACCAATACGGCATCATGGCCGGTAGCCCGACGACTTCCGCATACTGCTTGCTTACTTCTTCTGGCCCCGGTCCGGCCAGGAAGTAAAGATCTACAACCCCGCCGATGGTGTTGTACTCGAGGTATTGCTCCCCTGCATCACTCTTCCCAATCACAATGTCCATCCCCGCCGCACTTCTCAAGAAAACACCATGCGTCCCCGTGCCACCGCGGTGCTCAAAGTAAACAGGGTGACTCCCGTACAAATTCTGGTTCTGCGGTATGTACGGCGCCTCGGAATTCCACAACGTTCTTTTATAACCGCTCGTCGGCAAACGAAAAGAATCTGAGTGTTCACCCAGCCCGTACAGATTCGGGTTTGGAGGCAAGCGTGTGCGCAAGCGGAGATATTGCGTCTCGAAGATCAAGGGTGAGGGAGAAGTATCGAAAAGGACGTCGCCGGTGCTGGCTCGTGTGACTTTGAATGAGAAGGGGTTGGCTTCGTAGGTAAAGCGAAGAGCGGCGGTTTGGGAGCTGGAATTTTGTGAGGGAGGTCGTGGTAGGATGCTGTCCTGTATCTGGAAGACATTTTGCTCACGGTCTTCGATTAAGACGTGTAGGCGGGTGTCTGCAAGTGGCAAGTGAGGTGTTAGATCACGGTCTGGGTTGAAGTATTGAGGTGACGGTGAAGCACAGAGGGAAGGCAATATCTCACCGGTCTGGTATTCCACGGTCAAGCGCAAGTTGGTGATGTCTTCGCTGTAGAGATTACAGCTGGTGCCGGCAAGAGTTAGGTCGGCGACGAGATATGAGTCCCCGGATTGGACGTTGGTGACTCGGTATCCTGGGCATGTTGCCAGAGGCGCCGCGGACGCTATCGAGAAGAGCGACAGCAGCGCAAGGAGTTTGAGCATCATGATCATGGCGAATCACTCGCTTTGCACTTGATGCAGTGCGGCGAATTGGGAATCGAGTGTCGGGATAGCATCTTCCTTGTTGAACTGGAAGTGGCAGCACCAGGTAGATAACTGCCTGGTTACTGGACGATTTGTCGTTTGCGATGAGGAAGGAGAGACCGGATGACAGCATTCACGCTTGCATCATTGCATCCTTCCAACTGCAGACGGCTGCATCCCCAACTTCGATCCCTTTCATGATGCGTTCACATGGTGTACTACACCAATCCGTTGTCGTCGTCCCACGACCAGGGCAGCATCCGTGATGATCATCTGCTGTGTCTACGAAGTTGGATTGTCGTTGGATGCCGTGATGTGCAGCACAACCAATAATACCTGCTAACCTCCCCCTTTTCGGCAATCCGTGCTGTCCGTCCCTGGTACGCCGTTGCTATGTCGTTGGGAAAGCAAATCACAAGGGTTTCGTGACCCGGTCGCCGCATGATCCCCTGGAATGGGGGGTATCACAGAGAATGCGGGGGAACCTTGATGGAGGTTGGATGGAAGCTGGTTGGTGAGAGCACGAGGCATTGCGCAAGCCAATCAACGTGCAATGTCCGTTTCCTAGATGCCGACTGGAATGAGAGAATGGTGATCTTAACCGGTCCTTGGAAGTTTTGGTGTAGATAGTGCGGCCATCAGGAGTAGGCATTGAAGCTATGGTGTTTGGTGTTGCGGGCTCATCGGGACTGTGCAGAGCGATCTTGATGATGACATTCTGCAAAATTGGATGAGACTTCGCTGTCTGTCATATGACAGCACTGTCTGGGCCAGCACTGAGACCAAACTGGCGGATTGCCGCTCCAACATGGTACCCTCGAAAGGGCCACGCGCAGGGCTTCTTAAACGAGGAACACACCACTCGTCGACCGTTAACCAAACACGTGGATCTCATGGTTTCACAGTCGCGACGCTGTGCAACGCGTGATGCTCATGAGGTGGGAGAGCACCAGAGGATTCCCGCCTTGGGCTGTATGAAAGGGAAGTTGAGGCGAGCCAGTGGCCAGGATCACAAGCTCTTCATGGCCTACAGCTCGGTGTCAAGGATCCTTCATCACGCTTTTCCTCCGCTGCCGGTCTAGACAATAGAGATTGTCTCCTCTCTCCCACCCTGCTCAAAGCAACTAGGATAACGCTCCCAATAGTCCTCCCTCGCATCCTCCACCCCCTTATAACCTTCGCGGCCTTCGTGAATGATACCGATCCGCTTGTACATCCTTGCCACCTTGGCACCATCGAGCTCTGTCGATTCGCTGTCAACGCCCTGCAAAACCAGTGCATACTCCATATCCGCCAACCACTTCTTCTCGTTAGGTGTAGGCAGCCTCCTCCCCACCCTTCCCATCCTCAAAACCTTGATATCACTCCCCATGTATTCCCTACTGTCAGTTCTCTCCATAGACAAAAGCTCGGCCATCGAGTCAGGATTGAATCCCTCCTTGACCAAGATCCCCAGCTCATCAGGCTTCGAGCCTTTGAGCCCTTGGGCGTCGGAGTGAGTCATTAAGACGAAGCTGGTTCCGCGTTCGGAGGCATATGAGATGAAAGTCTTGACGCCCGTCGGGTCCATGGGAGTGTTGACGCTCAATGTGACGGTAGCCTTGGTTTCCGCCTTTCCGGACTTCGAGTCGGGCAGTTCAATGTCCCGGTACAGACTCGCATCAAATAGCCTACCTCTGACAACCAGCCGCCCGCCAGAAATACGGCCAGTTTTATCCGTAGTAGCCAGCGTAGTCTCCGCCTCGATGATGTTGCACAGTGCTTTTACCTCACAGGTAGACCCATTTCTTTCCGTCCCCATTCGGGGGAAAATAACAGGCACGTCACGAGCAGCCCAGGACCAGCCTGGGTGCTCGCCACTCGTTCTTACCTTGTAAGATACGATCGATTGAGTGCAAACTCCACACATACGCTGCGGTCCACAGTAAATCTGTCAGGAGGGAGTCACTCCAAAGGCCCGCTAGGTACCGCACCGCAGGACCTCGCTTCTTGCTCATCTGTTGAGCGAGCCCAGATAGAGCAGGGAACTTGTCCCCCGGAAACGACAACTGGAGGCGGGAATATGACTCGATAATCTTGTGCCATTGGTGAGCCAGCATACCGCCTGCCGATTGAGCGCCAGACTGTCTGGGGGAATTCAGCGCTTCGTAGTGCCCCTCCTTGAAGAAGGCATTCCGAAATGGGGGCGGCTGAGGACACTGACACGTCCCTACCGTCTTACACTCCCACAGCAGTTCTTTCTTGACAAAATGAGCCACCCTTGGACTCAAGAGCATCTCTTGATGGACCCAACCACGGGAGAGCAAGGGCGTACGATGGTTGGTTGGATAGGGGTGGTCGCCTAAGCCTAGTTTGAAGTAACCTAGTATGTCAAAGGGTTTGCTTTCAGGAGATGATGTGGTGCCGGTAAGACGGACGAAGCTGGAGGAATCGCGGATTGGTAGACCACCGCTGCCATTGGAAGCAGCAGAGGCTGCGATGGTGAGGTGCCCGTTTTTGTAGATACTGCACATCTTGGCGGATTCCTCTGCCCAGTCTTGGGGAGAGTCCTGGATGATGCATAGAGAGTCAATCCAGATGTACGAGATTCCGAGATGGGCGGTAAACTTGATGGCGTCTTGGAAGGTTTTTGGGATGCTGTCCCACTCGATTCGCTCTAGGTGTTGGGCGATGTTGTGGGTGGTCGTGGTCAGCGGCTGCGCTCCTCCCCAGCAGTGACTGAGGCAGGTGTACCGGCCGAGGGTAGGTGAGTTGTGCTCGACAAGACAGATGTCGGTATGATTGGCGCCGATGTGGATGACTCGGCGTGGGAGGAGGGTTTCTTCCATGCCAGGACAGCCTGGGTGATGGGTCACGCACGTTTTGAGCCAGGCGGAGGCTACTTGGTAAGAGTGGGAGCCTAGCATATGGGCGACTAAAGAGGTATGCTGTTTGGCGTCGAATGTGTTCCAGGGGCATGGAAGAGCTTATGCGGTGTTAGTCTGGGAACTGCTCTTCAGCGGGGACAATACTCACTCTCAAGCGAAGAGATATTGACAAGTCGGTTCTCCTCTTCATCCCCAGTGCTAAGTTTAGAACCCTCCCGCACGCGAAGGCCCGTGATTTTCTGAAGATTATCCCTCGCACCCCAGGTTTCAAGCTCTTCGTCAATGCCCAGACGTCTTCCCAGCTTCCTTTCAGCCAGCGCCAGAAGAATGCGGCATTGCCAGCAGGTATCGGGGGATGCACTCACAACTCTCAAGACAGCTTTGGTGAGAAGGAAATATGACTCCGGTTTGCTGTTCATGGCCGTCTCGCACTCTCCGCATCTCGTGTCTGGAAGAGGGGCGCGGGATATCAGGGTGTTGCTGGACAAAGGTGACTCTTCCCACCATGTCGACAGTGACCAAGGCACAGCCTTGGGTTGCGGAGCTGGAGAGGGATCGTCCATGGTTCGAAGCGGGCTCTTTGATCGGATGATGGTAGAGATCACCACGGGAGTGTTGAGAAAGAGGTGTTTTGTCGAAGTTGTGGGAGGTGCCCTCCAGAGCTTGGTAGCGTCGTAAGCACTAATTCGTAGAGCCAAGGCACCCAATTGGCACCATGGCAACGGCGCCGTGTAGCTGACGACATCATCGGCTTGGTCGTCCTCGCGTTTTCGATGGAGCGAACATATCCAGTGTGGTAGCTATGCCCGGCACGAGGGAGATCAAGTATTGGAGGGGTCCCAGGAAGGGAATGTCGTCGGAGGCGAGTGAGATGTTCGCCTAACTTGGTCTCTGCGAATCTTGGTGTCCGGGAGATAGTGGAGTAACTGCTTTGGTTGCTCCCTGCACATTTGCGACCTCACGGAACGGCAGTACTCGGGACATGCTGACTGGGATCTGGAAATTGCCGACGTAGATGGGCGCATTGCAATGGCAGGAAACTAATTGTTTGAAGATGGATGTCAATCGGGTTGCTGTTGTGGGAATGAGGAAGCGTTTGCGGGAAGAAAAGAGAATTTTCAGGGAGGGAAAGATGCAAGAATGACCTGCAGCATTGACGTTGGGCAATATTTTGTACAGGCGGCCACAGCTCACAACCATGGGAAGGAGCAGCCAACAAGACGAGAGCAGTCTCGGCACTACATCGTCCACAAAACAACCGACTGAAGAGACGCTAGGCTTTTGAAAAGGGATTAACGTGAAGGAAACGTGAGAAATCTGTTGGCGTGTAAGTTGTTTCTGGACCAAACTGAATTGAAACCAACAATCCTAGCGACATTACAGAACGCATGAACAATGTTGGGCAATTGAAAAAAGTAACTGGGATTCACAAGACAAAAGCGACAAAAGAAAAAGAAAGTGGCAAAAGGACGAAACCGTAGAAATGGAATAAGAGCAAAAAAATGCAAAAAAGATATTGAGACTCGGATACCGGGAGTCGAACCCGGGGCTGTTGAGAAAGCAGTCACTCCTGAGAAGTGAGAGTCAACGATGTTACCGCTACACCATACCCGATTGAACTGGTACGGTCCGATTTGATGGAATTGTGGCTCAGTAGGAACCCTTATCATTGAACTCCCATTTACTGAGGGGTCCATCAGTTTCCCCGCGCCACGATCATCAAATGCAAACAACGACCTGGAAAGCTTCCCAGGAAACGCTCCAAGTTCACAGAAACAAAATGAGTTCAGTCATTCAATCTGACACAAAGTGTATGTTCTAGACCATCAAGCGGACCGCAAATGCTAGCTGGCTAGACTCAAAATACTCCCTGGCTAGACTAAACCCACTTTTTTAGGTTGTACAGCCAATCTCTGGCTCCCGACCGCGCTCATCAACCTTACTATATCGCTAGCCAAATGTATTCGAAGCTATCACCATCTCCGTCGCTATTATTCCGTCGCAATCGTTGTCAATGTCATTGTCGATATCAATATCAATATCATTATCATTATCTCTATTGCTATAGAACTCCCCCTAATACTAAGTACTTTTAGTAAGCTAAGCAGGAGGGCGTCTATAGGCGTAAAGAGCAAATTTCCAATATCTTCCCGCACCTTCCCCAGTATTTATATGGTTGGTGAAGGGCTTCACCTAACGTATAATAACTGGACCAGTATATATGACACTAATATCAATAGCTTCACTTCTTCGCAACTACCGATGTAATATGTCTCGTGAAGTTTTTGCGCGGTTAGTAGAGGTACCTATGGCTGCACATCCCAAAAAGAAGTGGGTTTAGTCTAGCCAGGGAGCATTTTGAGTCTAGCCAGCTAGCCTTTTCGTCAAGCGGACCGTCATCCCGCCAACACCAACGCCACGCTGACAGCTGACCTCGTGTCAATAACGGACCCCGCTCCGCCGAGGCCAGCTAACCAACAAGGTCCTCAAACGGCGCCGGCACGGGGTCGCGGCGGCGTCTCCCCCACCCTCACCAACTCCGCCAACTCCGCTTCATGACATCATTGCTTTTATCGTCATAAGTATAAGTAAACAAAGGCAACCTCTTATATCTGTACATTCCGCACGCATACACCCACATCTTTCACACACTACACAACCTGCCCGGATCAGTACTACGTCCAAAACAAAAAAGATGTCCGAACCCGCCTTCCGCCCCGACCCCACCTCCCCCTCCGACTGCGCCGAGAACCACCGGCGCATGCTCGCCGGCGAGCTATACTACTGCTGGACGCCTGACCTAGTGCAAGGAAGAGCGCGATGCAAGAGCGCGATGCTCAAGTATAACACGGAGGCGGCGGACGGGGAGACGAGCAGGAGGAGGGTGGCTGAGTTGTTGATGGAGTGAGTCCACCCGCGTCACTCAACTCACCCAGTGATTATGAGCTGCTCATCGCCTTACTCACGAACACTTAGCCTTGACACAAATCAGTTGAGTAAAGGGCGTTGCTAATAAAGTAAAAATAGTCTGCTACAAGACCCAACGCCTTTGCCTCCCAAACTCTCCGACCCTGAGCAAGACGCCGCCCAATTCGACGACTTCCCCTACATCGACACGCCTGTCAAGATGGACTACGGCAGCAACGTCAAGCTGGGCAAGGGGGTGTACATGAACTCCTCCTGCACTTTGCTCGACGTGTGTCCCATCACCATCGGGGCGCGCACGCTCATCGGCCCAAATGTCAACTTTTACTCTGCCACGCACCCTATTGACCCTGTTATCCGGAACGGGATGAGGGGCCCGGAGCTGGGGAAGCCGATTGCTGTTGGGGAGGATTGTTGGTTTGGCGGGAGTGTGGTGGTGTTGCCGGGTGTGACGATTGGGAGGGGGGTGGTGGTGGGCGCGGGCAGTGTGGTGACGAAGGATGTGGAGGACTTTGTGGTTGTTGCTGGGAATCCGGCGAGGGTGGTGAAGAGGTTGGATGTGGAGAGGGAGAAGTATGAGGCGATGGTGAGGGAGAATAAGGAGAGGGGGCATTGAACGTTGTTAACAACGGGTTAAAAGTAGATGAGAGTGCTCAGGAACGGCAGTGGGTTATGAAATGGAGAGCTGGCTATAAGTTGCCGAAAAAGAATGGTTGTAGCGTTTCATGGGATTAAAAGGCTTGAAGTCAAGACCTGATCAACATCACGGACGCATACCTCTAGTCCTCTTGGCATCCTCCATCTTTCTCCTCGTCCTCTTCTCCAATTCCATCCACCTCCGATTCATTTCCTCCCTGCTCAGGACCCCCCTTCCCCCATCTGGGTACGTATCAAGATCCTCCATCCCGTTATAACTCCCATCCTCCAACCCCAAAACCCGACAGAGCGCCCGGGCTTTACCATTCAACCAACTCCCATGATTCAGCCCATTCTTCCAATGATCCGGTAACGCCGTGCGCCCCAGTAACGCGCCCAACAACGCCCCAGCAAAACAAGCATTAGTGTCCGCATCACCGCCTTCCATAACCAACCCGGTGATCAACCGTTCGAACCGTTTTTGTTTCACCCGTGGCCCATCCGCCTTCATCCTCTCTCTCATGGCCATCCTAAGGAGTACAACTCCTGCGCCGAGCGTCTTGTAGACATAGCCTATCTTCCCCTCTTCATCCAGCTTTAGGTCTTCCAGCTTTACCCCATGTCCCACATGCCTCCATAGTTCCTGTTCATCCAGCGCCTCCTCGACCGCACCAACCATGTTGACCCCCATCGCTGTATACCACTCCAGCCCCCTTTGTATCAAATGAGATATGTTTCCTTCCGATTCCACCTCCCCCCTCACCAGCCACCTCACCAGTGCACTCCCAATTACACAAGCCACCACGCACCTAGGATCTGCATGCGTCACCCTCCCCAACTCCGCCGCCACAGTAAAAGTCTCTTCTTCTGACCTCCACACGCACATCAGTCCCACCGGCGCAGTCCTCATGAGACTTCCATTGGGCGCCAGCTTATCACCACCAGGAGCGGTTTTCCGTTCCCAATACTCGCGCGCGACGCGGATAGGATCGCGCAAGAAATCGGGCGACCTCACCACGGCGCCGACGAGCGAACCAAGGCCGAGGGGAAGGGTGTCGAGGGGCCGGAGGCCGGATTGGACCCAGATCGAGAGGCGGTTGGCGAGGTCCACAGGGGTGGGGAGTGGTTGGGCGGCAATCTTCGCGGCGAAGGTAGTACCAAAACGATCGTCCAAAGAAATCGGTACGGGGGTTAAGGGAGCGACGCCGGGCCCGGGTGTTCTGGCCGTATGTAGGAAGGAAAGCAGGATGAGTAGACAGTGATCGGTGTCGTCTGTCCAATCTCCGGGCGTGTGCGGGGCACGGTGGTGGTCGAGTTTGAAGGGTGTTGGTTCTACTTGGTCTTGCGGGTTCGAAGGGGACAGGATGAAGCGCTTGTGCGGGTAGGCTTCCTCGGACTCGGAGGCGGAGAGGAATTCGGTGTAGAGACCGATTGCGTCGCCGAGGGCGGAGCCGATGAGGGCGCCGACAACGCGGTCGGCCAACAAGACGCGGAGGAGGGAGGATTCCGTGACGGAGGACGGTCGGGTGCGGTAGAGGAAGTCCATTGTTGTGGTGGTTGCTGTCGGTAAGATGTTTTTGTCGAGAACCTCGTCTAGGGAGGGCTTATGATGGAGGAGGACGAAGAGGGCCCGGTTGGCTCGAGGGGGAGAAGGCTATTACTGTGGTTGTCGAGCTTCAGGTCGGCTGTCGCTAAAGTGACATGTTGGACTGATGGTGCCTACTGGTGCCTGGGGACTCGTCGAGGCGTATTATGTGGTACGGCGCAGTCGAGGGATTCGGTGATGGTTCAAAGGTTGGACGGGAAAAGATACCAGACTGGGATCTAGACAGAGGGGTAAGTCTCATTCCTCAACCACTTGCATAGTCCTTACGTTTCTTTCAGTGAGGTACTACCCCCCTACTACCCTACTATACCCACCTACCCACCAATCATAATATTACACTGCAAGTGAGTGGATGTATGCTGGCGAATCGTTCCGGCAACATGGCCTAGTGAGATAATTTTAGCCTAGTGCACTCAATCCAGCAGCTGGAGGAATCTTAAGGATCATCTGCCGAAACCATGGCCAGTACACGTCTCGAGACCACTGGGCCAGGTACTGAAGAACGCATGTGATGCTGTACACTCCGAGCGCCGACTCTGTCGAACCGATATTTTTTCGGGCCCATAGAGTCTGATAGATCATGTCGTGTTAGTATCTCTATTATACAACGCTAAAAAGAGGAGGGAGGGAGTAGCCTATGCAATGTCGATCGACTTACAGTACGCTTGCCATCGTTCGTAGTTGCTGTCAGGTACCATTCGTGACCCATGACGACAATGCCGGGAAGGAACTCAAGACCGAGATCCTGCGTTTCGTCCCGCATGTCGCCCACCCTACTACTATCGCCGTCCGCATCGCCCTGCGCCATCCAACGCAGAAAGTTCCACTGGGCAGCTTGCCACACCGCTATCTGCAGTTTCGCCTTATCCCAGTTATCGTTAGTCTCGATGCTGACGGTTATGGGGTTGCGGCGGAGGGGAAAATGGTCGGTGTGGTTGATGGAAAGATGGTCGTCCGGAATCTTGGAGCGAACAGCGTCAACCGTCTCGGTGATGTAGTTCTTGCGCTCTGTGCCTTCAACCGTGGCCGGGTCGATGTACAGACAAAAGCCAATCTTCTGGAATGGTGCTAGGGGAGGTTTCCCGATCGCAATCCCAGCAGTTGTGGCCGTCATGAAGTTCACTGGTTGGGAAAAGAGGTTTTTGCTTGGCTGGTTGGACGAGCAGAAACGTAGGGCTATCTCGAGGACCCGGTGGTGTACTTCGGTATTCCACGAGTCCTCGTGGTGCCCGTTCTGCTCGCAGTTCGCGGCTGCTTCAAGGATATTTGACACCTGTTCCGTGGATGGGGTTGGGAGATGATGACGCTTTCGTTTGCGAGAGTCACAGTCCCGATTAGATACGTCTTGGCAGTTAGTAGTGCTGCTACTTGCCTCAATACTGCGAAGCCAAGTCGTGATGTCCATCTATTAATATGAGAGATGGTGACTGGGGATAAGAAGAGAAGAGGGTGCCAATTCTCCGCTAAATACCCAAATACTGAAAAGGATGGTGGGGACGGCTAGAGTGGATACATTCTTTTCTTTTGTTGTGTGTTGTGGACCCCTGAATTCACTGGGCTGATCGGCACGGGTCCGGTATAAGTGCCAGGTTGTTCCGAGAATGGGAACGGGATGTAATATTGCGAACATTCATTCAAAGATCCTTTCTCAAGCCGACGAAACACTTCATCCCGGAGACAGAGTTGATAAACAGACTTGCATTTAATCATATAGATTGGACGTTAGACGTCAAAACCCGGCCCCATTTCTCGAATGACTTGAGTGCCTTTAGGTACACTACACGTGTAGGCAGCTCTTTGTGGGGCCGCGCGGGAAGGTTACGGGAAGTGGGCAGCGCTGTTTTAGCGCATTTAGCCCTGTTAATCAGCACATGCTACAGTGAATGATCTCTTGGCAGGGGCATCTTTTTCTTCCTCTGACAACAACAGAGAACAAGCATCATGACGTCACGATACCAGCGCAACACGGGCATACCATGGCCCAGTACTTCATCGCTGGAACTCACTCACGGTGATAGGCTTTGATGGAGGGTCATTCTCTCCTCTTTGGCCGCCTCGATTGGTGCCATCACCATGGGCACTTCACATGACAACTACGGTACCTTTTGTTCACTCCTTACGGCCACGAATGGACAGATATCCCACTGGAGCGACGCATATCGGTCGTTGTATCCGGAGACACCCAAGGTCCAACATTGTTCCTGGTCTGATAACCGGCTATGCCCTGGGCAGAAGACGGTCCAATGTTTGGTCTCGTCGGATTTATCTCCCCCCCTCTACGACGAAAACAAGCATTACCAACACATCAAGCGATTGGATACGGCATCAAGTCTCCGGAATCACGGTGGTAGTACTGCAGGTTGATCGGCATTATTCCGTCAGTGGGTTGCAAGTGGTATCCTCCTTCATCAACTGTGCCTCTTCGCAGTTCCATATGAAGATGAATCCATGACGCCTTCTTCGACCCAACAAGCCGTCGTCACTTTGGTCGTTGGTTGATATCTGGGACCAACAGGCTGCCAGTTCATGAACAACAACGGGAGACGGCAGCCGGTGCGGGAGTTGGACGGCATCTTACATGGAGGATGGCCCTGGTATCGCGTTAAACGAATGGTATATCATGATCCCCTAACCATGGCTTCAAGCAGAAGTCATTCTCTCGTCTTTTTACATCCAACAACGCTGTCTTTCGCTTCTCGTCAGCATGGTTCTCCTTCATATACCAGCTTTCATACTCGGTCTTTTGACTCTAGGAGCAACAGCCGCTCCCTTCCCTGAGAACCATGTCCGCCATCTCGATACTAGACAAGTGCCCGGCACTCATGCCCTTCATGAACGGGCAATGCCTCACTGGCGAAGGAAATGGGAGAAAAGAGGACGAGTTCCCCCAAACACTCTTCTTCCCATGCGCATTGGGTTGAAACAGGCCAATCTGGATGTAGGACACGACTTGCTCATGGACATGTAAGTTCTCTTCCTGCCTCAGGTCGTCTGAAACAAGTACTAAGAAACAATCCAGATCGGATCCCAAATCACGGAACTATGGGCAACATCTCAGCAGAAAAGATGTCCTCGAAATGTTCTCACCCACTTCCGAGACCGTAGAGGCCGTCAAGAAATGGATAACCTCCTCAGGGATCCCCCAAGACCGGATATCCCGCTCCGAGAATAACCAGGTATCCCTTACCCTCTCCCCATAGTCTTTATTCGGACCCCCTGGAGTGATCACTTACACCGGATGAACAGTGGGTCCAATTCGACGCCAACGCAACCGAGGCAGAAGACCTTCTCTACACGACCTACCACATCTACGAACACCTTCCCTCAGGGTCCAAGACCATCGCCTGCGACCAGTACCACGTCCCACATCATGTGAGGGATCATGTCGACTACATTACCCCAGGCATCAAGCTACGCCCTGACCCAGCCAGGGTTCGGGCTTCGAAACGCAGCCAGCGGCGGGCTCCATCTGTTCGCACGCAGGAACGGAGAGGATTCCGCCCTACTCATCATGGGCTTATACGTGCAGGATTCGATACCCTCCCTCCCTTGAACGAGAGTGTGTGTTACAAGTATGTCACGCCGGAGTGTGTACGGGGTGAGTGATGTTCACAATGTCTGGAGATTATCAAGCCCATCTGACAATATCTCAGCCCAGTATGGCATTCCCGAAGGAACGACGGCAACACCAGGTAACGAGCTCGGCATCTTTGAAGGTCTCAACGACCACTATGTCAAAGAAGACTTGGATGCCTACTTTAGCAGCATATATCCGTGAGCAACAGCCACACTTATATGCTTGATGCAGGATAAGACATTGACAATAGACAAGGAAAATCCCCAACGGCACCTACCCCATCGAAAAGCTCATCGACGGGGCCATCGGTGCCGCCCGGACCTCCGATGAATACGGCGCCGAGTCCAACTTGGACTTCCAAGCCGCTTGGCCACTGATCTGGCCGCAAAAGACGGTCTTGTTCCAGACTGATGATCAGTACTATGAGACCAACCAGACGGAGCAGGATACGCCCTTCAAAGGATTTTGGAACAGTTCGTCGTTCTTTACCCCCCTTCATTCCCCTTTCCCCTCTCCCCAACTGGTGGAACACCACACCTAACCACTTTTGGTTCGACCTACATCAACAGCCTTCTTCGACGCCCTCGACGGCTCCTACTGCACCTACTCCGCATTCAACGAAACAGGCGACTGCAAAGACCCGGCCTGTCTCGACCCCATTTACCCCAACCCATTCGCCAACTCTTCCATCCCTGCCTCCGACAAATACGAAGGCCCCCGTCAGTGCGGCATATACGACCCCACCCCCGTGATCTCCATCTCGTACGGCGGAGGCGAAGGGGACCTCCCCGCTTCCTACCTCCAGCGCCAATGCTCCGAGATCATGAAGCTGGGGCTGCAGGGGATAACCGTGGTGATGGCGTCGGGTGATTACGGGGTCGGTTCGTACCCTGGGGACGACGGTCACAAGAACGGGTGTGCCGGGGAGGGCGACATGGAAGGGAGGGTGTTTTACCCGGATAGCGATGCGAGTTGTCCGTATGTTTTGGCGGTTGGTGCTACGGAATGGGTTCAGCCTGTGCCTGCAAATGCTTCGAACTCAACGGCCAACCACCCAGGAGGACCGTTGATGGAAAGGGCCACATCGAGGTTCGCATCTGGAGGAGGTTTTTCCAACATTTTCCCTTCGCCTTTTTATCAGGTCTCAGCCGTCACTTCGTACTTCGCAAAAGTTGCTTCTCAGCTCAACTTCACCGGCTACGACATACCCGAACCCGTCGCGACGAATTTCACTATTAGCAATGACACCGACCTCGGAAGCGGCGTTTACAATAGGGCAGGCCGTGGCTATCCTGACGTCAGCGCTATTGGCGATTACTATCTATTTCGGTTCGCTGGTAGTTGGCACGAGATTGGAGGCACGTCGCTGGCGGCTCCGGTGTGGGGGGCGGTGTTGACGTTGGTTATTGAGGAGAGGGTGAAGGTGGGGAGGAAGGGCAGGTTGGGGTTTGTTAATCCTTTGTTTGTAAGCTTTCCGTTTCCTTCTTTTGGTATTCGAACAAAAAAGGTGGATTATCTCGTAAAGGGAGTGAGTGGGAAAACGAAATGGACGAGAAAGAGAACCAGGGAAAAAGGAGGAGATGGCGCGAAGGAAGGGAGGGGTGCCCGACGGAGGCGTTGAGAGACACGAAACAAGAACGAAGCGAGACGATAGGGCTGACTGAAAAAATGTGTGAAACAAAACAGTATGCGCATCCAGAAATCTTCAACGACGTTACAGTCGGGTCGAATCCCGCTTGCAATTCTTCGGGATTCCCGGCGGCGGAGGGATGGGATCCTGTGACGGGACTTGGGTGAGTTTTTGAACTTTTGTTTCCCATTTCCCTGTCATCATCGTATTATTGTTGGAACGTTGTACTGAAACATGGAATAACAGCACCCCGAATTTCCCCAAGCTTTTGGATCTGTTGATGAGTTTGCCATGACGGGTCACCGATGGAGGGCCCCCTCCCCAACTGGGTTGTTTCATGTTTAGTTGGTATCCCTCGCGAATATCATCAACACCGACATCACGGGTCACCGATGGAGGTTTTGGATATGGGGCCCTTGGTTTATAATCAAGAACCGTGGTCGAAGATTCTACTCGTCAGGCCTACAAAATCGGCTGCTGACTAGGAGGCTAGCCCGTGAGCGACTTCGGCCTGACGAGTAGACTTGTCACCGGAGGTGTCGCCGAGCGGGAGGAGTCGGAGGACCCATCCACAGCCGGTGCTCCGCCGACAAAACAAAGATCCACACCGTTTGTGTACATGTACGTAACGGGGCGCTTGCGGAATCCGGATGCGGTCTCTCCACTGACCTGGTACCAACTGTACGGGATGGGATGCTGTGATTTTGAACTTCATGATGTCGGCAGCAGTGAAGCGGGAGCACAACGTGTGCATCAATAGCTCCCGAGTCCGGGCCGGCGCCGAGACGACGGTACCGTAGCACCGGCAGTTACCTAGAATAAGACGGCCGTTCGGGAAAGAGCCTGGGCGACTCCACTCGTAGGGTTCGAGCACATTACACGAAGCTTCGCGAATCATGACGTCGGTGACATCCCCTACACTGAGGGAATACGGTCCGGGGATAGACGGCCAGAACGGCCTACACCGTACAACCGTTATCGACAAGGACAATGCGGGAGGAGATATGGGAGAAGAGGCAGAATAGGATGCGCTGGAAGGCCCCACGTCCTTCTGTGGGTCGCGATGCTGTCTCCATGACGTGACAAATACAGCTCACTAATCGCCGGGCATGCGTGTCCTTCTGTGGGTCACGATGCTGTCTCCATGACGTGACAAATACAGCTCACTAATCGCTGCCACCACCATCATCGACACATAGACAAATACCTCGAGCTTCTTCCCCTCTCTTCAACCTTCTTTCACCATCTCATCTCATCTTCTTACGATACCCCTTTACACGTAATCCTTCTATACCACATCATCACAATGTCTATTCCCTCTACCCAGACCCAGTATGTCGTCACGAGCAAGGAGAAGGGCTTCGAGGGCCTCATCAAGCAGGAAGGTCCCGTCCCCAAGCCCGGCGCGAACGAGGTTCTCGTCCGTCTCTACGGTGCTTCCCTGAACTACCGTGATCTCATCATCCCCCAGGTCAGTAGATCCCTTCATGTCACATTACATTGCTGTCACAGAGACTGACCAAGACTACAGGGCTTGTACCCCTTCCCCATCGACCTCCCCGTCGTTGCCGCCTCCGATGGTGCCGGTGAGGTCGTCGCCGTCGGCGAGAAGGTCACCAAGTGGAAGAAGGGCGACAAGGTCACCACTCTCTTCAACCAGTTCCACCAGTACGGCGACATCGACCAGCGCGCCGCCTCCTCCGGCCTCGGCGGTGTTTTCGACGGCACTCTCCGCCAGTACGGCGTCTTCAACGAGGACGGCGTCGTCCGCACCCCCTCCAACCTCAACCACGTTGAGGCCGCCACCCTCGTGTGCGCCGGTGTGACCTCGTGGAATGCCCTCTACGGCCTCAAGACCCTCAAGCCCGGCCAGTTCGTCCTCACCCAGGGTACCGGTGGTGTCTCCATCTTTGCTCTCCAGTTCGCCAAGGCCGGTGGTGCCAAGGTTATCGCTACCACTTCTTCCAAGGAGAAGTGCGAGATGCTCAAGAAGCTCGGTGCCGATTACGTCATCAACTACCGCGAGGACCCCAACTGGGGCGAGACTGCCCGCAAGCTCACTCCCAACAACCAGGGTATTGACCACATCATTGAGGTCGGTGGTGCCGGTACCTTGGGACAGAGCATGAAGGCGATCAAGTACGAGGGTATCATTTCCATCATTGGTTTCCTTGGTGGTGCTCAGCCTAAGGAGAGCATCCTCGATACGCTCAGCAAGATTTGCACTGTTCGCGGTGTCTATGTCGGTAGCAAGCAGCTGATGGAGGAGATGTGCCTTGCCATTGAGGCGAACAACATTAAGCCCGTTGTTGACAAGAGAATCTTCAAGTTTGATGAGGTTAAGGAGGCTTATGAGTACATGGTAAGTTATCCCCGGAGTTTTGAAGTGGTGATGAGAGAGACATGTGTGCTAACGATTGAGAACAGTGGGCCCAGAAGCACTTTGGCAAGGTCGGCATCACGATTGAGTAGATGTGCTAAGCCAAGAAGCAGATTGGCATCAAGCTTGAGTCGATGTTTTGATTTTTTGATGAAATACTACTGTACAATAGATCAATGATACCTTGATGCCACAACAATGGTCCGCCTTCTTCTTTGTCCTGGTGATACTAATCCGACTCGGGACATTATCATCCCAATATTTCCGTTCCATTTCCCCTCGACAGTGTGCCACTTCACAGATGATACTCCTGCGGTCCGGTAACCTTGATGCCGTTCATAATCCAAAGCCGATCAACACCCATATCCGCCCTGCCACTGTTCATGAGTTAGCTGCATGTTTTCTAAAACTCCATGTCCCGGGCATAAGAAGAAGACTTACTCATCCTTCAACGTGTATGTCGGTTCCGTCTGACCAGCAGCCGGGTTGGGATTCCGGAAGATGATGTTCTTGGTCTATCCCACCACAAAAGGTCAGCAAACTCTCACCTTCAAGGACATCATCACAAGGGGGGAAAATTACCAATCCCAGGGTCAAATGTATCGCCGCCGGCTGTACCTCCACACTCTCCAAGTCCTCCGCCTTCCCTCCCTCTATCAGCTTAACCACATTCCTCGCCGCCACTGCCGCCTGCCCCATCCCCGGCCTCGCCGCCTTGTGCGCCCCCGAGTCCGCAATATCGCCCACAGCAAACATGAAATCCGAAAACCGTTCATCAGCAAACTGCATCGTCTTCTTCACCCTCACAAACCTGTTCCGCGGATTAATCACCCTCCCCTTCTCCTCTTCAGTAGTGCCCTCATCCAACCCTTGCAAAAACTCATTATTCGCCTTCTGCCCCGTAGCTTGCACCACCACATCCCCCTCCACCACTTCCCCATCCACCAACCTCACCACCATTTTTTGGTTTCCTTCCTCTCCCGGCCCGGGCAAAGTCCACCCCCCCTCCGGCCCCTCCGGCACCACCGCCCTCCGTCCCAACACCATCTCAACCCCCAACTCCCCAAACCGCTCCTTGATAATCTCGCTCAACCGTTCATGGTAAACAGGCATCAACTGCTCGCGCGAGTGCACGAGCGTCACGCGCTTAGACGGGTATAGTTCCTTGAGGTCGCAAGCCATTTGCACCCCCACGGCGCCGCCGCCCACAATCACCACGTGTTGAGTGGCAGGAGAGGCGATGGCGCGTTGGAAGGATTGTAAGAAGGAAATGGAGAGCGGCTTGGTGTCGTGCGGGGAGGTGCCGGGGCCGGAGAGGCGGGTGCCGGTTGCTAGGAGGAGGTAGTCGAAGGGGATTTTTGTTGTCATTTCTGAAGAGGGGGAGGAGGGATAGGAAACGGGGCGGTCGAGGGTGAGGAGGTTGGGGGAGGTGGAGAGGGAGAGGACTTTGGCGGGGAGGATCAAGTGGGAAGAGGGAGAGGGGGAGGAGGAGAAGAGGGAGGTGTAAGGGATGAAGGCTTTGTGTTCGTGTGAGGGGAGGATGGCGAAGCGGGGGAAGGCGAAGAGGTGGTGGAAGTGGGTGTGGGGTTCGATGAGGATTACCTGGAAGGTTGCAAGGTGGTTAGTTGGTTTGGATCTTGGTGGGTGGTGTGTTGAAGGAGGGAGGACGGCGAGACTTACTCGGTGGGTTGGCGGGAGGAGGTTTGCTAGTTCTTGGGCTGCGGTCTGGGGTGAAGTCAGTATTTTTCCCTCACATTTTCCACTTGTACGTTGGTAAAAGTGTTCAACTCACCTTCCCAACATACGAGCCTCCCACCACAACAACGTTCTTGAGTGCGTTGGCAGCCATATCTGTGTGTGCAGGTTGTTGCACGTCGTGATCCATGAACATTGGAAGTACAAAGCTGAACAAAAAGACAACAGAAGCAACAATGAGAGATGCAGAAAAAAACGAAAGTCTTGGGAAATAGTTCATTATCAGATCAAGAAAACAGGCAAGTCGTCGACTTATAAAGGAAAAAGACCAAAATATGTTGTCATGGTTAACGCCGAGCTGTTATCAGATCATCTCGGAGATGTTGACCCCTACCAACGGGGCGGTCGGGGTGATTGGCTGGTATCTCCTAGCGCTGTCTTGACCGTTTGTCGTTCAGCGTCGTACCATGAGTCGCTCGGGTGACAGCTCGGGGTTAAGAAATGTCGAGGGAAAATGATGTCCCATTTCTCTTCGTGTTGGGTGTTGGGATGGCGGAGCTGATGAACCTGGGTGATGTTATTCAGGGGTTATCAATTGTCATACCGATGCGAAACACCGTAACCCTTCCCTGCTCCGGAGCCGGACCACGCACCCTCCGGTCGACCCGCGTCCGTTACTCAGCTATCTGTCATCGCTCCTTCCATCTCTCAAATCATCCCAGATCAAAACATCACACCTTCCACCAGACCTTCCTCCCATCAACTCCTCAACCACCTACTCACCGCCCCTCCCCATCTCACCGCCCCCTTATACGTCCACATCCCCGGCGCATTCCCCTCCCCCAATCCCTCAATCGCCTGCGCCAATGCCTCGCCCGTCTTCATCATCCCCCCATCATCCATTTCCAGAACCTCCTCCTTCACCTCCCTCAACCCATACATATAAGTCTTAAACCCAAAAACCACCGCTCCCGTCTTCCTCAGTCTCCAAACACCCTGCAATTCAACCCTCAATCTCGCCTTCTCCGCTTCTTCATCCCCAAACTCTTTGACCTCCTCTAGCGAGTCCAGGTCGTCCTGATGCACATGGTTCCCTGACGGTGTGTAGAGGTCAGGATATAACTGGATACCCCAATTCATCCTCTTGACGAGTTTATCGGTCGCCAAGCGGGAAAAGAAACGTTCCATCGATGGACCGATTTTTTCGTAGGAGGGCACGGGGGCGTGGATTTGAGACAGGGGGATGCCGAGTTTGGAGGAGGGAGAAAAGCCGGCGGGGTGGAGGTTTAGGAAGGCGACGCTTTTGTGCTCAATCTCGCTGGGGGAGTTGGGTTTGGGGAAGGGGAGCAAGAGGTAGAAATCGTCTTCTACCGTTTGGGCTATTACCCTCAAACAGTCGAGGGGGTCGGAGGGAGGCGGGGAGAGGGGGAAGGAAGAGTTGGTGACGAGGTTTTGGAAAGTTGTGTTGGGGCTACCGGGGACAGAAGAAACGATGCGGAACATGGTTGGATAGCGGACGGGGAGGTATTCGCCTAGGAGGTAGGTGTACAGCTCCTTGACGGCGGCGTGGCCTTCGGGGAGAACGCCGATGACTTCGGAGGCGTTGAGGGAGATTATCTCTTGGCGGGAACGGATGCGGGAGAGGTAGTTGTTGTCCATTATGATGAGGTCGGAGGGGGTGCTGTTTTGGAGGGCTGTGATGATGGGTGGGGTGTTAATGGTTGGTGATGAACATGAGGGGCACGGAAGGAAGGGGTGCGGTACCCAACGTGATGTGATATTTTGGCTTGAAGGGTCTGAACTTCAGCGGTTCAGTGGTTTGCCAGTCAAAGTCCGGTAAGGGAACGATTGTTGCTTCGTTCGTCTTCTCATTTTGCTGACTGACAGTGCTATCGTGAAGGAGTGGTGTTTTCTCGTCGACAGATGGCGACGAGGAGGTCCATCTCTGGCGGGAACGGAGCCGAAGATGGGCTCCTACGACCAGGACAACGAGGAACAGGACGATGAAGCCAGTCGACAACGTGGTGATCATTGCGAAGATTGACTGAACGACTCAACTTCCCAAAGGGCCGTTGATGCTGGCTTCATCCGATGTTATAGATCTGTGGTCTTGATAACAAATGCTGATAACAAAGGTTGTCAGTGACGTGCCTGAGGGGCACTGAATGGGAACCATTATCCGTTACTTACTAGTGGACGATAAGGTCAAAGCGAAGTCGGCCAGACCCCTCTTTTCACTGTCTTGATATCGCGGTGTCAGTCCCCACTCTGAAAATTGATGCTGCAAAATCACTCACAACGACTTTCGACAAAGTTGTCAAAATTACAGTGGCTTCCTTGCATCGACGCATCACCGGTAGCCGACCTCGGGAATGATAGTTGGAGATGCACGACATGTCATCAAGTTTCCTTTATTTGCTTGAGCTTGTTTTCTGTTATAGTAGGGGAACCTTTGGCGCACCCCAAAATGACAGTGGTATCAGAAGCGTACAGCATGAGGACTGAAGGAGCGATAGCAAAGGGATATCATAACCACGATGAACAGAACCCGTCCATCCGAAATACACGGCGATCTCAAAGACTGACCGACTCAACACACCAACCAAACTGAACCGTTCCCCGTCTAAGCATTGGGAGCATTCACATGACTCAGTCCCTTCTTCTCATCCAAGTTGGTCCCAGTAGAAGTAACAGTCCCCGTCTCCTCTGCCCTCCTCTCCGCCTCTGCCCTCCTCTCTCTCTCCGCCTCCTTCACCCGATCAAACTCATAAAGCGGCTCCAGCTTCGCATTCCTCTGCCAAAACACCCATCTCTTGATAAACCACGGCAGCGCCTTAGTGCACTGATACGACATGAACTTGCTCGTCTTAACAGCAAAGACATAATCCAGCTCCTCGAGCGTCTTCTGCTTCGTCTCCGGCACGAACAAAAAGATAGCAATAAACGCCACCAGATTGAAACCCGCGTACAGCCCAAAGGCGCCGACAGTGCCTAGAGAATCAAGCAAGAAGGGGAAGGTGATACCCAGCACCGAGGCCCAGAAGAGGCAGGTGGCCACGGCGAAGCCCATGCCCACTTCTCTGTGAGAAAGGGGGAAAACTTCTGCCGAGTAGGTGAAGGGGACGGGACCTTCGCCGGGGGAGTAAAACGCGGCGAAGAGGAAGACGAATAAGGCGACAAGGCCGGTCCGGGCGGTGCCCATGTCCATCAAGGTGCAGAGCCCTGCCGCTAGCAAAGTCCACATCATTTGCGGGAAGGTGAAGAGAAGTAGAGAGCGCCGGCCGAAGGTGTCGATGGTCCAGAAGGCGGGGAAGGCGAAGACCCAGTTGACTATACCAAAGCCGAAGGAGGCAAGCAGGGCTTGGACTTCGCTGGAGCCGGACTCCTTGAAGATGGTGGTGCTGTAGAAGGCGATGATGTTGATTCCGCACATCTGCTGGGCAATCATGACGGTGAAAGCGGCGAGGGTGGCGCGGCGAACACGAGGGATGGTGAAGAGCTCGACGAAGCGCTGGGCATAGTTGGAGCCGGCGAGGAGCTGGTGCTCAACTTCCAATTGCGAGTGGATGTAGAACATGTCGCGGGCGACTTGGATGGGGTGGTTGCGCAGCTTGATCATGGACTTCCAGGCTTCTGGGTAGCGGTTCTTCTTCATTAACCAGCGCGGGGACTCGGGGCAGAGATAGATGAGCAGGACCAAGGGCACGGCGGGAATGAAGGGGGCGCCGAGCATGAGGCGCCAGTTGACGTTGTGGCTGGTGTGGAAGACGGCAAGGTTAAAGGCAGTGCCCAAGAAGATGCCGAAGGCTGTCCACATTTCTGGAAGGGTGTTAGCATCTTCATCACTTGTGTTACTAGTAAGGAACACTCGGGAGTACTCACGCCATGACATGACCAGCGCACCTCTAATAGAAGCAGGCGAGTTCTCCGCAGCATAAATCGGCACCGTTGATGCCTTCACACCCATACCAATACCCATCAGCAGACGGCAGGCCAGTTGCTGGGGCCATGTGTGACAGAAAGCAGAACCAATGACGGGCCAGAGACAGAAGTGACCAGAGACGAAGATGACACCACGACGACCGATCCAGTTGTTGATGGGGTCAGAAAGCCAGCAGCCGATGAATCTGTTTAATATCAGTCAGTAAGCGACCACTCCAAAAACAAGAAGAACAGGGAACTTACGCGCTCCCAATATAAGGCCCAGCATTGATCAATCCAACAAGCAACTTCTCCCTCGCAGTGTCCCCTCCAATACCATAATACTCCGGGAAGAAGATATTCGCGCCATTCGTGCCCGTCTGATCCCACCCTTGGACAGCAGCACCGATCGAGCAAGTCGCAATCGTCAGGAACAGTCTTGCCGGCAGCCGCCACTTGTGTTCGACCTCCTTCAAAAGGACTGCTTTCTCCTCTTCGTCCAAGGCTTCCGGGCCGGAGATGGACGCATAGTTGTCCGGGGATTGGGCGATGAGTGCTCCCTTACGGAAGAGCGGGAGGTGCTCGGTTAGGTCCTTTTCGGCGCAGAAGGTCTCGACGCGTGAGAGGAGCTCGGTGCGGGAAAGCCCATCGAGCGGGTTCTTGAGCTTGGCTTCGAGGTTGATGTTGGCTTCGAGGTTGGAGGAGGTTTGTTCGATGTGGGAGCCGGCGGCGCCTTTGGGCTCTCTGGGTGGGTGTTAGTGAAACAGGTTTTGGGAGACATTTGGGGGTCTTGTGGAACTGAAGACTTACACGGCAGTGCCGCTGATGTCTCGGTCTGAACTGTGGCCCATGGTTGCGGTGAATGCTTGGTCACTTATACCAAGCAAGCCCCTGGAGTGTATTGACTTTCTGGGAAGTTGGTATGGGGGAGGAAGGGAAGAACGAAGGAGAAAGAGAAACGGGGTTAACACAGGTTAAGTACGAAGACGGAACACCAAATCCGGGGTATCTGGGGGAGATAAACGTTTTCCCCCTCAGTCTCCATCATCCCCAGTCCCCGGATTCTAACCCCAGCCTTTCAATATGGTTACCTAAGTCTTTCCATGGTTCTCCATGGTTCTCCAACATTGGCCTCCATCTTTTTTGCTCGCCATGGATCTCACTCAGCGTACTACTGTGTAGGCTCGGGCCAGACCAAGACGGCTTGAGGAAAGGATCATCGGTACGTAGAGGTACTCGGCCAAACATGGAGGGCATTCGAGGCACTGTACAGTCCAATACTGGTTCGTTTGTTAGCGCGGTTCTTGCGATAGGGGTTTGCAAAACAACACAGAAAAATGACGGGACAGCGACATTCAAAGCAAGAAATTGGAGAGACCATCTGAAGCTCTCAAAGCGCATTGAGTTGATACCAATTTTTTCCCATGAAATTTGGTGGAGTGGTGGTTGAGTTGGGCAGAGTGCGTAGTGAAGTCCCGCGCCAACGAACGTTCCAGGGCAAGAGTGTACGACCTGGGGAGCATTCCTTCTCACATCAGTGAGGTTGTACCACACCCGCAACACGGGATGAGCTCGTGAGTGGTCGTCCTTGGGCCGTCCGGCTATACGTTTATCACACATGGTAACCGGTGGTGTAACGTGGTCCTGACTGTGGACTTTGTGTAAGACTAGGCTGAGAAGGGAATTCAGTCCGCTTGGCTGGTCCTTGACCTTGAGCTTCAATGTTCTTGGCCGGCCTGCTCCTTCTGGCCGCTATTCTTGGGATCCTTGGCCTTATTCCCGAGTCTCACTCGTTCAAGTCGTCTTTGCCTGCCAGCGACTGCCTTGTCCTCCGTCTCGGCGTGTCGTCGATCTTCACCGGCTTCAGCTACCGGGTCGCCAATCTGTGGAGCCTTTCCCCAACCTTTCAAGGGTTAATATGCGGGGGAATGGGGGAACTGGGGGGAGGGTGGTATTTTCTTTGTGGGGAGGTGGAGAGGGAGTGAGCCATGTGTGGTACTCCACAGTTCACAGTCTCTTTCGGCTTTCGAGCTTTTGTTGAACCGAAGGTCGACTGGACAGACAGACGCCGGTCTTTGTCTTTTCCAATCCTTCAGATATGTCTGTCTGGTTCTGGAGATATCCCCGTGGAGGAGGCGAGCTTCGGTCACCTTATCAGCTTGTGTCCCTTTTCGTACATGTCTGCATGCATTGGACGAATATCTGGGTCCCCGGTTTTGTTTTTTTTGGCCTGATTACCTTTCTGGATTGGAGAGTTCTTGTGGATGTGGTGAGAAAAAGAGTGAATGTCGGCAAAAATGTCGGTCGTACTTGCATGTTTTGGGGTCTTGTGGGTGTGTTACCCCTCACCTGGCATCCCGCCCGGTTTCGATGAGTGATGCTTGACTGATGGCAAGAACACCTCAACCGTCATTCGAGCTCATCACATCAACCACGCGGGGAACCCGTCCCTCGGGCACGTCAGGCACTGACGCGCGTAAGTCGACACTTCCTTCCCAAACAGTGTTTCAGTCCCTCCAAACTCAGCTTCGTCTCGATCTCCAGGGGAAAGACCAGACCACGACCCAAGAATTTGGTCAACAGGTCTCGTCCGTTCTGGAATTTGAAGATAGGTACGATTCAGTCTCACCGTTGATCTCGCCGATCCTCACCTCGAAAACAACTTTTGCGGAATTTAATCCAGCCCAGTCGTTGACTCCCAACTACACTATGTATCCCAGTAAAGAATCTGATCCCTCCTTTGCGCCTGTTGGTCAACAAAAAACCAACTTGGTGTTCCCCTCCCTCCTTCCCTCCTTCTAGGTATTCCCGTCCGCCACTTGCCATCATGCTTGCGCACAACCAACACCCCAATCAACTCGGTCCCGATGCCGCTTGGCGCAAACCGTTGCCGTTGCCTCCTTTGCTTGGCTCGCATTGCGGCGACAAAGAAGTTCGCCGCGTCATGAAATTTCCAAACATTAAGAGCAAAAGGAAGAGGCTCGGACATGACGATTGCACATGAACACATGAGGAGAGCAACGCCTTGGCTGACGACGGTGGCAGTCGCACACTCACACGAGCAAGCGGTAAACAAGGAGGCGACCCTTTGTTTGGAACTTGGAATGCCCTGAACGTTTCTCACGTGCGAGAAGCAATCAGGGTCCTTGGAGACCTTGGAGATCTTGGAGACCTCGCTTGGGGTCATCCTCCTCCTTCAGCTTCTTCTCGGGTGCTTCCGTATCCGTTCAAACCATTATCCTTCTGATCGCACGTGTACATACGCAGCCTTATCGCAAGTGTCACACCTTGATGCACCTGAGTAGGTACAGTGTTACAGTGTAGGCACAACTTGGTGGTCGGGTGGTGGTGATCAACACGAGCATCCGTCATCTCTCGATGGACCAAAGAGTGACTGACTGCCCTGTCAGTAAGTGGTCCAAGTCCGAACAGCATACGGCAACCTAGCATTTGTTAGGTTTCCAGATAAGATTCCCTCGCAGCTACCTCCAGCTGCCTGCCTGCCTGTCTCCCTCCCTTCCATCCTCAAAGGCATGACCTCCATATCTGCTCCCCAAGAAACGCAGAAAGCACAACCGAAGGAGAAAGACTGGAAGGAAGCCAAGAACCAAATGGCGAGATATCTGATCCTCCACGGATTTAATTAAATTGATAACATGCCGCTATAACCGAGTGCTTGCCGTTTCGCTTGCCAAGATCCAAGAGAAGCCAAACGACTCGAGCCTGGTTGCGACACCGTACCGACCCGTTACCGTCTCCGTCTTACCGAGCGGCAACATACCTAGCGACCGCCATCCCCGTTCCCCACCGCCCAAGGAAGGGGAGACCTTGGGGATAACCCTTGGTGATTTCCTTTCTCACTTCAGATCCACCTTTACTCCTGGTCATCACCGGCTCAACGGCTTTTGACGTCGTCCCTCGAGGTACTGTGTAGTTGAAAGTTGAGCTTGTCGATCGTCAAGGGACCAAGTACAACCTGGAACCCTCCAGGCCGGGACTTCAGTCGTCAAGCTGACATCCAACACTACCTACTCGTCCCGACTCGATAAGTAGCATCCATCTGACGTGGTGTCTTGCCGTTCCGATAGCTTCACAACCTCCTGCCGCGATTGGCCCCTCCCAGATACCGTTGACGGACAAGGCGACCCGTCTCAGTCTCAGAAGCTGACTATCGATCCCGTCTTGGAGCTCTCACTCTTGACCTTCCGATACCTGTCCAACTAAGGTAGTCCGTTCTGTCCGTCTCACCAATTTCACGACGCCTCTTTTCCCTTGCTCAAGCATAAGCGACGACATTGCCTACCCACGGCTGCACCACAGCGACGACGCGCATCAATTGCGACGCCATCCGTTTTTAGACGCCTCGACGCCTGAGAAAACGCCGTAGTAAGACGATGCTACGTCGGGGTAAAACTAATCCGAAATAGTAGTGTGCTACTGCAGTGAGGACCCTGTTTTTGGGTTTGACAGTTGACAGTTGACAGTTGACAGTTGACAGTTGACAGTTGACAGTTGACAGTTGACAGTTGGGAGGCTAGAAATCTGAAGGCAGGAAGGGGCTTGAAGGGAGGGATCAACAGAATCAACATCTACTACGGGAGTGCAAGATGTAAGTGATCGTCTATTCATTCATCAAACCAGTCTTGCTCCATACGAAGATGAAGATAAAGGAGGTGAAACAAGTTCCATCATCGCTCATGATAAGATATGGCGCTGTCTTCTTCGATGTCCAGAGGTCAGGGTGGCTCGCTGTTCTTCATGAGCAGAAAGAGGAGAACGACTCAATCCGAACGTATGAAACAGGGAAGAAGGAAGGCTGCCAAAAAGCGGAAACGACATAACAAAAACAGCAAAAAAGAAGAAGGTTAGAAGAAATGAGAGACCAAAAACCAGCCAATGTCTATGTATAGCGAACTCGTTAAAAAAGCGAAAGAAGAAGTAGTAGTGTATGACAATGAAAAACTGAAACTGGTCATGCCGTCATCCATAAGCTGTAAGCTGTAGTAGTGTGTAGGTAGGTCCGGAACAAAAAAAAAAAAAAAAAAAACACGAGAAAGAGAGACAACGTGAAGTAGCGGAAACATCATCAACCGACAACCGACGGCAAACACAACCACTGCTGGCCAACAGGAACAACATCAACAACAGAACGGCAACAACGACACCACAACAAACGCTGACACACCGCACGCGCTCCCAGAGTCTCCCTCTCATGTCCTTCGATCCGCGAACAGCAATTAAATCATCCCCTACTCATACCCCCTACCTCCTACCTCGTCCATCCCCAGTACCACCCCAGGATTCAAGCCCCCAGAACAAGTACTCCCCTCTCTCCCACCCTCTTCACATTCTCCAACAATTCCCAACCCCTCCGCATCCTCTACGTCTTCGCCCACGACGTTTCTCCCCACTCTGTGAAACCGCGCTATCGGCAATACCAGTACTCTACTCCGCCGCCGAAGCACCAGCATTAGCAACAGCAGTGGAGCTCGCAGAAGCGCTAGGTCGTCCCCGCGTCGTCTGCGCAACCACCTCCCTGGCGTAGAATTCCACGAGCATGGTGGCGTACGCTTCGAGATCTTCGACAGGGACGGCGAGGCGGAAGTCGTTGAGGAGGAGAAATTGCAGCTCTAGGTGGTTGAGTTCTGGGAGGGGAAGGCCACCGACCTGGATCGTTTTCGTTAGTACTTGCTGGCTGGATGTTTGGACCAAAAAGAGGGGAGGGAGGAGGAGGTGGAAGAGGGGAGGGTAGGGGAGTAGAGACACAGGCAGGGGGGCGGAGGGAAAAGGGACGGAAGAAAATGGAGGAGAGGTGGGATGGGGGAAGGGGAGGCAAGAAAGGGAGGAAAAGGGGGAAAGTAAACATACCTTGGCATAGCGCGAGTTAGTATAAAACACATCGCTAAAGAACTTGCTCGCGCACGTCACTCCAGCGATGATCAACCTGTGGATGTTGAAGCTGTCCACGACAAAATACGTCGCCTGTTCATCCTCTTCTTCTTGTTCCCTCGTTCTCCCAAAACCACCACTTTGCTTAGGTTCATCTGCCATCTCTTCGTCGTCATCATCAGCCAAATCCGAATCCGTCTCGTCGCTATCGTGTCCCTTGTCATCATCAGGCGTATCCCGCATAGGGACATCTGGATCATCCGCCGTCCCCTTCTCGTAGCCCGCCGTCGCAGCAGCTTGCTTTTCCCGCTCCTGTCGGGCCTGTTGCTCTTCGAGACGTCGTCTCCTCCTCTCCTCCTCGCTCTTCACCACCATATCGTTAACCCTCTCCGTCATGCGATCAAAGTAGACCAGCAACGACAAAAACACCTCATACGTGGTGGGGCAGTACTTGTGGATGCGGGTGAGGTAGCTGAGGATGGTGATGGCCGGCACGTTCTTACCGTGGAAGGCGAGGACGGAGGAAGAGAGGGGGGACATGTGCCCGCTGGTGCTGCTGTGTCCGACTTCCCGACTGCTCCCTGCGCCATTTCCAGTTCCCGTCCCTCCGCTACTGCTTCCAGCTCGGCCTCGTCCCCCGCTACTTTCCTCCCCTTCCTTCTCTCGTCGTTGTCGTTCCTCTTGGTGTCTCGCCTGCGCCTCCGCCTGCCTCAAGTGCACCTGATTCCTCTGCAACGCGTCATGCTGCAAGTCGTTCGTTGTCGTGATCTTGGTCAACAGTGCCGCCACCATTTCGATGATATCCGAGATGGGCATCCCGCTGATTTCGTAGCGCATTTGTTGAAGCGGGGGGTCGTCGGTAAGCATGCCGTTGCTGGCTCCGGAGAAGGCGGACAGCGGGTGGCCATCTTGTTGGACGAGGGCTTGAATATGGTGGAGGTCGCGGATCTTGATAACTTTGGGCTGGGGTGGAGGAGGGAGTTGGTGAGCTTGTTGGTAGTTGGGAGTGCGAGCAATGGGGGTGTTGGATCGGTCATCGATTGGAAGATTGTTGGACGGAACAGTGCGGTGGCCGTGCTGGGCAGACGAGTTCCAGCTGCGACTGTTGCTATTGGCGTCCGGAGCCGGAGAGGGGATACCCCTTCCACTCCCAGAATGGTCGGCGGGGACTACGGTGGCTGCGGTGCTAGTAGACGAGGCGGTGGAAGACGAAGCCGACGAAGTGTCGTGGACGGAACTTGTATCGTGGACGCCATGCTGCTGCTGCTGTTGTTGTCGGACGGGTCTGTTTGGGGAAGCAGACGAAGGCGGGGAAGGGAAACGGGAGGCGCCTCCGGTGGACTCTAGGTGTTGCTGATGCTTTGCGTGTGCGTGTGCGTCATCGGCGATCCATCCTAGAGGGTGTTGTTGCGAAGACGAAGCATATCGTGGGATTGGGGTAGTAGCGGTTGCGGAGGCCTGCCTCCTGGGGCTCGGGGTCGGGCGAGACTGAGGGTTATGGATCGAGGTCGTCCTTGGGCGGGTGGCGGCCGCGGAGGAGGTGTTTGTTGATGGCGAGGAAGAGGAGTGGGAGGGGCTTTGATAGTGGGAGGAGTGTTGAGAGTGCATCCTGTCGTGGAAGCGCGGAGTATCGGTAAAGACGTCACCCATTAAAGCGGCCATACTGGCATTGTCTGCTTGTCTCTTGTCTGTCTGTCTGTCTGGCGTCTAGGGTCTGGTGTTTGTCTGTTATCGTGGCGTGTATCGGAACTGTCGTTGTATGATGCTATTGCGGTCGGGTGTTGGAGTAGAAGCTATCGGAGGCGTTTAGCGGGTCGTGATCTGTGGTCGGAACTAGATGAGTGGATGGGTGGATGGGTGTCGAGGATGAGGTCGGTGTCGATGCAAACAGAGTCAGAGTCAACTCTTCAAGCCCAATGACTGCGGGATTGATGCGATGGCGGTAGGCGATAGCGCAACTTGTAAGTTCAGGTGCAAACTGCAATCAAGACTTGTCGAAATTGGATGGTCGGGTTGGACTGCGGAAACAGAGATGAGCCAAGGTAATTGCCAAGGTAAGGTAAGTACTAATCGGTATTCCTTCCCGGTGGGCTCCAGCTTTGGTGGGCACTGGGGGTCGCTACGGGGCCCGGGGTCGCTAGGGGGCTGTGTCTAGCCGTACGCGGGATGGGTGGTATCGTAATATTACGCGTATCAATACATCATACCGCGATGATGACAGCGCAGTGTTACTAGCACCTCAGCTGAACTTCCTAGGCGTAACTTTCATCATAACATAAAACACCAACCACAAAAGCGAAACATCAACACGTGGGCGCGCGAGTCGAGTAAACATTGAAACCTCTCCAAGATGAAACAACTTAAGAAAATTCGATTAATGTGAGGGGATCCCAGCTGAGGGATAGCAATCACACCTAGCCAGACATGACACGCTTCCACATCTCTATCAGTCCAATCTCAACAAAAACACAACAACATGCGACTATCCTCGTCGACGGTAATGTCGTGCGTGTCATGTTATGCGTTGTACAACAAGCAGTGGAAGCACACAACTTCCGAGAATATGTGGTCCATGTCAACTTTACAAGAAACTTGACCAACTTGACCAACTTGACCAACCTCCTCCCAGACCGCTGACCGCTAACCGCCATCCCGCTTACTCACTTGCTTCGCTATCGCGCTTCTGTCTTTGTTGTCTATCTGCCGCTGTTGACGCCATTGCCGTTCAGCCCATTCAAGGCCCGTTACGATGCAGCCCGGCCCCGGGGCTTATAGGACGGGAGGCTAGGCTGCCAGCAAACAATCCGCCTGTTACATACTATGTATGCTTGCCCGCCACGTCCAGCACCGCGGATGGCTTAAAGGGCGGTTAGTTGGCGGTGATGGCCATTCCTTGATATTGGAAGCTCCCCTCTTGGGCTCCTTTGGATGAGAATGGGAGGAGAGATTGAAGAGCTCAATCTGTAATTTTACGACGGCCGGTTATTACCAGATAAGAACGGAAGCCTCGACATCATTACCTCCCCGACGACGTCACTGCCAAACACCTTATACTACCCTGAACTTGAAGCTATATCCAGATGGTCTCGAAACCGAAGGTAGGACAGCAGATGCCTGGTACTCGTACAACAGCCAGAGCCAGACGACGACAATGCCTACGATACATATGTGAAGGCGCCCTCAGTAATTTACGTATCCCATGTATCAATATCGTTACGTATCAATGGAAGATTGACGTATGCAGTGGGCTCCTCCTGTAACCGTTTGACACAACAAGCTCGCCGCCGACCTCGCTGATAGGTATGTTTTAGTATGTTGATGTGCAGGCTTGGTATCGTTGGCGAGTGATGTGGCAAATGGCAATGGATGCTAGCAGCAACGACGCTGGCAGTTAGGTTGACTACTTGGAGTAGAACTCTTCACTTGCCCGCTGGCGCTTATCGAGGCTACCTATTTAATCTGCTTGGCTTTTAGTAGACGATATGAAGAAGCCAATAGAGTGATAGCTGAAACCATTGCCGAAAAGACGAACGGCGGTAGCTTCTGCGCAAAAGAATATTATCATACCGTTGGATCTACCTCGTGTAACAAACAACTATGACGCCAAACCAAACCCATCGCCAACCTCCCGTTCGCCACGCCTCATTCATAGTGGGGCACAACGGCAACAACATCACCTTACCCAAGTATAAGAAGTCCAGTTCATAAACATGAATGAAGACAAACATGTCCCCATGTTCTGGGATAGAAGGGACCACTTCCAGCTGTAGGTCTAACTTTCTTGTCTTCTTGTGTATCATTTCGTATTAACACACCTTCTCTGGTGTACTCTCTCGAGAAAAGGCCGAGATTGGACCCTTAGCTCGTCTCCTCCCATATTCCATCCGCCCTTTCAACCAACAGATGACCATCACCTCCTCGTACGAGCCCACCAGCCCATTCTTCGGGATCCCTCACTGGTGCCTCACCTTGTAATCCGAATCAGGCAAATACAAATGCCTGTCCGCGCCCTTCTCCGTCAACACCACCATCCTGATGACACCTCCCGAGGAGCCATCCCACTTGATCGCCTCCTTGAGTGCCTCCTTGACAAACGCCACGGCTTCGGCTTCCTCCATGCCTTCCTTCCAGTTGGCGTCGCAGTAACCATAAATGTACGTGGAACCGGAACCACCAATCGCATAAGACTGCTTGTGCAGGGAGCCGCCGAGCGGGATGTTGTACACTTGACCGCCGTGGCGGGCGTCCCAGCCGGCGATAATGAGGCCGGCGCTGTTGGAATCCAAAAGTCAGCAGGGAATCTAACATATGCATGATAATAGAAGGGGAAGGAAGCGGAAGGGAGATAGAAGAGGAAATGCAAAGAGACAAGAAGGGGTAGGGTGGGTGTGGGAGCAATGGGCAGGGGGCCACCAAAAACATACGTCAACCGATCCTTATTGGCATAAGCAATTTCCTGGAAGATAGCAGCCGCCGTCTGTGTCGTCGGAGGCCTGCCGTTGACCATGTGGTACAGTCCCAGCTGGTATTGCACCATGTCGGCGACGGCTTGTGTATCGGCGGCGGAGCCGGAGCGGCAGCACCAGATGGTGTCGTGTACTTGGGTCAGCTTGTCGGTTACGCGGTTGGCGATGTAGGCGCCTGTGGTTGTACGGGAGTCGGCTCCTGTTTAAGGTGTCAACATGCATTCGAGACAGACTCCAGGGTGTGTAGTGCTGTTGACTGGAAGACACTAACCGAGAATAACACCGCCCTTGAATGTGACCGCCATGCTGTAGTTATATCAAGCTCGTTAGACATCGCTGCTGCTTCTCGTATGGATACCGGGGATCCTGTCGCATCGTCGAGGGGCTTGGGGCCGTAAGGGAGGGGCAGACGGTCGGAGGAAGCTTACATCGAGGTACCCAAGCTATTGACAGACAAGGAAGTTAGCGGACTGCTTCATTCGTTCATGCGCATCACTTGCGACAACATTATAGGTGGGGTGGGAACTGGGACCATGGGCGCGCAGTGTGGTGTACTTACTTGACCTCACCCTTCTTCAACCTGTCCATGTCGACATGGATGCCATCTGTAGGGGACAATAGCGGTTAACATGTGTCGTCTGCGATCAACCGGAAGTTGTGAGACTCGGAGAGGCTTGGTAGGTTGTTGACATGTAGCTAGTGGTGACGCCGCCCGTGATGGTGATGGCTTGACACGGAATGCGACGCCGAATGGAGGTTGGAGCTCACCTTCGCTGAGCACGCCCGAAGTTCCAAACTCCATGATGACGGGGCTATCGAGCTGTTGCCGTTCCAACGTAAAGCGCAATTAAGATGTTGGACAGTCTCGTGAGCAGTCGGTCGGGCGCTCGTCGTAGTGTAGATGGAGAGGGCAAAGTCGTGGAGTCGTGGAATCGTTATGGTTTGTCAGTCCTGTGTTGTTCGTTGTACTGGAGGACGGGAAGCTCCAACTCCAGGTGAACCTCGAAGGCGGCGGAGGCGGGCCCATCAGAAGGCGGGACGGCCAGTTGAGTGGAAGCTCAGGCCCCCTCAGCTCAAGGCAGCTCCAAGCACGCGTGTTGCAGACGGCTTGGCTTAAGTGGATCACGTGCGATAGCCGTGTTGAATGCTCTTATCGCTGTTATCTTATCAGTATGTTCTTCAGATGCGACTCCATTGGATAACGTCATCGTCTGGCTCTCTGCAATGTTCTTTAATTGGATCGGGAAAGGATACGGTATTGTCTAACCGGGTTTATGTAACTATAACAGTATAATCAGTGAGACAACAATGAGGTTCGCCATGTCCTTTCATTGACCAGAACCACTTTGATCGTGGACGTTTTCGAACCACGGCACATAGTTGGCGACCACAAAGACCGATGCTCAATACCTCTACGGTTTTGTCGCAAAGGGCCCTGGAGCTGGCGGCGGGAGAGAAACAGGCAAATCCATGTCGTTGACAACTGATATTCCACAACGCCCTGGAGTCTGAACCTCCCTCGGGTTGAGCTCATCCGAGTTGCGACAGGCCACCAGTCGATATCGGTATTACGCCTGCGATGTCCAAGACATTCCCGTCCAGACTCAATGGGCATACCGGCACAAGCCGCTCAAGGTCACCTACAGGCAGTCCATGCATGGTTCTCACCTCCCCACAGTACCTATTAACTTCTCCTCCTATTCATCCCTCAATCCATCTTGAGATCCCCTCCCTCCTTTGTCCCTGTCTTTACCTCTCCCCCAGCTCCAGCTCCCCCCTCCTTTTTGGCACCGCCTTCCTCCCCACAACCACAATCATAGAAATCCCCAATCTTGTTACAGTCAAACTGCTCTTTCTTGAGGCGCTTGTTGACCTCATTATGCACAAAGCAAGCCCACCCGGCCGCTGCGTTGCGCCCGCTCGTTTGCGGCGGGTACTTCTTCAGCAGCTTCTGGAAGTGTGACGCGCAGTCGCCGCAGGGATACAGGCGCGCGAATAGCTGGATGTAGGTTTTCAAAGCCAACGATTCTTCGGCGGTCGGGGTCTCGGGGAAGCGCGCCATCATGGTGTGGAAGAGACGCCAGGAAGCGCGGCCTAGTTCTGCTCTGTTGTGGTTATTGCGGTTAGCGAAATGATGCCTGGCGAGAGGGGCATGGTGCGGTGCATGGACATGGTAGACATACTTGGCCGTCGCATTCTCCAGCTTGGGCGCGATAGAGCCGCCCTTGAGGATGTCATCCGATATGCCAAACGCGGGCTTGCTGCCGTCGTGGCTAGCACTCTTGTGGTCTCCGCTGCCGCTACCGCTGCCCAAATCGAGAGTCTCTGAATGCTGTGCCGCCCCCGAGGAGCCACTCGAGGTGAGCATGTAGGTCGTAAACACAAAAAGGATGACGCCGACGACGAGCATCAGGGTTATGTGCGGTCGTCGCGCCATGATGATGGTAAATCGAATCGAATAGGGTAGTCCCTGTGAAGGTCTTTGGCGCGCCCTGTTGATTCAATTCGACTTTATTTTTACCAAACGTATTTATCGCCGGCGATATCAAGATCCTGCCTGCTCGCGTGTCGTCACGAGAAGCTGGGCGCACCTTGTCGTAGAGATTAGGTAGGTGATTGTATCGGAACGTTGAATGGGTCAATGGGACTGCGCGCGCAACTACGTCAACGGGGACACAGAAGTTGGAGGTGGGCTACCTGTAGGATATCGTAAAGATATTGTCATGAAATGAAGAAGAGGGCAAATGACCTATCCAGGAGAGAGAGGAAGAATGGAATGATGAATCCCCTGAATGGTTCGAGAATCTCTTTGGCGGAATTGGACGCGCCGATTGGACTGTTGACCCACGTCCGGGTTGGTTGGGTGGCATGGCAATCTCATCACGGCAGGGTCTGGCCCAGGCCCTGTTGCTGTGTTGCGTAACGGACTTGGAAAACGATACGTACCGCACCCCCAGTCACCTCCAGCCCCCGCACATCTACTGCTCAGAACGGTATAGCTTCTTGATTCCCGTGATTGTATAATCTTTACCTCTTTGGGTAGTATATATAGAGTTAAAGCCAACTGAATTAACTCTTTATACATAAGAGTTGTATACAGCCATTGTATTAATTTAGTAAAATCGTGAAAATTATAAAAGGGTAGCCTATAAAAGTTATAATATAGAATATAGTATTATAAGTGACCGCACCGCTTACTATTATTAATAATACTTAATATTAGTCTTCCTATTAATATTTGATACTAGTCTCCCTAAATTATTTAATAATTTTGCTAATAGACTAGTGAAGTTTAATTCCTATAGTAAAGTCCTTCTAATTATCGTTTATATAGGTAATTACTTTAGTGTATATATATCAGTTCGATAAGTTTTCGTTTCCCCTATAAATAGGTTCGATAAGTTCTACATTGAGCATACCTAAGTGGATAAGTTCAATAAATTCTATATTAAACGTAGATAGGTTCGATAAATTCTATATTAAATTTGTAATAATAGCACTATATCTATTAGAGAGCGAGAGGGTACCGTTGGGGGTAGGGTAAGATATGCGTTGTTGTACAAAGGAGAGAAAAGGGAAGTGTGCGTAGAGGACTAGCTATATAGGCGAGAGTCCAATAGACTAGTCCGTGCGCGCGCACGTAAAACTATTCGCAGACCTCAGCCATGTCTGCATCCTCCATCTCCCGCGCTTCGTCCGTAGCTCCCTCACTCTTTGCCTCACGCGAACCCTCTCCCACGAGACCTCTCAACCGCGCACACACCACCCATAATACCACTGCTGCATCATCGCGAGCGCCTTCACACAGACCTGCTGCTGGTGGTGCTGTCCCTCGAAGGGGGTTGCGAAGTTTAATAAGTCGTCATATATTAAATTTCGTATAATACAGGTAACTTTTTCAAAATATTAGTAATTTCGTTGTAAATAACGGGAATCGTATTGTCTAAATACCTTCTATTTATTACCAAAGTTGTACGAAAGTATACATAAGAATAGTAGTGTAATTGTATTGTATCGTGAACCGCGCGCATGTTCTGGTAGTATATCTGGTTTTAGCGTATACGGCTAACAAATCTTATATTATATAAATATTTATAATATTTTTTCTGGATGGGAGGAGGTGACTAGGGGTGTAGTACGTACTATTTTCCAAGTCGGATACGCAAAGCCCTGTCTTGGACTGTTTCAGGGGCAGAGGAGGGCTGTTGAGCCTGTTGGCCCACGCACTCCAGGCGGGGCCGGCACGTGGACAGGCGGGGACGGGCGGGAGAGTGGAGAGATGGAGACAACTTCAGACTAAAATCCCCGCAGTTGACCAGTCGATTTCACCTTCCATGTTTCTCTCATCGACGACGCGACGGAACCTTGACCCGAGTCGGTACCTCTACACATCTGATCTGCATAATAACTTTGAGTGCTTTCCCACCTCCTTGCTACACCTGGACATCTGCTCCTGTTTTGCTCTCATGGACTCTCGAGGACGACGACGACAACAAACCATGACCACCTTTTTTCCTTTCATCTTTCCACCTTAGAGAGACTTTACTTGTCTGTTCACCTTCTTCATCCATCACCACGAGGTGACAGTACAATACGATACAATACGATAGTACGATGCCCGGCACGCCGTTCCCCTCTCCCTCCTCCCGGTCCTCCTCTTCCTCTGCCATCACGACCAACTCCTCCCCCTCGATTCGCTCTCTACTGATACTGGTCGCCCTTGTCAATCTCGCCTGGAGTCTCTACCAGCTTCCGCTCAACCGTGTCATTGAGCGCAGACTCTGCCGCGACTTCTATCTCGACGCCGACCCTTCGGCAATTGGCCAAGATGGAAACGTGCCCGAGGAGCTGTGCAAGCTGGACGACATACAACAGAATCTGGGTAGCATGATGGGCCTCATGGAGACGGGCTGGGTTGCTGGCGACTTTGTCATGACCATCCCCCTCGTCCTGCTTGCTGCCCGCTACGGCCACGCCTTTGTCCTGCGACTCAACCTCGTGCCTCGCATCCTCGTGCTCTGCTGGACCCTCGCGGTCGGCTACTTCGATCACGCCCTTCCCCTGCCCGCCCTTGCTCTTGGCCCGCTCTCGTCAGTCCTCGGCGGAGACTGTGTCTTCAACTCCATCGTGTACTCGCTGGTCTCGACGGCTACCCATGACGGTGTGCAAAGAGCCACCTTCTTCGGCCAGGTGAATGCAGTCTCGGCCATATTCGTCGCCCAGCTTGGTCCTGCTCTGGCCTCTGGCACCATGAGCATACTGCTGTGGCTTCCTTTGTGTGCCGGCGTCGTCCTTCTTCTCGCCGCTGTGCCCGTCATCTCCGGCCTTCCCGCATCAAACACCGGCAGTTCTAGACGCCAGCACGACCAAGAGTCGACTGCGCCCTTGTTACCGCAAGACCTTCCCTACCGCTCGCCTCCCACGCTCAGCATCACAAGCTTCAAGGAGTCCGTCTCTGATCGCATCTCCTCCGTCTTCAAGGTCATAACCAGCTACCCGCCCAACTTCACGCTCCTGCTTGCTAGCTTCTTCCTCACCTCCCTGGCCAGCTCCGACACCAAGCTCATGGCCCAGTACATCTCTAAGCGATATGGGTGGAAGTTCACCTCGGTGGGCTACTTGCTATCGGGAAAGGCAGTCTTCAACTTTTTCCTTCTCTATCTCATTATCCCTACTATCTTGCGTCGGCGCCGGTCCTCTCCATTGCCTTCCTCTCAGTCTCGACGCCTCTCGGACCCGGACGTCTTCACGATCCAAGGCCACAAGGTGGCCGATGGACACAACATCAGCTATGCTCAAACATGCCTTGTCTTTTCTGTTCTGGGTGCCGTCGCTATAGCCATGGCTTCGACGGTTTGGACCTTGGTACCGTCACTGCTACTTTACGCCATGGGCATCGCACTCCCCATGTTTACTTACTCGCTGCTCAAATCACCTTCGTTATTGCCAGATTCCAGTGGGCCGGAGATGAGCACAGCCGGCAACGTCACTGTTGTGGTTTCGGAAGCTCAGATTTTCTCAATCGTTATGCTGGTCAAGACGGTAGGCTTGCTGGTCGGAGCACCGACCATGGCTGCTTTGTGGGTTCAAGGCGTCAAGGTCGGCGGGTGGGCGCTGGGCTTACCGTACTTTCTGAGCGCTGCCTATTATGCGCTTGCCATGCTCGTGGTGTCGAGGATAAAGCCTTGACCCGGCTAGCTTGCCAGGGATGCGTTGGAGCTTAGATTCGAGACAAAAGATTCTTGCCGTAGCTCCTCCCCGAACAAGGCCATACTTGGACACAATTTCCGGACAACAAACCACTACCCGCATCCGCGTCCGGAGTGCCTTTGTCTACGCAGCCATAGACAGCTAACACAGAGTTACTGGATCCGGGGGTGCTTTGTTTATCCAGAGCTCTCTCAACGAGCCAGAAGCCCCTCAGCTCATCCAAGCATAAGTACGCAATTTCCCAGCGACTTGGCCGACGTGCACGTTGTGGAGGTCACCTCGGCTCTTTTCACCTTCTTCCGCACACTTGTCTACATCACCTTCCGCCCTTTGCATACCCATCATGGCAAACCAACAATTACCTCCTCCGCGCCGTCGTGGGGATCATTTGTTCGAGCGATGGGGGGTTAAGCTACATGAGGACAGCAACGGCATCATCTCCTCTGGATTGCTTCCCATATTCCCGACTGTTGACGGACCGTACGGCCTCGCTGAAGACCTTTGGTGGACGCATAAGCGAGCGTTGCAGGAGGCGGCTACACCCACGGACCGGATGCCAAAGTCCATACCGAAGCCCTCGGGCGTGCAACTGGACGAATTATTCTTTACCGAACGGTGGCAGCAGCTTGTTCTTCACGGGGTCAGAACATGGGAGCTTCCTTCCCTCAACCAGGGTATCATAGGGACAAGTTACTGGCACGAGGTCTTCATGACGGACCTTTCAATCATGCAACTTCCCAACATCAGCGTTACAGTTGAGCAATTCCCCGACATCGATCTCATTAACGTGGACGAGAGCAAGTGGAACAAAGTCTTCCGCCGGGGCCGCTGGTATGATTTGCGGGGTGTTGTGTTGGAAAAGGACGCCAACGGGCGCCCTACAAATACTCGAACTTGGAGTGTAGACGATAACGGCATCTGGGGTGAACTGCGAGTCGTGATTGAGATGGCCAACAGGATGCTGCATCACGTCATTTACGGTGATTGGCTTTACGCACTGCTGGAGGGAACCTTGGTCCCGATCCCGAATGTCCAGCCATTCCAGCCAGGAAAGAATGATCCCTTCTTTTTGCCCCGGCGGATGGTTTCGCCCGGTGAAGCTGGAACAGGGCCCAAACAGCCCGACCAACGGATTGCCCAACGATTATGGCAGCAAGTTGAGCTTTTATCAGAGTGGATTATCTGGTCCTTCTTTGATCCGCGGGACTTGGACAAGTATGGGTGTGTGAGCAAGACGGGTGTCACATCTGCTTACTGCGACACAGCAGCAATCCGGACGGTGATGCAGAAACGTTTAGATCCCAACGCTCTTCCACACCCGCGTGACCCTGATGTATTCAGCGATATCAAAATCAACACTATGCTTCTCGAAGCGTTGCTCACCATCTCAAATACACCAGAAGAAGTTGCTTCCAAACACACCACGCGGCTCGATTTAGCGTTTGTAGTGAGTATGAACCTGAGCGCCCCCGAAAAACCTTGGTTAATACAAATTAAAGCTAACAAGGGTGTGCTAGATGGTACACGAGCTTATGGCAAGTAGCACCATCTTCCTGATCAATCTTCTCCAGTCGTAGACTAACCCGTATTGCGTAGCATGCACTTTATCAGGCGAACGTCTACGTCAAGTCTGGCTGGGGCGGGTGGGAATATGAACCCGTAAGTTGACTCATTGGACGCTACCGTCCACCCGTATTTCTTTTGCTAATCCAGAAATTTTCGATGCCACGCAGCTTTACCAGAACGAGAACTCAGCGGAACTGGGCTGGTCACAGGAACAGTCCCTTCTTGACGCCGTCAGAAATATTGGACCTTTGAACGTCTTTATGCCTGACAGCGACTTCCTCTCCCGGGCTGGCCCTGCGTTTACTATTACAAGCTCGTGGCTTGATAACCCGACGCAACGCGCAAAGGGCAAAGAACTACAGGAGTTGTCCGATGGTTCCTATCGTGGTGTGCTGGAGAAAGTTATCACTCAGCTGGGCCCCCTACCTACATACTGGTGTTCCCGGTTCCAGTCCCAGAGCTTCTGGGATTCTCACGTTGCTGTATACGGGCAAGCCGCGCTCAAAGCTGAACCAGTGGTGCTTAGTAAGGCAAGGTACAACAATATAGCCCATATGCGGCTCTACCACGCCAGGAGACACGTGCAACCGTCGCTGTTGCGTCACCAACCGATAGTACCGAACCAGATGCAGAGGTTCCGGCTAGAGGAAGAGCAGACGTTCCAGTATATGGAGTTCCGCAGAAAGCTCTGGAAAAGCCTACGGCCTTGGTACAAGCAGTCTTACAGGATGTGGCAGAAAACCCCGTACTCGTTTGGGAATCTACGCCGAATGATTGACAAATTCAGACAGGCGGTCCTTCAACGGAACCGTACCGATGCGGAAAAGATAGTCGGGACCTATAGCAGCTACCTCAAGGTCCTCGCCAGAGATCTGAGTTCACCTTATGTTATGACCAATGCCCCGCCCGGGACCGAACCCTTCTGGTTTTTCGAATTCCACCGCCATCCGGCCCTGTGGCCCTTTTGCATGCTCGAGATTATGATGCATGCGTCTCTTCCGTATGACTGGTTAATCTCAATGAAGAAGAATGCAGCGCCTCCATCCGCGCCGACAGCTACCACCAGCAAAGAAGACTTTCCCAACCGCTGGTTTCCGAGCCAGCACGCCCTGGCTGCCGGTACCTTCTTCCAGTATCCACTCCTCTGGAGTCGCAAGAAGGACAAGCCTCGTAACGCCGGTTTGGCCAGGCCTGATGTTACCGACCCCGGCAAAATCTACCCGCCTATGTTCAGCGAGGAGTTCGGCAAGCCCGACAGGCTAGGACCATGGCCTTCACCCGAGAGGCAATCATCCCTTTACCATGCCCGCTGGGCCATGCTTATTGCCATCGAAACTGAGAGAACTAGAGAACCCATGAAGAAGTACCCCATCCCCAAGAGGCTGTGGCAGGCTCTCATGGACCAGTACAAGCGGCTTCTTGGGCAGAACCAACGCCTTGGTAACAAGAACAGCAACGGGCAGTGGTTAGATTTCGACTTTGCATTTCCTCCCTATGATGAGAATGATCAGTTTGTGGTTTTGGACAGGTTCATCAGGCCCACGGGGCCTAAAAAGATGGGACTTAGTGCCAAGGACTGGTACGAGCAAGGCCATGCGGACCCCGACAAGCTAATTATCGCGCCCAAGCTGGTGCCTGCGCCGGCGGACGCCCCCGAGGTATACTTGCCCAGTGAGGATGAGGGGGACGGGGATGCACCCGAGGTTTGGCAGCGTTGGTGGCCTGTTCACCCTTATGTGGACGTGGACATGGACGTGGACATGATGGATGCGTCACCTTGAGAGCTGCACCGGGCCGGGCATGTCGTGTTGCTCGGGGCTACGGGGCTAGTGAGACAATCGGTCAGTAACTCGCGCAGGAAGGAAGAAGACACGAAGGGAAGACGAAATAGATGAAGGAAGGGGAGGAGGAAGGAACGAAACAAAGGGAAGTGATGAATTGGATCATGGCCGGTTGAAGAAGGAATTAGGTCCGGTAAGGTAAGGTGGGTGTACCGCAGTTTGCACCCGCTGAGGCCCAAGGTTTGTGCGGGCAGTCTGATGGCAGTTTGGCTTTTTCTTGTATGTGTTCTCTCTTTATGTTTTGGTGGTCCGCTCTATTCTGTGCCTTGATATTCTACGAATAAGACTGATATACACCAAACTTGATTCATTGCCATATGTGATGCTGTGCGAAGTTGGTTAAAGGGGAGATTGGCGGGACGTCTCTTGTTCTGTGATTTGGTCCAGATGTTTGAGGCTTGATAAGGATTATCCTAGCATTGCTAGTTAACAACTACAACAGGGTTAGCCCGTATAGCTCAGTGGTAGAGCGCATCACTCGTAAGCTTCCTTCGGAAAGTGCAACTACGATATGATGAGGTCCGCGGTTCAATCCCGCGTGGGGGCATTTCTTTTTCGAATTTTTTTGGGACTACATCTCTTTACGAAATACCATTCGCGGTGCTGCCATGTTCTTTTTCTTTCTGATCTGCTCGTTGTCTTTTTTTTTTTTTTTTTTAAGTGGGTGTTGGTGTTGCTGTCGTGGAGATGTGTATTTTGTTACTTGATATGGAAGTTGGGAGTCCGTTCTGTGTCTAACACAACCCAGCATTATGCCACACGGTCCTCCTCCTCCTCCTCCCCATTCCCGTCCCGGAGAGTTCACGTCACCATTACAACGGACTCCCGAATGTCAAGGGACGATGACATCTGCCTGGCTATGACATGGTCGCAAACGAAATATTAGCAGCCGAATACAAGTATTCGATTTTGGATTCTATGCTCCCTCATCATCAAAAGTGAACTGCAACATTTCGAACAATCAACTCCAAGAATCCTACCGAACCATAACACACATTCAAACCACAATCAAACTTATCCTAAACAATCAACCATGTTATCAACCCGCGTCTTCACCCGGACTCTGCTCCGGCCCCGTCTGGCCTTCCTCCATCCCCGCGGCCCTCGCCAGCCGGTGGTGACCAAGGGACAAAAGAAGAATATCCATCATAAGACGGAAGATGATTTTGGAGGACCGGGTGGGCAGGAGCTGTATCCTTATGCTAGTGCTATTCATCGGTGAGTCTTTCTCTACCCGTCCTGCCGTCAGGGACGTTCTGTGTAGAGCAGATCTGAAAGGGTTGTAGGATGTAATACCCCCATTTTCCAAGCTCCTTTGATCGGGTTTCCCATTGTTGCTATACCTCGTTGGCGTTCCCTTCCCTTCCCTTCCCTTCCCGTCCCATCCATCCCCTACCTCGTTTGTCCAGGTAATCAATGAATGCTAACAAATCATGGCAATGATAAAGGAAGTACGCAACCCGCACCGCCGTCGGCGTAGCCGCTACCTGCGCCGTGCTCTACACCTCCAAGATGCTGGAGCGCAAAGGATTTTACAACCAGCCCGGCGATCGGTACGTGTTGACGCATGATAATACCAAGGGAGAGCTGGGGGACGTGATGATGTTGAGAGTTAGGAATGGGCAGGTTGTGTAAGGGTGGGAGAGACTGGAGAGGATGGATGGATGGCTGCGTGGGGAAGGGGTGGAAGGAGAGGATCAAAAAGTGATGGAAGGGGTTGAGGAGAGATTGATCTAGTGTTGATCGACGGGGCAAAGAGGGAGAAGGGATGGCGATTGTCAAGATAGTGTAGGAATACGGATGACGGACTGGATCAAGTTGACGAGTCTGACGAGGAAAGAACATGGCCCATTATATTGTACGAAGGAACTGCAGCTTGCGAAAGATACATTGTCTTTTGAGGTCTGGGCAAGTCCGTGATTTACATCGTCTCCTTCAGTCTACCAGTCAAGGAAATTTTGATCAAGATGTCGGGTGCAGAAAGTGGTGGGATACCAGTGCTGAAAGATCTAAGTGTTAGTGCGAATGGTGGACATTAACGCAACCTCGCATAAACAGGCTGAGACACAGTTAAGAACAAGATTAATAATTAACACTGAAGCGAACAGCTACCCCGCACCGATCGCGTCGGCGACGTGGAACCTCTTTTCTCTCCTTCAACCTTCTCGGCGCCAAGTTTGCGTAATCCGACAACCCGCCAGCCAAATAACCCGCGATCCCATCCGCGCACAATGTCAACCCATACTTGTTGCCAATCCGTGCCCTGAGCCTGCAGGGCTCTTGGCCGTCTGCCTTCCCATCACGCCGTCTGCACATGTCTCCGTTCCTCGATCGCGTCCTCCATTCGAGCGCGAAATAACCGCACCACAGGGTCCCGTCGCCGACATCCCTCCCTCGCCTCGATACCTGCTCACGGCCCCTCCCCGTTCAGAACCGACTTGACCTGCGTATCATCCAGCTCCACGAGCTCGTCCTCGTCCTCCTGCTCCCCGTCCCGCCCCGGCGGCTGCCCTTTCGGACAAGCGGCATAATACGACGGCGGCCTCATTTCGCCATCGCGCTGCTCCACCTCCCGTTGTCGCTGGCGGTCTTGGGCAGGAGTCGAACTCATTTCTGCTGCATTTTGTTCAGTCTCAAGAGGCAAATACCCAGGACGCTCGGGGATATATGCACCTCGTGGCAGTTGGGTCATTGCCCGTATTGCTGCCGCCTTCTTGCGCTGGCGGCGGAGACCGAAGACAAGGAGGGCGATGAAAGCCGAGAAGAGGAGGATACAGAGCGTTACACTGGCTATGGCACTTTTGGATCTCCAAAAGGAGGTTACACCAGTTGCATTGGTGTCTGAGGGTGTGCTCGAGGGGAGGCTGGAAGCGGAGGCGGAGGTGGAGGCAGAGGCGGAGGGGAGCGCGACCACGCCCGTTGGCAAGCCTGACGTAAGGGACGCTGAAGATGGCGTGGGTGTTGACGAGGACGCGCCCGAGGTCATCCCCGTCTCGCCCCCAGAAGACGACGCCATCGGACTGCGGGACGTCTGGTCATTCGCCGTCATCGAACCGCCCGTCGCTGACACCGTAACGCTCTCCGTCGACGGCAGCTCTAGCCCCACCTTCCCAGCTGCCAACTTCACCAAATTATCAAACTCCATCCTGCATCGCACGTCAAGCTCGCTCGCCTTGAAGTCATCGTCGCACTTGCTCTTACTTGGGCAGCAAGCTTTCTTGGCGCCGCGAGCGAGGTTGGTGCAGACTACCGCGTTGGGCTCGTCGCAGGCGGAGGCTTGGTCGACGAAGCAATTACTGGAGCCGGTTCTGTACGAGCGGTTAGTAGGGCCCAGGAGGAGAGAGACGGAATTGGGGGTGGGAATGGAGATACGTACCCCTCACAACACCACCCTTTTCCTCCGCCGTCGACGCAGCGGGGGAAGTTTTGTCCTTTGCGATAACCTGTGTTGGGACATGTCAGTCGAAGCCTGTGAACCAAAAGAGGAGGCGGGTTGTGGGAAGCTGACAGCAGGTGGTGTTGCCTGGTGTGCATGTCTTGGAATAGGCGCCTCCGTTGGGAAAGGCCTCGGTGCATACGTCGCCTCGTCCAAAAAGCTGACTGGGGCTAATGCCACCGTAATAGCTGGATGGGAATCTCATCTTTCTCGCTTGGCAGCGCAGAGAAGGCGACAAGTCGACACGGTAACGCGGCACAGACGGTGACAGCAGAAAGATACGTTGGGGCCAACAGAGGTTGTTGGTTGTTGGGTTCAACTTTGAGGCGTCAGTCTTCTTGGTGTGCAAGTCTAAGCCAAGAAGGGACCGGATCACTTGAAGGCATTTGAAACCACAAAGGCGCGGGGATCTGAATCGTGACCCTCAAGGCGGACAGGTCAAGTGGGCGACCTTGCCTTGGCCAGAAGCGATGCAGGAAGTTTGCGAAAGGTCGGCAATATCCGCGATAAATTGCCCGATGCCTACTATCGCTGGCTCTATCGCTGGCTCCGTAGCCCGGAACCCAGCCATGACTGACAACCGCACGCACAAGCTAGGCTTATATTCTGCCTGAGTGCCTGAAGGATACTGGGAACCGGAAAAGACTGGTCAGCGCCAGTGTTTGTTCCCGTATCGGGGTCTGTGTTTGTCGGTTTGTCGTGATCCCTGAATAAGGGAACACTATGGGACAAAGGAATCAACCTGGAACGTGACGGGGGTAGCATTGCCCATGCTGCCTCGTGTCTGTCGACGAGTCCCTTGCGGTTGAAGTTAATAAGACCAACAACCAACAACGGGTACCCGTGCCACGCACCCAACTTTGGAGCCAGGCGGATTCGCACCCTTCGAAGTTGGGGGCATGGCACCGATATGAGTTGGTTGTTGGTCTATGGCAGCGTGGCACACAAGGCAAGCCATCTCAAGGCAAGCCATCTCAAGGCAAGCCAAGTCAGGAGTCTGGCAACGCAAGCCAAATCAAGGTAAAGTATACCGTATAATCTCGCGAAATCCGCCAAACTCTTTCCCTCTTTGGGCGCCGGGCATGGGGCAGAAATCTGCCAGTAGTATGCGCCGTAAGCCAGCATATGCCAGTATATGTGCTCACCTAGTTTTAGCTGTAGACTAGTGCAATATAGTGTCGAGGGTCGGCATTTGATGGTTCTAGTGATCTCTCGTTTCTTTTGCTATGTTGTGTGCTCTGGCTGTTTCGTGCCCTATAAGGTATCATTAGACTTTATCGTCGTCGTTGTGCCGTTATTATATTATTGTAGTGGCGCCTCCTTAGGCTAGACGGCAGCGGTAGAACGCCTATTCCGCCATCTAGCGTTGAATTCGTTGAGATACGTCCTGGTCCCGCCCCTATTTCGTACAAAGACCGTAAGGTTAGGCGGATGAGGCCAATTAAATATATTGAACAATCCTATTTTATGGAGAGGAAGTTATAAGTTAGTTTATTACCCCGTATAGTTATTAAAAAATAAGCTAGGATATAGTACTAAGTGAATTCGCGATAGGTTATTATTTACTTTATTTAAACGCGAATTAGATTCGAACAATAATGCTGTACCCATATTAGAGTTAACGGCGGTTATTAATATAATAGGTACTGCGACGCTATATATCAAAAAGCTTAAAAATTCTATAAGATTCCCGTCCGGACGATTTATAATTAGTAGATGAATCGCAATAAGATTCTAATAAGGGTAGCGAGAGAAGGGAAGATAATGTGGCCAATAATAGAGAAGCAGTTGTACTAGAAATTTTAGTCCGTATGTTATACTAACGGTTTAATAATAAATAGGTGGTTTCGCCGCTAATTTAAACGATTATTTGCAAAGATTTACCTTAAAATCCATAGCGAATTCAAATTTTCTCGTAGCTAGTTTAATAACTTCCTCCATTGTCATTGTATCTTGCATCGTCGGATTACCTATCAAGTTTAAAAGTTCCCCGCTGAACTGTATATAAAAGTCAATAGCTTTCTTCAGTAAATTGATTACTCCTATAGTTATAAATTGTTTTATAATTTAATTAGTGTTCTAATAGGTTTATTAAACGATATAGTCAACCGACCGTCCTAAGTATACGAACGCGCTTCCCCCCTTCTTATATCCTAAATTTCAATAAGATTCCTCTCCCTTTTAAATTTATTGATAAATATACGTACAAAATAAAGGGCGCCAAAACCGTTTTTAGCAAAATTGCCTATAGCGGGTAGGTTAAACGGTAATATATTTTGATCTTTTATGTTTTTACTAATAGAGGTTAGCGATTTAAACCGACGATTATCTTTTATAGGGAGGGGAAAGTTCGTAAAAAAGAGGAGAGGTTCTATATAAAGGACGTATTAATATAATTTAATAAAGATGCGTATTAAAACGAGTAGCTACTCGCTACTTAGTTAGATGAGGAGTTCTCTCCTATTTTGAGGGAGTTAGGATAGGAAGTACTAATAGTTATAGACGTTTGCCCGTCTTACAACTCTATTATAATATATAATAAGATTAATAACGATATGCCTTATAAAGTAGTAATAGTTATAATCCTTAGTAGTTTTACGAATTGATTGTAACTTCTCGATACAATAATTAACGTGATATTTAAAAAACTATTAAAGGAGGAATACAATATCGCTTATTTCGAGTAGGAGGATAGAAACCTACCCTTAGGGAAAAAGTAGTCTATTTTTACAAAGAGGATTATTATTACCTACGCTATCTTTAGTTATTATTAGCGCTTATAAATAGATAAAAAGGATATTATTATTAAACCCTTCTAAAATAACGGAATTTCTATTCTTCCAGACGGATTAGAGAATTACTTAATTAATATTCAAAATATTAATAAGGATACTCTGATTTGGAATGATTGGGAGCGTACAATCAATATTATAACTAATGAGTTTAAAAATCTCTCAGACGATAATAACGAGGGATTAGTATATAATATCGATAACGACGATGACGAGGAAAGAAAGAGGGTAAGAGAGAGAGCGAAGGAGAGAATAGTATCGAAGGGGAAGGCTATTTATAGTAATAGGATTACTATACCTATGTTAAAAGAGATATTACGAGTAAGAGAATTATAAATAGGAAGTTATAAGAATAACCTTCTTATTCGTTTAGTACTAGATAATAGACAATAGCAACGAGAATAACTAGTAGTATAAATAATAGTAATCAAAGCTTATTATTATTATTATTATTATTAACCTCGTCGTCGTCGATATATTAGTAAGTAGTAACCTTGCCTTCTTACTACTAGCGAACTACCTGGAGGCGGTTGTCCCATTTATACCAGTGCTTTCCTAACTCTATTATACGATAAAAGACTTCAATACTAGCCCTAATATCTTTCTTAATATAAGGATAACTTCTGTTACGAACCTAGCTAAAGTGGGTACATTTCTAGAAGTCTATTAGGGTTAAACCCTCCTTAACGTTAGAGGACGAGGGTATTCGAAGGACAATGAAGTATTCGGTTTATTCAACGAACTATTGGGTATTAGGGTAATTATTGGTGACGTCTATGAGCAAGGTAGGGTATTTAATATTAATATTAAGCGATTATTTACTTTAGATCCCTTTATTTACTTATAAATAACGTCGATATAGCTAAGTGAAACCTTCTGGGGCGCTATGGTAAGGGTGGATGTGTGAGTGTGTGATAGAGATGGAAAAACGGGGCCTAGATTCCTCAGTAAAATAGAAAAAATCCCCTTAGGAAAAAGTATAGTGAAAAAGGCCAGGTTTATGGTCCTCCGCCTAGAAATATTGCCCTCTACATTAATTTATATACATTCGAATATATAGAAACCGGGCTTGCCCTGCCAGCTACCTGCACAGATATGCCCCATGCCCGGCGCCCAAAGAGGGAAAGAGTTTGGCGGATTTCGCGAGATTATATGGTAGGCAAGTCAAGGCAAGTTATGGGGTTGACTTACTTGTTAACTTTGCATATTGCATACCCCTCCTTTTTTTCCCGTTAGACATACCCTTCTACCACATTGAGTATGCGTTTTGATACAGTAACCCGGCGATGTACGTGCAAAGATTTATGCAAGTCAACAAGGCAAGGCAAGTCAAATCACAAGGCAAGGCAAGTTTTGGGTTATCCTAACAAGGCAAGGCAAGTCAGACCCTGGCTTGTCTTGACTTGGCTTGTGTGCTACCGTAAAGTTTTGTTTTTGCTAACAGGGCCTAACTGACAGAATTCATGCATTAGGTGCCTTAAGGTTTGGGTTTTGGAAGAGATTCGAGCAGTCTGCAATGCTAGAGGTGCCTCAAGTGTACTGAGGATGCGACTTGGCCCTGTTAGCTGAAAACGAATGGCCCGAGTCTTTACGGTAGCGTATAAACTCGCGAAACTGGCCAAACACTATCCCTCTTTGGGCGCCGGACAGAGGGCAGATCTGTGCAGGTAGCTGGCAGGATCAGGCCGGTCGCTGTGCATTCAAATGTGTGTAAGTTCACGTGGTGGGCAATGTCCTCGAGTTTTCACTAACTGGGCGGGCACATATGCTGGCGTATGCTGGCTTACTGGGCATGCTTCTGGCAGATTTCTGCCATATGTCCGGCGCTCAAAGAGGGATAGTGTTTGGCCAGTTTCGCGAGTTTATACGGTACGCTAGTCTATGGTATCTGCAGGTAAGTAGAGGTATCGTCCAAATTTGAGCTTTATATACGTATCTGTCGTCCCTCCGCTCTTGGGGGGAGGCTTCATACTGCTAATGAATCTCTGTCTTGTCCCTAGTATCTTCAAAAGGCATGATTTTGTCCCACGGTATACATACTATGGCGGCCGATGCTCTTCGAGCCGTGCGCATCCTTGCGATCCTTGCGAGCTTGGGATGCATTTTTGTTCCCCTTCGTCTTCTGTACAGTCAACAACGAGCCGGTTTTTCGAGTGCGCATCAATACCAGACCAGGCCCGGTAGCCTAATACCAGACATCGCAACGCTCAAACCCAATAGTACGCCATATAAGGCAATCGAATTAGGTCTTGAGCTAGTGGTGGCCAGTCTGAAGAGCGAGAATACTAGCTGGGTGCATGAATACCTGCCGGACTGGCCCGCGAGCATCTATGTGGTCGATGACCCTGATGCTCCCCTTACGGTCCCCAAGAATAAAGGGAATGAGGCCATGGTCTATCTCACGTACGTTCACCCTTCACCAATCACCAATTTCTGTCGGCAAATAATTCCTAACGAACTTCAGTCATCTCATCGACCGCTACGACACCCTTGCCTCCTCCACCGTCTTCGTCCACGCGCAACGCTTCGCCTGGCACAATGACGGCCCCAACTACGACGCCCTCGTGACTCTCCAGCACATCCAAACCCCCTACGTCCAAGCCTCTGGCTACGTCAACCTTCGCTGCGCCTTGTTCCCTGGCTGTCCTGCCGCAGTCCGCCCAAATCAAGATGCCGGAAAAATGACGCCGCTCACGAACATTTTCAAACCCGCCTTCCAGCAGATCCTCCCGGGGATTCCTGTCCCCGAAGTCGTTGCCGCAACCTGCTGCGCCCAGTTCGCCGTCTCCCGCGAAACAGTTCACAGCCGATCGCGCGAGGACTACGTCCGGCTTCGTGAGTGGCTGCTGAACACGGAGCTGGACGACAGTCTGTCTGGCAGAGTGTTTGAGTATACGTGGCATATCATCTTTGGCAAGGCAGCCGTTTACTGTCCGGACGCGGGCGAGTGTTATTGCAAGGTCTTTGGTATACGCTGCCGAAGGTCGTGACGCTACCGAGCGGGTGGCCGAGGCTGGGGTGGGAGGGGGAGGATAGGGGGTATCGTGGTCCGCTTGTTTGATGGCGGAAACATCGCGAGATTGTTGCACGTGGGTGGTGGTCGAGGAACGGAGGGGCTCTTGCAGCGGCCTGTGGGAGTCGGAGTTATGGCGACTGATGCAGGAAACGGACTTGAACAGGCAAATTTCATGCCCGGTGATGCAGCATATGGCCTCCATGCCCGTATTCTGCCAAGGAAATATCGGAGAAGAGGCACATGTAGCCGGGAATCTGCAATTCCCCCATTTAAAAGAGAAATAAATAAAAAAGGACAGGTCATCAACATATTTTCCTTCGACTGGAGTTTGAAGATTCTTTTTTCGGAGGAAAACCACAGATACCTCGAGATCTGATATCACCTGTTTTGTCAACGGCCGATTGCACCAGACATGGATCCGTACCAAAAGCCACTTCACACAGACATATACCTCGCCATGCGGCCCCTGACCGGAACCATGATGCCCCGGACGGCTAATGCCATCAGCATCCTGTCGACCTTTCTCCTTTCCGTGATCGGTGGCTTCACCATCGGTACCATCTTCATCTCGCCCGTCCTGCCGGATTTGCTGAGAGATTTGTCCCCGATGGCTATTGCCATCATCAAAGTCCTCTTGTCCACCGTCGTCCTCGGCGGCATCGTGGGAACCATGATCGGCGGCATCTTTCTTTGGCGGCGAGAAGTAGGCTACGACTACGAAGACTTGGAGGCCAATCGTAGCTCCTCCAGTATCCCCTCTCCTGCCCACCCTTACGACGATTACGACTATTTCTTCACCTGCGATCCCGACCCCTACGCCTTCAGCCCCTACCAACAATACAACATCCACGAAGTTCACTCGTATTAGCACAACACCTCCCATGACGACCGCTCATCGAACCCCGATGGTTCTGTCTCGCATCAGAGCCCTGACAGAGCGCCCAGCGACATCTCCTACGACTCAGACCCCTACACCTCCGATCTCTACGACGACGGTTACGAGACGGATTCTGACTCTTCCCTCCCATCCCCCCTACACCCAATGCCCGTGCCCCTCTACTCCAAACCACTAGACGTGGTCCCCGCTATTCCTAGAGGCAGGAATGCTCCCATCACACTCCACTCCCGGGACTGGAGGCAATAGGATGGGTTGGGACAGAGGTGGGAGGAAGACAACGAGAAGGAAATGGATACTTGAAGGAGCAAGGAAATACAAGGATTGAGAACAGGACGAAAGGCCTCAATGGGTGGTAGAAAAGCGGGTTCGAAGACATGGTAAATTCGTATGGAGATTTGGCGGTGATGTTGTTGGAAATATTGATGTTGTTGGTGGAAGAAAGGTTGTACATGTCACGAGCACCGGGCTGGAAGGCTGGAAGTTGATGTTAGAGGTACAGCAGCAACACACGCAACATCAGGCTGTGGTTTCCAGGAGCTGAAGCTGGAAGCCTCTGGATCCGGCCATGCACGCTCTTGTCTGATAAGTCGGCAGCCTGACGGGCGGGTATAGCTGTTGAGCCGTCCCTTGGACTACACGGTTATGTCTCCGAAAATCTACGTGTTGCTAGGTTAAAATAGTTGCTAAAACATCCATAACATAGAGGTAGAGGTAGCCTGCCTTCAAAATGAGAAATTGACCTTTACAATGCATACCATTGTCAGTGGCAGATTGACAGTTCATCAAGATGTGCTCTGTGTATCCCAACTCCAGGCTCCGAGTGGTCCTCTGTATAGCAGGTACGGCAGGCTGGGCTCCATGCATCGGGTACGGGACTCAGCTGTACCACTTGAACACCCTGGGAGAGGCACGGGGCGTGGGGGCGACGATACCTGTCTGTTCTCTGGCCACGGTCCATACAAGAGGCAGACACTCGATGAAGGACAAGCAAGATGTTCACGGATAATATTTGGATCACACGTCGCTCAAATACGTCCCGTTCACTTGTCAGACTCGGAACTCTTCCTTGGATTAATCGATCCCGTCAGTTTGTTAGAGGTAGGTGTTTGCTCGGTGGTGCCTTCCATCTGGTTGGGGACGAGCACATGCGGGGTACAAGATGGGGAATGTGGGGAGAAAGAAACCGTGACAATTCCTCGCTTCCTCCTTTCTTCTCCTTCCTAGCAACACTGTCTCAGCCCAGTCAAGCCGCCATTTCCATATGGGAGTATAGCGAAACAGACATTTTACTTCAGGTTCATCATCACCTTGCCATCTCTGCTTCAAGCCCCGAGTCCTGTCCTCTCCCGTCCCCAGATGACGCAGCCATCCATGACTGGAATGCTCCCAGGCGCCAGGCAACGGATACCTGTCCGACTTGTCACCCTTCAGCCCCAACTGTCCCGCTGCGCCCCAGCCCACCACCACATCACTTGCTCTCTAACGATAACGTCGACGGGTCAGTGAGCAAGCCACACCGATAAACCCCAGGTACAATCGGTCTATTTCCATCCCTGATTTGTATCACTGCCCCTACTTGTATCATCAATCCTTGGCAGGAACAACAAATTAGGCGCAAGGACCCTCGGTTTCAGCTGGCAGAGTCCTAGAATGCCATCCGAGCAAGCGACTCGGCGTCTCTCATTGGCAATGCTATCGCGAGAAACACATTCCGGTGTGGGTGAGGTGCTGCGCCACACTGTTTGTGCAATGACCGCGATCAATACTTCCCCTTCCAGAACCCCCAGACCAGAGAAGTAAGGCTGGCGAGCACGCCTTCATCCAGCTTGTGACTTCAGCTCCCAGGCACCCCTTCATTCGCGTGGGAATCATCCATGATTTGTCGAGGCTTATCTATCAATGGTGTGCCACACTTCTCGTGGCGTCCGGTCAACGCATTTGGGCACGATGAAGAAGAGGCCGGGAAGCGATTCAGACAATGGGCAAGCAACGCGGGTGCGACCTTTACGACTGCGGGACAGATAACATAAACCATGGCTTCGGTGAGAGTGTGGTTGCACAACCCCAGTGCCATGACCAAGCAATCCGGCGTCCACCATCTGGACTTACGCCTCACGTCTACAGCAATGTTCCAGAAGGAACGTGGAAGTAAGGCTGCGATGGATGGTGCAAAGGGTATAAGTATCGAAGACGTGTCCCCCTTGTTTCGTTTGGTTTCTTTGGTGACGATGTTTACACGATTCGCTGATAGTTTTTGAACCTTAATTGCTTGAACTTCCATTCTTTCGTCTTGTCTTGCATACCTCCAGAGACACTCTCACTTCACAACAGGTTTCAACAACCCGTGCCCCCTCGTCAAATGCCACCAACATGGCCTACCCTCCCCGGAAAGTCTTGAACTCCAGGCTCACCTTCCTCGCCCTTGGGCTCCTCTTACTAGGGATCTTCCCGCAACCCATCGAAGCCGTCCACCGGTACAACGAATCACAATGCTGTCTCGATGCAGTAGCTTCCGAGGTGTTCACGCTCAACGTCACAAGAAACCCGAAGACGGGGGAGATCCTTTCCAGCGAGGCCCCCATCTGCGGCCAGATGTACAACGACACCCTCAAGCCTGCCCCCGAGATCAGAGTGTCCTACGCCTACTGCAAGAGCAACTGCGGCGGCTTTGGACTCTCCAAAGGCGACGAGCCAGGTCAATGGGCCGCTCCCATTGTTCAGTTCCTTCTTCCGTCCGTCATCTTTAGCATGAATGTGCCGAGGCGGCATATTCTTCTTTCGACTACTCGGTTCAATGACTGGGTATGGAGGATACTTTCCCGGCCTGGGGATAGGAAACCGCGCAAGGTAGTTGCGCTTCTGATGGGGATCGTACTTCTGGCGTTGGACACGCTTATTGGAGCGCTCGATGCGCTGCTTTGGATTGTCGTGGTGATGGGGATGGCCGGACCGATGATGGTTGGGGGACTTCATGAGGCAGTTCTGGATTACAAGATTGTGAGAGCGTTGAAGGAAGGGGCGCATAAGGAGGAAGGGACGGAAAAGCAGCCCCCGACGTTGAAGAGCCTGAGGGATACGGTTGAGGTGCTGGTGACGGCTATCTCAGGGAACTTGGTCATGGGTGATAATGGGGGGAACCCGGAGGTTGAGATCAAGAAGGCTTTGCTGGCGGAGTTTCCTGAGCCAGACTGCGAAGTCCTAAACGATCAACGCCCACTGTCTTCTCAGGACACAATAGGACCCGTACCGCAGCTCCCGCCAATAGCTCGCCTGTGTCAGGCGGAGCCCTCGGAACAAGATGGTTCTCAAGAGCCCGAAGGGCCCCCCATCATTGTGGCACCACCCGAGATCAAATTGCAGCCAGTCGACATAGAAGCAAGCAAAAAGCTCCGCGAACGACTGACGCGGCTGATATCCTCCCAACTAGACTTCGCCGCCACAATCGGTGCCCCCGTAGTCTTCTACCTCGGTGCGTTCATCTACACCATCCTCGACATTAGGAACAAGCCTTCGGATCAGGACGCGGCCATATCACTTGCTTTTGGGGTAGAGTGGATGATAATAGTCCATGTCGCCATCATCGGTGGCTGTCTGCTAGCGAGCAACAACCCCAGTCCAGTAGTCCTGCTCGTCGGCAAGGAAGCTCCTGAAGACAGAGGATCTACAAAGGACGCTCAGTGGATATACTTCACACGCAAGAACGCCTTTGATGGCCTGTTCCAGCCGGTCAACATGTGGAAGAGAGGGATCAACAAGTCCAATTGGTTGAGACAGTCGGAGGTGTACCGAAAGAACAAAAAGTTCAGAGACAGAGTCAAGATCCAACTGCTGGAGTACTTTGGTTGGATCATCCTTCAGACTTTCATCTTGATTTCTCTCCCGCCGGCTGCAGGAGCATTCGTGGCCTGGCGGACACCGCCGATCGGATGGAGTTGTCGGTCTCTGAGCTTCGTGACATATTCGGCTTCGCAGCTTTTGTTGACTCTTGTTTACTCTGCTTACTTGAACATGTGGGAACGGGATCAAGCGAGACATAAGAAGCACCAAGGCGAAGATGCAGAATCTGGTCAACGAAGGTCAAGGAACACATATCAAGTGGTGCACGAGAGAGCGGGCAGGGATGCGAGTGCCAACGGTTATGACAGGCCCTTGGAGGACCTTCAACAGGTGCACACGGCATCTTCTCCCCCTCGGCTTCCTAGCCTGGACATGGACATGGACGACGAAGAGGACACCGATCGTGGCCGTTACGAGCTCAAAGAAATCCGCACAACTACGAAGCTACTCCCCTCAACCCCTTCCCCAGGGCCTTCTTCCAGGCACATCGAATATCCCAGTCCCGATCCCGGTCGCGAACCCAACTCCAGCCAAAATGCCAACCTTAATCCCACCTCTTCTCCCCCTGCGACCCCTCGAGCCTCCATGACCCTTTTACAATCCAATTTCCAAGGACAGACATGTGCAGTTCATACCAAGCCTAAAAAGTCCCTCCTCACTTTCTCCATCCACATCCTCTTCACCACCCTCTTCCTTCTCTCCCTTTTTTTGTCAATCGGCACCACCCTCATGCAAATCATGGGCGTGTACCGCAACTGCTTCTGCTACATCACCGTGCGATACTGGTTCGACACTTCGAACCCAGACGCCAAGGTTAATGTCGCCAGCGACACCTGGTTCCAGCGGAACTCGAGCTACAACTGGATGGTCATGGGTGGGGTGGCGACGGCGTTCATGGCTGCGTGCGCGTATGCGGGATGGTGGTTTCAGGGAATGATAAGGAGGGGGCTAGCAGGGGTGGTTGCGGGGGAGGTTTGGCCTGGGTATGGGAATGAGAAGGGGAATGGGAATTGAGAATGGCTCCAAGGTTGGCGATGAAGACGGGGATGTGGGACGGAAGTCAAGAGACGGAGAGAGGCTTGCTCAAGGGATGAGGGTCCAAGAGAGGGAGTGGGAGCATGTCATGGAGGATTCAGCGGTAGAAGTGGAAGGAAGTAATGTGTAATGACGGGATGTCGTAATCGGAGTGATGGCGTTCAAATGGGAGTTAGGTTTTTTGGCGTTTTGTTTGTCAGTCTGGTGTTTCTTCAGATGGATGGTACTAGATGGTTTCACTGGGTGAATAAAACGGAAGAATCGTATGGCGCATGGCGCTCTTGGTGATAGAAACACGGTAGTTGGCTGTATGACTACCTCTAGGGCATCGAGTAGAGAAGAAACAAGAGAGAGAAGGGATAACATCAATCCAATATCACCAGATATACGAAGAATACATATATCTTGCATTTCGGATTATGTACGTGAATGGACTGACTGACTGCAATCCCCTCCCTCAAATTACAACATCTAGTCCAAGACCTCATCTACCATCAGCCCTAATCTCTCGCCCGCGATGCCTACAAGTCCTACGACTGCATCATCTCAAACTGCCCCCCAGCCCCAGCCTCATGTCCATACCCCATCCCTGGCGGCGTCGGCACCTGCTGAACCGGCGAAGCCTCCCTGCTATCCACCCCATGCATAATCAAGAACTCTTCCAGCTGCTGGTCCATATCCGCTCCAAATCCTTGCTGCAAAGGCAGCCCAAAGTCTGTTACTGCCCCCGAAACTCCCTCTAACACAACTGCTGCTGCTGCACCCGCACCCGCTTGCGCTTGTCCACTCGCTTGCTGTACAAGCGGCTCTTGTGGTAGTTGTTGCTGGCCCGGTATTCCCTGACCATGTGCTTCCGGAGCACGAGCACCAGACATCGCGCCCTGCATCTTCGCCGTCCTCGTTCCCGTCCCCAAAAACAACTCGATCCCCTTCATACCTCCTTGTGCTTTCCCCAGGCTCCCTACCCCCTTCAGCTTCCCACCCTGCGCCTGCACAGCTAGGGCCAAAGCAACTCTAGCTTCATTCCTTTCCCTCCTCAACCTGACTTCCGTCTGGCGCACCTGTGTCCTCTCCTGTTTGAGAAAGCTAACTTGCGCTCGAGCTTCGTCGCGCTCGATGCGCAGCCGTTTTTCGACTTGTCGGGCGTTGTAGAGCTCGTTGCGCAGGGTGGCAAGAGACAGGCGGGCGGCGTCCCGCTCGGAGAGGGCTTGGGTCAGGGTGGCTTGGAGTTGTTGGAGTTGGAGTTGGAGGGTGGCTGTTATGTCGTGCCCGTTTTGTTGTCTTTGTTGTTGAGTGGTGTTGAAGGGATTAAATTTATGTGGTGGTTGCGAGGTGGAAGGACCGGGGAGTGGGATAGTTGAGTCCAGGATGATTGGTTCTGCAACAGAAGTGTCATCTAGGGGAAGTGGTTGCTGATGGTGCGAATGAATGCCGAACCCGGATCCGGTTCCGGGTCCGGGATTGGGCCCGATGCCGGTTGCTGCGCCGGCTTCATAAGGAAACGGACCAGTGGCTGCGGCAAACGAGCCGGAAGACATCATTTTAACCGCTGTTTCCACTTCCGGTACCGAATCTCGTGATTAGCTGGTTATGCCGGCTTGTGATGACAGAACCCAACGGTGCCGCCGTGCTGCGTCGTGATAGTGGAGTTACAGCACCCTTTCGAATTTAGGCACGATCCGAGATGCGTCGATGCGATGGACCCGCGGTCGCAGGTTTTTCGTCCCCAAAGCTTCCAGAAGAGTTCCAGAAGTCCCGAGGAGACGGGTGATGCGATTTAGAGTTGTGGTCTTCTCCACAATCCCCGTGGGCTGATGCCGGTTAAATCCGTCTACGTGTCCGGGTGCCGAGGGTAAAATGCGTAGCAGGTATTTTTAGATATGGTTTGCTGGTTTCGATGATCAAAGTGCGAAGAGGCACTGTTTATGTATAAGACTGGACGCGAGTCCTTCCTGGAAGTTGAGCAAGTTCACCAAATGTTGATGAACGCTGTGGGAGTGAAGATGTTTGCCCCTATGGGAAAGAGGAGATGACCGGACCATGTGATTCCGGCTTAGCGGGGCCAAATTAAGGTAGGTTCGTTTCTTGAGCCAGACTTCCAAGTTGAACATGAACTTCGATCAGTCCTCGCGGTTATAACAGGAACCGACGATGTGCAGGCTCTCAGGAGAGATATCGAGATGTCTCGAGATGCCGACAACAACGACCACGAACACCGCAACAAACTGAGAGGGGAAAAGACGCGCAAGAGACTGGAAGCGCCCAGCGCCGTGTCCTGCTCATGTGATCATCGCTTTCGCTCTCGCTCCGGATCGCATCGGGAAGTCGTTGTCAGAGGCCAGGGGATCCACTGGCTGTGCACGTGCCCAGTTGGGCTGGGATATGCGGGATTTATTACAAATGCCAGAGCTTTAAGTCGGTAGAGCCAATCTTACACAGATACATACAATTAAGCCACATTGAACCTATATCAATTATTACTAATAATATTATAATTAAGAATTTTATTAATTCAACTATTAAAATTATCGCTAGCAACGATAACCGACTAAACGATTACTAATAATATCTACAATTAAAATTAATAGCGTTATTCTCAACGGCCCTAGGGATTAACCGGCTTGGGAAAATGCCTTTATTTCTATAGCTTAGGACCTAAATTTCTATAAATATATTGACCCGAATAATTATATTCTTTAGCTAACCGAATTAATAAAACCCAATATCGCTAACTATTAAAGGGAAATTCACGCTAAAGAAATTAAGGAAATTGAGAAGGATAAGGAGGTTACCCTATCTATTACCATTAAACTATACGGCTTTTATTATAAGTGCGATTACCGTAACTATATAATTAAAAAGTTAAATTAGTATATAAAGGTTAAGACTTTTTCTAACCTAAATATTAAAAAAATTACATTAAATCGCTAAATATTTAAAACTATTAAAAATAATTGTTAAGAAATCAATTTTACTAAATATATTAATTTATACGAATAATACAATAATTTTAGTAAATTTATTACTTTTAATGATTATAAAGTAAAGAAATTCGCCCAGATTAGATTTATTAATATTTTTAAACCCTTTAATAGAGCCAACCATAATTAGTATAATTAAACCTTTTGATAGGAAACGGCTATAGCCCTTTATATTATTAGATGAATTATTAGAATAAATAAAATAAATTTATAATTCTTAAAATTCTATATAATTATAAGGTCGAATTTTTATATTATTTAGGTAAATAATTATTAATTTTAATGTAGAAGGGAGATTGAGAGAAATTTTAATTTTTACCTTTTTTTCTATATTATAATTAAAGATTTTCGTAAAGTAATGAGAGCGAATATTACTTAAAGAAAAAATTGCGCCCCCTTATTTAAAGATATTATATTCATATTTATATTAAGTAGTAAGCCCGTTAAGGAAAATATTCCTAATAATAAATAAAATTTTAACCCGGAGGTAGAAGTATGGGGAGAAGTTGTAAATAAAAATAGTAAATTTAGGAAGAATATTAATAAGAATAAATATATTTCCTCTTTGTCTTTATTAGCGAATAAACGATTACAACAATCCCTATATAAATTCTATAAATAATTAGGCTATAATCTGGATAAATATTATTATATTAAATTATAATTAATTTATAAAGCTTAAGTTAAAAGTCCTAGTATTGAAAAGTATGTATTTAATAATTTAAAAAAGGATAAAATATTTAAAAAGGTTATTAACTATTTATAAACGTAGTAGGGCAATAAAAATTAAAATAATTAATTTTATAATCGCCGGGTAAATAAAAGTAGTTTCTTAATATTTATAGCAAAACGTAGCGCTATATGCTTACTAAGAGATTTTACAACCCTCAATTTAAATATAATAATATATATTTTTGATAAGGTTAATTATTTCCAAGATTTTATTCTTTTAAATATTAATAATTATATATAGGCGGGAAATAAGCGGATTCTTATAGAGGGGTATAGTATTATTATAATTATAATTTAAGACGACGACGGAAATAGAGAGTTTAAAATCCTTAACATCGTTTTAGTACCGGGTATAATTTATAATGTTATATCTTTAAAATAATTCTAGGATGAATAAATTTATTAAGATTATAAAAATAATTATTTACATTCCCGTTTTATAAAGTCCTTTATTTATTATAACCTTTCTAAATATAAGTAATTTATTTTAACATATATTCTTTTATAAAATAACATTAACGAATCTTCTTTTATTATATAGTATATAAATTATATTAAATAGAAACCCTAAAAGAATAAGCCCTTTCGCTAGTATTTTCGATTTAACTACCCGAGACCCGAAATTTTAATTAAATTAATAGAATAGAAATATAGCGTACGGTTTAAGGGACCGAATATAATATATTACGACTTATATATTAAAATTGAATTAAAACGTTAAATATATAGAGAAATTTATAATTACTTAGAGGGCCTTAGGTTATAATTAGCTATCGATTTTTTCTTTTATAAAAAAATAAAGGTAGGGGCTAGAAATATTTAAATTTAATAGTGGTTATAAATTAGTAATTTAAATTCATTTAAATATATTATTTAGGTAATAGAAAAATCGAATTTATTTTTATATATTTAGAATCCCTTTACATAGGGTTATAAATTTAGTAGTAGATTATATTTCAGGTAATCGAATACGATAATGAAATAATTAATAATGAGAAAATTATTGTTTAGTTTATTATTAAGGGAATTAATATTAAGTCCTTAATATTTTATACGTAAATTTAAAACAATAGCGTAAAGCACTTAAGGGCTATAATTAAAATTAAGGGTACAGCAATACAATTAGGCGCAAATCTTCCTTATAAATTATAAATAGAAATTATTAGAATAATTATATATTTATATAACTTAACCCTTAAAGCGGAGTATTATTAAAAGTTTCTTGAAAATTAATTCGAAATATACTATTAATTTAAAGACGGTATCGTTCTTCTATTAGACCCCTCCCTTATTATTATACATTTCAAAATATATAGTTATAAAGCCTATATTTTTCTAATAGAAATTATAAAAGAATAAAATAAATTAATAAAGTTTAAAGATTGTACTTAGGTCGGTTATTTGGTTAGATATTAATTAACGAATATTTATACGATTTAGAATCCCTATATTACTTTTATTATTATTATATAAAACGTTATATTTAATAAAGGCGAGGTTTTCCCTACTATTAACGTTAAAGAAATTTATAATACCTTTAATATTTCACTTAAAAAGTTAACTATATAATTAAGAGATTTTTATTAAACAAATATTACGTAAATAAACATCTTATAGGTTAAAGTTATGCCCGCTATAAATAACGGAATTCCTAGCCCCGTTATTTAAAATTTTCCTACCGAAATTAAGAATATATTAGGGAAAGAGGAGGAATTAAGATCTCTAAAGGTCCCGTAAGTATTAAAAATACCATAGGGTCTAGAAATGTTATAAGGGTCTTTAAAACTATTACTATCGCCGCCCGTATAATTACCATCGGATTTTTAAAATACAGTTTTAAATTCGAAGGATAAAGAAGAGGGCTATTTCCTTACCCCTCTTAATAATGAGAAACTCTATTTGTACGTGGATAAAACTCTATTTTTACGTGGATCTACTTTTCTTCTTTATATATATCCCTAACCCTGCCAACCCGCGCCCGCCCCATACTAGTCTAGTACGTACCACGCCCGCTAAGCTCCTAGATTTTAACCTATTATATATTTTGACCCCCTGTATAGGCTACTTTACGTACTATACTAACTAGCACTGGCTAGCACTAGTTACCTAGTTTGATTTAGCGATTATTTTGGTATGTGCCTTGTCGTATTGCTTCCTCTACTAAACTACTATATATATTACCCTATCATATTTAATTAATCTACTTTAATACTAATACATTGTATTATTAAGTAAACGATGCGATCGTATTTGGTTAATGGTATGGAATGATATATTACTTTTTAGTGCGTTTCTCCAATTAATTATAATATAAATGGCCGATGTAGCAACCTAGCCTGCGTGCGATTGTAGCGTGGATAACCCTAGTCTAATAACTGACCCTACCCTAATTAAACCTACCCTAATTAAGCTTACCCTAGTCGAACCTACTTCTGCTTAGCCTATAGATTTTGACGACCCTTATAATAGCGACCCTTATAATAGCGACTTTAACAATAGTGACCTTAACGATAATAAGGATTATTATTTAATTTTTAAAACCTAGTAGGATAATTTCGATAACTTCGTTAAAGTAGTTAATAAGTAGGGTAGGGAGTTAGGTTATTAATTTATTAAGAATTGTTCAATCGATATTATTAAAGATTTTAGTCCCTCTAGAATCGATTTTATATACTTAATTAGCAAAATCCGTGCTTTTATTGCTCGTAGTCGTTTAATATCGATAGTTAGACGGGGATACCCTTAGAAAGGGGTCGCTAAAGTATTAAAATCGAATTTTAAATAGTGGATTTTTGAAGTTAGAGAAGGTTGTAATATTTATATTTATTCCCTTAGTAAGATTGTATACATTTGGGAAATTTCTAAGGTAAAGTATAAGATTTTCGTTATGTAGTATTTTAATTGCTTTACTACGCAGAAATGTGAGATTGGGGAGTAGTTATATAATAATTTTCCCGACTTTTATTTTATAATTAAATAGGAGGAGAATTTTCAATATATTTGCAAAAGGTAGTTTAATATAGATTATAACCCTTTTTAGCTTACTATAAAGTTATTTATAGAGAAGGGGGTCTATTTTAAAGTTAATTAGGTAAATACGTTTTAAAAGAGTAAACCGAATACTATTTATTAGAGTAACCTATAGTGT